ACGTTGACGTTGACGCGCGCAAGCCACTAACTAGAGCATCTGACAGCTCCCCCGTAGGCAGCATCGGTCGGTTGGGACACGTACGAGCCTCCGCCAGCCATCGATATGATATGATAGCGGAGCGGACGCCGGACATTCCTCTCCACCCAAACCGCTGGCTGGCTGGCTGGCATTGCTTGTGCATAAGTAGTATGTATAAAAGGTTAATGTTATGCTTAATCACCCTCCCCCGCAGACGTCAGTGTCCAGCTAGATCGATATAGCGTAGCAGCCGTGGGGTAGAGTGGATTCCTACGACACCAGCATCGACCAGAGTCCAGACTCCGGCGTGCGTACATACTTCGGACGAAATGGTGCATCTTGTGGATCTTGTGGATCTGGGCATCGATCGCATGTTTGCTTGCAGGTTGTGCAGGTTGTGTATTGTACATACATGATACGAGTCGGTCGGTCGGTCCATGTCCATGTCCACGCCCATGTCACCATGTAGATGGCGTGACGCCGGTGCGTGCTGCTGGTTCTACTGCTCTGCTTCGTCCCCGCGGCGGTGTTACGCTCGCTCATTATGGCTCATAGCGGGTTCTACTATAGCCGGCTATTTAGGTGGGTACTATAGCCATCGTACATACATACAGACAGATATACCATACCTACATACATTATACATCCCTACAAGCATATCATACATACATACACTGTACATAACTGGGCGTTTGTACGATCGATGCTGATTACCACTGAATCCTGCCCAGTCTTGCCTCCCCGGAATTCACCACCGACGCTCACCGAACAGTCTGAACCGAACTGAGACATGTCCTCCGGCCTCAGCGATGGACCACCGAACCGTGTGGATGTAGATGCGGATGTGGTTGGAATTGTAATCATCCAGCGATCCTGCCCCCCTGCTCACTCACGCTGCGCAGTACACTGTATGTACAGTGGAGTTGGTAATCCGAAAAGAACACGCTCGCTCGCATCGCCACTACATGATTACTCATGCGGGTTGACCGGTGTTGGCCGGTAACGAGTCGTTGGCGGTGGACCGTTGGCCGTTGGTGGTGGTTGGCATACATAGCGATCAACGGCCGCCCCATCATCCTCCCTGCAGATCCTGCGGTGGAGCTTACTAGAGCCTGGAGGTGGCCTGCGGTTGGGCGGATTAGACGGGGGGCGGGGGGCGGGGGAGGGGATGACTGCGCACGAAGAGACGTTGCTGGCCTGGCATCCAGTACTCCCGGCCGCGGGAGCGAGCACTCCGCACCGCACTCCCTGGAGCTGTGCCCCAGCACCAACTACAGCACCCCACCTCATACCGCCATTCCGGTATGTACTAGGTAGTGGTCAATCACTCTACCCAGCATCGCTGTCGTGTGTATGTAAGCCGGTGGGCCCAGGTTCCTGGTTCATGTCAGCCGGATTTTGCGCACGGCCGTGCTACCACCATCTTCATACTTCATATGATATACCTACCTTGACTATAGTACACGAAACACCACCCCGCCCACCGGCCGCTGCTACTATTACTCGGTAATTCAGTCCTGGTGCGGTGTCCTAAATTCCGATTCCGACTGGATCTCCCTGCCACCTCGGGCCCACCGCATGGATGGACTCGGTCAATGTTGCTATGTATACCCTTCATGGCCACCATAATATAACCACAAGCTCCGTTCCGCTCCACGGAGATCGATATGTGGTCTCGGTTCGGTGGTCTCGGTTCGATGTCTCGGTTCGGAGGGGGGAGGGGGGGGCTTACTACACAGTGCAAGTTACTTAGGTTGGCTGGATATAGGCGAAATACGAGGACATGCGTGCAGTGAGACATGAGATGTATAGTACTACCAGAGGCACAGGGTTGTCCCCGGGTTCCCCTTATGCCAACTACATACAAACTACCAACCGCCAACTAGCGGAGAGCGAGAGGAAGTGAGAGATGTGATTGACCACCACCGCCGCCGACAGACGGCCGAAGCGAGCTGCTAGCAGGCGCGTATGGACTGTGGAGGAGAGATGTGGCTGAAGCGGCGGTTCGGTCCGCGGGGGACAGGGCAACAATGTAGTACTGTGAGAAGTAGGCCACGGTTGTGCTTTTCTCCAGCCCATGCCATGCCCGGTCGGTCAGTCCATGGATGCTCTGCACCACCGTTACATACCGGTACATACTCGCACGACCGCCTGCGAGGTATATCCCCAATCCCCACGGCGGGAAAGGGAGACTAGAAGGGAAACTAGAGGGGACGGATGGGTGGATGAACGGCTGGATGAGGACGAGGCTTCCTCTGCTTCCTCCTTTTCCTCAGCAAGCCACACTCTGTTCCCAGCTCGCCTGAACGCCTGTGGCACCTTACGCGTTGAGTGGTGCACTCCTCTCCGCGCGCCTTCCCGGGATAGCAAAAAAGCACCAGTTCGAGTTACCGTACACACGTTTCCGGTGGACGCTGGGATGAGTAGATAGATAGATACCCGAACCAGACGTCTCGCGCACATACCCCTCCCCCGGATCGAAGAAAGACGATCCAAGTGTTTTCCCTGAGTAGAAGCTGGAAAAGAAAAGAAAAGAAAGAAGAAAGAAGAAAAAACGCCAACGACGCCAGCAACGACGCCAACAGTATCTAACTAGCAGCAGCAACAAGCGCGGCAGACGCCTCCACTTCCGACCTCACTTCATGTCCTCCGATAGGCCAACATTCTTGCCGCGGAAGTGGTTCGTGCCCCGACAAGACAAGACAAGACAAGACAAGACGAGACGAGACACGACGAGACGTGCAGCACGTGCCCTCGCCCCTCTCCCCTCTCTCTCCATAGCCCGACGAACCTTCCGCCCCGCCGGCCCCGTGGACGCATATTTCCTCTACGCACCTATATAGCACCTCGACCCGACTTATTATTCATGCTGTACCTCACACACATACACATCCCACCTATGCGTATTGTACATAATATCTCGCTTGTCACTCGTCTCGGCCCTCCAGGGGCCCTCCCCCGGCTAGCCAATCCATCCCAGTGATTCGCGGACCGAATTGCACTTTCCGACTCACATCTGCACGCTTCTCGGCCCCCAAGCGCTGGTCGGGTGGTCGGGTGGTCGTTAGTTAGTCAAGGACAGGAGTCGTTCGCCCTATGCCTCCAGATTTCGAACCCGGCCGATGCAGCCCAGGTAACAACAACTCAACGAGCGAGGGAGGGAGCGAGGGAGGGAGGGGGGGGGATCCCTCGGCGGAACTGCGCGCGTTGGGGGTGCGCTCCGCCCCGCCCCCCGCACCCGCAAGAAATCGAAGTGAACGAAGAGAAGAGAAGAGAATACGAGATGCGAGATGCGAGGGAGAGGCGGCGGTGGTGGCGGCGGAGGCGGGATCCGGGAATGATCGATCTGAAATGCTCCCGATCTGTGGCTGTAGCCGAAGTGGGGCGGGGGGAGGGGGAAGAGGGGAGGCGGGGGGCAAAGACGGTCTCGTCTCTGGCTCTGGCTCTGGCTCTGGATCCGTCCACCACATCTCTCTCGGTGGCAAGAGATTTCCCCTTTCCCTCTCACTCGCGAATCCGACGCTTTGGCTACGATCCCCATCAGATTTCGAGAATGTGATGGAGGGGGGAGGACACCCCAACCACCTACCTCGATCCCACCTAACTCCTACCTCCTACCTACCTCCTATCTCCTAACTCCTACCCTCCCACCTACCTACCGCACTCGCATCTATGTGTGTACGAGATCCGCTAACGCTGTGTCTGTGTCTGTGTCGAACCAGCATGCTGACGGTGCATTTCTACCGATTCGCATGCGCACTTGAGAAGCTGAGTCTGATGCTGGCTGGCTGGCTGGCTGGCTGGCAGTGTCACGATGGCCTGCGTGTGTGCGTGTGTGTTATGTTTTGCGCACGTGTTTGTGTATGTGGGACGTGTGGGACGTGTGTGTCAGTGCGATGTGAGGCTAGCTTTTGGAGGCACGGGGGACGGGGGACGGGGGACGGGGGACGGGGGACGGGGGACGGGGAGACTCCATTCTGTGATATGATATGATATGATTTCGCACTCAGCTGTCGATAGCGGAGTAAGAATAATCCTCACGTCGGCGAACTTGGCCCGAATCAACGGACGGGGCCCGTGTGGGGGGAGGGAGGTGGTGAGACGTTGGATCCAACAATCAGGTAGCTGGGGCGTAGGTACTCTAGTTACATAAGTTGGTTAGAGACGGCCGCCCCGCTGGTATTGGCCCACACTTTGGTAAGGTAAGAAGGTAAGGCAATAGCTGGGCTACAGTATAGTTCAGTCCATCACAAGGGACAGATGACACTAGACACCAGATTCCTGCTAGAAATGACATCGCTTAACTACCAGATTCGAGCTAGATACTGTACCGGTACATAGCTTGATAGCTCGATAGCGCATTGGGGGGAGAGAGAGACATTGCGTCTGAACAGCAGCTGCGAGGTAGTAGTCTAGCCGGTTAGTTAGTGGCCGGTATTCATCTCGCTCCCCACCACCACCACCACCCGTCTTCCGGGCTTACATCCTGTGAGATGATACGATACGATGGGGCTACTGTAGAGTACTCTACGTGCATCAAGATAGCGCATTTCGCATTTCGCATTTCGCATTTGGGTGGAGGGCAAAATTCAATGGGGATCTATGAGACATAATTTCCCGTGCATCCACTCGCCATCGCACCCCCCTTCTGCCCCCCGATCAAGATCACGATCACGGTTACGATCACGATCAAGATCACAAGCCAACTGTGGAGGGATAGCACAGTAGTTAGCTCGGTACTTTACAGGGTAGGCGGGTTTGGGAATACAGGAATTGTAAAACTGTTGGGGGGAATACAAGGTGTGTGTGTACATGAATGACGGCGGGAAAAGAAATAATAGACAGGAAAAAAAGAATGAAATGTTGCATCTATGGGGGAATGGGGGAGAAAGCAGACGTGGCAGGCAGAGCAACCGAACGGAACAGGCATATCACAGTGTCTCACTCGTCCCCAGTGCGCGGTGCGCCAGTGATCCTGCCTACTCAACATATTCACCGTCGCTGTCCTCTTCCTCGTAGTGCTCCTCCTCCTCCTCTTCCGATGCCTCCTCCCCCTCCTCGAGCGTCTCCTCTTCCGATACCCCCTCTTCGTCCGAAGTGTCGATGGTAATTGGTTGCTGGCCGGCCACCACCACCACCGCCTTCGGTTTGGCACCGGTCTTGCTGCGGAGCAAGCGTCCAGTCGCTGGGGGGAGTTTATTGTCGTTAGTCTCAACAGCGAAGGCAGCAGCGGAGGCAGCAGTGGAGGCACCAGCAGGCGAATCCTTGGCAGTGCTGTGAGACAGCGGCACGGTGTTTTCTTCCTTCTCCTCCTCCTTCACCTCCTGCTCCTCGTCGTCGGTGTCTGAGGCAGAAGCCTGCTCGGGGGCAGCGGGGAGGGTGAGGTGCACCACCGACAGATGTGAGTGGGACTCATCGACGACGATGGAAGTGGAACCATCGTCGTGGTGTTCGGGGGGTTGACGTTCGTCGACGTCCGACAACTCGGAGCAGCTGAGACCAGGTCTGAGGTCATCTTCGCAAGAACCATAAGCTGCGGTATTAAGCTTCTTATCCTTGGATTCGACTAGCAATGCGCTGTCATTTTTCTGCTTCTTCTCCTCCTCCTCCTCACCCTCCTCCTTCGTATTCCCGCTGCTGCTGACGTTTCCGCTGTGGCCTGGAGCGTATATTACTTCTTCTTCTTTGACGACCACGACACGATGCTCGACGTCGTCGTCCTCCGCTTCCTCCTCCTCTAGGCTGCCGGTGGGTAGGTTCTTCCGGGGTTCCGTGATAGTGATAGTGCTGCTGTCACCGCCACCAACACCACCAACAACACCAACACCACCAATACCGACTTCCTTGTCGTTACGACAGGTCTCATTTTCACCACCACCACCACCATCCAATTCCATATCGATGTTGCAGCCTTGCCCCATCTGCTCGACCGCTCCCTTCTGCTCCCCGCTGACCGTGTACATGTCGGTGTCAGAGCCATCCTTGTCCGCGGGTGCGACTGGCTGGAGCGAAACGACTGCTGCTGCAGTGTCTTCGGCGACATGCTCACGCTCATGCACCTCCTCCTGCTCTTGCGTGATCGAGGTAATCGAAGGGGTGATTTCGCCCTTGTCGTCGATTGCGGCTGTGGTTTCGGTTTCAGCGGTGCTGCTGCTAGTGGGTGGGGCAATATTCCCGTCCGTGCCCTGGCCCTTGTCCTTGTCTATGTCGTTGACGACGGTAAGGACGTTGCGTTCGATGTCATGATCAGCCGACGGAACGATAGGGGCTGGCGTGTGTGCGAAAGCTGCAGCTTCGATTTCAGCACTAGGCACAGGCGAGATGATATCGATGTTCATATCGATAGTGGGAGTCGACATCCTGTTATCGGGTGGCAACGAGAGCGCGGCCAGCCTAGTACCCCCCCTAGAGTTGGGGCCAGAGGAGCCAGTAGAAACGGCTTCTAGCGAAGTCGAACGTTGTTCCATCGAGGTACCGCTACCCGGGTTGGTACGAGGCCTAGTAGTACTGATAGCGGTGCTGGCTGCCCACACCCTGTGGATCATAGGCACATCTTCTCTAGTGGCGAACGGCTGGAGATCCCTACTATCGGTCATCGCCACTTCCCCCACATCCCCGCCGATCGTGAGGCGTCCGGCTCCATGGTTGAAGGCTGGGAAGGAACTATCCATGCTTGCGGCCAAGCTTCCGAAGGTAGCTCCCACACTGGCGCCCCTCGTACCCGTAATACTACCATCAACGGCAAAGCTATTTCCCGGGGCGTGTCCAGCCCGCATGACAGCGCCGTACTGCGTACCGACGCCTCCGCCTCCGCCGCTCCCGCCGAATACCCCGTCAATAGTCCCGCCCCCTCCGAACCCCTCGGAATCCTCAAGCTTGATCTCGGACTTAACCCTCCATGTACGGCCTGCGGCCTCCTCATCATCATCCTCACACTCCTCCTTGACGAACTTCCCCTTTTTCGCCCTGCCCCCGGCAGCGGCAGTCTCCGGCTTGCGCTTCTTCTTGCCCTGCCCGTACAGCAGCGCAATGTTCGGATCATTCTTGAAGCCGCTGTTCAGCGCGATGTTCTTGCGCAGCCGCGACCAGCGCATCCGCGCCGCTGCGGGGTTGATCCCGAAGTCGGCGGATACCATGTGGAAGTCGATCTGTTTGCGCGGTGGAATGTCAGTATGTGCAAGAGATCAAGAGGAGGATCGCCCCATGGAACCGATGGAACTGATGGGAACTTGCGTAGTGGTAGTCGCTGCGGATCAGACAGCTGTACAGGAACCGTACGTTTTCGTCGACGGGCGCTTTGGCCGGCATGGTGGACGGACTGTGGGACCGGGGGACCAGGGGGTGAGTGAGCCGGTGTGAAGAAGCGAGCGAGCGGTCGTGTTTGTTTGCTTCCTTGCCCGAACGTGTTTCCTGCCGTAACTTGACTACGTTCTAAACAGTGTAAGCAGCTATTGCAGAATCATCTGAGCGGACGCTACCCACCAGCTCTAGTTATCTGACCGTTAATGGGCAGGTTTAGGCGTAGTTCGTGATGTGGAGAGCTGTGTACGATGACGAAAACGGCAGAGATGGACAGAACGTGGGGATGATATAGCGGGACATAACAATATTAAACACTCCGGCCAGGCCGGAAAACAAAGAGGTGCCGGAAGAAACTATGCTGCGCGGCTGTGAACGGGGTCAATGTTTGCTATGGCTGGCGGGCGGGCTGCCGGGCGGCCTGGTTGGCTGGTTCATGTGGCCACACACACGGAATATCACTCGTGGCAAACACCATCGTGCAGTGGAAACAAAGGATGAGATGCACTCATCCATCGCAGTGTACAAACACGACAACGAACAACTACCAACACAGCCACTGCAACCAACCACACCACACCAACAACCCACCGTTTCCATCCTTAGGACGCAAGCCAGCCTCCTCTCAAGCCATGCAGCATAGACGGAATCCTGCCTAACCACCACACCTCCTACACTTCCCCCCGCCATCCAGGAGAGCAAAATACGCCGCCGTAATGCCCTTAACTTCGGTCTCCTTCTCGCTAAACCTCAGCGCCCACTCCTCGCGCTCCCTCTTCGCTTCATCCAGCTCTCGCGTGAGCCGCTGGTTCTCTCGCTCCATAGCGGCGGACTGCACAGCCTCGCTAGCACTCTTGCTGCGGAAAAATGTTATCGCCTCGCACAGCCAGATCACGAACATTGTCGCTGCGTCTTCCGCTGGTAGCCGCGAGACTAAGGATACCTCACATGCGGATAGCTCGGTGCCGAAGGCGTCCAGGTGCTGCTTGAGGATCCGGGTGATTCGTCGCTGTGAGCGGCGCCGGGTGCGGGGGGTTGCATCGGGGGGGCGGGGGTGGAGTTGGGGGTGGGGTTGTAGTTGTGGTGGTTGTAGTTGTGGTTGTTTTTGTTGTGGTTGTGGTTGCTGGTGTTGGTGTGGTTTTTGTGGTTGTTTTTGTGATTGTGGTTTTTGCGGTGGCCCGTGGTTTTCGCTGTCGATGTCCGTTTGGGTTTCCATGCGCATTATGTTAGAAAATATGAGATGCATTTTGGGCTTGGGAATGGTTGTCGTAATCGCGGACACTGGAAGTACTCTAAGTTTGAAGTTACGGGTGCGAGGTAGGAGACTGGAAGGGAGCAATCTTTACTATAAATATCGTGGAGACATCAATTGAAACTTGAAAGTGTGCAATGCCAGCCCCAATTAAAAAGCCATGTATTCGCATTGAATCCTGCTGTCGATACAAACTTTGTAACCGCCATATTGCTATCACATATAGAAATAGAATAGAGTAGTACGGCACTCTACTCACAGCCGATCACGCACCCTCGCTTCGCCCTCGGGCCCGCCAAGCCGGCAGGGATTCTCCACACGGGCCCCCCGCCAGGCGCCAGCGGCCAGCGGCCAGTTGTCAGACGTCAGGTCAGGGCTAGCTATGTCGGTCGGTAGAGTAGCATATCATAGTTAAGTTAGCCAGGGAGCCCCCCCTCCCCCCTTCCCCGCGAATTCCATCGACGCGATCACCAACAGTGTTCAACACCTCCCCGTCAGCGCGAATAGTTACCCAGGCAGTCGCAGTATACCTACGCCCTTTCCTCACGCCGAGCCACGCTGCCACACACCACACGCCATTCAATGAACTCCTCCGGCTTCGGATCCGACCGTGAGCACGCTCACGCGCCGGGGGGAGAGGACGAGGAGGGGGAGGAGGGGTACGAGATGCGGCCGCTGCAGTCGCGGGGCGCCGAGGGCGAGGGCGAAGAGCTTTTGGGCGGGAAGACTCAGGACGACGAGGGCGACGACGACGACGATGATGCAGGCGATTACTCCGGCGGCGATGAAGTGCTATATGCCATCGACGAGGGGCCGGATGGTCACGAGCCCCCGCTGAGGAGCCCTAGGAGGAGGATGCGCAGGAGGGAGTTTTTGTATACGCGGGCGGAAGAGAGGGCCGTCGTCAGGAAGCTCGATAAGTATCTTGTCGGCGGGCTGGCCGTGCTGTATATGCTCAGGTATGCTATCGAGACCCCACAGGGGAAAGTGGAGGGAGTTGCGCACCGGGATTGCTGACGCATGGTTTAGTTTTTTGGATCGAAGTAGTAAGTACAACTTGCTCGGTCTGATGGATGGTGTCTGTGGGAGCGTGGGCGCTAATTATCCTCACCGCTTGGGTAGATATCGGCAATGTAAGACGGTGGGCATTACGTTCTGTAATGTATCGTTGCTAACCACCCAGTCGCTTGACACAGGCGAGGATAGCTGGCATGAAGGAAGATCTCGATCTGAGCGGCGACAGGTATGAATGGCTACTGTCAGCGTTCTATGTAACCTACATCGTGAGTCTTCCGCACACTATTGGAGATTCGCAAGTGTGGTGCTGATTGATCCTCGTAGCTCTTCCAATGGTGTACGCTGCTGTGGAAAGTGTTTCCGGCGCATAAATATGTCGCCTGTTGTGTGGTGGGGTATGCGTAACCTTTTATCCGGAGTGGAAAAGCTACTAATAGCTGGCTTTAAGGTGGGGTCTGGTAGCTTCATTGCAAGCTTTGGCGGTCAATTGGTTCTCCCTCGTTGTGTTGAGGGCAGCGCTTGGAATCTTTGAAGCAGCTTTTGGTCCTGGTATGATTTGACCTCATCAACTTAGGCTCGCCTGTCTGACAAAAATCAGGTGTGCCGTTCTACCTTAGTCTTTTCTATCGGAGGGAAGAGCTTGCACTCCGAACAGGCCTGTTCATTTCGGCTGCTCCATTGGCTACAGCGTATGCTGGGTTTCTAGCCTATGCAATCACGTCGATACCGTCATCGATAGCTCCGTGGCGCCTTCTCTTTCTGCTCGAAGGGTTTCCGTCACTCGTTGCCGGTATTTGTGCGTATTACTTCATCCCGGACTCACCCGCCGATGCTGGTTTCCTCCGTCGAGATCAGAAGAAGATTGCACGCCGAAGACTGCTCGTGGTCCGTGATGACGAGGAGGATACGGGCACTGTGATAGCGACCGAGGAGAGGCGTGGGCTGAGGTGGAAAGAGGTCTGGAGAGCTTTCAGAGATCCGGGGAATTGGATCACGGCTCTCATCTTCTTCTTTGCGAACGTCTCATTTGCGTCTCTTCCCGTGTTCCTCCCTACCATCATCAACGAGTAGGTCTTCCTCATTCACAACCCATGGATCGATTATTTACAGCTGGCAGGATGGACCTTGGAGTCAATACCGTCTCTCCGGCCCAAGCCCAAGCACTTTCAATCCCACCTTACATCTTTGGCCTTTGTGTCATACTCCTCACAACATATCTCTCGGACCGATTCCGCTCCCGCTCCGTTCCGCTAATCATCCTCTGCATCACCAGCATTTCCGGCTACCTACTCCTGGTGCTTTCCGGACTACTCCATAAGAGCCTCACCAAGCTCGCCTCAGACGTAGCCGATATCGAATCCCCCGGCGCATGGTGGGAAGAGAAGATTCCCACCTCGAAATTCCTCGCCACCCACAGCTCTACCGTAGTCATGAGCTATGTCGGCATCATGCTTGCCGCCGGTACCATTTTCGCCATTATCTCCCTCGTCATCACCTGGAACGGAAACAACTCAGAAACCGAGAGCAGCCGAGGAGCGGGGATGGCGATTCTGCAGGGGCTGGGACAGTGTGGTCCGCTGCTGGGGACAAGGCTGTATCCCGCCGACCAGGGGCCTGAGTACATCAGTGGCAGCTTGACGTGTGCTGGGTGCATGCTCGTCGTGTGCTGTCTTGTAGGATTACAGCGGTGGAGGCTGGGCAGGGAGAATAGACGGAGAGAGGCGCTGGACTCCAGGGAGGCAGCGATGGAAGGGGACGGTACACGGAGGAGAGTTAGGCGATTCCTTTATATGCTTTAATTCGGTGTGCTTTTGCAGGTTTGCTTCTAGCTGCGGCATCTACATACATAAGATGCGGATTTGATTTCGCGGAGAATAGATACCATCTGATTTTGTCATCCATTCTGATGATGCCCATTACCTCATCGATCTGATCGAGCGATATCCAAGTTCAAATGATGATTTATGTCCTCATCCCGGGCATCGGAGATTGCCGCGTGCCCTAAACCCTTTCCGAATTTTGTGCTATGCCCCGCCGCGTGTGAATCATTTCACCCCACCAAACAGCGATCGCCATCTCCCCAATCGTCCATACCACCATCATCTGCGAACCCATCCTCAACCTTCAAGCTGTCGCTTCTCCGCATTGTTTCCCGCTCCCTCCGTTGGGCTCCCATCACCAGTTCCAGAGTCTCAGCGTTCCCCCCACGCCGCTACATAACCATGGCCTCCCTCGCCCTCTCCCCCGCCGACAAAGCTCTCTCGCTCCTCGTCACGTCTTTCAAAGACCTGTCGATAACGCTCTCGACCGCGACTCCGGCAGTCTCCCAGTTCACCGCTGGCGACAAGACCATCACGGGGGCCTCAGCGATCGCCTCGCACTTCGCATCTCTCATCCCCGCCCTCCAGAACACAACCTACACCGCCGAGGAATCCGCCGAGATCCAGCGATGGCTCGAGCTCCTCCCGTGCACACCGGTACCCGAGAGCACTCTCGACACTCTCAACGAGACGCTCAAGTTCCGGAGCACGCTCCTGGGCGAGAAGTTCTCGATCGCCGACGCCGTCGTCTACGCCAGCGTCAAGAACGATGTCGCCGCGTGGAGCGATGAACAGCGCACCGGCGAGAAGGGCCGCAGACATGTCATCCGCTGGCTGGACTTTGTGCAGAACTCGCCGGAGCTCGGTTTGAATGTCCCCGAGACTGAGAAGGTCACGGTTGATGTCGAGAAGGTCCTGTTTATGCCCAAGCCTGAGGAGGCCCCTAAGAAGGAGAAGAAGCCGGCTGCGGCTGCTGTGGAGCCGGCCGCGAAGGGTGTGGTCGAGCAGGCGAAGAAGGGTGCCGCGGTCGCGGCGGAGACCGTCGAGAAGGTCGCACAAACGGTTAAGGATGCGGCTGGTGCCGCGGTGGCTGCCGTCCAGGGGCAGGGAAAGAAGACGGAGAAGAAGGTGAAGCAGAAGCGCGAGGCCCCCCCGCCTAAACCAGGTACTTTACCATCCGGGAAGAATTGTCTTTCTAGTTACTGACGAAGTGGGCAGAGCCCGTCATGTCACCCGCCCAGCTCGATCTCCGCGTCGGCCACATCCTCTACTGCCGTCCCCACCCCAACGCCGACTCCCTCTTCGTCTCTACCATCGCCATGGGCGACGACCCCAGCAGCACTGTAATCACCCCCCACTCCGAGATCACCGACCTCCCTGCCGAGATCCTTGCCAAATTCAACCCTCTCCCTCCCGTCCGCACCGTCTGCTCGGGCCTCAACGGCCTCGTCCCCCTCGAGGAAATGCAGGACCGCAAAGTCGTGGTCGTTGCCAACCTCAAGCCCGTAGTTATGCGCGGTATCAAATCCGCCGCCATGGTACTTGCGGCTTCTCCCCGTCCCGCGGCAGGAGAGGAGGCTAGCCACAAGAAGGAGTTCGTGGAGCTTGTCTCGCCGCCGGCAGGCGCCCAGGCAGGCGAAAAAGTGTTCTTTGAGGGCTATGAGGGAACCCCCGATGCCCAGCTGAACCCCAAGAAGAAGATTTTTGAGCAGATCCAGCCTGGGTTCAAGACGCTTGAGGATGATACGACGGTGGCGTTTGACCGTGCGCTTGCTGGATGGGTCGGTCCCGATGGAGAGAAGGGTAAGGCTAAGGGTGAGGCGGTCGCGAAGCTGGTTACCAGCTCTGGAGGCGTTTGTAAAGCCCCCACTCTCAAGGGTGCGGCTATTTCATAGATTTCCTAGGTTCTAGAATGGGGAAAATTATGAACTGGTTGTAGAGCTGCAGTACTACATTGAAAGGAATTGGATCATTGGTTGCTGCTAGTTGCTGTATCATGGAGGGGACGTTCGGCGTGACAAACGCTGAAATCGCATTGGCTCGCAATCATGGATAAAATAGGCACATGTATCCCCCATCTAGGAAATAGAAGACATCTGCTTCCTCCCTCTTCCACCGGCTTCTACAGCCCTACTCGTCATTGGGCAGCATATCCGGCACAGGACCGAGCGGTACGATGCCGTGGGGATTGATCTGCGAGTGGCTCATCGTATAATGCTAGATACCTCGTCAGCTCTCGCCGATCCAACAAAATCAAGTTTAACTGCACATACCTTCTTAATATGCTCAAAGTTGGTCGTCTCCTTGAATGCGGGAATGTCCCAGTACAAATGTCTGAGCCACTTGTGGATGTGTGGGTAATCATGTCTGATCATCTTCAAGTTTGTCTTGAAGTGCTGAACATAGACCGGATCGAACCGCACAACCGTCGGGTACAGCCTGATATCCGCCTCTGTCAACTGCTCGCCAAAGATGTACCTGCCGCCTTTCGCATGCGACGCCGCCAGGATCTCCTCCACGCGGTCCAGCGTGGCAAACACCCCCGTGACCGCGTCCTCGTACGCCGCCTGCTTCGTGGCGAAGCCTGACTTGTACACGCCGTTATTAAGCCCGTCGTAGACCCAGCCGTTGAACTCATCGATCTGCGCGCGGAGGTGCTCGGGGTAGTACGTTACGCCCTGGTTCTCGGCGGGCAGCAGCCCGTCAAACTCGGTGTACATCAACCGGATGATCTCGGCGCTCTCGTTGTTGACGATGGTCCCCTTCTGCGTATCCCAGACCAGCGGCACCGTGAACCTCCCCGCGTAGTCCGGGCTCGCGGCGAAGTACAGATCCTTGAGGTGGCGGGCGCCGATCACGCCCTCGGGCGCAACGGCGAGCTCGGGGTTGTTCGCCGCCTCCTCCGCAGTCGCAAAGTGCCAGCCCGACGTGCCCATGTGCCAATGCACGATTGATACTGGCAGCAGCGAGGGGTCGGCATCTAAGCCCTTGAGCTTGCGCACGATGAGTGTGCGGTGCGCCCAGGGGCACGCGAGTGAGACGAAGAGGTGGTAGCGGTTTGAGACCGCCGGGAATGGCGAGGACAGAGACGAGCTGAGCGCGTTGCGGAAGATCGAGGTGCTCCGCTTGAATTCGCCGGTTTTTGAGTCTGTCGGCACCCAGTCGGTGATTTTGGAGGGGGCGGTCTGCAAGTGGGGTTAGATGGGTGAGGAGGGGACAGGATGCGGAGGGGGGGACGTGCCATGGTGAGTGCTCTGGTGGTGGGTGTGCGGAGATGAAGCTGGAAGACGCTGCTGAGGTGCTGGATGGATGGGAGCGACCGGCGGAACAGCGGGTGCATTGGTTTTTATATATACACGGATGCGGGGTGCACGAGCACGGGTTATACGTATGTGCTCACCAGAGGCGTTGGGGCGTCCTGACGATTTTTACCAGTGGTTCCCAAGGAATTGGTAATGTTCTCCTCAGCACTTGCACTTTTGCAGCTCTCCCGGCGATTCTGTGAACAAACCAGTGTGGGTCTGATCTGTATTTATGACATATGTCTGCATAATGCGGGGCGTCTCTGCAGCGACCGGCGGAAAGATGACCCTTGTCACATAACCTGCGCTCACTGCTCATGCATGACGCGAAAAGGCAGTGGGGAAAAAGGATTAGTGATGGAATATCGGAGAAGCCATCGCCAGTAAATGAGAGCCGTTCGGAGAAGAATAATCCATAAGCATTATTGAAGCCGAACCAACGGCGTTACAGTTGAATGCGTCATGATGGGTAAGCCAGGCACCGCTAGATATGATACCCGCCTTTGTTGCTGGCGATCAATGCACCAGATCCCGATCCGAGACAAACACGTTTTGCCTAGCTTGCCCCCAGCTTAACTAACTCCAAACGAGCTCACCTCATCCACCGGCAGAAACAACACCATCCCCATCCACCAACCACAGTCAACCCCATACTTCAGCGGCGATCACGAACTCCCCCCCGAACCACGGCAACGGTAACGGCAACGCCAACGAACCCGCTGCGGTCTCTGAGAATGGAGTCCTCGGTCGCATCGTCCTCGTCCGCCCTCCCTGCCACCGCCTCGGCAAGTGTCGTGACCGCGGCGTTGAACCCAGCCCACGGCTTCCGCGCTCCCTCAATGGCCTCGATACCCCGCTTCTTCGCAAAGATGGCGTCGCTCGGATACGTCGGGACCGCCGCCGAGCCCGTTATCTCGCCGATCCCTGCCGCCGCCGAAGCTCTGACCACCAACGCGACGTCTCTCGCCGCTTCCGCCGCTTCCGCCGCTGCCGAAACCGCAGCCAACACCACCGCCACAGATTCGTCGTACACCCTTGGAGGACACGTGCGCAACATGGGAAGCGTGTTGACCTACGCGACCAGCAAATGGGCGATACAGTGTCTCTTCATGGTAGCTTCCTCACGCCTCTTCCCACCCTTACTCGCGGCCTGTGTCTCTCTGTTCCGTGTTGACTTCTCGCGCGCGTGGGTGACGCATAAAGACGGTTCTGTTGAACCGCACGTTGATCTATGCCTCGCTACGGCGGCCGATCCGGCTACCGTTTAAGATGCGCGCAGCCATGCGGATCATCCCGATCACCATGCTTGTCTGGCAGGTGTGGCACATGATGTACGCGATGCGCTGCCAGACGTCGGTGAACTTCCAGCGCGGAGCGAGCGAGAACGGCGCCGACGTGCTGTTCCATGCTATCGGCAAGGCGGGCTCGTTCTGGCTCGACGACCGCTCCGTCTGTGAGGCTATCGGAATGATCCCCGACGCGGAGTGGATCGATATGGCGTCCACCGCAAAGGATCCAGAGGAGAAGGTGCCCCCGCCGAAGGGCTCGCTGGATACCCTGTGGCCCCTGTATAAGACTCTCTCCCTGTCGCAGTTCGTCGAGGTGTTCTGCTGCTCGCTTATGGGCAGGATTCCGGTCGCCGAGACGGGAATGACGTTGCTGGAGCACTCTCTGGCGTTTGCTGAGGCCGAGGCACAAGCGACACGTAAGACTTACCGTCTCGAGACCACCAACTCTAGCAAGAGTGCGAGTGAGGCGGAGGACGAGGGAGAGGGTGAGGACGAGGGCGAGGCGGAGGATGCTAGGGCGGAAGAACTGGAGGAGACAAAGAACGATGTCAAAATCTTCAAGATTAAAGGCGAGAAGCTGGTTCCATCGGAGGTCCTTTACATCGCCATCCTCTCAGCCATGTCACACATTACCTCGCATGTGCTGGCCATATTCAATCTGCAAACAAGGTACCGTCTGCTTGCCACAGGTTTCTACGGTATGGCTTTCCTGTTGGGTTTCGCGGTTGCCCTCTACTATAGCGGCGCAGCCGGAATTCTCAACTTCCCCACTGTCAGCGTTGTCGGATTCATCCCGCACCTCCTGATTTTCGCCGCGATCTCGGGATGTGGCGCAATCTATGGAATGGCACTGATGGTCTCCTCGCTCTTCACTCCGTCTGGGAGAATAAGCTTCTCGGAGGGCTTCAACAACCTGCGGGCCAACCACACCGTCTCCAGCACCGTTACGGTATCCCTTAGTGAGGACTTCTACACTGTTTTGTTGAAATTCGGGTACGTATGTCTTACCGCCGCAGCGGAAGCAACATACCTCAACGAAGGCCGTGCGGTTCGTGTACCGGCCGTTACCTGGCTCGAGGGCGAGCGGCAGAAGCTACTGGATCACAGGAACCGCGGGAATATGGCGGGACAGTTCGCGACCACCGGGAAGGGTGGAGGACCATTCGCCATGGAAAGGAAGGACTTTTCGGGGGTGGTCGAAAGCGCGAAAGACTTTCGGCGGCCGATGGGAGGACGGTGGATTGGTGCGGGAGAGTTGTTACGGGGTGTACTGGCCGTAGTGAGCCGATGGGGTTTATTCGCTGCAGCCAAACTGCTTCGCCGAACAACAATAGAGGGTGAGCCTGACGCCACGTCAAATCTTTCCGATAACGACGAGTTAGAAGACGAAGACTACGCCCCATCTGAAGATGGTTCTGGTTCATCTTCTTCCTCTTCCGAAGACGAAGCCGAAAACGAAGGCTCCGGCCGTTACAGCCGTGAACAGTCCCAAGAACCCCACCGCTCTAGTCGCTCCAGTCGCGAAGCCACCCCGCTTCTCGACCCCATGCGTCTCGCCGCCCTTCTGGACCCACAATGTCCCGAAGACCGTGCCTCGGCGCGGCTCCTCGCGCGACACCTGGCTGCTCCAACACCTCTCACACGACGGCAATACTCGGCTACTCAACTATCGGGAATAGCGGAGGAGGCGGCGCTAGAGAGTATTCTCCTGCACCGGCGAGGGGAGAGTACATCGTCGGAGACGGAGGCGGGCGCACCTCTGTGTGTAGTCTGTCAGAGCGAGCCACGGACGGTCATTGTGTGGCCATGTAGGTGTCTGAGTCTTTGCGAAGATTGTAGGGTCTGCCTTGCAATGAATAACTGGAGTAGTTGTGTGACGTGTCGAGGGAAGTGTGTGGGTTACTCGAGGGTTTATGTTCCTTGAGTTTGTCTTTGTGCATGGCGGATGTTTGGTCGGGTTTGGTCTAAATTTGACTTGCTTTGATTGGCGACTGTCGATATCTTCTTTGCTTCTTTTTTTCTCTATGGATCATATATCTCTAATTGTTGCGATTATTGTTTTTCGTTTTCGTTTCGTTTGGCTAGGTAGATCATTGTGTAGATGTGGAGTTGCATCGCCTGTTTGTTCATTGCCAAACTTTGGTTCAGCAAGCTAGGCTGAGAAGTCTGTAAATATCGTCACTCGCACGTATTGAGATGAGGCTCACCGCCTCCACATTAATTGGCCTATCCACAAACGAGCATGATCAAGAAAAGAAGACGAAAAAAGATATAAAGTCATATCGTATCATACCCAACGCCCCAGCCAGAACCATCCTCAACCAATGGGCTTAGTCTTCTGCTTCTTCTTCTTCAGACCGCCCTTCTGAAAGTCCCTCCAGCTATTGATGCGATTGTCCCTCGTATTCTCCCATGCCTGCTCATTCTCACGCTTCCTCTTCCTTTCCTCGATCTCCATCTCCGCTTTCCTCTGCTCCCGTCCCTCCTCGGCCAACTGCGCCTTCATCTGCTTCCTCCTGCGCAGCTCATTATCGATCAAGACCTCTTTACTCTTCTCCCTCCAGTCCTTCGCAAACTCGGGCGACTTGAGCTCTGGCGTATCAACCGTCCACTTTCGCTCGCGGATCAGCAGCATGCGCGCATCTGCGATCGCCTCGTCGAGCCGCTCGCGCTTCTTCTCATCCATGAGCTCGGCCTGCGCCTTCTTCAGCCGGTCAAACGCATCGGGCGCCAATGGGTTCTTGGTCTTGTCCGGGTGGATGAGCAACGACTTCCTCCGGAAACAGTTCTTGATGTCGCTCTCGGCTACGCCAGGCTGCAGGTCGAGAATCGCATACGCGTCGAGCTTGAACGCCGACAGGATCCGCGCTATCTCGGCATCCTGTGCACACAGGGTTGGGTCAGTGCGGGTTGGGAGGGTTGGGTGGGGATGCGCGGGGGAGGGGGGCAGCCGCGAACCTTGAGGTACTCGCCCGCCTCTCGGTCGAGGTCCGCGAGGATGTCTTTGTCGTCCTTGTCAACTCCGTCAGCAGCCATGAGGGCGGTTAGTGAGTGTAGAGACCTTTTGTCGGGTTAGCGGTGGGTGATTAGGTGGAGGTGTTGGAGGTGTGTGTCGAGGCGTGTGTCATGGTCCCAATGGTGGGAAAGGAGCGAAATCCAGTGAAGTGGGAGCTCGGTAGAGTTCGCCGCTAATGGCTTCTTGGCTTGGCTCCAACTAGTACCCTAGTCGTGGTGACACCAAACTTTCTGCCTCCACGACACGCGGATAGACACGCGCAACCCACCTGCAATCCACCTCCACCACACAGCCACCACTACAGCACGGCAAAGATGGCAATGGCCGACAGACGACGAATAAACGGCCCGAGCAGCACAACCACCACCCCAGTGTTCCTCCCATCACCCGCGCAACCCCCAGCGCGCTGCGCACCCACAGAGCTCCGCAAAATCTGTACACCCTCTCACCACCCCACCATCCCCGCCCCGCACTAACCCCCACCCCTGTAGTCCTCAAGACCTCCCTCACCCCTCCCGCGACGGGCAGCGCCTTCCTCGAGCTCAGCCTCCCGAGCACCCTCAAGCTGACCGCAAGCGTGTACGGACCCCGGCCGCTCCCTCCATCCGCCGTCTTCTCCCCGCACGCATGCATCACAGCGGAGCTAAAATTCGCGCCGTTCTCTACGCTCGGTGCGCGGCGGGGCTATGTGCGCGACGCGCTGGAACGCGACCTCTCGGCGCAGCTGCAGGTGGCTCTCTCCCGCGCCATAAAGACCGCTGCCTACCCGAAGTCTGGCATCGACGTCTTCGTTACGGTACTCGACTGTGAGGGCGCCATTGATGATGAGGGCTTGGGCGCTATGCAGGCGCTCGCTGGCGCGATCACCTGCGCGTCGGCTGCGGTTGCGGATGCCGGCATCGAGTGTGTGGATCTGGTGAGTGCGGGCATTGCGGCGCTCGTCGAGGTGCCCGGGGATGAGGGGTTGCTCACGGTATTGGATCCGAGCCCGCTTGATGGCTATGATGTTAAGGCTGCGGCGTTGGTGGCGTATATGGCCGGTAGAGATGAGATCTCGCTCTTGTGGGTTAGGGGGGAGGTCGAGGGAAGCGTGTTTGACGGCGTGGTGGACAGTGCTGTGCAGGTGGCTGCGGGCGTGAGGGCGGTGGTCAATGAGGCGGTTAAGGAGCGAGTGGTGTTGGCGGTGAAGGCCGGTACGGCAGATGTGGATATGAGTGGATAGAAGCATGGATGGTGGGAGAAAATTGGGCTGGCTTTCGGAGTTGGTGGTTGCTTTGTGTTTGTTAATGCTATCTGGATGACCTGGTGCGAGATTGACGATCAATTTCCATAGCGATTGGCTGGATGGTAATGACTCTCTCACCGCCGATACTAGCCACCTACTTTACCATCGAAACACATTTGATAGCATATGGCAAAAATCATGGAAGATGAATATGAAGCCCTTCACTCTGGAGCACTCGATTCGCTCTCCACATGGCCGGCCGGTCGAAGTAGATTCTGAAACGGAGAAAATATACGCCGCCATGGGCTTCACGGATTGAATGCGAGCACGATGAAACAAAAAAAAGACCAAGCAAATTCAAAGAGAACTCAAATTTCCTCAGAAGTGCATGTACGCTATCTACAAATATTTCTTGATGACCTCCTCGAGACCAGCCTGATCCAGCGGCTTGATGCCCAACAGCGCATTGCTATCCCTACCTACATTGCTTCCACCGTATCCCTCGCCAAAGATAGCCCTAGGAATCAACTGCACGTACCCACTAGGGTCGCCGTTCGCAATCTTCTCATTCGCCTCCTTCTCGATCTGCTCGGTGCTGACGACGGTGGTCTCGATTGGCACGCCCAGGAGCTTCTCGTACGTCTCGGTCAGATGCTTCAGCGTGAGCTGCGCACTGTAGATGTACAACAGCTTGTTCTTCGTCTCCTCGGGGTGGTGCAGGATCCCCACCACCGATTGCGCAATGTCGCTCAGCAGCGAGGCGGCGAACGGTCGCTCGCCCCCGTCGAATAGCGTCGACGTCTTCGTCTTCGGGTTGGGGCCAATGAAGCCGACCTTGATACCTACACGTAGCGGCATGCATCAGTCACCACATCCCAACACGTACCTTTTTGGAGAATAGGTAGGAACAAACCCCAATCCAAAAACGCGCCCGGCGTAATCGCGCTCCAAGTAATCCTCCCCTGTGCGGCCAGCTGCTCTAGCTGCTTCCTTACGACGACCTTTCCCGCGAACACCGCGAGGCCCGCAGACTTGGGATTATCCAGGTCGCTCCCGAACTCGGAGGGGATAAACCGCTTGACGCCCGCCTCCACCGCCGCATCGATCACCTGTTTTTGCGCGGCGACGCCCGGCGCGCCCACGGTCGAGACTACCGCGTCGATGCCCTGAAGCGCGCTGACGAGCGCAGAGTGGTCAGAAAAGTCGACGGCGATCAGTTTGCCGCCTGATGGTGGGGACTTGTGGATTGACGAGGTGGGCCGCGCGAGGATCGTGACGCTGAGTGAGGCGTCTGCGAGCAGCGCGGTGAGAACGGGAACGCCGATGTTGCCGGATGCCTAAGGGGTTAGCTTGGTGCTTGTGAGGGGGCGAGTGACTTACTCCGATTATGGCGACGTTGCTGAGGATTGCCATTGTGTTGTATTGCTTTAGTTGGACTTGGGATGGGTACTGAGGTGTTGATGAAGCTTTAGAGGTTGTTTGAGCTGAGCTGGTGATGTTGATGATGAGATGATGAGATGATGATAGCTCGTGGAGTTCGCGGGACTTATATACCCAGATAACCGTCCTCAACTACAGCTCGTCATTCGCTCTATAGCAAATATGAAGCTATTATCACGCGAGAGCACGACTGTCAACCAAACCATGTGCATTCCGATTAATACTCAGCATGTTACAAATCGCAAATCGTAAATTCGCAGCTCTCAGCTATGCTCGGTAATCCCCCAGCAAATATTAGAAATCTGACGGATGAGGAAGATCTCCTGCACTACTATATTTCCAATCGGTGCATGTTACTATCTCCGGCGTCCGCAGAGCTTAAAAATGCGAATCCGAGCACCCCACTTATCTGCCCCACCTATGGTATCTACCCCACATTCTGGTGATAGATATGTGCGCCCATAAGGTGTGAACTCTGGACTCTGGAGGTCCGAGCCGGAGCGGAGTTCCGCTATTTTAAGCGTACATAGCAGCTTAAATCCGGCGACGCGACCAAGCGCCACGAGTGCTCTTCCATGTCCCACATTCCTTCCCACGTGACCCGGCAAACGCCGCTCCCTACTCTCGGGGGAGAAAAAAAAGTTCAGACAGAGCAAATGAACCCTAGCAAAACCTCACGAAGCTCTCAATCACGAACGAGAAGAGAAGGAAGGAAGGAAGGAAACCAACAACGACGACGACCAGAGAGCGATATGGCACCCCCGCGACCCACGAAAAAACGACGCACAGATGTCGCCCCCACCAACGCGCCTGCTCTGGCGGGCCCGATCGGGAATATCAGGGCGCTGCAGAGCGCTATGGCCGACTACAGCGGGGCTGGTAAGGCGCGCGGATCCGGGGGGGGCATTGGTGGAGTAGGGAGTGGGTGTTGACATGCGCGGTGGCTATAGGATTGAAGGCGGTGAAGGACTTTCTGTTCCGGTGTTCGAAGGGGCCGGAGGTGGAGGAGTTGGAGGCGGCAGCGAATCGGAGCATTTTGAAGCAGTACCTCGAGACGCAGACGAAGGAGGCGCAGAAGGAGAGCGACGATGCAGAGAAGGAGTCCTCGGCGTTCGCGGAGGTCGTGCAGATCTGGAGTTATGCTAATCAGGTATACACCCCCGGAGTTCTTTTTTGTTGTTGTCTGCGAGAGGGCGAGGGGAATGTGCGCTGATCTGACGCTGCGCAGAATAATTCTATCAACTTGCTGTCGCTGGTCCCGGCCACAATGGCGAACCTGGTCCGGATATGTTCGTACCACGAGGAGGAGTTCAAGAACTACGGAACAATCCTCATCAAGAGCCTGCTGCAGCCGACGACGTTGAAGATCATCTACCGTGGGTTGACGGGGAATAAGGACAAGGTCGTGTCGCCATGTCTGCGCCTATTGACGGAGATGAATCGGTTCAACTTTGGCGCGATGTGCGGATTCGTCCACTCGACTATAGACTTCACGATCAAGGACTTGCCGCGGAATTTGGAGGTGAAGGGAGGGGCGAAGGCTACCGTTGAGGAGATCGGAAGACCGTCAGTACGGACACAGTTTCTGAGGTTCTTCTTGTCGTTCCTGCAGAATGGCGAGCCAAGTGTTCGGAATGAAATGATGGGATTGAGGAGTTGGATCACGCCGATTTTCAAGCACCTGAAGACGGATACGCCGGAGATCATAAACGACTTGTTGACATGCTTCACTACGAGGGTGTTGGACGAGAAAGAAATCCCGAGAGCTACAAAAACGAATGCCTTCAATGAGTGGATTCTGGCACACATCCTGGAACTGTACACCCGCGAAGAGACCGTGAAGACGTCAAATGCTGGAAAAGACATCGAAAAACCACTGGCGGACATTGCTCACGAGTTCCTGATGAGCGTTTGCACCAAACGTGGGAGCGGAGCATGTTTCCCGGACCATGGATGGTATCCACCTGGACACATGGCGGACGAGGAAAAGCGGAAGTCTGCGCCAAAAGTGTTCAACCGGATATTATCCTCATTATTAACGCATATCCGACCGTATGCGAGCACAATGCAGCTCGACCTAATGCTGGATATCTTGAAGACGTGTCCAGAGCTGGTGGCTGACTACTTTCTGTCCAACTGGAGCTTCAGCTTCGATCCAAAACTTACATCTACTTGGATTGGATACTGCACGTTCTTGCACTCCACGATCACCCTTCCAATACCGGAGAATTTTGGAGCTCCGGAAGCTCAAATACTTCCACCTCCCACCAATGTTATTGTCGAGAACGTCCTGCCGAAACCACTTACCAAAGCTATTATGTCCAAGTGTTTGACGCACGAGAACAACTTCATCAGGTTCTTGGCTACAAGGCTTCTCATCAGTGCTTTCCAGAAGCTGCGGAGTGTCCTCAAGGCACTCGACGAGGCGGCGGGTTCTGTACACGATCCGACAGAGACATGGAAGAGGTGCAGATTTGACGTCATCGAGGAGTTTTGCAAGCGCATCCCAGATGCATCGGTGGTGAGCAACATTGCCGGAAAGACATCGGGTGTTTTGCAGACTGAAGCGAGGATGAGACTTCTTGCGGAATACTATACTACTATTCCCGAGTTGGCCTTGTCCGGTAATTATGATGTAAATGTTGCGCTGAGCAACTTCCTCGGGAACGAATTTGAGGACCAAAAGGGCATGAAGCAACTCGAGATGGGACACTTGTTGCAGATCGCGACTGAGGTTCCGGATGTCAAGTGGTGGAACAAAACTCGTAAGTGCGCCTGCTGCCGATGATGAATCAGTGCAGAGAGCTTACCCAAAAATAGCTGCTATGAAGCATTCACCATTCGTGGCTATTTTGAAGCGATGTTGCAGCACTGCTACAAATACTTCCCAGCGACAGGTCCGGACGTTACTCCATTCTTTTGCTTCCACCAGTTACCTCTTCCAGGCCGAAACATCGGCGTCGCCACTAGATGCCCTGCTGGAGAGTTTATCCACCCTTGAGGATAGCGGCGATTTGGAAGCGATCCTCTCCCTCCTAGACGAAGTCGTGGCACGATGCATCCGTGGACCATTCAAATATCTGGACGACTACGCTGAGCTTGCAGCAGAGATCCAAAAACAGAAGCCAGAAGCCAGTAACTTTGCACCAGTCAGTCCGTTGGTCATGACACTCGTAGAACAGTGGAAATTCTTCATGCAGTCGAAGGATCACTCCAGCCAACAGAAGCTCGGTGGCGTCCGGTGGTTGCTGCGACTCCTCGAATCCTGCGCAGTTTTGGGCGAGAACAGATTTGTCCTTGCGGTTTTGTGCGACAGAGTTGCCAGCTCTGGCTCGACTGACGAAAGTATCCCGAAACTGAAGAACTACTTGCAAGAAGGAGACCAAGGCCTGGAAATCGCACCTAATGGGGGACGTGAATATGACAGCGCCGTGGGAGTTCGCGATATGTTTACTCGTTTCCCTAATCGCAGGATAGACGTACAGATGATCGCGTTGCTCTCGGATGGCGTGCTGCATCGTAGAATCGAACCATCGCTGTTCGACCTCGCTGTCGTGCAGAGGGCGATCACGGAGGTTGCTGAGAGCCGGAATATCAGCACATCCAAAGCCGCCGCCGTTATCACCCAGTTAAACGAATTGATGAAGTACGTTGCCTTTCAACTCATGGGCCAGGGAGAGAAAGTGGCTGGGACAACGAAGACTCTCGTTACGAAGGAGGGCGCTTGTATCCCACTGTTCTTGAATACTTCTGTTCCAGCAGAAAGGCTCTCTGCCGTGGTGGCATTATCACATGGTTTGTTTGAATGTTTTCCGTTCACGTTTTCAGAGTGCTAACAATACGGTAGGATACGCCGAATTGCTCTCTACCGTCTCCGAACAGAGTGATTCTGCCCTCGAGTCCGTTAGGGAAATCTTCACGAGTTCCTTGCCCGGATTTTTGTCCAAGTTTGCAGCTTTGTCGGAAGAGGACCTGTCGAAGGTACGATAATCTGGTTAACCCTCTCACATTCTTTCGTGGTGCTAATTATGCCTTAGGTTCTCTTCATTTATCGCACTATCATCACGTTGCTCTATTCCCCGGAAGATGTCAGTAACCTGGCGGAACGCCTCTCTTCCGAGAGTTCCCTGATACGGGATGAAACAGTTTCTCAACTGTTTGCTTTCATTCTGCACCGATCTGCGGAACGTGGAGATATCATCGGCGCCAATGTCATCCACCGTCTGCTGAAGGCAAAGACTATGTCTAGTCGTGTCTCTTCTGCTCTCGTGGCTTACATCTCGGCCGTCGATGCGGAAGAACTTCAAGGGATCAGTTATTATAAGGCGGCAACACCGGAACACACAGCGGTTGTGTGCGCGATGATTCCCAAGGTGGAAGTCGTTCGTAACAAATCGCTGGCCCAACTGGAGAAGAATCTGCAGGCCGGAAACACCGTGCAGATGCTTTCCGAGTGCTTCTCGGCGCTCTTGCAAGCCTACTCGGTTGCAGGTGAAGGTGATGCAGCGTATACTTGGGCGGAATCCGCCGACGAGGAGGTGAAGACCAAACTTCAGCGCATCTTCGAAGCTACTCAGAAGGAATTACTCGAGTCGGCGCTGGACCTCACTCAAGTGAATGTTCTTCTGAGGGCTGCCTCGCTATTCCCTTCCCTGGATCGGGAGCAGGTTCTGAAACACATTGCCACTGACCGTAAAAGAAGCGCGTTGACGGAGAATACGGTGGCCTTGGTCGGTGCTCTGCTTCAGGATTCGAATGATGCGGCCAAGCCAGAAATGAAGAGGTGGTTCTTGATGGTGTTTGATTACCTGACGAGGCGCTTTGCGGAAGATGCTGTGTTGACCGGCAAAGTGGCCGCGTTTGCGAAAGCACTGGGTATGTGAATCCTTCCTCTCTACCTGGATTATTTTACTGACAGCTGGTCCAGGTGGACTTATTGCACGGAAGGAGATCAAACTCGAGAATATCATCCCGAAATCGACATTGAACGCAGTTTTGGAGGCAGGCCTGGAAAAGCACATCAATGTCCCGGAGGTTGTTTACTTGGCTGTCAACTTGGTCTCGCTGTCGTCGCAAAAGTCACTTAACCTCGCAAAGCTCCTGCAGATGGTCCTTGGACACACTGACAACCCGCTTGCCCAGCGGGATACGATCTATGAGGCAGAGGATATCCACCATCACGTTGCATTCCTCATCTCGAAACTCTTCCTTGCTGGCAAGACTTCACTATGCAACATCGGAACGATGAATGGTGTCATGGCGCTGTACCGCGGAACTAACGGCCACATCGACGGCCTTCTTCTCATGATCATCACTTATATCGAGGGTCATCTGGCGCGCAGTTGTGCTGCGAGTGTAGCATCTTGGTCGGTTTCGGAGAGCACTGAGAAGCCACTCATTTCCAACGTTCGCGGCCGGCTGGAAGTCGTGGTCAATGCCAAGTTGCTTGCGAAGAGCGTCTTCCATCTCACCCCCGTCACCAGCAGTGCTGAGATTGAATCCCTTGATTCGTACCTCGCGGGCGTTAAGGACAATACTACACCTCTCGGGAAGGCGTACGATCCTCGTTTCATGCTTCCGGCGATCACATTTTGCTTGGTGTCTACTGCGCACATCATAGACGCCCAAGCAGCCATTGAAAGGAACTGTGTTGCATACGCTATGGCGTGCCTTTCATCCGAAGATGCCAACATCCGAGAAATGGCTACTCGATTTCTCAGCTCTGTGGTGTCGAAGCTCGAAGAATCACCGTATCGCAACAAGACACAAATCAGCCACTTGATCTTGGGACTTCTTGCTTCCTTTTCTTCTCAAGAAGAAGAAACGAAGAATCAGCCACTCCCATCAGCCATGGGAATCTTCCTCGCGCAAGCTTCTCAAGTCCTCGCCAATCCTACCCACTTCCTGTACGAGAAGGTGATGGAGCTCCTCCTCCGCGGTCCCCTGCTGCAGTTACACGACCTCCCACTCATGCTCAGCACACTCCAAGTCGGCGAGGAGCACCACAAGGAGGTGGCCTGGATCCTCAACATCCTAACCGCAGGCCTCAAGACGGAGAAAGACCTGGTACTCTACCGCAAGCGCAATGTCTTCGGCAACGTGTTGAACCTGTACATCTCGCCCAACTCTACCGACCACGCAAAGGAGCGGGTCCTAGGATTGCTATGGAACGCGGCGGCGATTGAGGGCGGCGGCACGACACTCATCACCAGGAACGGCGCTATCGCTTGGATCGAGCAGATGCTGGGCGTGTCGACTGGCGAGGACCTGATGCTCAAGAGGCTCGCGGCTAGACTGTGGGAGGGCTCGGCAAAAACTCATGTCAAGGAGTGGAGTCGCGGGAGTTTGAGTGCGCACTTTGTTGGTGATGGGGCTAGGCTGGGGGCGCAGATGGAGGTGGATGTCGAGACTTAGATGCGGGCTACTTAGCAGTGATTTCTATTTGTAAGATATATGTACGGCGATCCATGTAACTACCTGCGGCTCGGGAGCATCAATGGTAGTCAGGATGGAGTCTGGTTTTGTAGTTCCTGGTCTCGCTACCGTCGTGCACTGATACAGAAATGTGGGGGGGAGGATGCTGATGACACCAACCGGAGGTTTTTGTTTAATCAGTATTTGCTTGCGACCTAAGTAGATCTTAAAACCGCCTAGTTGGTTTGACGCGGTACCGACTGTGACTGTTCCTGTTCGGTACCGGAAGGCCTAGTTACACTCATACCTATCGGAATAGCCAACGGTGCAGTTCCCTTCCGGTTCAGTGGGCGGTACATAGATCTATTAGGTATCCACAATGCTCCTATCGTGAGTAGTCACGAAGGAATCTACCACGTCCTAGGTACATATCATACGGATGATAATGCCGGTGGAAAATTGGTCTGCTTCATGTAGATATTACTTGTTCGAGAGTTTCTAACCTGGGTATCCCACCTGAAGCGAAAATATCTCGTCAAAAAGGCTTCAAATGTGCAAATACCTACCCCGTGTTTACATGTGTCCATGCTTCGTAAAGTGTTGAAATGTATGTACATTGCAGAGGCTGGATGAGATCAATTGGTGTCGTCGGTACCGCTTGGTCTTGGTACTGACCGTATGTGCCAGACAAAACTGATTGGCACCCCGTAGGTGCTTTCTTTGGTACCAGGTAGGTATTTATATACCACACCGACCACTGTGGTAACCAGCTGCCCTTGTAACCCCAAAGCTTCCATCCGCTCCTGCGTGCGGCCAGAGCACCAGGCATACGGTATCTATGGACGGAAACTATCCCGCCTCACACCCACTCCCAGTGCAGCAGCGGCGCGGAGGAGGAGGAGGAGGAGGGCGAGACCTGGGCAGTGGGTTCCACATTAATTGGGGAACGAAGATATACCGGTATCATACAATCGTAAGTGCTCGGAGGGTATAGCCGGAAGACAAAGTGCGGTGCATGCATACCATATGTAGGCCAGTGGGCCTGGGGAACACAGTACGCACGCCTCGTTGGGAACCTCAAACCTTGGGGCCGGTGTTGGGAACTTGGGATTGAAGCGAGGGGGGGGATTCCGGGTGTGCGTCTAGGTCTGGGGGACTGGGAGTCTGGGACTGGGACTGGGACGAAAGGGCCACCGCCGGCAGCCATGTGCCGTCCGACTGAGTGCTACTGGGCCGCCAGTACTCTCATTGAGTATACCGTAGAACAGCAACGCACCCACCAGGCTCCAGCCAGCAAGATCGATCGCGCCGCCACGCCACGCCAGTCCCCAGCTGCTGGACACACGGACACACTGGTTTGCGTATATACAGCTACGTGCAGTTACAGCCAAGAAAGGCACTGCACAAGGGAGCGCCACTGCCCTTCACCCTTCACCCTTCACCCTTCACCCCCCACGAGCCCGACCTCGAGCCCGATCTCAACACCGCAATCTAGTCCATGGCGATCGGGACTCGGGAAATTGAAATATCCCTACTCCTCCTCCTCCTCCTCCCCCTGCTCCTCCTACAAGGGATGTGCGTGCGTAGGCGGGGAGGGGAGGGGGGAAGATGTACCGCGATCTGCATGGGTGCATAACTACCAAGGTAAGCACCTGGTAAGATGGATGTAGGTTATCGAGCATGAGCATGTTGGTGGCTTGCATCTCTTCCTCAGATGTGTTGTACATCCTTACCTAATGTAACTAATGTACCTAATGTACCTACATACCGCACGACCACCCCGACACCCCCCGGGAGATCTAGACCCAGCTGCGGGAGGGGTTTGAGATGCGAGATGGGTGAGATGGGTTTGGGTGGGTGAGATGGATGGGATAGGTGTGATGTGTGTGATGTGCAAGATGCGTGGAATGTGTAGGATGTGTGTGATGTGTGTGATGTGTGTGATGTGCAAGATGCGTGGAATGTGTAGGATGTGTGTGATGTGTGCGGAGATCGGAGAATATCTCCAGGGGGGGCGTGCACTCTGTGGGAGGGTGGAGGTGTGGAAGTGCCGTGTAGAAGTGCATCCGATCCGCACCTTGGCAATCCCGCATTCGAGGCTTCTACATATGTACGGCACAATACGGTAGTAGATATCATACCATACCGTAGGTCCAGAGTCAACCCGTATGTTACCACCTACTCTGGCTGATGGACGACGGGTGCCAAATCCGACCTTCGCATCCGACTTCGCATCCAGTACGCAGAGTACGTAGCGTACCTGGTACAGTACGGTAGGTACCTGATGCTTGCTCCTTACGAACGGTTACATGCAGAGCTACGATAGGCAGTACATACCCCCCTCTCCCCCCCCCCCCCTCCCCAGGCCTCCAGAAGCCATGTACGTCAGTGGCGGCCAGCACGGGCTGGGGCTGGGGCTGGGGCTGGGGCTGGGGCTGGAGCTGGAGCTGGGGCTGGGGCTGGGGCTGGGGCTGGGGTCGACCGGGGATGGGGCAGGTTACACGGCGGCGTGGGGTGGTTCGGGTGGCTCGGGGGCCACAGAATCACAGAGGACTCCGGAGGCGTGAGCCGGATGCTCCGATATCGTACTGGTATGTACCCCCCAGCCCCAGCCGTGCCTCCCGTCCCAAGCCCACCACCGCGACCACCGCGGCCACCACGGCCACCACACAGCCACCACGGCCAGCGGTTTCGCTTTCGCTTTTGGCAACGGGGATGTGTGTTTCCTCCCAGACCGGTCTACGGTACCTCAACGAAACACTTTGGCACCCGGCCGCAGAGCTCTGCGTGCCTGGATACCTATGCGTACATGTACTGCGTGTGTATGTACTGCTTTTGGCTGCTGTGGCTGCTGCATTACACCGTGATACCCGCACTCGCACTCCTTGCACTCCTCCTCGCTCACTCGTGCTGACCGCACACATCTCACATCCCACATCTGCATTCCCCTCGCAGGAATGCTCAGGACTGCATGAGTCCACATCCGCCCCTGCCCTCCACCCATCCTACAGCTGTTCCCCCTACAGCGTCTCCCCTACAGCTACTCCCCTCCTCTCCCACCGCCCGCATGCATCATAAAGGAGCTCATGTACTCTAGAGCAGGCGGGCGTGTTCACAAAGGCTCACTCGCCTTTCGCTGCCGAGTTCCAAGTTCCGAGTTCCAAGTCCCAAGTCCCGAGTCCCGACTGCAATGTTGTAAAGGTACGGCTTGGAAGTTGATTTATCTGCTGCGATGAAAGCTGAGAGTCTATTCAACCTTCCGTGTAGTTAACGTTCCAAGAGCCCAGCCAATAAACACCAACCAGACAAGGCCCGTCCACACTCCACATGACTGAGAAAACCACGTGATGTTCCAAGTAAGTTCCAAGTTCCAAGTTCCAAGCAAGTTCCAACATGCAAAGCTCAACAAGCAAACTTCCAAGCCCATCATGCTTCGTAAACCCATCTGGTCCATCACCATAGTCCAAGTATCACACGCAATCACACGCACTCAAACGCACTCAACAAGACCTCACGTACGGTAGTAGACGACTACATTCTACTCTACTCTACTCCCCACTCCCCCAGCCTCCCCCCACTCCCCCCGCCTTCTCCCCCTCCACCTCCTCCCCCTCTCACCTCAACTCACCCAAGAAAATCCCAACAATGCTCGCAGCAATGCCAAAAAAAAAATAAAGACCCATTAATGAACCCCCCACCACCATGATACCTAGAATCTATCTCCCCACCTCCATCCGCATCTCCAACCCCATCCCCACCCCCATCTCCATCCCCATTCCCCAAGCCAAAAGTCCTCCTCCCCCTCTTCCATCCATCCAACGACAGAAAAAAGAATAAATGAAAAACGAAAAAACAAACGCAAAGAAAAGAAGAAGAAATGATAGTGAAAACACCTTAGGCAAAAGGAAAGAGGAAAAAAACCACCGACCCCCGTCACCAACCGTCACCGTCACCGTCCGTCCCTACCGTACTGTACCCTGCTAAAGAAAATTCCAATGCCAATGCCAGAAAAGAAACAGACCAGACCAGACCAGACCAGACCAGACCAGACAGACAGAAAGAGGGGGGGGTATTATTATAAGACGAGTAGAAAAAGCCCAGCCGGATAGATAGATTATGGAAACAGATGAATGACACGCTAAAAAAAAGAACCCAAGAGAGACCGTAAGAGAAGAAAGCGATGAGACCCATACAAAAGGAAAAACTCCGAGGAAGCCTAAAGAACGAGGACATCCCATGATTGACAGCCGCCATTCTTCCTCCCGGCAAAAACACATCTACAGCCGCCAAGGAGAAACCACCAACCCCGCCTTGCGCTCACTGTAAACAAAACAAAAAAAAAGTAAAATTGTAGCCGATTAAAATGAAATGGTAGAATATAACCATCGCGACGAGTTCCCGGAAAAAGGGGGGGAAGCGAAACGGGTGAAGCTGTCGATTGCCGTCGACTGCAGTAGGAACAAACGACCGGATCCGTAGGAGACCATCTCGAGCTCATCGGAACGAGACAACCCATTAAATCCGGATAAATAGCTGTCGAGAAAAGAAAAAGGGGGCTCGCTCCCGTATTTCATCATCGCACCACCGAGTGAAAAACCCGGAGCACTTCTTCTTATCTCCCACTCAGCCTTTCGCCCCTGATTCCTGTCATCACACCCCTGGTCGATTCTGTCGTGTCGATATCTCCTCCCTCATCCTAGCATCTCGCGAACTCCTATGCGCTCTCTCTTTGGCATCTCGATCCGCCTCGGCTCCTCCGGTGCGATGATGCTGGTCCTCATCCTATTTCCATATTGCGGCACAGAGTTCAGCTTCAGTGGTGGGAGTTGAAGATCCTCCTGCTGGTGCCCGGAGGTATGCGGTCCCGAGATAGACGAACTGGTGGACCCCGTCGGCGTGAGGGTTGCCGGTGATACTGGCGGCCGGTAGAAATTGGAGGACGCCGGAGACTGAGATGAATTCGAGTACTGTCCCAACGGCGGATACGGTGGTTCATGTTGCATGGTTCGCGGTCGCGACTCCACGGGAGATGTCGATGATATCCCAGCATGCGAATAAGGGGATTGGGGACCGAAAGGGCCGCCTTGCAGCTGGAGCACGTGGCTCGATGTCAGAAACGAAGGCGACTGGAGCGATGGTGTGGTGCTCGGTGTCGGAGTACGGAGCGAGCTCAGATTGGAGTAGGATGCACTGTGGTTGAGCTGAAGAGGAGGCGGCATCTCGTTGGCGAGGGAGAACGTCATCACAACGAAAGCAACCGAAACGAAGGCCACCTGAGCGCGGATCCGTATACGGATGAAGTTACCATCCGGGCGCCGCAGATGAAGGGCTTCCGAGTGAGTACTCGTTCCATACGTTGCAGCTGCAATTTGAACTTCACTGACGGCCTGTATTGTCGCATACAACTGATGCCCGGCGAGCCACTCCTGGGGCTTCCTCCTCTCCCGGATCTCTTCGTTGATTCTGGTCGCCAGGTGATCCACTTTGGCCCGGTCGGAATCCAGGACGATATCGAACAGGCTCTTTTGGCAGTCGAGCTCCGCTGCCGAGTACCCGAGCAGCTCCCTCATATCGTCGGTCGACTTTGCGACGACCAGCTCCGTTGTCAGGTAAGCTGTAGCATCAGATATCGGAGGAAGGTTGAATTTGGATGACCGTCGCTGGTCAGAATAATTGGATGCACGACCGAGTATGTCCTCCTGCAAGGACTGACGGCGGCCTGGCTGGGATTTCAGGATTCTATTCATTCCGTTACGAGTCGGAATCGATATCGACGGCGACGACGGCGACGAGTAGATACCAGGACGCTGCATCTGAGCCTCGAAGCTATGCGCTCTGTTATCATCCCGTAACCTTGGTCGACCCCTCTTCTTATGTTGAACATCAATGCAGGTTTCCTGAGTCCGACTGTTAGCAATGGTTTTCTTTCCGAGGATACGCTCAACTTCGCCGAAACGTACCTGCTTGCCTAATCCTACGCATCGGGGACAAGGTCGACGGGCTAGCAAAAGGCCAATGTTAGCTTCCGTATCCCCAGCAACTCTTCCCCTCAATTTGATCACATACGATCACTCGAGAATCTCTCCCCCTCAAAAAAAAATCACTCCGTAATGATGGACTACAGCTTAATGGAGAGAAAGAAAAGAAAGAGAAAGAAAAGAAAGAGAAAGAAAGAAAGAAATATGGGGATAGATTTTCAAAGGCAATCAATTAACTGCAGTTGAAGACCAACAGGGGGGAAAATTCCGTCGGTGGATCGAGGCAAGGTTAGTCCCTAAGACCTCCCTGATTTGTTGGTATCCCTCAACGTCCAGTTGTCAACCAGTTCGGTCGCAGCGGCGCCAACTTAGCACACCCAGCTAGACGGATTTCTTGCAGAAATAGTGACCGGCGGTTGGCCTAGCTAGCTAGCAGCCAATGAATAGGCCGCTCCAGCTTTGCCGGGATTTCCGGCGGCGGCGGTGTCCATCGGGATATTGGAATGAGACATAAAAAAGGAGTCAACATACTGTCACAAGCCAGATGGGCCTTCTTGCAATTGACGCAAGCTGAAGCCACATGGGACTTTGGCCTTCTAGGAGGTGGCGGAGCTGAGAAGCTCGTCTGCGGTACGAATGGCGACCTTCCGGACGGCGACGGTACCGAGGGCGAGAATTGCTCACCGGTTATCGACGGGAACGGTGCGGGAAAGCTCTCTGGCTCCCTTGGCGACGAAGCTCCGACGCTGAACGGTGTCGACTGTGGCTGCTGCTGTTGGTGATGGTGATGGTGGTGGTGCTGTTGCGGCTGCTGCTGCTGTTGGTGGTGGTGATGGTGGTGGTTGCGACTGTGGTCCTGCTGCGGTTGGTGGTATTGCTGCTGCTGTTGTTGCTGTTCCTGCGGATATCGATAGGAGCCGTAATTAGGTTGAGGCTGGGCAGCGGTTGAAGGGTAGTATGTCGGATTATTGTTGGCATTATTGCTGCTGTCGTTGCTGTCGCTGTTGTTGTTATTGCTGTTGTTGTCGTTGTGGTGGTGATGTTGGTGGTGGTGTTGGTGCTGGTGGTGATGTTGATGCAGCCGCTGGTCGTCGGAAGGCTGTGGGTTTAATGGCGGCGGGGAGTGCGACATTGGAGGCGACGGGTATGGCACCTTGTGTACAGGTCTTCGTTCCAGGTCGAGGGAGAACCGGGCCAGGTCGTGAGATATCGATCTTCGCGCACCAAAGGAAGACGGAGCCTGGAGACCTCGTGGTAGGGACGAAGACGGTTGCATGGAGACGTGCATTTATGGCACAGCAGGTGCGATGGGAGGTTGGGGGGATCAGGAGCAGGAGCGGCAGCAGTAGAAGTAGCAGGAGCAAGAGGAGGAGCAGTGGGAGGAGGAGGAGCAAGAGCAGGAGCAAGAGTAGCTGGGGGGTGAAAGTGTGCGGGGGGGAAGCGCCGGGAGGTAATGGAGCTGATACTGCTATGCTGCTGTAGTGGATGCTTAAGCAGGTCCGGGGGCGATTGAGCAATCCTCCTCCCTCAACCTGGATTAGGCGCGGAAGCAAGACCAGTACGGATAACACGACACACAAGCGCACACACACAGACACACACACGCTCGCTCTCTCACACACACGCTCACACGCACACACGGAGACGGAGCCAATTAGAGCGGAATATCTGTCAATTGGGGAAGCAGATGCAGTCGCGGCGGATTTAGAGTAGCGAGCAGATGGGCCGGTGCATGGACGGGGGGGCTCTGGGCGGAGTAGCGGGTGAGTGAGTGAGTGAGAGTCAGGCAGTGAGGGTTTGTAGTGGTAGTGGTAGGAGTTTTGGCTGGGGGAGGCTTTTTTTTTTGGCGAAGGGGGAGGGTTATGAGGCGGGCGAGCGGTGACGATGATGGCTGGCAAGTTTTGGACGTGAATGGGGGTTGGTGGAGGTAGGCTTATGGTTAAGAGGAGCACAGCCTGAGCTTCCGGGTAGTTTTTTTTTTTTTTTTTTTTTGGAAGGGGGGAGGGTGTGTGTGTGAAAGTGTGTGGGTGGGTGAGTCGTTGCTGTGCCGTGGAAGTTGTCGGTACCGAAGTTTGCAGCAAGGAAAGCCGGACGGGATGATGGGATGGATACGGATGAACGCGAAGGGGGGAGATGGTGGAAGGGACGACATGTGAGCACAATATAACGACCTTTTTTTTCTCTTTCTTTCTTTCTTTTCTCTATTTCTGTTTGACGACTAAGGCAGGGCTTGAACTGACTGGGGGGTAGAGAGAGACAGAGAGCCGAGAGGACAAGAGAGAGAATGGAGAAGGGAGAGTCGCTGCCAGGAAGAGACGACACCCTAACTCCTCTAAGGAGACAGACACAGACACAGACAAAGTCCTGACAGGCAGGCTGGCAGGAAAGAAAGAAAGAAAAAAAAGGAATGAGGCGCTGCGGCGGTGCGGCGCGCGAGGAATAACAGCTGTAAGGTATCCCTCCCCTCCCCCCCTAAAAAAAAAGAAATAAAACCATGAGGGAAAAGGAAACACAGGATCACAAAAACCCTGCGGAGAACCGAAAAGAAGGAAAAAGGAAAGAGGAAGAAAAAAAACACAAGTGCACAAGTACCTGGAGGTCGAGTGAATAATAGTTAGGGAGCTTAGCCCAACCCTGCAGATTGGCGGTGGCATCAGGAAATCGTTAGTGCGAGGTGGCCATTGCTTTTTCCTCGTCCGCGGCGGGAAAGGCACAGGGAATTGGTTTCTGTGGAGCGGCGGCGGGAAGAAGGGGAAGGGGAAGGGGAAGGGGAAGGGGAAGGGGAAGGGAAAGGGAAAGAGAGGGCGAGCCGGCTAGCTACTAGCAAGTAGTAGAGTTGGGTACTAAAAGTGTCCGTCTGGTTCGCGTTAGGAGGATTGGGCCCTTGACCACCATCACCACCCCCCGAAAGAAGGAGACGACGGTGGAGGGAAATTGCCTACCGAGGACTGGGCGCACTGACGTCCACTCGATTGATTGACCGAGTACTGATTGACCGCGCCATCATCTGCACAGAATGGTCTTGACGGCTTGGGACGCTACCTGCGCCAAGCTGCGCGACAGCTCGCTCGCTCGTTCTCCAGAGGTATTTCCCGAAGTCGAAACCCTGGCCGGGGAGATGGGGAAGGGGAGGAGGGGGGAGGAGGATGATGAGGAGGAGGGGGAGGGAAGGAGGGGAGGAGGGAAGGAGGGAGGGAGGGATGGAGAAAAGGGCCGGGAGGCATGAGCTCGCAGGGAGGCAGGCAGGGAGGATGGATGTGTCCCTCACGACGACGACCAGCGGCCATGCGTCCGGGAATGCTAGGTCCATCGCCTAGGCCCATCGCACGCAGCGTATGTGCACTACCGTCCTCGCTCAGGAGTGCTGGTATGCTAGCAGTTATGCTAGTAGTAACCATGTACCTCTGTCTGCACGCGGAGAAGAGAGAGAGCTGGCTGCGCTGGTAGCTATGCAAGTAGCCATCTACAGCTCGCCGCGCTTCGACGGACAGCTCGAGGGGGAACAATGCTCAGAGGAGCGCTACGTACGGCGCCACCCTCGGCATTGCGGGATCCTCCTCGCACGCTCACTCCCACAGATCTGTACCGTACCGGTATATATCTCTGCGATGCATGCGAGGAACAGAACATGTATGTAGAAAGTAGATATCACAACACCCGCACGGCCGTGGCCTCCTACTGGCCAGCATCGCAGCACAGCATTCGTTTCTTTCGTTGGGCCCCCTCACCCCCGTAGTTACGTTCCACTCCTTTAGGCCCCAACTTAGAGCAGAGTAACTGCTAGTTATACTAGTGCTGGTAGCAGCGCATCCCCATATGTAGAAGCTCTAGCTCCAGCGTATATGTAGCAAGCACCACCCAGGTCCCTAGATAGAGTACTTGCCTAGTTAGAAGGTACATGGGAAAGTAACATAGGTGGGCCAGTACTTACTTGGGCATGTATCTTACCTTGCGCCGCCGCCGAGCTACATATTTATGTACCTGAGTCTGTGTTGATGCTCATGCAAATTCCGGCTTGAAAAACCAACCGTTGGATCTAAGGTCTGGGCGTCGCATCGTCTATCTCGTTCGCTTAGCACCACCCGCTCCTCCCCGCCGTCCACATATCGGTAGAGTACATAGGCGCGTGGTCGCACATCCGTTGGCACGCCATGAGCAGGCAGGTAAGAAGTCGGTAAGTAGGGACTCGAGGTGCCTGGATGATCGCGACGGAACGATTCCGCCAGTTGCTCTCCGCTATTCGTCCGCTGTACTGTGAGTACCAGTTAGTACCGGTACGTACAGTACCACACATCCGCGTCTTCTCCCTCTTGTTGAGATACCTACCCATCGATATACCAACCTGCTGCCCGCCTGCCCATGGTCTCCCTCGCTGGAGCTCGAAGCCGCACCGGCTGGCACTCGGCTGCCCAACTGCAACGGTTCGGGACCCGGCCACCGGCGCCGTTCGGTCGAATGTTGCCGTGCGTCGTGTGTACGGTAGGACGTTCTGTTCGAGCGCTGCGGCTCCAAGCTATAGTAAAGTACTATAACGATGCTCGCGATCAACGGCAGTTCATCCGTCCGTGTGTTCGCTCCGATCGACGACACATGTAAAATAGTAGATGGGTATATAGCTCCACTCTCGCCATGGCACGATGCGGGACTGAAATCCGTGAGTCGGACAGAAAGCGTGGCGACGATCGAAGTCCTATTGCTGCTCATTCTCCGTGGCTCGTGCTAGCGCCTGAAGATTGCTGCTCGTAGAGTCGTGTAGAAGAGCAGGCTGCAGCAGCGCAGCAGCGACGGAGCAGAGGCGAGGGCGAGAGGCTGTATGTAGTAGCGGGCCATTGCCGGGCCACTCATGGGTGAGCACTCGAACGTCCGAGCACTTCCGGGCCTGACCTTCCGAATCCAGGGCCGCATCTACCACTCTAGTAGGTACATCACAGCCGCAAATAATGAACAATCCGAAAGTGTCCCGCCGTGCTCCATTTCTGATCTCCTCAACCTCCGCCCCGCCCCCGATGCAAGGGAGGTGTCTCATCGAACCCTCCCCCCACACACCCCTCCCCCACCGAAAGCAGTCTGTTCTATTTTTTATTTCCCCTCAAGGTAGTTGCAGCGCGTCGAGTCAAGCTATCCGTACGTAACGACGGGCGGACATTTTGACCGCTCTCCGAGCCAAAAAGAACCCCAAAGGAGGCGAGTCCTGCGCGGGGCATCACGTCGATTTGATGGCGATGAACCCGGCGCCATCTAGCGTCGACTCGCTTCCTCACTACGGGGGTTACTCTACATGAGTGATCCATGGCACCACCACCTTTCCCACCAGCCAGCAGGGAAGAAGGGAAGAAGGGAAGAAGGGAAGTACATGTGTAGGGAACGGAAGGGAAGTAGGGAAGGGAGGGAGGGAGCGATATAATTCCTGGGCTAGCCAGGGTAGGGGGGAGGGGACCAACTCACCCATCACCAGTGACCACCCTACCCAAGTACCATCATACCAACCACGGCTCCAGAGATCATCGCTATTCGCCGGAAATGGAGCGATTCACCCCCATCAAATCAAACGGATTACCCACCTCGCCGGAGAAGCGTGGGGAAAGGATCAAAAGTAAGCGGCGGACGGAGGTGAGAGGTGGAGGGAGTGGGGCGGCGGGGCCTGCTAGCGGGTTTTTTTCTTTCTTTCCTTCTTTCTTTCTTTCCTTTCAGATGGTTGCTGCATGCTGCTTTAGCTTCCAGTTACGCTTTCTCTCCGCGACATCTTGAGCGAGCCTGAAGACGGTAGCCTATCAGATCGACGCCCGTGCACGCCCCGCTCCCTTCATCCCGTTCCCATTCCCACAAACCCATGGGCAGACGGTAACCCAACAGCAACAAGATGAATACGTCTCTCCACGGCAAGAGGAGGAGGATGATGAGAATGATGAGGATGACGAGGAGGAGGGGAGGAGGGAGGAGGGCGAGGAGGACGAGGAGCGAGGTAGAGTGGAATGGATCGGGTTGTCTGCTCTTGGTCGTGTGGAGTGGAGTCGTGGGTCACAAACATGACCACTCGACACCGAGACCGAGACCGAGACCGAGCCAGGACGGACCGGGGCTCCTGGGCTTGATCGAATCGATTCCACGAGCGGACCACAAGGCAGACAGTTTGGGGGGAGGCAAGCGGGCGTGTTCCCGTTACCCGTCCACGCTGTGTCCTCGTTATTTTATTTTTCACCCGACTTCCTTCCGTCTCAGCAACATGAAGTGAGTAACCCTCCGGGCGATCGCTGCACGGCCGGACAATTATGGAAAGCTTGTTGTTGCTGGGTGGTGTGTCACTGCCGCTTTCCTGCTCAACGCGGGTCCGCACATAACTAGAGTCCGATCGAAATCTGTCAATTGCAACGACGTCCGCCCCACACACTCTCCCGGTCTCCCAGTCTCCCACTCCCACACTCTCTCCCACACCCCTGCAACACAGCCGATTCAATTCTCCCCACCTCTCCCGGAAACAACTGATGATTGGTTGCTCGGTGAGGTTATTTCGGATCGGACGGCGGGCCGCGGAGGATACGTACGTATGTACGGTAATCTCATGGAATCCCCCAACACAGCTCCCCAGTTCCTAGCCCAACACTTCCTCTGCACGGCCCAAGGTATGATATATATCCCGGTGCGGCAACGTCCCCGCGCCCTGTATGCGTGGTGAACGTTCAAGGTACTCTAGAGACGTATCCCGAGGAAGCGGAAGCACTGCAGCAGCAGCAGCAGCAGCAGCAGCAGCAGAGGAGGTTGTGTTTTCAGCCAGCTAGCTAACGAATCCTGGCAAAGGTAAGCACATGCTATGTGTGCGGTATTTTCAGTCGGATTGTTGGGAGAGCAGAGGACGGAGAACGGAGGGAGAGGATGCTCTGGTTCCATGTGCTCGAAGCCCGAGTATGGTGCCGTGCGCCATTGGGTTTCCTATAGCGAGGAGTATGTAGGAGAAGGAGGCACGATGGGGAGGAGGAGGATGTTGACGACCATTACGTGCCTACCTGGCTGGTTGCCCGCCCGCCCGCCCGCCCGCCCGCCTCCCTGCCTGTGCCTGCGCCGCGCTGAGCACAGAGTGCTTTATTTAGGCAGTTCTGCCGGGCCGGCACCGCACTTGCCTGCTAACTATCCAACATACCTACTGCATGCCGGGAGTCGTCACGATGTTCGCCCCGGTCGGGCCTCTCTACTTTACATGCGCCCCAACATGCCAGCGCCGTTTATACTCTACTTATAACCTCCATTGACATTATCGCTTTGCATGCTTGTCTGTACTCCTCCTCCTACTGGTCCTAGCTGCGGTGCTACACCTCAAGGGATTTAGGGCACGGGTGTGGAGTAGGTGGTGTCGTCCCCCAGCAGGAGTAGTCACAGACTCACATCACATCGCATCACAGTCGGGTTTTTTGATTTGCTTCTCGCGCCGTGAAGATGGAAAAATTACCCATTTTACTCTAGGCGACCCGCCCGACGACCAGTAGTGAGGTGGTATCCATTCTATTTATCGACCCAGTGGAGGGGGAGGAGTCCTCGTATGTATATCTACGTTCGGCTAATGGGTTTTAGTTGAGACAGTCCAGAGACAATCCAGAGTCGGCCAGTCGGCCAGTCAGTCAGTCCGTCAGTCCGTCAGTCCCTCAGTCAGTCAGTACGATGCATCGTCTTTGGCCGGTGAATCGAGCCGCTCCTGCTTGACTAGAGTACATTTCTCTAGGCGCAATTCTGCGCTGCAGTGCAGTCCTTGTTGACAGCCGTTCAACCCGTTCAACCCGTTCAGATCTCAAGGGAAACCTGGCGGCCATAGAGTACCATCATAGTGGACTCTTTGCTCGCCTCCCCCCACCCCCCGCCCTCCCGCCCCCCTACCACACTAATTCCCCGGACAACCGTCCTACCGCAACCCTCCGTGCTGGATTTCCGTGTCATCACCCCATCCACACTTTGCCCGTCTTACATACTCGAGAACGCACGACTCGCATTGCCTGACCTGCTGCCCCCCACCACCGCCACCACCTGGTATGTCATGGGCGGCATCCAAGTGTGCGACTGGCCTGGATGGAATGTCAAAAACAGCAGGAGATCTCAGATCGACTTTCTCTCTCCCTCTCTATCTCTCCCTCCCTGCTGCACCAACTGGCGAACGAGGAGGTTGAGGAGGAGGTTTGGTGCGACCCAAACGCAGGCTGCCCGCACGCACGCAACTCGCACACTCAGCAGTCGGACTTCCCTAAGCGATCGCGTCCGTATTGCGGCAGGTATGAAACTCGTCGTCGGTTCCTCAGATATCACATGCCATGCGACTTCTCTGCCGTTATCTCAATGCCGCCAGCGGCCACTTCTCTGCTCGATTGCGCCTGCTGGGAGATAGGACGCTCCATGCTCACAGAAAAAATCCTCGAGTATGTACTTCCAGGCTGCAATGTCTCGTCTCTTTTTCCTCCCTCGGAACCATTCCACCCGATGGGTGAAGAAAAAGAAAGACCTAACAGAAAAGGAAAAGAAAAAAAACGTGCTCGGCCGTTTGCAGGAATAATGAACGAGGCTGAGACGTATCTGGTACGCACAAGAAATATTTGCACAGTAGGTAGTTTGGGCAACTGCTTCTTACAGCGGCCGGTAAGGGGGGGCCCTAGGCTAGGAGGGGACAGTGGAGGGGTGGATGCTTACTGTTGGCATCGCACGCCCCCCCGTGTGGGTGTGTGGCTGCGGCTACTGGCAGCTCCCGACTTCTACCAAACTTCGCTTGTCCCAGCCGAAGGGTTGGTTATCAGCTTCGGAGAGAGCTTTTCGATGGGTCCGATCCATCATTCTTCCCACCGTCGTATCACGGGACGCCGCCAACATCCATACCGGAGATTCCGGGTGGGCATTTAGGAGAGTCGACGGATCAATGGCATCACCAGGTTGACACTACCCCTCGCGCCCCCGCCCTCCCGCAGAGGGACTGACGAAACAAACATGCGAATCAAATCGCCCGGTTCTAGACCGGGCTCTGATTGGGGGAAAAAAAAGACTGGTCGCAAGGTGCGTTCAGCTCTCTCACTCTTCACACCCTCTCGCGAAATCATCCTTAACGTCCGGCTGGCCAGTGAGAAGACGCCGAGCCAGTACGTAACCACACGCGGCCACACACGCCAGTCCGTTGTCGATGAGCGATGGCCAATTGCGAGATGTGGGGTCGCTAGTGCCCAGCCGCCATGCCCCATGCGGAAGCGAATCAGCCGCAAATGGTACGCGCCTGGAGGAGTTCGCACTGATGGGAAGGGACACAGATGAATCCGAACACGCGCGCTTTCCTCTTCGAGCATCCGCAACCCGCGTCGATGCAATGCCCGTATGATCCGGCTCGAAGGGGGCGCATGCAGGCGTTGAGCTGATTCGGCACGAGCTTGAAACGCGATTCGGCCCCTAAGTCGATAGAGGACGGGGAAGGGGGGGGAGGGGGGTGAGAGCGGCGAACACAGGCAGCTTGCTTATTCCTCACCCACCAATGCTTTTCGTGGTACCAGTACCACTCAGATTGCCTAGCTCTCCTGTGGTTCCAATTATTATTGGAAACTAGATCACATCACAATTTCGTCGCTCGATCTGCCAGAATTCAGCACCCAAGCGTGCATGATGCACATTTCTATTGCCTTAAAGCTTTGAGGCTTGATACGCGGGTTTTTCCAGCTCCGATCCCAATATCGTGCAAACCAATGGCATCCTCACCCGCTTGCTCGCATGCATTGCAGCACATGCTGGTGGGAAAAGCCTATGTACACGGAACGGACGCCAGCTACCACCAAAAGAGCCCAGCCGACGGAATAAAAAAGCCCTCGTGTCACTTGGTAGCACGATGGGGGGGAGGGAAAAAGCCGCGATTCCGTACATCACAGCCGCGATGCGACCGGGTCCACTCGTCAGAGACGGCCGGCGAGCTCGAAGCCCGCCCGCCGACAGCTGCAGAGAAAGAAAAAAAAACACACACGACACGAACGAGCGAACGAAAGCGCCTCCACCGTGTTCTTTCCACTTTCCACCAACCGAATCGAAGCCAATGCAGGATATGTGCTAGGAAGTGGGGACAATTCTGCCCGGGTCACGAAGAAGAAGAAGCCGAGGAAGCACACATGCGTGCCTAAGTACGAGGTATATATACCTATACATATATACCTATAGGTAAGTATACGTACCTACATACGAGTTGACGACTTGACGTAGTAGGTTCACGACGGACAAGTATATGGATTGGATTGGATTCGCAACGAAATGGACTTGCGATAGCGATTGAGATGACGACTTTGGGGGTACGAGTGGAATCATGGCTGATTGCCTGCCTGCGTGTTAGCATTTGCTTCCTGTGGGATGCCACCGACGCGACCGCCAACGCCGCCGCACTTTGCCCGTATGGATATGCGGGCCTCACGGCGTCCTCCCGTCACCCATACGACTATATACACCACTGTATGTACATCCAGCAATCGCGAAGGGCGAGCAAACCGCCCCCCGCCCCCTCGCCGCCGCCCCCAGTTCCTCTTGACCACCCAATCGCAGGTGTCTACGCTCCGATCATGGGACGTACCGAGTATGCACGCATCACGGCTAAGGAAACCACCGGAATGCGCCAAAGAGGGGGGCCATTCGAACGCTTCGACAAAAAACCCCAAGCGAGCGTCTGTCCCCTGCGACTGCATTGTTTCATGGTGGAAGGGAATTCTCCTGTCCCCGTGCCGCGGAACATAAGGCGGCCCATTTTGATCGCTGGTAGGATACCACGCCGGGATCACGACGAACCAGACCCAGCAGGCACAGCTGTAAGGATTCGCTGGATGTATGTATGACTGTGGTCTAGAGGAAAGGCTCTACCCGCATTAAGTTTCCCTGGTATGCCTTTTTTCCCCTGCAACTACCGAGTTTACGCCCCATCGAGTCGGTGTATGACCACCCACACGCAGCGGACGTCTTGGGGGGAGGGGATTTGCTTGCAGCGACTGATATGCCCATCTTTTCCGCCTCTAGAGTCCAGAGGGCCCAAAATTTCCTCAAGTGACCGGGGAGTAATACCTCGAGGACACCTTTTGCACAATCTCTCCTGGCCGACTCGCGCAGCATGACAACTGCAAGTCGACGAAGCAATCGCGTAATTGCGGTGCGCGCCATCCCGGGGACTGACTGACTGACGTACTCCCATTTCGTCCAAAGCAGAGAATATCTCCTACCCAGATCAATTCGGTCGTCCCTGCCTGCACCCTACAGAGAGAAGGGAACCGATCGGTATGCTATACCTCCCTGGATCTTGTCCGCATGCCAGCGGAAAATTGTATCGCTATCAATCCAGCCCACCACCACGAACATCTCGTCTGATCGTCGAGATACCTAACGTAATGTCCATCTTCGCTGCACACCACAGTGCTGATCCATCTACCCAGTCGAAAACTTCCGTCACGTGGCATTGGGATCAAGGTTTTGGGGAGGGAGAGTGGGTGCGAGGCGCGCGGGAAGTCCGAGCTAAGCAGGACAATGGTGTTTCCCACCCCCTCCTTTCCGGATCTTTCATGTGGAGGAATGAGCGGTCAGCCAGCCAGCCGGCCAGCCAGCCATCCAGCCATCCATCCACCCAGCCAGCCATCCATCCAGCCAGCAAGGGTCAAGGCTTGATAGTGGTGGTGCAGCATGCTCCCGGCCGCACCTCCCTTGCATGCCAACTCGTCCACCACATACGCCTCACCACCACCTGCCCCGACACCTTCTGGCGATTCTACATTCTACGATCAACCGCATAGTGCAAGCTGCTAGCTGGCACTGCTTCCTGTTCGTTGTCAATCCGTTGTCATACCGACAGAAAACCCACCACAATCACAACCACCACCACCGCTGCCGTCGCCACCACCGTCCAGACCAAAGAATCCGATATCACATATATCTGCATGCAGGCAGGCATGTTTAGTGAGTTTGAAAGAACTGTTGGTATTCCCACTCCCCAGAGAAGGACGGGCCGCACCCTCGGGAAATTCGGAGGATTTCTCCACTCTGTCCAGTGAGGGCCGGGTCTACTGCACACCCAACACGTTCGTTCGCGGATGGCTGGAAATCGCGACGAGAACGACGACGACGACGACGACAGCGTACGTGCCAACCTGCAACAGTCGCCCCACTTTCCTTTCGCCACGGATAGCCCGCATGGGCCATCCATCTGTGCTCTCATCCAGCTCCCCCCCCCCCTCCCCCCCCCTCATCCTCACCCTCACCCTCACCCCCGGGCCGGCCCATGCTAGGCTAGACTGTCCCAGATCACTGAGACATCAGGACGAATCCGAGGCTTGGGGGCAGGCTCGCGGTAAACGTCAAAGTTGTCCTGTTGTCCCACCATACCCATAGACCCGTTCTCGTTACGATCATTGATCCCTACCCCACTTTAGTTTACGTTGAAAAAAACTGCCTCGCAATGAAACGTTCCAAGATACATTAACCTAATCATTCGGCAGGACCTTCTCGGTTCCCTCCTCCTCCTCCTCGTCCTTCTCCTCCTCCTCCTCCTCCGCTTCTTCCTCCTCCACGTCCTCCTCTTCCTGCCGCCATTCCCTTCCCTTCCCTTCCCAAACGCCGTGGTTGGCGTATGTTGCATGCAGGCCGCCCCAAGCTACTATCCAGTGTACAGGACCCCCTTCCCCCCTCACGCCAAACTCTCCGTGCGTCAGGTCTGGTGAAGGGGGTGTGTGGGACGGACGGGCCGACTGGCTGCATGCGACTACACTACATACACTACACTACTCTGGATGTCCTCCACGGTTCACGGGCGGACGAGTCCCTGAATTCTGCAATTGATCCCTTGGGACGGTGGACATTGTGTCAGACTGGCCTACGTTCCCTACATACATGATGGGGGGTTCTCCCGAAATGAACTGGGACAGAATGCAGCTGCAGCTCGTTCCATTGATTCCACTGTATGTAGTGATTCACCCTGTTGGCCTACATACATATTCTAGTTACGTTACCTACCCTGGAGTAGCACAGAGCGGAGCGGAGGAGGGGCGAGGTTTTTCGTCTCGGTATTTTCCTTTTTGAGTGCGAGCAAGAGAGGGCGAGAGGGCTAGTAGTAAATGGACTAGAGGGATAGAGAGAGACAGACAGGCAGACAGACAGACAAGAGAAAGTGAGAGTGAGAGTGAGAGTGAGAGGGAGAGACAGACAGACAGAGAGAGAGACCCCGACCCTGAGGATTTGCTTTTTCGGCGGTTATGTACAGAAATGTGATACGGCCTCCCCCTCCACAACTCGGCCCCGGCGTGCGTGCAGATTTCAAGGCTCATCTGCACCCCCTCCCCCCTCCTCCTCCTTCCTCTCCCCCTCCCCCTTCTTCCCCCGAGTTTCGCCATCGCAACGTCGACGCCTACACAGTTATCGATAAACATCTCACCTGACGTCCATGGGACCGAGTTAACTAAGCAGTTAGCAGCGCACGTGATTGGACGATTGGACGTGGAGTGGAGTCAGCGGAAGTCCAGTGGAGCGGAATGCAGCGGCGTAGGGTAGAGTAGAGTAGAGTAGAGTAGGGATCTACTTCGCAGCAGCAGCAGCAGGTGTGTCTGGAAAGATGCGATATCGCTTTTTTTTAGTCGGCATGCGCACCGTTTAGTTGGATGTAAGTAAGGACGTACCGCTCAGCTCAGCTCAGCTGAGCTGGGTTGATACCCGCCGCCCGCCGCCGGTGGCCGGTCGGACAGGAGTAAACGCTTCGGGAACTACTTCCCGCGAGTGATGGTGAGGAAGGAGAGGTCTGTTGAGCCTCGGAAGTTGAAGGAGAGGTCTGTTGAGCCTCGGAAGTTGGAGGCTTGGAAGTTGGAGGTGGTTTGTTAGTCGATTACCGAGACCCTTTCTATCATTACAGTATCTACACCCCTAAAGTCTTCTCCGTCAGTCCTCAGTCGAGATTCGAAAAGAGATCACATTTCCCGCCTTAACTAAACCCTCCAAAGGGAGATATGGGAGGGGGCAGGAAAAAAAAAGGAAAAACTAAACCAAAAAAAAAAAAAAAAAAGGCCGCAAATATATACAAATAGAGAAAAAACATAGAGGGGGAAAATAGGAAGATACGGTTTTCATCGATTACAGCACTCTGCTCTACTCTAACTATTCTGGAGTCTATGCTCTATTTGAGGTTACTCACGCAGTTGATTAACCGACTGAACAGTCAGGTTCAACTACTACGGTAGGAAGTAGAGTAGCCGCTTCAGAGTCCATCCCAGCCAAAAAAAGGCAGAGTCTACGCAGTTTTGCAGCTCCCTCTCCTCTCCCTTTCCCATTCACGCACATGCGCCTCATGCGTATGTACCAGTACATACCGCATACCTATTGTACCAAATTTTGTAGCCGGCTGGGGGGTTGTTATGGCTGATCAGCGGATCAGCGATTCAGCGGGCTGACCACTGGCCGCTGGTGGAATGAGGCTATTTTGACGCAGCCGCGGGGACTAGGGACTAGGGGAGGACGGAGGGGGGGGATGGCCGAGCGGCGAGAAGGCCTGACGGGTCACGGGCCTGGCCGCCTGGTGTCCACGGGTTCAGATCACGATGTACCTACCTATCCAGGTACTTGAGTATGTAAATATTTACAGCCGGCGTTCAACACTGAACTTCAGGCCCGCGGAAAGAGGGGTTTCATCCAAGAAATCCTGCCGCCAGCCACAAGAGCTGCAAGAGCTGCAACAGTTGCAATTTGCAATAGCCAGCTGCAAGAGCCCGCTCTCAACACCGAACAGCCCCGCAGAAAGACTCAAGGGGATTTTCGGCCAAGATTTCTGGTCGCCAGCTGTACGACCTGCAACATCTGCAAGAGCCCGCTGCGCTCGGCTCTCGAGTTCCTGGCCTCAGGTGGCCGGGCCTTACGTACATATCACGAACCTATGTGCCTGCCTGCCTGCCTGCCTGCCTGCCTGCCTGCCTGCCTGCCTACCGGCCGCATGCATGTACCTATGTGTGAGGTATGTATGTATGAGGCCTATGTACGGTATGTGTGAGGTATGTATGACCTATGTATGACCTATGTATGCATGTCTAAGGTACCGAATATATGTATGTATGTGTGTATGTGTGTATGTACACACGAAAATGTGCCGAGCTGCACACCTATCATCCAGCATCCAGTAAAGCTCAAGCTACCGACCAAATACGTATACTAGGTTATGTAGGTAGTAGTGTAGTGAGTGTAGGCAGGTACTTGCAAGTACTTGCAAGTCACGTACGTACTATTTTATACCGAAGCATAGTCGGTAACGGGCTACTACATGCCAAATACTTCCTGGCTGGAGGTGCCGACACTACTCATACACGATTGGCACTGGAGGTGCCGAAGAGATCTACCTATCTATATGGATTATGGGATCGAGGGGGCGGGGGCGGCGTGGTGAGCGTGGTGTTTACATTAGCACCTCCCCAGCAGCTCAGCACATGCCAGCCGGTGTGCGTCAATGCGGACGAGGAGAGACTGGAAACATGGGGCTGGAACGGAATGCATACGGTAAGTAGGTATTGGGTACGGTATCATGGGGGGAACACTGGGGACCCGGGACCCGGCGGATGTCCATTGTCATGGAGTCGTTCCATTGCAGTTCCACCGCGGCCGCCTGAACGATCGGAGAGGCGCGGGCGGATAAATGGGTTCGCAGGCAGGCAGATAGGCAGGCAGGTACTCTAGGAAACTAGTCTGCTGCCTTCTCGGCGGCGGTGGTTTCTTTCACAGGGTCTGGCGTTCATGCGAACCGTAAACACTTATCTCCTCCTCATCCTGTATTTTTCCACAAGGCCAGCTGGCGTATGTACTGTACATACCCACGGGGATACGGGGATCCCGGGACGCCGGGATACATGGCGGGTATGTAGTCATGTATGCTGCGATACTCTATGTTCCCTCCCAGCTCCCAACCCAACCCAGCATGCAACTCCCGGCTGTTTTCCCCCCCCAGCGCTGCATGTACTCTATGATAGTACTCTGCAAAAGCTTCACTGCCCCGTTTCGGTGCTTTTGCCCAGCACCCACGTCAAACCCGGTCGCCATCCGTCGCCGTCCCCCGTCCCCGCTTCCGAGGAGTGGTATATAGTAGTATGATCGTTTTCGGGTTTATATGAAGCAGCCATCTCGAACTTAGCCCAGCTACTCTATTACTCTACATACTCTACCTAAATAAGTAAGTGCATTACTCCTTAGGCTGTGTTATTATTGTTATTATTAATATTTTTTTGCAGGGGCTGAGAGGGGTTTCTTCCTAGTGAGACGAAGGGAAGGCCTTACCTACTCGTCCAATGCACACCATCCGATGTGATCCTCCTGTCCGTCCGTCCTCCGTGTCCGTCTCCGTGTCTGTCTCTGTCCGTCTCCGTGTCCGTCTCCGGCCCGGCCCCGCTGTCTCGGGCTTTTGTGCCCGAACGATTCCTGCTCCCGGCTGGGCGAAACCCCGCCCAAGCCAACGGACGAGTGTACACAGAGTAGGTATGATGTGGCTGCATCGAGAAAGAAAGCAAAAAAAAAAACTCCACATCCACATCCCCGTCGCACCCCCAATCAGCCACTCACAAAAAAGCGACATTTGGTCCGGTCAGACCACACGGAGATTTTTCCCCGCCCCTCCGCCCCCCCTCCCCCTTCCCTCCCCCGTCCCCGTCTCAACCCTCCACCCTCCACCCCCCCCCCCCCCAAACCCGCCGTCGGAGAATTCAGCACGCAGGTGACAGCCGCCACTTTACGAGTCTGCGTCTGCGCCCGCGTCCGCGTCAGCGTCTGCGCTCACTTGACCGGTGCAGGAATCTACTCTAGAGTACCTCTGTTACATGTGTGTACGTATAATCCGTGGCCAGAGTTGCGCGTTGGCCGTTGGCCGTTGGCTTCCAGCCGAGGGGGAAGCTGGGGGCGGGGGGGCTGAAGACAACGACGACGGAGTGCTCCCCGGCCCCCGGCCTACGGGACAACAAACGAGTCGAGTAGTGCCCCCAGCCCTCCCTATATAGAGTATGTGCGAGATTTAGCCGCGCTCGCTGGCTGGCAAGGGGGGCTCGATGGGGGCGCTCGGGGAGAGTCGACGAAAGAGGCACGCGTTACGGTCGTTCCTCTCAGCCAACAGCCAATCCAACCGTCGAGATGACATCCTGATTCCTTCGTTCCCCCATTCACGCCCAACACGGGTCAAATATTTTTTATTCGGCCGCTCGGTCGGCATCGGGAGATCGACATCAGGGTCAAGGTTCTTGGATAGGATAGGCAACCTACCCCCAAAACTGCAGGGGACATGCCGTATCCGGTCAGGCGTAACTCAAGACGAAGTAGACCCAACAAAATCTAGATATGATAATCTCTAGGAAAATAAGAATTTGTAAAATCCGAAGTTTGCTCCCGCTCGGCGCTGGCTCGCTCGCACCGCTTTGTGTCTCGCCTCGCCTTGCCCGCCTCGCCTCGCCTCGTGGCTAGATACTGACCTACCTACCTACTCCAGAATTCGGACAGTATTCCGCGCTGGGTGCTCCCTTTCTCACATGGGGAAAATGTGCAATTCGATACTGGCAACACCGCGGCGGGTAGAGAACGCTTACGCCCAGATAGGTATTCCTCATCCCCCACTCCCCCCGAGTACCTAGAGTAGTACCTAGAGTGTACATAGAGTACATCCTTCGATAGTCAACTAACTATCATTTCTTTCCATGTAGGAATGGTGAGACACGCCCGCTTGTAGTTAACGGCTACATACTGGCCACTGAACACCCATGACCGACCACCGACGATGATTGGCGGACGGCCAACACTCTTCACTCACTCCTCACCACTCTCCCAGTCCCCCCCCCGGTCTGCGCCCTTAGCCCTACATGCGACGGAGACTTTCCGCACTTTCACCTTCGCAGGTTGTTGTTGGAAATTGGGGCTCTGGAGTCTGGAGTCTGGAGCTCTGGAGTCTGCACGGACTCACTCACCCACTGGCAGTGCGCACCATGGGCCACGGGCCAACTACTCTAGCTAGCGTGCATAAGATGTGCATAAGATGTGCCAGATGTTTGGGAAATCAGACCATTTTTTTTCCTTCTTTCAGCTGACGAAGGCCCATAGCCCATGGGATATGTAGGTAGGTCCGTAGGTATCGGTGTTTGAGTTTTTGTGATGGATGATGGGGATGGGATAACTCTGCTCTGCTCTGCACTGCACTGCAGCTCTATGAATCATTATACATACCACGATATGTATGTACGTACCACGGATCCGTGGTTTGCGGAACTTTGTCCCGGCGTGCGTTCCATTTCAATTGGTAAAAGACTAAGGTTTCGGCGATACGGTACGGTGGATATCTACTTGGGTATGTACTCTACTTGGGTGGTTGACGATGAACGGGCTCCCCAGCGGCCAGCGACCAGCGCCCATAACTACCTAGGCGTGCATATGTGAACCGCATACAGTACTACAGTACTAGACTACTAGAATACTAGTTACGGACGGATTTGTCCGTGGATGGATGGATGGACTAGAACGGCTCACGGCCTACGGACAAGGCCTACGGGCAGGGCGAGATGGATCATGGGCGGGATCATGGGCGCGCGGGATATGGTAGGTAGGTACTGACTGAATGGTGAACCTCATGCGGGCGAGAACTGCGGGTAAGGACTGCGGGATAGGACTACGGTATAGGTAGGCAGCTATTGGTGGCTATTGGTGGCTATTGGTCCGCGGGAGAGTGATGGACGGACGAGGAGACGGACGAGGAGACGGACGAGGAGACGGGGGGAGGGGGCGGTTCTGGCTCTGGTTCGGGTTTGGCGACCCCCAGAGTTCACTGGGGTGAGATGACCAACGGGCCATGGAGTTACAGTACGAGGAGTGTAATCGTGATCTTTGGTTGTAATTTGCTGTTGACATACATGCCTCTACTCGTCCATCCATCCATCCATCCATCCATCCATCCATCGAAAGAGTGAGTGAGTACTATGGAGATCATTGCGTGAATTTACCGGTGCTTCTAGCGTACGCACGTAAGTCGCCGAAAACCGGCAGCGTGAAATTTGACTCCACTGAGCAGTGGGGATAGGTACCTAGAGTATCGATCAGTCATCTGGATTCTGGAACACCATCTCCAGCAGGTGGTTACCGTAGTTGTGTTGTGTTTCTACCGACCTATCCACTACCACCACCGCTCCACTCGATTCTCAAATATCACTGATGGATCATGGGCCACTGCAAACCTCGCCCGACACTCGCCCAAGCATGTCAACTCCATCCATCCATACTAAACATACGCGGGGGACACGCGCAGTCTGTTTTTCGAACAGGCTCGAACTCTGCTCCAGAATCCAAACTCGATACTTACCTGAAGGCTGGCATGACATGTATGATGTAGGTATGTAGGTACTCCAACCCACCGTCCCACCGTTCTAGCGATACCGGTACCCGTATGTACGATACCCAAGTCCCAGCGATGCGATATCGGTACGTACGATACCCACCTGAAAGTTGAAACTTCCTCACACGCTCACGCATCACAACAGTGCATCACTCGTTTTTTTTCCCGGAAGGCCCGGCTACCGCTATGTACCTACTAGTACTAGGTAGATTGCTCGGAACCCACTCGGACACTCGGACACTCGGACACACAGACGGCAGAGTCCAGACGCAACTACCTTCGGTACTCCAGAATGCGAGTTACATACGAGTCTTGTCCGCTTGCTTGTGGAGCGGTCTATTCAGTCAGCTCCGCACCCGCACCCTCTTCTGCGCACGCTAGACATGCAGACACACATAATCGTGTCTTCAGCATCTCAGCTTCAGCATGCCCCGAGACCGACAGACGCACCGACATTCCGACCGACAGATAAACACCTACCGTATCCCGCTCGCCGGTCCCCGTTCGCTCACCGGAAATTAAAGCCAAGTTATCACTGATTACTGATCAACCCCACTGATCAACCCCCCAGGCCACAGACCACAGCCGCGCGGTTAACTTTACGTGCTCTTGGGGCCTTAGCTACATACATGGTGGGGGCCACTCCCCCCACTCCACTCGGCTGCCCGGATATAATCTACATACACCTGTTGCTTGCCTGCGCGGGGGCGGGAGGGAGGGAGGGAGCGGGGATCACTCGTTGGAGTACCGTGGACGCCTAGTTGCGTGTTGGCGGCGGCGGTGGTGGCCTCTGTGTCAGCCGGAGCTGGAGCTAGAGCTGTAGGTGGAGCTAGAGCCGGAGCTTGAGCTTGAGCTGGAGCTGGAGCTGGAACCCCATTACCACCGCCGAGGGGATGGAGGGAGGGACAGCAGCCGTTACATGCACGCATGGGCAGGCAGGGTACACATACACACACACATCCACACATACGATATTCTCCTTTTCTCCAGCCTGCCTCGCATCAACGGAGGAGGAGGGGGGGGGCTCGGGTGAGCCATACATTTCCGTCGATTGGCCTCGGATCCTTCGATCGTACCACCTCGTTACATGGAGTGCACACTCTACCTATGTACACTACTATACAGTTAGTACTCTACCCCGCCGCTCTCTCGCTTCGGGGGGGGGGGGATACCTATTACCTATTACCTGCGTGTCTATTCTGGGTCAATCAGACCGCGGCCCGCAAATATCTCGCGAACCGTACCCAGATCCAGAACGTTGGGCTGGGGGCTGGCCGCTGGGCCAAGATCTCGGTTACAAGTAGAGTGGGATTGTGGTTTCCAGAACGGGTACGTGTGAAATTGAAATCGTATGGTACTATGGCGGAAAATAAAAACCAAAATGCAGCGAGACACACGTTGAATGGGTAGATAAAGCGAATAAGAATAAGCGCAATCATGAAGAAAAAAAACCCTGCAGCAGAACCAACTTCGCCCGCCCGCCCGAATACTCTCTACCATTCGTCCGTGCATAATCACAACCCGAAACTACCAGGATTCGTTGGAATCAAAACCTTTCTCTCCGTGTCTAAAGCCTGCTTTCCAGCATCGACACGTTTTCATCTCCCACCGTCCATTCGGGCCAGACATACTTGAGTGCCTCCCAGATGTTTCTGTACATCGCCCGTCAGTCATACCATCGTCCCGAGCCAAAGACCAAAAGAACGATCACTCACCTAACGTAGAGGATCTCCATTCCATCCTTGACCTCCTGCGGCAACTCCTTGACATCCTTCCGGTTGGTGGCGGGTAAGAGGACCGTTTTGATGCCAGCCGAGAGTGCGCCAATGAGTTTCTCCTTAATACCGCCTGTTGATACAGCCTGCTGTTAGCCACTGCTTCCCGTAGTAGCACTATATAAGGTAATCGATAATGTAGGAAAATTAATTGCTCGGTGGGGGTCGTATTGGCTCCGCCCGCCACCGCCACTCGTGTGCATGGTCCATGGGTGGATGGGGAAGGAAGGGACGAAAGACAGAAATGGGGAATAACGAGTAAATTGGATTGAAAAGATAACTGGTGTAAAAATAGGTGAGCTTACCGACGGCAGTTACTTTACCACGAAGGGACATTTCACCAGTCATGGCAAGCGTCGGCGGAACCCGTCGCTCAGCGAAAAGGGAGATCAACCCAACCGTGAACGCCATTCCAGCGCTTGGGCCATCCTGATAGCGTCAAACACACGTCGTTAGCTTCGTTGCGGGTGCGGAGCTCAAGCTCGAGCGATAAGGTTGATACTCTAGAGAGGATGGGCGGACGAGCTGCAGAGCCGAAAGGAGAGTTTATCGATCACTTACTTTCGGGACTGCACCGGCGGGACAGTGCACATGTAGATTTTTGTTCTTCATGAGATCCTCATCCGGATGGTGTGTTAGACCGAGGACGTAGGCATGGGCTCGCACCCACGTCAAGGCGACTTCAACGCTTTCTGTAGCACCGACCCCGCTGTCAGCGACATGCACCCGTCCGGCAGCGCCGGGAACGAAGAGAATCCGCCGAAACCACCGCCAGATGGATTGCTGACGTACCCTTGATAACATCGCCAAGTTTCCCTGTCAGCTGCAACTTCCCCGTGCCCGGCATAAACGAGCTTTCGATGAATAGTATGGCGCCTGTGCCTCCGATGCTGTACGCTACAAGCCCGGTGACAACGCCTGGCTTATTACCACGCTCCGCGATCTCGTGATCATACCTTTCTATCCCGAGTATGTTCTCCAGGTCCGAAAGCTCGACTCTACGCTTGTATGACGCTAGGTCATTGAGGTCTTTTGCCTCCGAAAACTCGACAGCCTTCGCGCGACAAACGCTGCCGACCTCCCTCTCCAGATTCCGGACACCGGATTCCCGAGTGTAAGAGGTGATGATCTTGAGGAGCACCTCGTCAGGCAGTTCTACTAGATCAGGGCTCAAGCCGTTCGATTTCAGCTGCTTGGGGATCAAGTATTGTGATGCGATGTGTTTCTTCTCAACAGACGTGTAACCGCTCAGCTGAATCGTCTCCATACGATCCAGCAGCGGCGGCGGGATTGTGTCAAGTGAGTTCGCTGTAGCGATAAATAGCTACACATCGGGTTAGCCAGGCTGGTCGAATGATATTGAAACATCAGAAAAGGAAATATCAAACGAAACGTATAAGCGAAATGCTAACGGCAGTTTCTAATTTCCCGAAAGTATCTTGTCGCTAAGCATGTCGCAAGCAACCATGCAATCCTGCGTCCCCCACCAGTTTATCCGGCGGTATCACTGCTAGGATCTGGAGGAGAATGACTTCGAGTGACACTGCACCACCGCCTCGAGGACCAACGATGGTGCGTGGGGGAGTCGGGAGGGCATTTGCAAAAGACGTGCAACCGAGGTGCGGTTTGTCACAACTGGACTCGCACTTGGGGCTGTGGGTGGGTGGGGGAGGGGGGGGCGTCTTTGGCCAGTCACGGCCAGAGCGTAGAGGAGGGGCGGAAAAATAAATAAAAATTGCGGGGAGCAACAAGGAGTAGGGATGACGCATCGGAGATTTCAGATACGATAGGACAGGACATATATGGACTTACCACTTTAGACAGATCGATGGGGATATTGATGTAGTGATCGGTGAAACTCCAGTTCTGTTCCGGGTCGAGCACTTCAAGCATAGCTGCGCTTGGATCGCCATGGAAATTGGCCCCGCCAACTTTGTCGATTTCGTCTGCGGAATTAGAGACCCGTCAGTCACAAGCTCAGAACTTAAGTTTCCGGCTATCCGGGATGATATTTTGGATGCACCGAGAGGGAGAGGGAGAGGCTGGTATTGGATGCAGTGCGGGTGGTCTGACAGGCTCATCAATTGGAAAGGACCAATGGCCTTGCCACTTTAACGCTGCAGATCATTCCTCTGCAACAGCTGATCCATGTACCGACGAACCTGTGCATCTTCTCTCACGAGAGGCCGAAAAACAAACAAAACAAACGAAAAGAATGCACTCACCGAGAAGGATGACCGGATTAGACACTCCAACCTTCTTGAGCGCATTGACGATCACACCGGGCATTGCTGCCACATAGGTGCGCCGATGGCCTCTAATTTCCGCCTCATCACGCACACCTCCAAGCGAGATACGGTGAAACTTCCGACCTAATGCGGCAGCAACACTCTTCGCCAAACTTGTCTTTCCCGTACCCGGAGGCCCGACGAGCAGCAAGATGGGTGACTTATCGATGATCCGTTGCTTGGTTGGATTGGATGGAGGAAGCTCGAACGCTTTCCCTTGTTTCACATCACTAGCTTTCACCAGTTCCTTGCCGCCAGTCTCGGGCTCAGCCTTCGGTATGGCCAGCTCGCGCTCGAGTTCGAGTTGGTGCTTGAGCCGAAGAACTGCGAGGTATTCGAGAAGACGCTTCTTGATTTTCTCCAAGCCGTAGTGGTCGTCGTCGAGTTGCTTCCGGGCTCGCGCAAGCGTAGTATTGTCGAGATTGTCCTCCGTCATTTTCGTCCACGGTATCTGCAGCAAAATTAGTCCGGCTGCTATGGGGATCGGGTGATATTTCGTGATCGGCTCCACAGGGTATGATTCGCCTTACCTCGGCGAGTGTTTCAAGATACGTCCTACAAACACCGTACTCTGCCTGTACAGGACTCATCCTCTTCAAACGCAGCATCTCTCTTTTCGCTACCTTCTCCGCTTCAGGACTCAACCCTGCATCCTTCAACGTTTTCGCCAATTCTTCCATCTCGTTGTCTTCCTCCGCATCTTCTTCGTCACCACTTCCACCCACACCAGAAGCAATCCCACGTCTTCCCCTTGCTCTGGTGCCTGTATTGGTCCTCCGACCATCCACCACAATCAAGTGCGGCAACGGGATTTGGGTATTAGTGCTATTCCTCCTGTTATTCGCGGCTTTGATGAGATCGACCTGTCTCGTCAAAATAGCGACTGCCTTCTCGAGTCTTTTCGGCACGGTGACCGCCGACAAAAAGTCCAACCGTTCGGGAAACGATGTTTCAACAGCGGATATCATGAAATCCGCCAACGAGCCTGCATCATTCGCGTCCTTCTTGGCGATGAGCACCTCAAGCCGCCGCGCAACCATCGGTGGCAAACCGGCACCTCGAGAATTATTCGATCTCAGCAGCGAGATCAGCTCCCTCGACAGCGACTTGAGCTGCAAGAACAACTCCATGGTTCCCTCGTCGTTCGGCGCGATGGCGTCATCGACAAAGTGCTCAACATCGGCTTCGATCCACGGCGTTCTTTGCCGACACTGCTTCACAGCAAATCGACTAACACCCTCCACCACCACCGCCATGCCGCTCTCGGCCGTAGCAACATCTCCGACCGTAGACTCCGTCGAGCTCCCCTCTAACCCGACGATCCGCGCGACAGTACCATGCGTCCACAGCTCGTCGACGGTAACCGAGGACGGATCGATGTTTAGCACTGCTGCCTGAAACGATTTAGTGGAGTGGGTGCCCCGCGACGAAGAATCCTTCTCGTATTCATCGCCCTCTTCGTGGATCACGCGCGTCGCGTCTTCGGTCGGCGGCCGTAGGGGAATACACCCAATTGCTACGTTCGAGGCATCGAGCGTCGAAGAGTTGTTTGAGAGTTTGTTGAGGAGCGCGGTGATGTCGCGTCGGTCCGAGACGAAGATCCGGACTAGTTATGGTTTAGTTGCACGTTCTATTCCGAGCTTTGTGTGTGCGCGCGCACGGAGCCCTGCGTTGCAATGGGACGGAATGGAGGTAACGTACGGACTACACCGGGCAGAAGAACGGTGCCGTAAGGGAGTGCAATGAGTGGAAGTGTACTGGGCTTGATGATGTTGACCATTCTAGATGAGATGCGGAACTGAGTGATGAGGTAGTGAAGCTGTTTTGCGATGGACAATGCAGAGTAATAGTTGATGTTCGTGTGACAGATTGCTGTTATGGAGGTTTTGGGGTGCTGAGGTCGGGGAGCTATCATAAGCGTTGTCGGGACCTCGGTAGAGCACATAGAAGTGCACGCAGCGATCGACGGCCGCCACTTCCCCTGATTTGTCGCTGCTCTTTAACCTGTTTGGGAGACGTGGCAGTTCACGTGTTATTTCGAGAATCGCCTAGAAATCCGAGGAACAATTGAACGGTTTCAGCAGCTATATTTCATCATTCCTTCAGGAATTCTGCAGGTTCGTGATAGGAATAGTAGCAAATAGGCAGAAGCTGTGCTCGCAGGATTTCCAGAGTCGGAAGTGCACGATGTAAATACTAGGTATACCTAGTGAACCCAAGGCTTTAGAGTGCATGCCGGCAAGGCGCCGACCCCCGGCAGGGGCTTCTCGCGGGGTTCTATCGATGAGCCTTTATCGTTCCCCGTAGGATATCCGATCATTGGCGGTGATCACAGCAAAACTGCCCTGACTCACACTCCATCACCCGGACAGGCTGGATCCGCATCCCGACGTTACCCCGGTTGGTGTCATGAAGGCGGCACACCCTCAGCAGAGTCACCATCTATACGGACACACAAGCAGCCATTAGAAGGATGACCCACGACACCCCTGGCCCCGGCCAGAAGTACGCCATCCAGGCATGGAAGCACATCGCCACCAGGCCGCTGCCACCTCCGTCACTCGCATACCTAAGGCGAGGCATCACGGGAACCAAGTGGAAAAAAGCTAAAGCATGAGCCGACGCCAGAGTCACCAACAAGAAGTACCGGTTCAGCAGAAAATCTGGCCAGAGACCGGGCCCGACCCCAGCCATGGCCTCCAAGCACCTGGCCTCGAGGTTTTACCAGCTAAAGACAGGACACTTCCTCACAGGCCAGTAGGTACCTCCAGTATGAGCGACCAGACGCCCGCTGCGGATGGTGCCGCTACAACACCCAGATCCGGGAGCACCTCTTCGAATACTGCTCCGAATGGAAGAGCCAGCAGAAAGAGCGGTGCAGACAGGCCATCCTAGACTTCCTCCCCTTCACTGATGTGGGCGGGCGGATGCCAGAGGCTGCTGAGGAAGATGCAGTAAGTGGGGTATCCGAGTGGGAGCTCAGGGAGCGGGAAGAAAGGGAGGCGGAGCTGAACGAGAGGAGGGGGAGGGTGCTGAGGTTGAGGAGCCAGGGTCACTCCTGCTGTTCCTTCCCACAATCTCTTTCATGGCATCCCCCGATGAAGAGGCAGGAGGCGGGACGGAGTAGGAAGAGCCACACGGAGCTGCTCGATGAAGTCGGGTTGGACAGTGGCGTGGAACCGGAGTGTGTACATATATTGCCATGATCTACTTAGGTCTCAAGTAATTACTGATTAAACTGCAAAAAACGGTGGAGACTTTTCTATTCCGGGAATTTGCGTAGCCTAGGGGGGAATCGGAGCACTGGGAGATCGATCTTGTGGGACGCAGAAGAGAGACCGGAATGTCGAGCTCCAGATATCTGGATTCTGTGCTTTTTCCGACGGAGATGCGAAGGGGGAGCGAGGAGGCGGTACGTGCAGATCCACATAGGAGGTCTAGGAAGAGGGGGAGGAGGAAGGCTGATGCGAATTTTTCTTTTGCGATTTCTTTGGGCACTTTTGCACTGGTGGAGTTGGGTGGTGCTGGTATGTACTCCAATGAGCCTGAGACTGATGAATACCTCGGGATCCCGTACAGAAATGGGAAGCAATTGGGAAGCAACTGCCAGGGGACGAGAACTGAATGTACTACCTACTAGGTATACTGTGGTCAAATATAGAAATGATGAAAGAAAGAAAGAAAGAGAAACAGTACCGTTCCACATGAATCATGAAAACATCTAAAACGCAACGCAACGGCGACAAGTAGGTACAAACATTGTACCCATGAACGTGGAGAGAGACAGCTAACTACACCGCAAGGCCCACAACACGCAATTGAGGATTACAAAATCAAGTAGGTCGGTACGGTAATGTCCTATGTAAGATGCCACAACTTCAAGCCAGGAGAAACTCTTCTCATGTATCCTCCTTCCCAAACCTGAACCCAGCGCCCCAAACATCCGCCCCCCAGTACAGTCAGCCGGTAAAAACATGCAAAAGAGCAAGAAAACTTTAGATTTGCGAAAAAACAAATGAAGTCCCAAAGAAATTCTGAAAAAGCTAACAAAAGACAGACAAACCAAAGACGCCGTGAAAACACCGCCCGAATACCCGTAATAATAGTAGTAATTGTACATGCAGCACATCTAAAAAAAAACAAAAAACAATGTACAGTCCGGAGACTTAACGATCACCTCTTACTTCTTCTTCTTGGCGGGAGCAGCCCTCCGTTTTTTGACCGGCTTATCGGAGGGATCTACACTGCCCTTTCTCTTCTTCTTAGGGGTGTTGGGTGACGGTCGATCGCCGTCCTCGCTCACGCCCGGCGTATCGCCCCTCGCATAGTCCAGATTGTCTTCGTCCTCGCCTTCAGCGGCAAGTTTGAACTCGCTGTCCACGCTCAACATCTCGAGGAACTGACGGCATTGCTCCATCATATCGTCGCTGGTCTCTAGCCCCTGTGCCGTCCCCTCAACCTGCTCCCACACCGTCTGCATGTTGACGTTCGGGTTGCGACCAGGCACCTTGTTCATGGTCGGATCATTCGCCTTGATTTTGCCGATCTTGTAGTCCCGGAGCTTGTTCTCGTTGATTCCGAATGCCTTTCTAAGGTAAGTCCTGGCGGCCCACACCATCATCAAGATAGCTGCTCCGGTCGATAGAAGTTTCAGGCGCTGTGGGTTGACGGTCTTGTTTTGTGGCTCCTGCCCGTTCTCAAGTTTGATGAAGAAAATATCCGTCTCAATGGAATGTGCTACCATGACACCCGTGTTCGCCACCACCTTCTCCATGGTTGTGATGACCTGATACACCTCATCCGTGGTAGCGAAATCCAGGAAGGCCAAGTTGCCAATGACGAACCTGGCATAGTCGAGATGGGTCGGAATAACTTCAACGTTAAGCTTGATTGGATCGAAATCGATGCTTCGAATGATATTGTCGAGCAGCTTCTTCTTGACTTTCCTAGTCCCCTCCTTGACGATGTCGTAGAGCGGTCGAAGTTTGGCGACGTAAGGATCAGTAGTGGCACCAGCTCCGTCGCCGATGATGTTCCTCTGATAGATGAAGCACGTGCGCACGCCGTCCATATAACCGCGTTCGACGATTGTTTCATGTTTTGAGTGGAGGGTTTTGTGCTCCCTGTAGGCGATCTGATTGATCTGCGACGCCGTTGACGTCTCAAGAGCGACTAGGGCAGGGACAAGCTAATGGATCCAATCAGCATTCAATTCCTCGTGATCGTCCGCCAGGAGCGGTGCGTACCTCTTTCGGATGAACAAGTCCCTGTCTTAAAATGCTTGCAATGACCTCCGTAGCAACGATAGCATAGGTATCCTGACTACCCAACGCGATTGCCGTGATTTCCTTTAGATACCTCTGGGCTAGACTGGTACTGACACCATCGTTCTGATTGATGTATGCGGCTTGTGTCAAACGTCCCGGTTCATCTTGCTGATCTCCTTTCTTGTGCTTCTGGTCAGCACCTTCTTCGCGTGCAAATTCGCTCCGTGATTCTTCCAGCCCAAGAAAACCCTTGATGCCGGACAGCACAAGCTTCATCTGATCCTTCTCTTGCTCTTTGAAAACTTGGTCGAATATGTTCAGCACCTGTGGCATTAAGAAATGAGCGGCATGTGTTTGGCACACGTGACCTAAACTCTCAATTGCGGCCTTCCGGACAGACGGCTCAATGTCGGGTGCGCAGAACGGAACAATTGTTTCGGTGATGAAACCAGATACATCGGTTACTTTCCGGTCCGAGAAAGACGATTTGAACTGTGCGACCGAGCTCTCAAAGTCGCAATAGTGTCCGAAAAGACCGAGGATATATAGAGTCCGAACCACTCTTCTCTCCTGGGACTGGTCGGTAATCGGCTTGCCAGTGGCCTTCTGGACGTTACTGATACATGATATAGTAACCCGAATCAGACGAGCTGGGTCGTTGGTGATACCCGCAATCGTCCACAGGCAACTGACAACTTCACGGAGCTCTTGGGATGGCAGTCGAGTCAGGTTCTTAAGCAGATTCGATTGCACCTCCAGCAGAAACGCATTCTGCCGGCTTGTAAGGATGTGCAAGGCGTGTCTGTAAATCACTATCACACTCCTGAACAAGTGCAAATCGTTCGAGGTCAAGTTTTCGGTGTATGGCTGAAGCATCATCAGTTGAGCGGGTGTGAATAGCTTGGGGTCGGCCTTCGCGAAAACGGTCAACGTTTGAATCGTGCTTTGTCGAGTTCCCTAAGTGCGCGCAATTAGTGAGAGGCCGACCAAAGCCAATTGTGGGCTATACCTTGTCTGAATCGCCCTGAAGATTCAACAAATCGTCAAACATCGATCCGATCATCCTCTTGCACACTCGGTAATTTTGTTCGGAGTTCTTGCCGTCTTGTTGGAGCAGCTGTAAACAGCGTTAGCATCTCCATCTTTCTGGCCGCTTCGGTACGAGGGACTCACCGATTTGATGACGTCGTGCAAGGCGGATAGCATGATTTCCTTTTGCACAACCTGAATGATCACAGCAACTCGTTCGCTGGCAACGAGCTTCATCTGAGGAGTGATATCGACCGGTGCATCCGACTCGTCTTCGGGAATTAATGAATAAAATGGCGCTATCCATATCTCCTCAAATGTCTTACGAGCTTGCTCCGCCACTCCCGCATCATTGTCCTTGATTCTCAGCACCAAAGCCTCTGCAATCATCACCCTGAGATTTTCCTTCTTCGAATGCAGGTATATGTCCTTCAATATCTTCATGGAGCGTTTCCGCACGGCCACACCGGTATCGACAGACCTCTCAATAATAGTCTTGCAGACCAGACCCTCGATCTCGGGCTTGATTGCGATGCACTTTCCCAGCAGATCCACCGCAGAATCGCGCACGAGTGGGCTGGCATCTTGCGCTTTCTTCATAATGAACGGGATGACTTGGGTGCGATTCAGAATTGTTGGGTCCTTTCCGAGTAGTTGGGTGATGGACTTCAATGCCTTGCTTCTCGATTGTGCCTGATTGTCATCCATGCATCGAAGCAACCGGTTGAATAGTTGCTCGAAGAACTGGCAAAACGGCATGTTGAGCACAGTTAGCGTATATGCTTGTCGGATCTGTGATGGCGTAAATGAACTCATGTCCATGTCATCATCCCATTCTCTATGGATGGTCATCTGCTTCAAATTCGACGCACATCTCGACACATCGCTCTCTGAATCATCAACGTCCTCGGCTACCTTGTCCCACAGCGTGCAAATCCTGGAGCTCCATACGGTGAGGTAGTATCCGCAAGCGCTCTGGAGAGTATTGTCGTGTGTGCGAGCTGCGAACAGATGTTCAAGAGCAATCCTAAATGGTCCTTCCCAGTCCACCAGCTCCTCCTCGAGCGCAGCTACAGCAGCGGCCCGATTAGAACCGGTGTCAATCTCAAGGTACTTATCGATGAGTTGAGACATTTGAGGATCTCCTCCCTCCCGGTTTCGACGCCCCTCCCGCAAATGGACGACCAGATCACAGATACCACTTCCCATGACACCAAGCATATCTAGAGCCATTGTTTTTGCAGTGACGGCCTGCTTTTCGCCGTCGATGATGTTGCACATGCTACGGGCTAAGCTGCGAAGGAGAAGCTCTGCGGCCGGCCATTCCGGAGATCCCAACACAGCCAGGAAATCCTCCGTGAAAATATCCAGCAGATGTCTGTAAGGCTGGTCCCCAGTTTTCGTGGTATTCATGGCCTTCTGAACTAGATAACTGACAATCGAGCTGGAAGTTTTCTGCGCATCGTCAAGAAGGGGGCTGCAGAGATGATGCAACTTCGTCACTGTTTCCTCCGGGCTTCGGTCATCATGGTCGATATCGTCCAATTCATCCTCCGGTTGGGGTTCTCCGTCTTCGTTCGATGCTAGGCCACGTTTCTTCTTCCGCGGCTGATATGTACCACCAGTTTGAACGAGCCTCATGATCAGCGCACTGACCAGCTGGATGTTCTTACCCCCTTCGACCAGTTTGAATTGCCTCGCTGTAGCGCGGTTCACTGGCAATTTTTCCAAATTGGCAAGGATCTGCTCGAAGATGATGTTTGATCTCTGCTCCGGATAGCGGGCGAAGATCTTCGCCAGGATATCCATGGCGGCCATCCGAAACATCTCAACCCTCTGGATGCCAAACAATGAGTCCTTCTCGTTACTCGCATTCTCCACAAACACTATAGCAGCCGCCATGTACAGTGCAGAGTTGATGGCCGATTCTGTGGCCTCTTCGTTGGCGACCAGTTGCGAAAACAAAGTGATGACATTCGTGACCTCATGAAGAAGACCACCCAATATCTTCTTCTGAGCGAACGCAGATTTGAAGGGCCCTGGTTGATCGCCTCCGGATCTCATCTCAATCATCGGATTAAGTGCTCCTTCAATCAGGTTTTTGATGAGGAGAAGCACGCTCGCCAGCAAATCTTCGGAATATAGTTGCTTCTCTTCCCTCCCCCCAACCATTATCCGTAGAACCGTCTTCGCAGTTTTCAGTCCATTGTCCACAGAAGCAATCCGTGTCAGCCAGTCTTCGATGTCATATTCCGCCAGATTTTCTGGTGGCATGATATTTTCTGCGTCGGTCCTCTTCAATGCGTTTTCGCAGAGCTTTTCGAGCCTCATGAGGTCGTCAACGGGCACCTGTGCGAACCGCTTAACTGAGATGACTTTCTGTATTACTCCCTCGAGTTTTGATTGTATGGCTGTTGAGAGGCACGGTTCCGCCGTATTGACCACCCAGAACCTAGAGGACTCGTGCGCTTCCGCATATCTACCCGACGTATCTCCTTGAAGGTTGTCCTCAGCTTGGAAAATGGAGTCGACGAGGTTTATGAGCGCCGTCAACGAGCCATCTGCCTTTGCACGTTGGTCTACCCCCCCGACTATAGGACCGTTGTCGCGATCATCATCAGAGTCGTCCCGCCTGCGTTTCCGATTATTCTGGGTAGAGCCCGGCGTGAACGGTTTTGATTGCTTTAGCCTTTGATCTAGCTTCCCATACTTCGTATACTCAGAGCGATCGATATGCGGCGACGGCTGGAGAACTACAGCTTTGGCCACCTGAGCGGAAGCGGAAGATGTTGGCGACGATCCATAGACACCGTTTGAGGGCGCATGTCTAGGCTGAACTGGAGTCACGACCGGTATCTGAACCTGGAATGTTGGATATCCATTCGACGGTGACGGATGCGGACTGGGTCGAGATGGCTGTAGATAGACTTTCGCAGGCGGATTCCCATAGCTGTAATTCTTCGGTGTCATCGTTGCAGCGGAAGGTGCGGGTCGAGGAGTAGAAGGTGGTTTTTGAGCTGGAATAACAGGCTGTTTTGTCGGTGTTGCCACTAGGATGGCATTTGTTTCCTGTTGCACCGGCTGTGCGATTGTAAACCCGACACTGGACCGTCCCAGCACCAGTTCAGCAAATTTGCCTGCGCCAGCATTGCGCAGCATGTCCACCGCTATCTGGTTCGAGTTATCAACATGATCGGTGCGATGCGATACGGATTTGAAACGACTGGCCCAGGCAACAAGGTTAGCAATATGATACATTTTCCCTCTCAGCCCACTCGACTCACTATGTTGCAGACGCGGCTAGGAGCTGCGATGAAATATCTTGTACATATTTCCCGACAAACTTCGAACCCGGCCTTTCTTCGAATCGTTGATTGAGGAGATCGAGCGCTTGCCGCGAGATTTCCCGTTCGGCATCCGAGTGGTAGAAAGACAACCCAGAAACCGTGGAGATTGTCGGTATAGGGATCATGTCTATACCGGCATATGTGTTAGCAAACAAGGGACCATATCGACTCTCCGGACATCCCACACATACCCGGCGTGAGCGGAACAATGGACGACAGTGGTGTGTATTGCAAAGCATCGTCAACGTCCACAGGAGGTATCTGATGCAGCGCGACGTACTGGTTGTCGGACCCGTTCATTTTGGACGTGGCGCGGAGGACAGGACGGCTGTTGGACTACCTCGCAACTGCGAAGCCGAGAAATGCCAATATATCCTGTAGAGCTGGTGGAGGCAGCACTTCCGTTCTTCTTATTATTCCTCAGCCGAAACTTCAGTCCCCATATCCCCCAAGTGAGGAGTCGAAGATTGTTGGGACCAGGCAGCAGGAGATAGTGCGCACTTGGTGAGGAGCGTTCGGAGCGTTCGGTTCGGGTATACGGGAAGACCGAGAAGTTATGTTCGCACCGCCGGAGGGTCCGTGAAGAGATCGGGAGGTCGGGAGTCGGGGGTCGGTGGTAGTCGTGATGGTAGTGGATGGCGGGCAGACGCGATCGATGGATTTCAATAAGTTGTGGTGCGCGACGAGAAGGGTTCCCAACCCAGTTAGAGCATGTTTAGCCGCGCCTCCCACGTGATGATCTGCGGTGTTACCAGTCATAAGGTATCACTTGTACAAATATGTACTCAAGAGGCCTAATTCAGTCAGTCGTTTCATGCCAGGTGTCGGTAATGGATTGTGTGAAGTCACTGTGAGAGGCGGGGTTGTAAGATTATCGGGCAATGCGTTGGGGCTGTTAGGTACTTGTAGCATTGGAAGCCATGACAATCAATCCACTCTCTATCGTAGCCTTACTTCTTGAGCTTGGAAAATACATTTTGCCACAGCTCGCTCTCCTCGCCCACGAAATACGTCAACTCCACATCTGCAAATCCCACCTCGCCCTCGCCAGCCATACCCTCTAGTTGACTGATAACATTCTGCAGTAGCATCGCCTTTCCCGCGGCCTGGCCACCTCCACCGTCATGCGAGATCGCAACGGCATGAATGTGGAAATGGTAGTAGGAGGGTTGATCTAACGCTCTATTAGTAAATGCTCCTGTATTGAGGATCGATAGAAATATCCCACAGTGAATGTAGAGTCGGATTTGATCCGCTTCAATCCCGGAATACTTGTCACAGATTCCTTCTAGGATCTTCTTCTGAAGTCTGCGCAACCAGGGGACGTCTTTCTTCTTCAAGTCTCGGACCGATGTGATGTCCCTTCTGAGAACCAGTGCCATCGTGTATAAGCTGCTCATGGTTCTTCTATCCCACTTCCTGTCTCACCGTTAGAAAACATGCAGTGCGTCCAGCCAGCCAGCTTCAACGTACAGATCCGGAAGTAACATGAACCCCTCCTGCTCATCAGTATCCTCAATGATGATGCTCTCGCTCTCCCTCTTCTTCTCAAGGACATTGTAAACCCAGTTCAGCCTTCCACCCCCTCTCTTCGAACTGACGTACGGCAAGACATGCTCTCGATATATCTCTGGCGTCTCTGTAACCATCCTGAGGCTCTGGACTGAATACTTCCGGATATGCGTTTCCGTGGCCGGAAATATCAGCGTCAGCTTCGCCTCCGCATGCCTAGGCAGCTCTCCGGTGGCTTGGGAAGCCAGGAACCAGTGGTATATATCGTTCCGCTCGACTAGAGACAAAGCCGACAAGTGACTGGGCTGTGAGAAGGACTCTAGAAACTCAGGGTCCGTGGTGAAAGCTGTCTTCTCGGCGATGACAATGGCGGATTGAGAATCGATCTTTCCAAGAAGATTGACGGTTTTGGTGCGCGTGTCTATGTTATTCAATTATGCTTGAGCTTTCTGACAGGCATGAACGGTTGTTACCTTGGTTGAGGAGACGCCCAAAGACGAAGCTTCTTAACAATTTCTCTTCGGGGGACTCCATATCGATGTTTTTGACCCGATGGATTGTGGTCGGCACTTGTGAATGTTAAATGCTGGGGCAACTACTAGTGTGTATTCTAGTTAGCAATAGGGTGGGGTTCTAGCGGGGTAGACAGGCTTGGCCCCATCTAGGATTGACTCAATTTTCTGGAACGCATGTAACACAGACTGCATCTGCTTGTTCCAAGTTGTGTGCATCTCCGACCCCACGACTCAGCATACAATGGCAGTCCCACAACGCTGCGCCGCCTGCTCGACAAAACTTCTCGTATCATTCGCGGCAGCATGGGGAGCTCGAATTCGCTCGTCGGTTTCGGTCCTGCCCACGAGACAGTTGCGAGTGGGGACCGGGGCCAAGCTGTTGCCTGTGAGAGGATTTCACCATACACGGTTGCGGTTGGAGTCTACGTTGCCTGGATCTGCGACTGTTGGGATGGAGAAGGCTGCAGAGAAGACTGAACATCCGACGAAAACTTACGAGGAAGCAGATGTGCGGCCGGATTCTGCCATAGCCAACGAGTCTACCCCGGAAATAGCAGCACAGTTGAAGACCAAGCCAGTGGCCGACACGCCCGGTGGCGAGAAGACTGAAGATCCGACGAAAACTCATGAGGAAGCAGATGTGCAGCCGGATTCTGCCATAGCCGATGAGTCTACCCCGGAAACAACAGCACAGCTGAAGACCGGACCAGTGGCCGACACTCTCGGCGACATTCCGGTGGAAGTCCAGTTGAATACCGAACCAGTGGCCCACACGCCTGGCGACACTCCGGTGGAAGCACAGTTGGAGGGTCAAGTAGTGCCCGAGTTCCCCATCAGTTCTCCCGCCGAAGCCAAAGCTCAGTTAGAATCCGACACGCCACCCCTCGAGCCCACCAATACTCCGGTCGAAGCGGAAATACTCACGCCCCCGGTCAGACAGCCTACCAGCCCCGCCTGGAAAGGGGACCCATCAGTCCCGTGGTTCCTCCGTGTCGAAACACCGAAGGCCCCTCGCCACCCGCTTGCCGAACAACAAGTCCTGCCTGAGCTCCCCGAAGACTCGCCACCGGAACTCTCCGAAGTGCTCAATCAGCTCTTTGAAGATCACGGCATTGCAGACCTCAAGATTCTCGACCTGCGACCGCTTGATCCGCCGCCAGCCATTGGCACCACGCTGATGATTCTTGGAACCGCCCGCTCGATCCGCCATTTACATGCCACGGCGGATAAACTCTGCCGATTTATGCGCTCGCAGTACAAGTGGACGCCGTATGCGGATGGGTTGCTAGGTCGGTACGAGTTGAGACTTATCAATCGCAGGAAACAGAGAAGGGGCAAGGTGGTGTCTACGCAGTTGGGAGAGGTTGATGAGGCTGGGAGTGCGGGGTGGGTGTGTGTCAACGGCGGAAACCAGCGGCTCGTGGTGCAGCTGTTTGTCCAGTCCAAACGGGAAGAGATGGACATCGAGGGACTGTGGGCGCCAATTTTGGGTAGGGCTGAGCGTCACCGGACCGCGGAGGCGGCTCGTAGAGCTGAACGGGAAAGGAAGTGGGCAGAGGAAGATGAGCAAGCAGCTCAAGTTGAAGAACAGACGAAGGAGGACGACCTTAAGCCGGTTCATGCCCAGTACAGTACTTTGTCAACTGCTGCTACTTCCATTAGCGGTCCTATGATTCACACGAGGTCATTACACAACTGGGGGTCTCTGGCTTCGGATCCTGCAGTGGCTGCTGAAATGGATGTTACCAATCATGCAACCTTCCCCGAGTTCCTGAATACAGGCGACCTTAGCACATACCTCTCGACCCTACCACCGCCGTCCGATGATGCCCACTACTCCGTCATCCACCGAGCTCACATCAATGCACTGAAATCACCCCTCGTCAAAGCGTCAACCCTCTTAGGAATTGACTTCGATGATCGAGCATCCACGCCGTTCCTTCGAACATTTTACCAGAACCTTCCTTTCGCGAGTCCTGCTCTCCAGGTCAAATCGGAGCTCGAACTCAAGATTCTAGGCAACATCCACAAGCAAGAAGCCTACCCTATCCGGTCTTTCCAGTACTTTCTCGAATCGCTTCGAGCCGCCGGCAAACCGGTGCATCCCGAACACTACTACATCATCTTGTCACACCTCGCTGTCTGCCCTGAACTTCGATCGCAATACTCCCAAGGCTGGCTATCTCATGCCGATAAACGTGTCTCTATGATCAAAAATTATCTGAACCGCCTCTCTCGCTATCTCTCACCCTCGCAATCCGCCCAACTTTTCAATCGCCCCGAATTCCGCTACGCCACATTCCTTGCCTTCATGAAAGAACCTATTACTCCTGTTCGCGAAGCTATTATTGCTCACGACTCACGGACAGAACTACAACTCCCCTTCCTTCCGAGAACCTTCACCTTCCACCCGAAAGTCTGGTCCGGTCAGGGCTACGGCTCCCTCTCGGACCCGCCGTATACGTACACGCTCAAGCAGCACCATCTGGATTGGCTCACTTCCCTTGGCATCGCCGGGAAATGGAGTCGCCTTTGGAGCGTATGGAAAAAGATTGCCCTCCATGACGTGCCCAGAACCGCAGAATTCTACAAACTTATCTACGGCCTCGTTGCGGTCGCCGGGAACCAGAAGGAGGCGGTGTACTGTGCTCGCCAGGTGGGATTGGAGGCGATGGCAAGGGAGGAACCGAAGGTATCATTAGAGATGGGGTTGGCGCGGGCCTTCAAGAAGGTGGTGGAGATGGCAGATGCGGGTGAGGGGAGCGCGGAGTGGAAACATTGGATGGACATTTGTGATGAGGCGGAGAGAAACACATAATGTATCAAATCTACCTAAGTACTGGGGAGAAGAATGTATACCTAGTACGAGTGATAATTCAAGACTTAAACTTTCATTGCTTCCATCGGTTCAAACATCCTATACTTCGTCCCCCACCTCCGGTGGTGGACCCTGTAGCAGAAAGCAATACATAACATGGCCCAGAATTAGGTATGAAGGGGGGTGCTGTTATACTCTAAGGGTGTAGGTACTCTAGATCGATCCCGGTGAAAGATGTAACCTATGCAAGCGGATTTGTTTTTGTTTAATCATCATAGCAATCGACCTTAGTGGATCATAACAATTGACCTTGGTGGATCATAGCTGTGTATATGTATGTCCGTGCCCCTGCTGTCGTTCGGAATCTATATATGCTAGCGGTCCACCAGCGACGGGGCAGAGAAGCGAGGACGATCATGTGCGTGCACACCTACCTCTTGGCTTCGGAGGTGCTGCAGGATCGTTCTTCTTTGATACGTCTGCGCCAAACACTCGCCGTAGCTGTCTCAGGATTAGAGCTCGACGCAAGCTTCGAAATGGTCTGCAGGAGATGTATGTACCGTATGAAATTTTGGGTCCTCCATGGCTATGGGACACTGGACAATACAGATATGCTACAGAGAGCGTTATATGTACCATGTAGTTATCGAACAAACACCCAAGGTGACCGGCATTGTTCACCGGGTCTCTAAACGGCAGTAAGTTTGGTGAGGACAAAAAGGGGATGCTGCATACTTGGTAGGCAAATCCTAGCGAGAGATGTTATGGATGTTGACCGACATCTGACCACTTGCAAAATGCTGATGGCTGGTTTGTCATCTCAAAGATCAAAATGCATTTCAATTCCAGATCAGACTGCCGGAGGACAAGTCAAAATTGGGTTATCTTTTCAACCTTCGTTCCAATTTCTCACTTGCACTTTATTTTAAGCCCTACCAAAAAAAAAGTATGTGTAACACGGAACATACCGCTTCTGGAATCTGGATTCCCTCCTAACAATCGACCAGTCCGGGAGCCGTCCGGTCAGATCCTACATCTACGGGGAATACATGTGTGGTCGTCAGAAGAACTGGAGTGAAGGTGATAATGAAACCCTCCCATCTGAATGGCGATGTGCATCTCACGTGTGGAATGTTTGCTGCCAAGCCGGAGAAGTGATCGCCAGTACCACTTATGTCCATCTGGTGGATATTATTCGCTGCACGCTGCCAGGCTTACAGGCTTCGTGAAACGTGAAAGCTACCCGGCCCACATACAAGCTTCTCCCGCTCAAAAACAATTCAAACACTGTTCCCGCTCAGCCCCTTGAACCGACACTCACACCTCCTCCTCCCTCCGAGACGGACGAAAAAGATAAAACGCGAGAGATAGGAGAGATCTGAGAGACATCGCCTCCGAAAGCTCCCTTCTCAAAAACTAAGCTCGATTCCTCTTCGACCTCCGCTTCCAGAATCGAACAAAGCTCCGCCAGCTCCCTTTCGTCTCGGCATTCTCACTGCTCGACAAAGAGCTCTTCCACGGGCCCCTGCCTGCTAACTTTTTCCGCGACTGCATGCATTCAACGGCCCTGCGATGATGCCCAGGCACTCTCACGCTCATTCTAATGGGCACGCGTATGCTCCCAGCAATACTTTTTCTATTTCCCCTCATAGGTCTGCGTTTCCTCCCCCATTCGCCATACTTTCAGTTGGGGGATGTGTGTAGCTAACGCGAGCGAGCGGCCAGATTTCAACCCAGAACACGACCAGCGTTACGATGGCGACGGCAATTAATACTCAAGATCGGAGGCATGGCCTTGATCTCTTCCGTCATTCTCCTCCTTATATTTCCTTCCTTCCGGGATATCCTCTTGCCGTCACTAGGCCTGGGTTTCATCCTACGGGACGACCCGCTACTCAGCACCGTCAGACACTACGATCTTGGCGATGTTCAGGGCACGGCGCGCGGATGGGAGAAGGGCGAGCGGATTTTGTTCTGTGTTCCTCTCCGTGATGCGGAGGCACATCTTCCAATGTTCTTTGCGCACATGCGTAACTTCACTTATCCGCACCACCTGATCGATCTCGCATTCCTGGTGTCGGATTCCAAGGACAAGACGCTGCCGAAGTTGACCGAGTATCTCGAGGCGCTTCAGAACGATCCGGATGATAAGATTCCCTACGGAGAGATCTCGCTCATCGAGAAGGACTTCGGCCAGAAGGTCAAGCAGGATGTCGAGAACAGACATGGCTTCGCTGCTCAGGCTAGCAGGAGAAAAACCATGGCCCAGGCTCGCAATTGGCTACTGAGCGCTGCATTGAGGCCGCACCATTCTTGGGTTTACTGGAGGGATGCCGACGTGGAGACTGCTCCGCCGACTATCCTAGAGGATCTCATGAGGCATAATAAGGATGTCATCGTACCGAGTAGGTCTCATCCGAACATCAACCGGTGATTTGCATTTTGCGCGGTGATCACAATGGTTTTCTCGGTGCGGGTTACTGACACGGTGGCTCGGAAAAGATGTCTGGCGTCCTCTGCCTGACTGGCTTGGCGGCGAGCAGCCTTACGACTTGAATTCCTGGCAAGAATCTGAAACAGCACTCGCCCTTGCCGATACCCTCGATGAGGATGCAGTTATCGTCGAAGGGTACGCCGAATACGCCACCTGGCGTCCCCACTTGGCCTACCTCCGCGACCCCTACGGTGACCCAGACGTCGAGATGGAAATCGACGGAGTCGGCGGTGTCAGTATCCTGGCCAAGGCCAAAGTTTTCCGAGCAGGCGTCCACTTCCCCGCCTTCTCGTTCCAGAAACACGCGGAAACGGAAGGTTTCGGCAAGGTACGATATATGCATGCACCATTCCGTCCGTCCGTCTCCGGGACTGACTGACTAACGCAACGTGCAAACTCGTAGATGGCGAAGCGCATGCGCTTCTCGGTCGTCGGACTCCCGCATTACGTTATCTGGCATCTCTACGAGCCCTCGGCCGACGACCTCAAGCACATGGAGCGCATGGAGGAAGAGCGCAAGACCAAGGAGGCCGCCGAAAAGGCCGAGAAGGAACGCATTGCGAAGCTCCTCGAGAACTACGACATCCCCAAGGACCAGTGGGAGGAAGATAAGCGCAAGATCGATGAGGTCAAGAAGGCTGAGGAACTTAAGAAGGCCGCGAAGCCGCTTGTCGGAGGCGCCGCCGGACCCCATGCTCATGCGGGCGAGGGCGAAGCTATTGCACCCGTGCAAGATGCCGCTGCCGCAGCCAAGGTCAATCCTCAGGTTCGTTGAACTCTCCACCCTACCTCCCACCGACCTGGATTGGGAACACATGGCTAACGAACCACCACCACAGGCAAATGAAAACGGACTCGTCGACACTGCCGGAAATAATGTGGAAAAGAAGGTTGCAGCATAGAGGAGTTGAGTGTAGTGGTTTCGATTCAATCTATATATCATGTGTATTATTGCTTTTTTTCCTCGCCGCCGCTCTTTGGATGGGATCTATAATGAAAAATCCTTGGGACGAGCTGCTGAAGGAAGGCATTCTGCTATAGATGAGGTGATGGGTACCGACTGTACATTATGTGACTTTGCTGCAAAATGCGGTGACTGACTGTAATGTGGTCCTGTAATTTTCTCTTGTACGATTGTTGATACGAAATGGATACATTTTTGCCTTTGCTAGGTGCTTTACTGTTCATTTATTGCATACGATCTATCTAAATTGTGGCAATTTGTGTTCCCCTCTGTCCAACGTCCGTCTGCAGTTTTGATAACGGGCTCGGTGTAGCATTCTAATTCCCCCATTCCCCCATCCCATCCGATCATACACATCTCTATGTCCCGAGCTGGGTTAGTAACGATGCACCATTTTTTGTTTAATCATTAATTGCATGCCACCGAACGACGCATCCAATTGACTGACTGCCCACAGTAGGTGCCAGGAGCGAGTGATATCCCATGTCCCAATCACAAACCCAAGTACCGTACGTGGTAAGCAAGTATTCATTAATAGTACACACCCCTTCCCACTACTGCCTCTGATACGTGACCTTAACGATATTATCCCCGAGGACCATTCCGCCCATGCCCTCTTTAGCGGAAATCGCGCCCTCCAGCGTCTCAAACTCGACGAACGCGATGCCCTTGCGCCCCGGCACCATGCGCACCTCTTTGAACGCGTCGAACCGCGAGAACAGCCCAACTAACGTCTCCTCCTCAGTGTCGTCAGGCAGGTCCCGCAGGAATAGTGTCGTGTTCGGCGGTAGGTACTCGTCCGGAATCTGCGGCGCGGCGGCGGGTGCGGTCGACTTGAGCCCCGCTGGCTTCTTGGGTGCGGCGGTCGGCGCGGCGGGCGCCGCCGCTGCCCGCGACGACTCCAAAGCGGCTTGCGCTTGTTTGCGTTCTGAGAGGCCACACACGTCAGCCTTCCCCCTCCCACACTCCCCCCCCATACGCAATACGCAAGGCAAAAGGGAACCCACCCTTCTCAGCCAACCTCCTCCTCTTATGCGCCTCAAACTCTTTACTCTCCTCACCTCCATCCTCCGCATGCTCACGCTTCACCGTGGCATCGCTGCGGGTGCGGGCGAAGGCGAGGACCATGGGCTTATCGAACAGCGGGAACGCCTGGACCTCGCGGATAGCATTTTCGGCGGACGTGACGCTGTCGAATACTACGAACGCTTGCCCCTTCGACTTGAGCGACTTCTTCGCCACGATCTCGAGAACGTTGCCGTATTGGCTGAATAGCGCTTGCAAAGATTGCTTCAAGGGCGCGAGCTTGATGCTTTCTTCGAGGTTGCGGACGTACACGCTGCGTGGGTTAGTGCGGGTTAAGGGAGGAGCGGGGAGGAGGGGGGAGGGGCGAGTACGTGCAGCCTGGTGGGCCAGAGGCGAGCGCGGTTGTGGGTGGGGCGGCGGCCATGGCGGTGTGGTGTGGTGGGTTGTGGTGGTGGTGCTGGGTATCTTGAATTTGGGTGGATTGAGTCCCAAGCTTCAGTTGGAGCTGGGTGCTCGGTTCTTGTCGTTGGGGCGGGTAAATTCCGTTTCCTGAGCCTCAATCCCGCGAGTGAGAGCACGTGAAGTCAAGTCACAGCCAACCAAACCAGCCAGCTACATACGAGAATGGAACGATGATTACGAGTCTAAGAACGCCCCCAAATCGCGCACACGCCACAGGCCACAGGCCACACGACACTACGCTCCCTTCGGCCCCAGCGCCTAGCTGCCCCCCATCATCCTGCTCAGACCCTCCTCCTCGCCCTCGGTATCCTCAATCGCATCCTGCTGCGCAATGCACCTCAACACCGTCTTCTTACTTGTCTCCTGCATCTCACCCGCGAGCAGCAGCTCGTCAAGGATGAAATATGCCCGCTGGAAGTTGAAGATGATGTCCAGCTCGCACACGTTGCCGTAGTACTTGTCCATCTGCTCCACGTAGCGGTGCACAATCTCCAGCGTGATCAGCTCGTTGTCGGTGGCGTCGATACCGGCGATGAAGAAGAGCGACGCGTAGCGGCGGTAGACGACTTTGCTATCTGCGGGGAGAGATACGGGTCAGACGCGTACCAGAGAGCGAGGAGGACGGGGGGAGGAACCTTTATATTCGAGGAAGTTGCACATGCGGGTCCGACGTGAGAGGACGAGTGCCGTGACATCCTTGACGATCTTGGCTTTGTCTTTTGGGCCGAGGGTAGAGAACCACTTTGCGAGGCGCTGTAGTGGGGGACACGGGTGAGTACGGGCGAGCAGCGAGGGAACTGGGGGGTGAAACGTACCACCTTGCCTTGTCGCGAAAGGAGGATTAGGTATCTAGATACGATCAGCTTCTTCGTCTCCTCCGCATTGGCGTCGTCAGCTAGAAGACTCACTTGAAAGCCATAGTGGGCGCGGATGTTGGACGATGCTGTGATGCGATGTGGTGGTGATGGCGGCGAGCGTTTATTTAGGCGGAACTCGAAGCTCAAGCTCACCGCCGTCGCGCGTGTGGACGTTACTCTAGTTAGTGGGGCTTACTCTGCATCCCCTGCTCTCCCAAGTCTTCAAGCAGCAAGTCCCCCGCCATTCCGTTATGTAACTGACGGTTGCTTGAGCCTTGCAGCAGAGCAAAAAACCGGAAACAACACCCAGCCAAATGCAGAGAGTGGGGGATGAATTGAATTGCCATATGCGACGCGCGGGCAGCTGGTTTTCTCCAGCAGGCAGCCAGTTTGCACAAGCAAGTACCCAACCATCGATCCATCCAATCGCTCGCCCGAGAAAAGAAAGGAAAAAAACAAATCGCTCTGCCTGCCAGCTGCCACGTGTAAATGTGCCGGTCTTCTTTCCTTCCTGCCTTCTGTTTCTGCTTATGTCCCCGTGTGATCATCGCCCCCGGCCCCATGGACCAAACCGATCATACATTGAACTGACAGAAGCACGACCGAGACAATTCCCCGCAAAGCTTGTCTCTCCGCCCATCGGCGCCATAATAGCGCTCCCTCCCTCCCCGCCAGCCCGCTCGCTAATGCTTACCCTCGCCGGCGGCCCCACCATCAAGCCATGCCACCACTGCCAATTCACCACTACCCTCCGCCGCAGGGCGCCTCGCCATTCCTAACCGTAATGGCCGTGCTCGCCTTCTTCGCAACCTGCCTCCTCGTCGTCGCGGGCTGGATCCACTGTGTGTCTGGCCCGTCGCGGCGCGATCACCAGCGCAGCCGTCTCCGGCGACGGAGCAGGAGGGGCGCGACGAGGAGGGTCGGGTTTCAGGGTAACCCATTCCCCACTGTACCCCCGTTGACGTGACGTGGGCACTACTCTAACGATGCCGTCCACTAGAATGGTACCATCGTAGGCGGCGCGCGCACTCTGTGTCGTCCCCGATCACACCGCAGATGGAGCCGGTGTTTACGTTCCTGCCCTCGCCGCGACGCGGGTCCGCACAGTCCCCGCTGTTCGCTTCCCCCGTCTCGCCCACTGCCGCTGGGGGTGGCTACGGTACGTTCTTTGCTGCTACTCCGCCGCCTCCGCCGTCGCTCAGCGGGAGCTCCTCTTCCTCCTCCTCCTCGTCGGAGGATGCTGCTACTGCTCCACCCCACCCCAATTCCGCGCCCACCCCGCCCACAGGATCCCGTCCCAAACCCCGTCCGCGACGGAGCATGACCCTGCCGCCCACAATCTCCTCCTCACCTTCCCCCTACACACGCAGCAAAACCCCCTCCTCACCGGTCTCAATGTCTCGCCGGGAGAACAAAAAGGCCGCTCGAAGGAAGTCGACGGGGAGCACAGGCGCGCCAAAGGAGTGGACGGGGCTGGGCGTGGGAATGCCAATGCCAATGCCGCTGGGGCTGGGATTGTGGATTGGGTACGATCCTCCGTACCACCAGAGGGGCCTGGATGTGGTCGTTGAAGAGGCGGGAACCACGCCGCAGTGATGTGATGTGATGTGGAAACGAATGAATGATTTATGACTTTTGGATGATGGCTGTTTTGTGTTGCATTGCTGCGCAGGTATCTGCTTGGGCTTCGCTTCTGGCTTGCGAGCGGGAGTTGTTTAGGTTCTTGGTGGCAATTGCAATGGATTCCGAAATATCTGTGTAAACCGGACCGGGCACTCGCGCTTCGTCTGCACGCAACTCCTAGGTGGCGGCTCGACAGCCCCATCGTCGGCATCGGGGCGAAAGCATCGAGTGCTGTCGCGTGAAAATTAATACCGCTACTACCCGCTGTTTAGTACAGCTCTCTCACAGCTCTTTCCAAAGACCATCCACTAGAGTAGGTATCTAGCAGACACGCTACGGATCGATGGCCATCCATATCCAGGTAGGCAATGATTGCGGACGCAGACAGCAGTAGATACATCACCGTGCAGCTGGGGAATCCGCTCTTATATCCGACATTTCCACGTGACGGCAATATGTGTCGAAGCACTACGGACGGGAGTATCTTTTACCGCCACGTTCGTGGTATTGTGAATAGAGTGGACGATATGCCGGTGTCTACGGGTACAGATAGCACTTGTCAAAGTCTCGTAATTTATATTCACGATATGTAGACATAGGCCCCACTCGCCCGCTGCTGCCGCTGCACGTATGGCCGCTGGCGCGTGGAGCGGAGGGCTGCGTAGGACCCTCGGCCATAATAGACGGTACATTCTGCAGCCACAGCGCGTCGACGTCGGAAGCCTAAGCACTTAAGCACCATTCCCCCAGGGGTTCGGTCGGTCGGCCATGTAGAGTTAAGAGGTTAGTATGAATAAAGTCGATAGCTAGATAGAATTCGGAGTATCTAGATATAGCGAGGTGAAGTGGCGCCTTATTCTCTCTCTCTCTTTCTCATCCTTCACCGCGTTGTGTGTTCCTATTCCTGTTCCCTTCCAGTCCCTGGTATCTATCTAACTAACAGGAGCTCCCTCCCTCCCTCCTCCCTCCTCCCCCATCTCATCGTCAACTCACTCCTTATCCGCCCCGACACCGACTACCGACCACCGACACGCTCGCTCTCTCGCCCGCCCACCACCACACACGCAGAGCACGCTCTATGTACACGAGGGGAATACTGGGGAAATAAAGTTAGCGACAACGACGACCAGACTATTACGTAGCTCGGGCTCGGGGGGTTCATTACCTCACATCTCAATCCAATCCGCGGCAGGCCGTACTCCAGCTGCGCCCCTTTCCGACACACGAACGGACGAACGGCCGACCGCCTCATTCCGACATATAGGAAACCAAGAACGAGGAAGAAAGACAGACCGCCCGGGCTGCTACATAGCATACATAGGAAGGAAAGGAAAACGAAAACGAAAAGAACCCGGCAGCAGTACATAGAGTAGTTGCAGAGAAAGAAGGCAGCAAACGATATTCCGCCCTCACCCAGCTTGTGGACTTGTGACCAGCCTCCTCCACCTTCTCTACCTCCGCTGCCGCAGCCCGTTGACACCTTCTGCTGCGACGAAAAACCGGCACCCGAATAATCTAATTGTCTACGAATCCCCACGCGGCCATGGAGAACACGCCAGCCGCCGCCGCGCCCACACCCGCCGCGCCCGGGTCCGCGCCCTCGCCGGAGGTCGCGACCGCACCAATATCTGAGCCCGCCGCCGCAGTCGCCACCGAGTCCCCGGCGCCACAGGAAGACCCGAAGCCGACGTCCACGTCGACGGAGCCGTCGTCGTCCTCGGCGGCCGCAGCAGCAACAGCAGCAGCCCCTGCCGAACCTTCGCCTTCGCCGGCAGCAGCAGCCGAACCACAGGCGGAGACGGAGCCGAAGCAGATCACGGCGACGTCCACGTCGCTGTCCATCACGGTGCTGGTGCAGTCTGGCGTTCGCCAGAATTTCGTGCTGGACCGTGGCTACCTCGAGCGACATATCGTCAAGTCCCCGAGCTCGAAGGAGATGCTCACTGATCCCATGGAGATGACGGTGGCGCAGCTGAAGGAGTGTATCTGGAAGGATTGGATAGATGGTAAGAAAAGCGGGATACTCGGGGGGTGGTGAGGGCGAGAAGAGGGCGAGGAAGAGGAAGAGGGCTGACGATCGGTGCGCATAGATTGGGACCAACGACCGGCAAGCTCTTTGTTTATCAGGCTGATACAATTCGGGGCGTATCTGCAGGATGCAAATCCCTTGAAAGGTACTGTTCCTTCCCACCTGCCGTCTCCCGTTGCAAGCAAGAAAAACCAAGGCTGACAGACAGACAAGACTGCCGACTAAGCACCGACTCGTCGAACGTGATCCACATGGCGATAAAACCCGCCGAGGTCGGCGACGACGACGGCACACAGCGGAGCACAAAAGGCGCGTTCGGCGGGCCTGGCAGCGGCGGCGGAACAGGCGTCGCAAGGGGCTGTCGCTGCGTCATCTTATGATATTCTTCCGGGCTGCTGCGGTTTTTTTTTTTTGTCTGTTGGCTTTCTATCTGAATGCGTGTTTTATTCGATTTCCATTTTCCATTCCATTGTAACTTGCAATTTTTTCTGCTGCTCTGCTCTGCTACTCGCCCCCGACTCCCCCCGATTGCACAATTGTATGCCCGCTTTGCTTATTCCATCTTGCTGCGTTTCGTCTCGTTTCGTGTCATTTTTCCAAGTGCGTTCGTCGGCTCGGTGCGGTGGGGGCTCCGACTTCCCTCTTCTCCTCCTCTCCTCCAAAGCTCATTAGTCGTGTTCCTTTACATTTCCATTTAATGTTTATGTGTATTGGTTTTCTTTATCTGCTGGGGAGAAGGGGGGAACAGGAAGGGAGGGGGAGGGGGAGGATGGGGAATTGTAGTTTAGAATTGGCGGGGAGGGAGGGAGGGACGATGGAAGGAGGGAAGGAAGGAAGGAGGAAGGAGGCAAGAGGGGATGATATGGACGGGATAATTGAGCCCTGTTTGGACGCTGTAATGTACTACACTACGGCAATGCGGATATGGAAATGCTTCTTGCATGCGAATCTGATATACTTCAGTCGGCATTTTGATGCCAGCCTTGGTTTGATCACATAATGTGCGGCGGCGAGACACAGGTATCACTCGGTGAAATGGTACGCATTCATCTCACGACTGTGATTTTGTTTGTAAACGTCAAAGTGCGTGCACCATACCGCCGGGTATAAGATGTGTAATTTACACAGTAATTACAAGAAGGGGAGGAGAAAGCCCCATCCGAAAAAAGAGTAACAGTCAGTCCAACACAATCATCAACCCCCATCCACCGCCGACTAAAAGATAAGATCCTCATCCTTCGAATCGCCCAGGACATCCTCGCCGCCCTCCTTGTCATCATGTCCCTTCTCCTCCAACTCCAGCCGCCTCTTCGCAATCGCCTTATCATTCTCCTCGCCATCCCTCTGCTTTTTCCCCTGCACCTTCTTGAGCCTGTAGAACTCCTCCCTATCCAACTCATCCAGCTCGCTGTTGATATACTTGATAGTATTCTCCGTCCGGGGGATGATGACATGCTCGATGGCATTGACACGACGGTTGACAACCTTGATAACATCATCAAGGATAACAAATGCGGTCTGCAGGCTCGCAAGCTCTACCAAGGTCTCAACCGCTTTACCATAGACCTCCCTCGCCCTGGCGACCTGCTGGCCACCCCTCCCCAGCCCCGTCAGGGCAAAATCGCCTCCAGCGCCTCTCTCCCCCTCAACAACGAACGCCTCAAACGCGGGCAGCAGCACGCCGGAAACATTCTCTTGCCGCGTGCGCAGCCGGAACCGCGCTGTACGCACCGACTGCGTGATCTCGTACGCGATGTTCCCGCCCCCAGTCGCGTATGTCACCTCGGCCAAGGAGAACGCCGCGATCTGCATCACTCGCCCCATCTTGCGCTTCGCTTCGTCGATGCGCCGCGTGATGTCCCGGAAGCGCTTTGTTAACGCTTCGGATTTGCGCTTGAGGAGGGAGTGCCCTGGGATGGTCAGTGGAGGGAGGGGAGGGAGGGGGGCGGGGACGGGAGGTACCGATCTCGGCGCCCTTCAGCTTCGACTTCATTAGCCCCAGTGACTGCCGCGTTGCGAATACGGCTTCGCGGTTCTGGTGCGGGGTGTCGTTAGCTCTCGCTCGCTGTCACCTGCCAAATGGGCCATCTCTGGGCGGACTTACTCCTGTTCCTGACATCTTTGCGGTTGTAGGGGGTTGGATGTGGTGGTGACGACGGCGACGGGAGGATGATGGTGAGAAGATGGTGGTTGTTGTGCGGGCTGGCGTTGACGTCGGTTACTCGCTTGATGGAGCTGGACTGGAGCTCGATAGTTGTCTGCTATATGTAACTACGTCGTTACCCAACCAAGCCGCCGATTCACGTGATCTGGGTTGGGACGGAGGTCATGGCAGCACACTCGGCTGGCGAGCATTCGTCTCACCGGGTGTTCTCTCTCTCTTTCTCACACACACACACACACAATCTCACGCATAGTGAATTCTGCTATGATAAAACAAGGTCGAATGCAACGATAATTGAACAAAACCGCAGTGAATTGCGACGAGGAGATCTAGAATTTACCGCCCACCACCCACCACCACCCATGCATGTAGTCGGTCTATGATATATACAAAAGCAACTTCTATCCCCTCCCCTCCTCCTCCTCCTACTCATCAATACACACATCCTAGTATAGTACACGATACGAACGAAATCAAAATACAAATGCAAATCCCGTTACACCCCAAAAAGATATAATACACCGCAAACAAAACCGCTTTTTAACGTTTGGGGGAGATCATGAGAAGAAATATTGACTGTCCTTGAGCACTGTGACATCAAATTCACCCTGTCGCATCGTTAGTATCCAAGCTTGAAAATGGGGGAGGGGGATGAGACAAACCTTCGCAGGTAAATCTGGAAACTCCAGCGGCATCCAGACATGTACCATGGGAATCACTGGCTTCGACTTCTTCTTCTTAGGCTTCTCCTGTGGCTCTTCATCTTCTTGCTCCTCCGCCAACTCATGCTCTGCCTCCTCAGTGTCAAGTTCCATATGTCCAGCCTCAGAATCCGCCACTACTTCCTCCGGATCCGTCTCGGGATCGTAGGGAGTGGGATCACTCTCGTCGTCGCCGAAGACGTCGCCAGTTATCTTATCCTCCTCCTTGGCGTCAATACCAACGTCTGTAGGCGTGGAGTCGACAGCGCCCAGCTCGGCACCAAGAGATTCCTTGATTTCGACCTTGGCAGCACCTCCGGCGCGGTTGAGAAGCTCGGAGGGTGTGATCATGTTCCGACCCTCTTCGACCTCGTCGGGATCGTTGGAGGCAAGGAGTTGATCGCGCTTCAGCTCCCACTGCAGGTCTTCGACTACCGTGAGGCCAGAACTGCCCAGGACCTGAGTGGCGTACTTCTTCCGTGCAGCCTTGATGAGCGCAGCGGTTTCAGTGTGTGCCGGGATGCTGACGAGATACTTGTACCCCTTGTATCGCGTCTCAAACTCTTGCTTGAGCTTCTGCATGATATCAACAGAGTGGAGATCGATGAATGCATCGCGAAGGATGCGGTTAAGGCCGTCGACGTCGCTGGGGTGCGTCCAGAAGGAGTCGTGGACAGCGGCGAAGGTGATGCCGTTCGTCGCGCACTCCATGGCACTCATCAGCATGTGGGTTGCGTCGAGGGAGTGGATGAAGTTCGGTGGGAAGGCGGTCATTTGCTTTCGGGAGTTGACTTGGTCGATTGCTGCCGGGTCCGAGATGTAGATCTTCTGCAGGTTGGTTTGGACTACTACGCTGGTTTCGTGGCGGTACGGCTGCACGACTGGCATTTTGAGGGGAGTTGTCCACACGACTGAAGTCATGAATTCGACCTTGCCCTTGCGCCGGATATGAGAGTTGGTGGAGTCCTGTAGCAGCCCGTTCTCGTGATCTTCGAGGTGGTTGTATTGCGATGGACTGACGGACCGAGAAATCATACGGGCGGTCAACGCGAGCCAATGCTGAATCTTGGTAGCACCCGTGAACACCTCCTTGATACCATCGAAGACGAGCCGAGTAACGTACGAAGCGCATTGGTGCTTATCGTCACGTGGGATCGCATCAACGTTGTCCAACTGTTTCCGGATCTGCTCACGAGCACCAACAAAGGTGACACCGTAGACGTTGGTCATGACCGACTGCTTGACGACCTTCCTAGTGATGTGTCCGTGGAGGAGTGTGGCGATGGGGTCACCCAAGGCCATGTCCTTCGCGACCTGTGCCTTGACCAGCTCCGCGACACCGGTATAGACGTCTTGAGGTCTGTCACTCGGTTCCAAGTTGACCTGCTTTGCACCCTCCCTATCACCACCGAGCGCTGCATAATGCTGCAGTCCATTGCAGGTACCATCCTGGGCGACGACAGTCTGGCACTTGTATTTGGTTGGGTCAGGACTTCTCAGTGCTTCCGTGATGGAGATACAAGTGGCGAGACACTGCCATGGGTCTTCTGCGTTAAGCCACCATCTATTGCCCTATCATGGTTGTCAGATATCAATGCATCACTCAAAGGGGAAGTGTAACCCACTTTTGTGGGGTTGTCCGCACTGTCGAATACATCCTCGAGATGTTCGTCAATGAACTTCTCACGCTCGGCGAAACTGGCCTTGTCGTAACCAGCCAAGTTGGCACAATGGATCTTGAGCCACCTGAGGCCCCTCTCGCCGAGCTCCTTACCTTCCGCGAACATGAGAATTCCACGGGACAAATCGTCACCGATATGGTTCAAGTTCGGCGGAATGGGGTATGCTCGGCCTCGGAAATCGACACTGTGAGGGAAGTAGAATTTCTCAAACAGGAACTATCACATGTGAGCAGGTGTCCAGTGATCGCTACAAGGATGGAAGCACATACAGAACGAGCAATTTCCAACTTCAGGTTGATGGTACATCTCTGCGAGTGGTTGTTCTTCTCGGCGTTTTTGGCCTCGCGCACAAGCTTTACCCATTCGACTCGGACTTTCGGATCATTACTTGGCTGAGGCTCCGGTGGGATTTCGGATGTAAGTTCCTTAGGAGGAATATCGGCCAATGCCTTGCCCGAGTTCCAGACCTCCAGGATTACGTCGAACACCCTCTTGTTGACCTGCCAAGCGGTCCGGCCGAGAACATCCAATCCCTCGAACAGTTGGTCTAGGTCACCACGATTTGATGCCGCCTGAACATAGATATCCTGCTCTTTACTCTGCTTTGTTCTAACGACTCGCGAGCGGGAGTAGTAGTATCCACCGTCGTTCCATGCCAGCCATGGAAGCGGGGGAACAAGCATGGGAAGATTCCGTCCCAATGCACTTCCTTGAAGTGGCTCGGCACCTAGCTTTGCCACAAGATCCGGGTGCAACTTGATGACGCCCAATCGCCTTCCCCGAACGTACTCGTAGGCGTGCTGGTATGCCGGCTGGTACTGGGTTACTTTCGCTCCCTGCTGGTTCTTCTTGGTGACGGGTATTTTGGCGCAATGAAGCAACATCGAGATCAAAACGGCTCCGAGCTTTGCCCTTACGGCCGGAGGCCACTCCAACATCACAGAGGAGGTATCTTTAGGTTGTTCCTGCATCTTCTGTCGAGCTCTCTGGACACGCTGTCGGAACGCAATCCGGTCGTTGAAAAGTTCCTTCAAGCCGTCCTTCTCCAGCACGCCGAAAATATCTCGGTTCTTCTTGTTGGCTAACTCCTGAGCATAGTATTCCTGCTCTAGCATACCGCCGATGGCCATGACCGCGAACGCAGACTTCGTTCCCTCACCGCTCAGCTGCGAGTTCTGCATCCTCATCATCTCCAACACCACAACCGCCGCGACCTTCTCGGGCGCCATCAACCGCAGAAATGGTCCGTACAAGCAGCGATCGGAAGCACTTTGATATGTCGGGTCCTCCTCGGCTTCGCTAACTCGTTGCAGCTCCTGTTTGATCAACGGAACCATAGACTGATGCCAGGTCCACAAGAGAGCACCGACGTCGCCTCTCAGCGGGGCCGCTCCCCTGGCAACGAGCTCCTCGTGATCCTTCCTCCATCGCTCTTGAGCACTCTGGATTGCATGTTCCTCTAGTACCTTCTGTCTGGCGATGAAGAAGGCCATTTCGTCTTCGCCGAACGGACGGCGGTTGGGCATTGCATCGGGGTCGGTCAGAGACACGAGCGACTGCTTGATCGCTTGCAAACTGCTTCCCTTAACATTCGATGAATGTACCTCCGGGATCTCTGCGATACTTGGACCTGTAAGCGGTTCGTCTTTGACGAAGAGTTCTTTGTGTTTATCGGAGAGTTCTTCCGGGTCTAGGCCGCAGGACTGATGATGTCGGTTAGCGTTGACGCACTTTCCCCCACCCACCCCCCGCACGATGGAGACCCTACCTGTGCAACAGCGATGACTTGCTCATCCGTCAAAATCGGCTGCGCGAACACATCCTTGATGGCCATCCCACGTTCTTTCCAGTGATTTACGTACTGCCGGATATACCGCTGGCTCAGTGTACGTTCCTTCACAGCCAAACTTCCCTCCAGCAACAATGCATACGTCGAAGAATCCCCGAGAATCTCCAAGTCGCGCTTCATCGTGTCCTCATACCAGGCAAAAAACACTCGCAAACTGTCTTGATTATTCTCCGCCAGCGCTCTCTGCAGCAGAGCTCTCAAGAAAGTATTTTGCGCGCCGACCATCAGAGGCGAATCGCGGTCCAGGACATTGGTAATCATGTTTAGGATCAATTGCGCTCTAGCGATACGTCCGACCTTGACGCAGGCCTCGAAGGTTGCCAGCGCCTCATGCTTGTCCTCCGAGACACCCTGAATGATCCGAGGCTTTCTGCGCGCGGTGATCGGTAGCTGCGGCGTGTCGACGATCACCAGCGAGGGAGCATCCGTCGATCGTCCGGGAATGAATCCGGGCGGGCTCATGGGGCCGCTCCCAGTCCCAGTCCCGGTCCGCATGTATACACCCTCAATGGACGGGATTCCATCCGGGATTGGTATGCTCGAGTGTGTGGAGTATGCTCGGTCTCGACTCGCGGGATTGGGTTGCGTCGCTGCCGGGGCGGCGGTGCCTGCTGGGGCGGCGGCGGGTTTCGACGTCGAGGCATGCCGGAGCCATGCTGGTGTGTGGCAAGACGATGGATACAGGAACGGGAGGAGGACGGAACGTGTGGGCGAGGAGCTCGACGGCCGGATATTGTGTCTCTGAGCGGTGGTATATTGGGAGATCCGGGTGGTGGTGGCACGAAGCATTTTCGTGCAGCGGATATGGATTGGGTTTCAATCGAGGATCGCGGGGTTGAAAGAAGTGCTCGAGGGCGGGGAGAGTGTTTATGGTGAGAATTAAAGCAACGAGTGATTGTAGATTTTCAAATGAAGGCGGCTTCTTGGGGATGCCGGCCGCATGGGTTTTGAGGGCAAGTGGGAAGGCGTGGGAGGCGAATCCAAAGTTTTGGAGATTTTCTCCTCTCTAGGTTCGCTATGGTCAGAAGTTGTATGTCAGAACTTTTTTTCTCGAGCTGTGCGTGCGCCAAGACTGTCCGCTTGTCCCGGTCGGACCTAGCCGAACCCCAAGTTGTGATTAAGTAAGCGACCAGTGCGAGAACATGAGACAATCCCTAATATTTCTGCAACCGGCAGCAAGATCATCACACCGAGATATGTACAGCAAACTACATGTCCGTTGCCAATTGCTTTGTTGGATGCGACGTCCACATCAATAGTGCGAATGGTCCCGCTACGGTGCTCGCCTTCATTTTCACGAACGGTGTGGCAAACGCCAAATTCTAGGTAATTATTCGGTTGGCGGAGATCACCTTCATCTTCCACCTTGAGGACTTCCGTGGGACGAAGTCAAACAATGCTACCTGTGCTGTGTAGGCAACGATAATCCTCACATCACGATTTACATCCCAAAAGCACGACCGACAGTGAGTATACAGATCAATTAAGATTCCACATATAGATCCAACCATATTTCCATTTTTCCACCATCCAAAAGAGAAGAATCAAACAACACCCTCGTTACCAATGCACTTAAAATACACACACGCCCACCAGATATAGAAAGAAAAGAGAGAAGAGAAGAAATCGCCAAAAGCCCATCATCAACAAAGTCATCATAACACACAAGTAAGTAGTTTCTACTTACTCAACTAACGCTTGGGAGTAGACGGCGGCGAGTTATTTTCCGAGCTTGCGCCGTGGTGCATGCTAAACGGAGCCTTCACGTTGAGTTGCAGTCAGAAGAAAGTTGACAGGTGTGGGGAAACGGAAATATTGCTTACCAAGACCTTGCGGGCGTTGCATATTCTCCAGCTGAGCCTTCGGACGTTGCCGTCGGCTTTTACGACGCTAGGGGCGAGGTCGACGCCGAACCTGTGTGATGACGGGGTTAGTGTGTATAGGTATGGGGGAGAGGGAGGAGGATGCATACATTTCTCTAATTGCATAGACGATCCTGCGACTGCAGGTGTCATCGGCGACACCTCCGAAGACCTCATCGACATCGATGGGGGCGAGGTCCTGGTCATCGAAGCATCTCTTGACGATGGGCAGCAGATGTCTCTCTACAGATTCCCGGGCAGATCCGTCACGGATTTCATCATCGTCGAGCTCAACCTTCTCCACGCAGATCTCGAACGGTTGGCTGATGGCCATGACCGAGTGCTTTCCATCGTGGTGGTACCGGAATTCGAAGACACCGTTCTTCCAGAAACTCTTCTCGCCGCGGAACTCCATCTTGCCGATAACGGTGTCCGGGTTGTTGTCGTTCTTCTGGTCGGAAGAGATAATTCCTTGGTCGGCGGATTTGGTGTCGTATTGGTCTTTGCAGACAGCAATCCAACGGCCCATGGAAGCGATGCGGGAAACCTCGCGAGCACTATTCTCACCAATCTTATACAGTGCAACCCAGTCCTTGCTCGAGTGGTCGATGGGGGCAGTCCAAGTAACATGAATCGACTCGCCGTATGCTACAGCCAAGGTCTCGGTGCCCTCCTGAGGCGTAGCATTGTCAATCTTGAGCGAGTACTTTTCGGTATCGTGGGTGATGGAGGAGCTATCCCTATCGGACAACAACTCGATAGCGAGCCTTGCGGGAGCGAATCTTGCCTGAGTGTTCTTCATGACGCCCATGACAGCCTTGGGGAAACGGGGTCTGGATCTCTCGAGCAACTCCTCAACGAAATCGGCAGCCTCGGCAACGATTTTGTCGACGCTGCCCTGGAACATGCGGACTTGGTCGGCAACGGGAGGGGGCATGGCCTTGCGGATGGTCTTGGCAACCCCGGCTTCGTTGCGGATCTGGCTTCCGTACAGCTTCCGCATGTGTGGCCCTTCAACCAGGTTAAGGAACAGAAGCGCGCAGACATGCGAGAACAGTCCGATCAAGAAGATGGGAGAAGACGAGGCGATCAGAACGATACCCCAAATGCCGGCACAACCGATGAGACGCTCGGGGTTGTTGAGGTATCTGTAAATTCCAGAGTACGTCAGGTGAGGGCTGGGAAGGTCGAAGAAGAAGTCGCCGTAGAACCAGCCAAACTCGCCGAGCGATTCGTGAATCGAGAACGCGGTCCACACCTGAAGTGCGACCAGCATTATTCCGACGGTGTGTCTGAAGAGTGCCATACGCTCGTCGGACGATGGGAGCTGGTACATCTTCCAGGCAGCGGCAATGAACGAAGCGTGCGTCATCGAAAGGGAAACGAAGTACACACCCTTCCACTGTCTCCAAGCGTCCTCGCGGGTCTCACCGAACTTCAAGAAGTGGCGAACATAGCTCTTGTTCTTGCTCTGGCCAACGAGTACAGCTCCGATTCCGATGGTGTGCCAGAGTCTCCAGAGCAAGGCGTGGATGATAAACAAAGCCTGGTAGATGGGAGTACTAGGCGTCGCAAGCGCGAACACACCAAGGTAGAATACGAGAAGCATGCTGGAGAAATGGACGCTGTTCCAAGGATCCAAAGACTGGACGAGCGGGCGCTCGGAGGAAGCATGGCCGATGTCGGTGAAGACCGACCCAGACAACGAAGCGACATCGTCGTCCAACTGAGGGACCTCCTGCAACTGGGACTTTCTGCGCGGCGCCGGTGGGTTGTAGGTCTTTTCGATGTGGGGATTCTCCACGAACGTCAAGAATGCGAACTGAGCGGCATGAGCGGCGAGTGACACAAAGAGAACGGTGTAAGAAGCAGCAAAGAGGGAAATGCCCTGAGATAGAAAGTCAGAATTGCACAGCCCAGACGCAAGCAAGTTTTTTCTTCTTTCGAATCATCACTCACGTAGTATCCAGCGTATCCCACCGAGTACATCGGGTGAGGGGCGATCTCATAAACACCATCAAAGGTAAGGTTCTGGTCGATGAGGTAAAAGAAGTCACCCCAGTCTGCAGGCCAAAAGCGCGGACGGTTAGCTCGTGTTACGTGTAGGGCGTATGTGGGCGTAGGCGACCCCAAGACAAACACACGGAGTGAAGTCCTGAGGGGAAGGCCACCACCGGGGGAAAACAGCACTTACACCAAGCATAATCCTTGACAACGCGGTGCGCATCAAGCTTAACCCAGAGGTTGAACAGGAAGAGGACAGCGCCGCCAGCCCATCTTCCGACGGTGAAGTACCATTCCTCATTGGCCGGCTGGGTGGCGCAGGACATGGCCATCAACACATAGCTCACGAAGTCACACATCAAGATCAAGTCTACAAGCCTCCGGAACACGAGCCAGGTATTGTATTCAATGGGCGCATCATCGAACTTGTAATCGCCACTCATCACCTCGTTCCGGACCTTCGACTCGATGTCCTCGCGGATGTGCGAGTAAAAGGGCGACTTGGGATCAAAGATTGCGTACTTCTCGGCCCAATACACCAACTGACCATATTTCGACTGTGCCTGCAGGAGATATCCCAATCCGACGTTGTAGGAAGCTCGCCAGAACAAAAACAGGACGAGTAGCACGGGCGTCCGGAGCGCGGTCGGCAGGGTGAAGTAGAGGCCGATGTGTACGGCCAATACACCAAGGATGAACAGATCTATGGATTTCTTCGGCGTTGAGGGCGACAGGAGAGTCGAGACCATATCATGGGTCTGTGGGACCACGAACACTAGAGGTTTTTCTGGCGGTTAATCTCTGGGTTCCCAAGCAGCAACAGCAGCAGCAGTAGCCACGCCCAACGATGTCCATGCGGAACAGGAAATACTCACAACGGCCATTGTGTGCGATGCGACCAAATGTCTTTCGCGGTTTTGAGGGATCATCCTGTTGTGGGGGAGAGTCTGGCGGTTCAGCCGCTGCCGTCATTGCTTCCGACGTGGTCCGTGCTCGTAATGCAGCACCGTCTTGCTCTCCTGGGGTCGCCATGGCGAGCGCTACAACTATCCTCGAGGGCCGTGGTGGAGCACGATTCGAAGATGGCAAGATGGCAAGATGTAATAGGTGAGGTTTGGGCGGGAGGGGGGGATCTTGCTTCGGTACGTGCTCCTGTTGAAGGAGAGCTCAATGTGTGTATGGGCGAAGCGAAGGTTGGGACTGTGTCTGTCCGAGCAGCGAGGGCGGAGGGAAGGAGGGAACAAGGGAACGGAGGAAAGATGGGAAAGATGGAAGAGTACAGATCACCAAGAAAAGTCCGACGACACCTAGGATTTTAAGACCAGCGACCAGGTTCCGATATCGGGAAAGGGCGCCCTCTGGGCCAGCTCGGTGTTCTCGTCGTTACTCGTGGGGCGTATGGGAGGGCGCCCTGGCGCGGATGCGAAGATGTGATACCCGGGGGCCATCTGCAGCAGAGTAGCCGGGTTGAGGATAGGGTTCCTCACAACAGCACCCGTTGGGGGGATTCTTGACGGCAGGCAACAGGCCGGCCATTTCCAGCTGCCGCTCGCCTGAAGGGCCGTTGGGCCAGTATCCAGAGTAGTCAACTCTTAGATAAGTACTCTACGTTCCATCGGAACCTCTCTATAAAAGTGCTTAGCTGCCCACACCAGACACCTCTAGAAACAATTCGTATGTAGTCGAACCGAGCTTGCACAGTACAGCTGTCTTCCGGCTCGTGAAGAACTTTCACGCTGGGTAACTACCAGTTAGTACTACTCGACTACTTCCGTCCTACCGAAGGACTGTTCAGTTGTTCACGCGAGCATGAGTTATGAGCCAGCACGTGATAGCCGCCACCGATCGGTTGCCCTTTAACCGGAAGAACAGATGCAAGCCAAACGGGAATCTGTGTCAATCCCGCTCTCACGCGAGTAGATACAGATGTTTATCGCATCAGCAATATGCTTAATTGCGTTTCTAACTTTCTATGCTTGAAGTATGTACTACGTGCTTAGGTTTGTACGCGTGCAGCCGTTATCGCCCTCCTCGATAACGGGATAGGTCAGTAAGTAGGCAACGGGGAACTTGTGTGACAACTCGTATCGACTCCTGGCGAATCCGATGCGGAGGATGCGTCTCGGGGAGGATACCGGTATCTATCCAAGTACTAGTAGGTACTCAAGATAAGTGCTCTACATATGTAGGAAAGGACCTCGACCGCCCCGGGACCGGGAGCGGAGTGGAGGAGACGGCATACATACGAGCAAACAACCTCCCAGTCACATGAAACCCGCAAGAAAAAACTAAAAACACTAAAATAAACCAAATAACAATCAACAGAGTGCTTCTAGGAAGCAAGGAAACCTCGTCGGACAGAATATGGAGTACGTCAACACATCCCCGGGTTTAGGACTACGGTGTACGCCGGTCGGTTGCGGCCTAGGGTGAGTCTCCGCATCTTTTTGGGGGCGAACGGACGGGCGAAGAGGAAACGATCCGGAAAATAATTGGGAATTAAACAACCGGCATTCTAAACTAGGCGCCGGACGGAGAAGAAAGACAATTGCGCGAGCATCCAGGGCCCTTGAAAGTGCACTGCAATATCGAAGTCACAGCTGAGATCCCATCTCATCGCCGTCATCGTTTGCGGCTGACTAGGTGCCGTACTCCAACCAGCAAGTCCCCATATCTGCCACGGAGAAACTCCCAAGTGGCCTGGTGTTGGTGGCGAAGAACGGTTCCAGGTCCGAATGCTGTATGTCTGTGCGGGCTGTCCGCATCGATGTTACCGTGCTCGTGATCGTGGAGGATGGAGTCATTTTTGGTGCGAAATTCAGCCGTTTATACCCACACTCGTTAACGAATGTGTCTCATGAGCCACCCGATCCTCTCATTTCACGGCCCATCACTCGAGGATTTTCTGTGGGGCTGTCATGTGAATGGGGTCGCCCTCGAAATCCCCATTCCGGCCTCCCAGCGGACAGGAAAAGCTTTCTTTGGATATTACTTTTGCGATAATCTGGCCCAGACTGTATGCAAAATAAATTGATGACCTCCCCGTGGGGTCACCCGACCGAATATGAGACCCGGGCTTGTCTTGAATCATAAAGTTGGTCGAGTTCCCACCAATGGCCGTCAGTTTCTGCCTCCCAAGCAAAAAGTACACGAGGCTGTGCTCTCAAATGACATCCACGCACACTTTCCGGCTTTCTTGGAGACCGCTGCGAATACAATCTTCACTAACACGGTGACCATAACGCCATTCGGGATCCCGTGCTGCAGTAGCACTCGGAAGCCCTTTCGGACCAGCGGAGAGATCAGGGACGGATTAAGATGCGGCTCTGCGGGAGCTAGACCGTATCGGTCGCTTATCGTTGAGCCCGAAGATATCGACGTTGGCGACATTGGCGGGAACTCCGCATACATATGGGATGTGGATTATTTGAGCAAAGGTATCATATATAGTCATCTTCTAAACAGACCAAACGCCTTCCCAACGACCAATCTGGCCGTATAATCAAACCAAACGCCGGTCCTCCAACCCAATTATCAAATGGCCTCTTTGGTGGCTCGTTCTCTCGCTGCCATCGACCTCCCCTTGAATCTCGAGTTGATAGGCTTCGTTGACATCAACGACGGAAAGTCATCATCCGAATCCAGCAAGAACTCCTGCTTCGATGGCCGTCTCGCTGCAGGCACCACACTCCTTTCTGACTCCATTGGATTGACAGAAGGTGATCTTGTGGATATTGATAGTGGAATGGAAGCTGATTGATAAAGGGAATTCACGGAGTGCTTTCTTTGCTTCATCACCGGCGCATCAAGATCATCATCTGAATCCAGTAGGATCTCCGTCTTCACCGGCTGAGTAGCAGACCAGCTTGCAGGTGCTGTGGAAGAGGTAGGTTGACGAGGGGGATTCATGGACTGCTTCCTATGCTTCACCACCGGCGCGTCGAGATCGTCATCGTCATCAGTTGAAGTGACCGAAGCAGGAATAGCAGAAACAGGCTTACGCGCAACCATTCCGCTTGGCTTAGCAAGCGCGGAAGGCTTCGCGTTCTGTTGATTATGGACCGGTACAAGATGTCTCCTTTGGCTAGACGCCTGGGAATCAGTGTATCCAGCCGCCGCCCTAGTCACCACAGTTTTCTGGGGTATGAGCATGCTTAGCGACGCCTGCGAACCAGTATCCCCACGCATCAACGTCATCAGGTCTGTGTTCCTCCGAGTGATGTTCTCGTCCTCATCCTCCGAGGAATCGCCCGAGGCGAGCCTGGAAAGTGTCCGTTTTTGCTGTTCGTTCTTTGCCACGATCTTCCGCTTTAGCAAGGTCGCCTTCGAGAGCGCCGGCTTTCCGACGACGGGCCGCTGGATATTGGAAATCTTGCCCGCATTCTTCGACGCCGCCTCGAGCTGTAGACGCTGGTATTCTTGACGGTGGACCGAGCGCGTGTAGAGCTGTGCGATGGAAAGGAACTCGTCTTCGACCATTATCCATTCGTCGTCGGAGGAGTGCATGTACCTGCGGTAGCAGGGCGTCAGTCGGGCGTGCGATGCGAACCATTACCGGGAGAACCACCCCCAACATACTCTATATTTGCCAGCGGGTCTTCATCGTCCGGTGCGTCTACAGGTAGGGCACGTTGACGTTTTGTTGCTGGTGCGGCGTTGGTTATGGGCGGTTTGGCAGGTTTGGTCTTCGCGATTGTGCCGGAAAGCCCGGTCTTGGGGGCAGCGGCGGTGTTGCTGAGCCATGGGATTCTTCGTGGCATGCCGCTGGATACTACGGCGGAGTCGCTTAAAGTTACGGTGTTCGCTGGGACGATGGTGGCCGCGGGACAATGGAGCTGTTGCGTCCGGTGTGACGTTCGGTTGATGACGCGCGAAGTGAGGCCAGCCCCCATCTGCACTGACAAAGAAGCGGTTAGTTAGATCACCCAGCTAAAAGCATTGGCTTGGCATACGCATCACTCGAGACTCGAGACTCGGAGAAAAGAAAACGGTCCTAACACTCATTCCATCTCGCCAAATGACTCGAAGTAATGACAAGCCAAGTATATATCTTGCTACACACATAATGACTCGACTAATACCAATCTCAATGAAACCTCAACCCACTGTGAGATGACTCCAGTCAGATTGCTCAGCTCAACTCAACCCATACTTTGCAGCAGCAAGTCAATGCTTCTACCCAGCTACAGTAGGAATACAAAACTACAAACGCCGTAACCGTATCATGCAACAAATCTATTTGCAAAGTAGGAAAACGTCGGTATTAATCAGCCGGGCTCAGGGAATACCTATTCATGCTGGCTCCTTGCAACGCTCAGGCTTCTCGATCCACCAGCTTCCCATTTCTCATCGGCTTTTGGTTTCCACCAAGTGCTGTAATCAAGTGCCGTTCGGTTTCCAGAATCTTCTGGCAACTAGGCTTGGAACTCTGCTCAAAACTCTGTCACACGTCTGATCTCCTTTTCACCACCATTAAAGCTATGGCAAGGTGCTTCTGAAACTCATAGGTGATACTGGACAATCGGTATGCGGCACCGCTCGCCGATGTCTGACAACTCACTGGATAGTGATCCACGCTGCCTAGCTGGCCAATTCGAAAATCACCTCACTATGGCATCATACGTATCACTCGCGGAATCGCAGAAATTGGGTGAACCGTGTGCCTTGGTACTTAATATATACAGCCGCTAGTGACCATTGACGAATCATCATCATTCTTTTCCGGTTCTCACCTTTCATCAGTAATCCCTTGCCCGTTTCCACCCTATCAAACAAACCCAGTCACATACTAACTGGTCTCCACCCGTTCCTTCGCCTCGTGCACAACCTATCTTCTATCAGCTTGTTGACCTCGCAAGAAGAGAAAGAGAAGGGGAACCCACCTTATCCCAGTCGGTTCTCATGATGATTGTCGTCTCCACCACGGCAATAAACAGGAGAGCCACAGCGACGCCGCTCCACAGGCCCAGCAGCTGCATGTCGAAAACGAACGCGCCAATGATTGAGATCGGCATTGCGAGGATGTAGTACGCAAACAAGTTAATGTAGCTTCCTAGGTGTTGACGGCCTATGGATACGTTAGTTATGACTTCGGAATATACGGAGAGAACAAAAGACCTTGTCCTCTAAGGAGTCCCGCGGTGCAGGCGCCAATAGCGTCAAACAGCTGGAACACGGCACCAAGGGGAATGGTCTTCACGAATAGCTGTATGACTTCGGGATCCTGCGTGAACAACCTAGCAACCCAGTGCCTAGTTGCCAATATCAAGATGAAATTGAACAGCCCCACACCTGCCGCCAGCATCAATCCCAGCTGTGCCGCCATTTTTGCCGAGTCTCCAAGTGTCGCTCCCAGAAGATTCGCGACACGAGTGGAAACGGCAACGGAGAGCGCGAATGAGAGTTGGAACGTCAGTGATGCAGTGGTGGAGAGGATCGACTGTGCCGCGACATGTGCCGTGCTCCAGTATGCCGCCATCAGTGTGAGGATCTCGAATGCTAGCCATTCGGCTTCCAGCATGATGAGCCCCGGGACCGCAAGTTTGATCATTGGTGACCAGTTGTACAGTGCCTTCCGGGAGAAGCCACCCCAGCACTCCATTCCCCGCACGAACCGGACGTACAAGATCAACAGCAGGGCCATAAGCCAGTCGGTAATTACCACCGCGATCGGAGCGCCGATGTAACCGAAGCGCTGGCTGACGGTCAGTCCATGTACCCTGGCGAGTCGCAGGAAAGATTCCTCACCTGTACAAGGACGTAATTGAGCACGGCATTTGTAGGTGCGCAAATCAACAGCACATAGGTCGAAGCCATGAACAGTCCTATGAATGTATCAATAACTCTGCCACAACAATCTAGAAATAAAATATCTCCGACCTTGTGCCTGAACAAACCGCTTTCCGGACTCGAAGATGGCATAGCCGGGAATACCAAATGCAAGGACCCTCAGGTACAGACTGGCAAAGGCCACCAGTTCGCGTTCGGGAATGATGGCATTCAGAATCGGTTCGGAGCACATCCAGAGGCTAGCCACGGCGCAAGAAACCACCATGAGAAAGCAAACCATTCGTTGCACGTGAAGGCCGACGAGAGTCTTGTTCCCGCTTCCGTATGCCTGCCGGTAGTTGTGTCAGCAGTAAGCAAGGCAACTACGGAATAAATGCCGACGAATCCCCACCTGCCCGCATAGAGTGTCCAATGCGGTCGATAATCCCTATCCCGCCCCCTAAATTAGCACATTGAACAGTCCGCAAGCTGGTGAGCGGGGTCGTGCCTGAATTATCGCATTGGAAGTGATCGTGGCCGTCATGGAACCCAACGAGACGCCGGCAAGTTCGTTCTTGCCCAATCGGCCAGCGGCAAATATCGACGCAATCGTCAAGCTGTATTGGAGAGCAAAGGTAACATAGAGCAAAGGTGCAGATTTCGCCACCACCTTTATCTCCCTCCAGTAGGTCGTATGGATCCGTCCCGCTTCGACAGCCTCCTCCCATTGAACCGTCGATTTGAGTAAGCCAGTAGTCTCGTCGTCGTCGCTGCTGGACGTGGGAAATGCCCGTGGTCCCAGAGACATAATCGAGCTCGGAGGGCTGGAAGGTCTCCTCGCGGTACTGCCATAGTTCCTCCTCCGGTCAGCAGCAGCATCTCGCAGAAGCTCACGCTCTTGCTCCAGCATCGTTTCTCTCTCCGTCGTGCTGAGTGTTTCAACAGCTGTAGGGAGCGGGGACGACGGTACGAAAGTCGGCCGAGATTGGCCGTAGGTGAACGAGGACCTTCTAAACGAGCCCACCAACGAAACATCCGCCACCGGCGACCGTGAGGGAGCCCGGGAGAGCCTGTGAGTCTGTGTCTGATCATCGCTGTCTGACTCGTCGTCGATGGCTGAATCGTTTGATCCAGCCGAGACAGTGCTCCAGGCATCCGGGAACAGGTGCTGGGGCCGATTTGATGCCGCCATTTTTTCTGCTGTTCTTCGAGGTACCGGATGGTTAGGACGCACTGCTCTGGCTATTGAAGGCTTGCGGGACGGAAAACGGAGAACGGGATCGTGCCGGTGGTGTTCTGTCGAGCGGAGATCTGGGAGATGTTCTACTGGCGACCAGAAACCATATGTAATCCAGCACGTACCTCGATGGCGGGGAGCGGGCTTCCGTTGATTGGCTCGATAAAGCGGGCCTCGGAGCTTTGCAGACGTGATCCCTGACCAGGTATAAAATGTGCCCGTGGATTAGGTATAAAATGTGCCCGTGGATTAGGTATAAAATGTGCCCGTGGATCAGTTACTCAGGGCCTGGAGTGGCGCAATAAGGCAGATGGGGGAGGCTGCAGGATGGAGGGACGGAGAAACAGAGCGAATTATTGCAAGTAAAGCAGCGATTATCCCACGATGGGCCCATTTATTATTCTTCGGGCCGCCTAAATACAATGAGGCAGGAGAATCCAAATGCGAGTGCAGGCAATGAGTAGCTCGCGGGCTAAGGCGGGGAGATAGGTTGAGTTGAAAGATGTCGTCCGTTGTCTGCGGCCAGCCCAGCCATGGCACGGAATCTTTATGCAGGCCGCAAGGGATGCCCTTTCCTTGCAGCATACCCTGTTCTGATGCGCATTGCGGAGGGCTACTGGATCGTGAAGAAAACAAGGATGGCGCAGGGTGCACACTTCTCGCCGTAGATAAGCGGGAAGTTTCTCAGATCCGAATCGATAGCTAACCGGGTGGAAAAAGAAGCGGAGAAAGGGTCCAGTCTCCGAATACCTAAGTATTTCTCCGCGTAGAAGGCATTACAGCGACGGCGATAACTAATGGGCTTCAGTGGACAATGGATGGCGAATTTTGCCATTACTCCGATCCTTTACATTGCATCAAGTCTCGGCCGTGCCACCTCCAACCGACCAAAGAACCTCTCCGCTATAAAGATGATTGTCAATCCACCGCACCATTACGTTTCACACTGCGATACTCGAAGCTCAATAATCGAGCTGTCTACGTCAAAACAATAACCTCACTTCCAGACTGCTCTCATCCCGTTCTCTCCTTGCCTTTTACCCGGCGAAGGAGCACTATCACAGTCCCTCTCACTGTGTCGAAGTGCTGCAATCGATACCACCGAAAGTACAACTTAGATGTCCCCAGAAGACAGGTACACTGTACTGTACCTGCCACCTCGATCAAGCCTGTAATTGACTTGGGCTCTTAATCCTTTGATGCTTCACAGCTTTATTTTTTACCATCCGCAGCTTTCGATCTCCACATCGAGACACAGCAGACGACCTTCGATAACTGCTAGCACGGCAATATCTAATACTGATCCGGCTGTTGTATGTAGGATCGGCCGAGATATCGTGGAACTGTGCATCGGATAATGATTCCTCGGTGGAGATCCGGAGAGCTCAGCTGAGGTTTATCCAAGCCACCCGCCAAGATAGTCAGCAAGAAATCTCACCCATAGATGGAACGATACTGTAGGTATCTACCTATAACAAACCACCCTCCATACCTCTGGTGTCAAGGAGCTATAGACCCTCTTGGGCGTCGTAACTGGCAAATTGCGTCGGGTTGCCTCCGACTTGGTGATTTCCTTGGGGAGACCATTCCGGTGTATCTGGCAATAGCGAAGCGGAGCGACTCCCATCTGATATACCCGTAAGTGAGAGTATGGCCAGGAGATACGTGGAGGGCATATTGTGGCGAGCTGAGCAGGCTGTGAGTTCTCCGGCGGCGTTGGGTGCGGTCGCGTCCAAGTAGGTAGTTACTCGTGGCTTGTGATGATATCACCGCCTATAACCGTTATTACCCCTGTGTGTGGCTTTGATCGCACCACTCTGGGAGGCATGAGCTTCCAGCATCAGATGAGCATCTGGCTCTATGTACTAGCGCTCAGGGGCATTCGTTACGTACCCGAGTTAATAAACCAGTCTCCCCCAGTTCGGATCCCACAAACTTGGGCTTCAACTTGATCGTCCCCAGACTACCCCCGGATAGCAGTTAGAATGCCGGGCTCTCAAACTCGCACCTGTGGGCCGCAGCCCGTCATAGTCAAGGAGTAAGTATCCGGATACCCGCCGGTCTTCGACGTACATGCGCAGCGGTGGTATGTACTGATATCTGTCCGCAGTTTGGAGCCGGAAGCACCTCTTATTCTCGCGTCTCCATTCATTTCGGCTTTGGTGTTCGAGAACACGGCGAGCGATGCCCGCGATCACTGTGCAAATGAGAGAAGTGAGTGAGCTCCGTCCGAAGAGTTGGTGGTGGTGGTGGCCGATCTTAGCTCACACATAGCATGACACTAGATTTCCTCTCGTGGCTCCGGCTGTCCATCTACATGTGCATCGTGTCGATCGCCATAATCCTGAGTTTCCAGCTCAAAACTGAGCCGTCACTGGTTGAAAGGCGCATGGCCCTGCCGCTGGGCCTGATCTTCTGGGCGTTGAGTCTCGTGTGCTTAGGCGCTGGCTTGTGCAACTATCTAAAGACGTTAGTATTACGTACCCCGGAAGACGAACAAAGAGAGATTGGCTCAACTGAATGAACTCCTGCAGTATCGAGAAATATAGCAAGAGGGCCGCCATCGTCCAATCAGGGGCAAAAACGCAGATGGTATAGTGCTCCATTATTTGCGGCATCATTGGAGCTCTGCTCAGTGCTCACAACTGTCTAGATATTTATCATCGTCAGTGTGGTGATCGTAGGAGCGTGTGTCATCTTCATCACTACTAATGCTCAACGCTGAAGAGAGGTTTGGGATGTGAGGGCTGCGATGTGAGAACTGGGAAGGCTGCGAGAGCTTGGAAGGCTGGGAAGGGCTGGGAAGGGCTGGGAAGGGCTGGGAAGGGCTGAGAAGGCTGTGAGGCTGTGAGAAGATTGCATAGAGAGGAGTAGGGCTGAAATTTACCTTGCAAGCGGCTGGTAGCCGTAATGTCGGGGTCGAACTAATAGGTCAGGATGTATCATATCGACAGCCGTAGTTCAAATAGAGGATCTTCCAGTCAAGTGTACATAAAATCAGGAATGTAGAATCCAACGGTTCGGTTCCCTTTGACACAAAGATGGAATGGATGCCGCTAACTGTATTCGGGTATTGTCATCCCAAAGTTGTTGATTTCGAGTTGTTGCTCTGTCAACCCAGTCCACCTCTCTCTTTCCTCCGCATCGCACATCCTTCGGGACATTCCCGCGCCATTCCTTCCCTTCCACTCCTCTCTTACACTCAATTACTACCCATAATACATTCACCATGAGTTCCACATGTCGCGAGTACGGCAGTATCCGCTCCTCCTCCCCGTCGCCTTCGGTCATGCTTCAGGACGACAACCAGGCTATTCGTGAAGGTCATCCGGACAGCGATGTCAACCACGACGACAACTCCGAGGCCAATGGAGGAGTTTCTGACCAGCTCCGCGGAGTCATGTGGCTTCTCCTGACCGAGTTGATCGCATCTGTGAATGCCCTGATCACTCGCTATCTCGAGACCTTTCCCGGAAAGAACTTACACCCGTTCAACATCATTTCCTGGAGAATGACCATCGCTTTCGCTGTTTGCCTCGCAATTGGATGGTGGAAGAAGGTCTCCCACTTTCCGCTGGGCCGCAGGGATCTCCAGCCATTGTTGTTGCTGCGTGGATTGGGAGGGTTCGTGGGTGTTGTGGGCTTCTACTGTAAGTTGTCATCTGGTCTGCGAGACGATGCGGGTCTGTCTAACAGGCTGCAGCTGCTCTCGTTTACTTGCCTCTGCCAGATGCCACGGTGATCAGCTTTCTCGTGCCGACACTGGTGGGCATAGCCTGTGCGATCATCCCAGCCATTCGGGAGCCCTTCACCCTCATCGAGAGGCTCTCCGCCTTTGTTGCGTTCATCGGAGTCGTCCTGATAGCCCGGCCTTCGTTCTTGTTCCTTCCGCTGGATGGAAGTGGATTCACCGCCGCTCCTGAATCCCAGAGGATCTTTGCAGTTGCGCTCGCCCTGTTCGGCGTGTGTGGCTCCTCGACCGCCTATACGTGTCTCCGCTGGATAGGCAAGCGGACGGACCCGCTCATCCCGGTATCATACTTCCTAGGCTTCGGTTCCATCACGTCGATCATCTGCCTCGCCACCGTGCCAGCACTTCCTGGTCTCATCCTACCGGCGGATCGGTTGGAGTGGGGATGTGCTCTTGTGCTTGGTCTAGGAGGGTTGCCCATGCAGTGGGCTTTGACGAGAGGCATGCAGTTGACAAAAGGGTCGATCGGCTCTCAGATCATCGCTTCTCAAGTGATCTTTGCGTTGTTCTGGGAGATGGTGGTTTGGGGTGATTTTCCTGTTGGCACCAGTTTAGTCGGAATTCTCCTCATTATTGGCAGCCTGACGTTTGTCAACTCCTACAAGGAGAAGAAAGTGGAATGTGTACGAGGGGGTGGGCCAGATGAGGAATCGAGGCTTCTTCCTGTTGATTGTGAAGCCGTTTAGGCCGGGAGGAAAGGAGGTTTGTATGGTCTCCTGCAGACAGGAGAAATGCTACTTTTTGTAGCTGCCCTGTTGGTCGGATCGACTTGCTTACTTACTTACTTGCTCGATGCTGATGGCTTAGACTGGGGGAGATGGACGGAATAATACTGCCTTTACATATGTTGTTTGCGTCTACAGTGTGTTGCACCATCCATCCCCTGCGTGTGGGGGAGACATCTCCGGCTGCTTATTATCCGCCATGTTGAAACCCGGTATCGAAATTACGTGACCGCAATGATCGCCAGCGTATCTACACATCCAACATGACCCGACTTATCCGGACTCGGGAGGTACGGGGTAGCACGAAATAATTCAAAGGCATTGCAGCATCGATAGCATGTAATGGCGACATCGGATGACTCCAATGACAATCGGTGGGCATGTATATAAATCGGATCACGAGCGTAAATACGTACGGACGAACCATCGTTAATTCAAAGCATCATGGCACCGGCAATTGTCACTATCGATGGGTCCCCGCTGTCAGTCGACCTGACGTCTGGAGTTCCCTACAAAGACTATGACCGCGGCTATCTCAACAAAGAAAGGGAGCTCCATGGGCACGGGAAACATGCGCCTGCTACGCACCCGGAGTATCTGCCTACACTGGAGCTCACTGGTCCGAAGGAAAATGGCGGGGTGTAAGTTCCTCATTCCTTTGCAGGACGGAGAGAAAACTGACTTGTGTATAAAAGTTACTATCCATTAGAGGAATATACACACACCGAGCACGGCAAAGATGCGGATCCCACCTTCCCCCACCTGCTCCCCAGCGATGGCAGCGTGACCTGGGACAACCTTACGCCGCGCTTCGGTTCCGAAGTCCGCGGGGTCCAGCTCTCGTCCCTTGACTCGGCCGGCAAAGACGAGCTCGCCCTCTTCGTGGCGCAGCGCGGCGTCGTCGCCTTCCGAGATCAAGACTTCGCCTCCCTTCCGATCTCGCAGGCCCTCGAGTTCGGCGGCTACTTCGGACGCCACCATATCCACCCCGCCAGCGGCCAGCCAAAGGGCCACCCCGAGATCCATCTCGTCCACCGCGGAGCGGACGATCCCACGCTCGGCGACATCTTCAAGACGCGGACTTCGAGCGTCGCCTGGCACTCGGACGTAACCTACGAGAAGCAGCCGCCGGGAACCAGTCTGCCCCCCTTTCCCCCCCTCTCATATCTCCACTAAACCCGCCTCCAGCCTTCCTGTACATCCTCGACACCCCCACAGACGCAGACGGCAAAGTCTCAGGCGGCGACACGGCCTTCGTCTCGATGACAGAAGCGTACGACCGTCTCTCCCCACTGTTCCGCGAGCGCCTCGCCGGCCTCCGCGCAACCCACAGCGGGATCGAGCAATCCGCCGCTGCCGCCGCACGCGGCAACGTTGTCCGCCGCCCACCAGTGGTCAACAGCCACCCACTGGTGCGCACGCACCCCGCCACAGGCCGCAAGGCCCTCTTCGTCAACCCGCAATGTATTCCCACCCTCCCCGCCCCACACACATATACTGACCCCCCACCCCGCCGGCAGTCACACGCCACATCGAACACCTCAAGCTCGAGGAGTCGGAAGCGCTGCTGAAGTTCCTGTACGACCACACAGCGTACGGCGTCGACTTCCAGGTGCGTGTCAAGTGGGCGCCGGGAACAGTCGTGGTGTGGGATAATCGCGTGGTTATGCACACTGCCCTGCTAGATTGGAATTCTGGTGGCAGGAGACATCTCGCCAGGATCACGCCGCAGGCGGAGGTGCCGGTTGAGGGTTGAGGAATGGTGATGTGTATGTGTGTTTGAATTGAGAGAAGAACTGGACTTGACTTGGTTGATGTAATTATACGAGGAAAATGGGAAAGATGGGAAATGGAACTGCGTATAAAGGAAACGAGACCGTGTAAACGGCGGATGAAGCCGGGCTTCAGACAGAGGATCTGACGATAACTGGCCGTCGCCGGACTCGGGCTCGGGCTGTGGGCTTAAAGGCCATGAAAGCTGTAGCTATGCAAAAGGACAGAGTACAGAGAAAAGTAGCAGTGACTCGGGAACAGGCAATAAGACGCATAACATCCACATGTATCATACCTTATGCAGGCAGCCGAGTGACAGAAGTTCCGAGTGACAGGAAGAGGAGTGAACCTCGGGCGAATACGAAGCGAGACTTTTTATCGAGCACCTACCTCTGTGTGTACGCATCCGGTATCCGTAACCGCGCTTAACGCTAGATACCGTTCCTCCTCTGCGTTGTCCAGTGCGGCCGGCATGACCCTGCAAGCAGCAAAAGCCCCATAAAAATGAAGAAAGAAAAAACGTAAGCCACAAAAACACACAGACGTGAGCGATCAGCCCTACTAGGTAGTAGGAAGAGTAGGGAGGGAGCCGTCATCGGCCGGGGTCGGGGTCAGGGTTGGGGCCGGGCGTACTGGGCTACGCTATTTCAAGCCACAAAAGGAAAAGGAAAAGGAAAAGGAAGGGAAAGAGGTGGATTGTGGAGCGTGTGAAACCCCGAGAGCTGTGCCGGTATGGTAGATGGAAATGTAGATAGGTACATGGTACTGCCGAATTCGAGGTCGTGATGCAGAATGTGATACACGATCGGTGAGGTTCGATGTTTTCGTTTTTGTACGGTACATACCTGGTACGTGACTCGAGGTCTAAGTACGCAGGCTTCGGGTTTTCAGTGATACATACCGTATGCTCGGCCAGCTTGAGCTTTGTACACTAGGTATAGTTCAACCCGAGCTCTCGAGAGTGGAGCTCACGCCCACGAGCATCCCCGTAGGTAAAAGATATCCGTCTACAGCCTTCTCCTCCACAGTCTCGCACCAATTCACCCCGCCCACTGGAACTGAAACCGGCCGTCGGAGCGTCGGAGCATGGATGCCAGCGCCGTGCGGACATCACTCGCGTCGGAGATCACTCGCGTCGGCAACCTGTGCCGGGGCCGGGGCCGGGGGAAGGTGGGCCCGAGACAGTGAGCGGGCGGAGCACAACTGTGGAGATACATACCTCATGCCGTATTCGCGGCCGGATTCCGCGAGATCAGATTCCGCGCGGCTCAATTCCGCGAGAGGGAGCCAGGGAGAGTGAGTGAGCGATTAGCCAAGTACCGATTAGCTATATACCGACGACCGAAGACGATCAGCGACGACGCTCGGCAGAGACGTGGTCACAAACCCAAATAAGTAAGAAGTAAGTAAGCAGGCAGGTACGTAATTGGTCTATCCCCCGCCCGCCCCGCCCCGCCCGCTCGTTCATCCATTCATCGCCGTCGTTCATCCATCCATCGCCGTCAGCCATCGTGATGTTCATAAACTGTCGCCGCCACCGCCACCACCAATCCCCGCCACCAATCCCCGCCACCAATCCCCGCACATTCAGCCAGCCAGCTAACCAGCCAGCCAGCTCCCTAACTAACCATTTTATCCATCCAGCCAGCGAACCAGTCCGCCAACCAGGAAGCAAGCCACAAATCAGCAGCAAACCAGCCGGTTGGCCTACATAGATATCCGGCCCACAGTCCAGTCCACAGTCCGGACCGCAGCCCGATCCCCACCCGCCTAATCCCCATCATGATTCATCCCCATCATCCTCACCATCCAATCCACAGCCCCCCTCTCATATGTATCCCCGCCAACCACAGTCCCTCCACCGTCCAAACGGCAGTACCTTCCCCCGTCCTCCCCCCCCCTCCACCACGGCAGTTACGCTCCAGCTCCAGATCCATTCTGCATCTAAAACGTCACGTCACGGCGCGCATCATATACTCCTAGCCCTTCTTCTAGCCCGCTCCTTCTAGCCCGCTCCTCCTAGTCTCCTCCCTCTCTCTCTAGCCCAACGGTCGGCACAGCTCAGGTCGAGTAAGGTCGAGTACATAAGGTCGACCCCAGGTCAGGTCGGCCCCAGGTCAGGTCGGCCCCAGGTCAGGTCGGCCCCAGGTCGAGCAAGGTAAGGTAAGGTAAGTTAAAGTATCAGGTAGCGGCCAGGTAGCGGCCAACCGGCTGGGCATCCAATCATTTATACACAGCACAGCACAGCGCAGCAAGCAAGCAAGCACATCGGCTGGGGCACGCTGGATGCGTGGCGGATCCACAAGCCAGAGAGTGCCAGACCGAGAGAGAAAAGAAAAAAAGAAAATAGACAGGCCAAGTAATGGTATTGGCATTGTTTGTGTGTAGGTAGTAAAGTACAGCCCATCTCTCCCCGCTCCGCTCCGCTATTTCCCCATGCTTATGCGAATGCCTAGATTGCAAGTAAAGAATCGTCTCAAAGGTATAATCGTTGCAGTCCCCCAACAGAAAACAAATACACCCACTCTCCCCAAAACAAAATGCAACCTTGAATGAGAAAGGTATAGAGAATTATGTGCAGAAAAGAAAACCGCTTGCATGAAATCAATGAAATAAAAAATGAAAACAAAAGCCCACCCGAACTCCAGAAAAACTCCCTCCAAAAAAAACCAAGACACCTGATCCCCACCCAACCTCAAGCAAATTACAAAAATGGAAGATTATCCACCGCCTGATGACGATGGATTCCCACCGCCGCCGCCACCGCCGTTCTTTTCTATGCTCGATAGTTCGTCGAATTCGTCATATCGGATCTGCGGCCCCACTCCCATAATCTCGTCCTCATCCTCTTCCTCCTCTTCCTCCTCGTCCTCGAGATCGACTTCCTCGGCCCGTCGTTGCTCGAGATCCCACCAACTCTCCCTCGGACGTCGTTCCGGCCGTTCCCGTTCCCGTTCCCGTTCCCGTTCCCTCCTGTCACCCCCCCTCTTGTACCATTCTTCGGCCGCCTCGTGCGTCTCGGCGTCTCGTCGTTCGTACGCCTTCCTGGCCTCAAAGCTCATGTGTTTCCTGTTCCTCCAAGCCAGATCCCCACCCTCCTCCGCCCCAATCTTTGCGCTCTTCCCCTTGCACTTGCGCAGGCCGAATCCATAATGCGTTTCCGGTATGTATCGCCACGGCTTCTCGCGAATGGTAAACAGCCAGCAGTCCACAAAACACTGGAATGGTAGGGTGAAAGCAACCACGCAGTGCAGTGGGAAACTAGGGTGTTGTACGAATCGATCCGTAAACTGCAAGGCGTGACTGATGAGTGGTGGCACCCACATGAGCGCGTACACCAACGGATAGATGAAGAGTAGCCTCAACTGCCGGCTGATGGCGATTCGTCTCCGCCGAGCTTCTTCGTTGGCAGTGTCGTTGATCTGTCGTCTCTTGTCGGTGCTCGTACGGTCTTCGACCGAGCTCGGCGGTATCATCATTCCGTGTGGGAAAAGTGTTGGGAACGATCCCCTCCTACTGTCGCAGCTGCGAGAGTCCGACGACGACGACAGGTTGGTCCTGTCGTGGAACGGCGCGAGGAGGGCTTTTGCAAACGGCTGCTCGATCCCGTTCGGCGGCGTTGGCTGGCTGTCCGTGGGCGGCGGGATCAGGCCGTGGGAATCGAGCGAGGGAAGCCGTGGCGGCTCCTTGGGCTGTTCCGGAGGAGCCAAATCAACAGTCTCCACGTCAAGTGTGGAAGCCCCTACGCTAGTCCGAAACGTCATGAACTTCATGCGCACGTAGACGTATATCGCCGCGTAGAGTATGAGGATCTGTTCCCAAGAAAAAATCGTCAGCACGGTGCCGCATTCGCTGGCCCGTCGGAGGGAAGGGGGGCCTCTCACAGTCAGGAGAATCAGATATCGCGGTATCCATGCTAGAGCCAATCGAAACCAGAACGGCCTGCAGAATCCCAGTCAGCATCATCATCATCGCAACAAGGCTCCCGGGGAAGGGGACCACCAACCGAACGGGTAGGTAGCAAAAGGTCCCTTGGGCACTGTATGCAGGGGCTTTGTTCACGAATGCCAGAGACGGCATCATCACCGAGAAGGCGAACCAGGCCGTGTAAACATAGTATCGATATCTGAAGAGACCACCTTCCCCAACCCTTCCCAGCCCAGGTCTGAAGATGTAGAGAGCGCTATGGACAGCAATGGCGAGGACGGCGAAATCTGAGGAGAGCAAAAGTCAGTCCCCACACACACACATGTATACACAAGAATTGGGAGAAAAGAAAGAACATACCCGATGCCTCAATCCCCATCGACATCATGAATCCGGCTGTCTGGCAGAAGCGAGATTCGCTCGAAACGGCGCCTTTGGTGAAGACGACTGCCGGGTATATCAATTGCCAGCTCGCTTTGTAAAAGTCCGAGAATATCATCAACATGATGAGGCTGGAGGGCGCACCACAAGTCAGTACAAACAGCACAGACAACGTACATAAACGTACATATGGTGGGAAGGATCGGGAGGCGGCGGCAAGGCGCATACTGATGTCGGAAACTCCTCTTCATTCGAATAAACCAAAACCCAACCAACAATCCGCTCACCATTGACATGCTCGCAGCGGCCAAGGCTATTGAGCGCAGGATATACAGCTGGTCGTCCGACAGCGTCGGGTTGCCCTCGGCCTCATCGCTTAGGGTCATCCTTCTCAGACCGTACACCGGATCGTCCGTCCATTTGCTTCCTGTGGCGCCTGCTGGGCTCTCCGATTGCATAACAACCCAATCGCCTGGCGCAGAAACTCAACTTCCGCACTGGTATCGGTTCTTCGGTTCTTCGGTTCTTCGGTTCTTGGCTCCTTTGCGTCTCGCTAACCGTCCCCGAAAATGCAATCCCACTCTTCCTTCTTCTCCTTCGCCTTGTTCTTCTCTTTCTTGTCTTTCCTGTCTTTCTCGTCTTTCGTCTCCCTACTCCCTGTCGTTCTCCTTGTCCTTGTCCTTCTCCGTCTCCTTTCCCGAAACGGATATGCTGGTTCGAAATCGGGGAGGGAGGGGGGAGGTAGGTAGCAGTGTATTCGGTATGCCGTAGTGCTCGAATGCCGTCGAATGGGCTGGCCGTCGAATGGGTGGGGAATTCACGAAGATGGGTTCGAAAAAGACTCGGGCCGTTATTTGAGTCTCCACCAGAGTTTTGCTCAGCACACTCGTGCGCTGCGTGGAATATGCGGGCCCTTGTCTTTTGAACTTGTGCTAGATTTTTTTAATTTTTTTTTCCTTCTTCTGCACTGCTCCCAGTATGGGGGTGTTTTTTTTAGGTTGGATTAATTTTTTGGCGCTCTGCAGGCAGGCCTTCAGAGTTGTTGTGCGTGCGTGTTTTTAGCGTGGACGAACCCTGGTAGATAGCATTCCGTCACTTCAACAACAGCCGGGGAGCGAGATGTAAACAGAGTAGAGGCAGCAGCGGAGCAGCGGGTGCTAGGGCAGTTCGCTAGACGAAATTCGATCCACCCCCTCCAAAACAATCTCGCGGCAGTGCCGGGCCGAAAAAAAAATTGATGGTCGTTACGACGGCGGAAAGGGTGGTGGAGCAGACAGTCGGACAGGGCGAGATGATGAAGCTTTTTTGCTTCGCTCTGGTTTCGGTATTGAGGATGGAGGATGGAGGATCGGGGAGGGGAGGAGGCAGTGGTGGTGGTGGAGGCGGGCGGCGGGCGGGCTGCGGGCGGCTCTGTAGGTGGATATGAGTCGATATGTTGCCGTTGCGGTTCGGGATCCGCGTCGAGAGTACTAGGTAGTAGTACAGGCCCAAGCACGATGGTGACCAGTACAATCGAATGGAGCGTGGGCAGGGAGACGGAGGTACAGATGTGAGGAAAGAGAGATACGATAACTTAAGATAAGGAATAAAGGATGAGTGATTCCTGAAGAGGAAGAGGGGGGGGCAGGAGGAGGAGGGAGTATGAGAAGGAGGAGGGGTGGGGGGAGGAAGGGTGGGGGGTGGTGGTTAGGAGGTAGGTAATAGTGACGGGGGAATAAGGAAGAGTGATCGACGAGGAGGAGGAGGAGTGGAGGGGGAGGGGAGCTGAAAGAGAAGGAGGGAGAGGGGAGAGAGAACGAGCAGCGGCAGCAGCAATAGCAGCAGCACAGCAGCAGCAGAGCCGTGAGCGAGAGAGCGAGCCGGAGCAACCAGGGGAGAGATGGACGGGCGCTCTCCTCCTCAGATACGTAGGCCGCTCTCAAGCCACCTCTGTTGTTGTTGTGTTGCGCAGCTCAGGTGCTTGCCTGTCTGTCGCCCGGGGTGGAGGGGGGGAGTGGTGGCCACGAATGAGCAGGCAGGTTGGCATGGTTCCAGTCAGGTTGTGTGGGATAGCGAATGAGAATGGGAACGAGATGTACGGCGGCGATCGAGCAGCAGCAACCTGCATCCCGCGCACCGAATGGGGAGGGGGGGCTTCACCGATGTCGATTTCACTCACTCACTCACCACTCTGCACTTTGGTGTCTCTCTAGCAGATAGGGTAGAGTAACTACGGAGAGTCGAGTCGAGCACGTCCGTCGTACGTCCACTGCGACACTGGCAACTGGCATCTGGCAACTGGCATCTGGCAACTGGCATCTGGCAACTGACTGACGAACAGCCGTCCGTGCCATGCCATGTCAACATGCACCCCCGATCCATCCCCCAGCATGCCCCATACCAGCCCATGGCAGCCAGCCAGCCCTCTGCGCGAACAGGTCTCGCCCAGCCGGCCATCATCAACTAGGTAGAGTGGAGTAACCATCATTAGAGCAACTATTGCGACCTTGTTTTGCCCTTGAATCTCGTCCTCCTCGAGCTGCTTCATCGTCCTGCGTGCCCTTGCTCCGTGAAATGAGCAGGCAGATCCGGTACGTACGGTACCCACTCTGTCAGTAACTAGGTCGACAAGTCACAACCCCAGCCATACATACAGACGATACCTGGAATACCTCAATACCTGATCGCTGCCGGCGACGAAGAGAGCAAGCACTCGCGATTCGCGACTCGCGGGGAAACACGCACTCTTGCACGTACGTACGTACCGAGTGCAGGTACCCAAGTCGTGCACCGTACTGTACAAGGCGAGTTGTATCTGATTCTGATTCTGGATGAGGCAGAGGGGGGGGGGGGGCACGTTACTATAGATAGAGTGCAACAACGACTGTTGGGTTGGGTATGGAGTAACTTGGGTTTGGGTTTGGGTGTGAGTTGTGGTTGGGGTTGGGATGGGTCGGGCCACCATGGGGGGTATGTAAAGCAAAAGCGTGGGTGGTAGGTGGAGGTGGATATGAACAGAACAAGCAACACCCATGGGGCATGAGCCAAGCAGTCGAGCTCGTTCAAGGACTCAAGGCTTCTCCTCCCGTGATTCGCGGTTTGGCAAGTTCGCAAGTTCGCCAACAACAACAACAACAACAACAACAACAACAACAACAACAACACGAGACCCGGCCCCTCCAAACGCCGTCGTATCTAACTAGGGCGTCTATCTACCTCTACCTACGTGGAGTACACACGACGACGGCTCTATTCCGAATCCCACGCCGACCGATGAATGGCTCCTCCCACCTCCCCACCTAACCTCCGCTCCCTACCGAAACTACCGGAAGAGCTCCTGACTCCTGGGTTCTGAGTTGATGCTCATTTCGACAGTTCCGAAACCGACCAGCTCCGTTCTACCTACCCAGACAGTACTACGGAGCCCGAGTTTCCTCCGACGCTCCACTGTCTGTCCGGTGCTATGTAACTCACTCACACATCGAGGACGTCACCACCCACCACCACCCCCACCTGTGTGTCTTCCCCGTTGCCCCACCAGCTAACAGCTGGCAAGAGCAGCCGCCGATCTTCCCTCGCTGTCGTTGCCGCTGCTGTCGTTGTCGCTTTCGCTGCTGCTGTCAGCCACGCCAGAGGTGACAAGTTACATATGTAGAGCGCAACCTCGGGATTCTCGCCGAGGAAGGCTCGGATCAATGTGCAACACTAATCGGTGGCTGCTGCAAGATCAGCATGATCAGCAGTATCAGCTTGGCAGTTTTGCAGTTTGGCAGCTCGGCAGCTGGATCGTGGCGTAAATGGTAAGTAAGGTAAGTGTTCCGTCACCTGCTCTCGCGCGCGCGCTTGTGGGTGCGTGTGTATGTCGGCGTGTATGTGTATGGGTGAGTGACGATCGGTTGTATTTATGTAGATAGTGACAGGAGAGTGACGGGAAAGTCGAGGCCAGTGAAGTAGAGTACCGTGGAGTACCGTGAGTAAACATCCACCGTCTTTCGTCTCCACGAAACACCGCAAAAATCAATTGGCCCGGAACGATTCCACGTCTCCACGATTCCACGTCTCTTCCGCGATTGTGTACCCAGATCTTTCCGGCCGGCAGATCCCCCCTCCAATATCCATCGATCAAGCTGAAGTCTAGACGAAGCCTCGTCCTCGTATCCTGCTCCATCCATGCTCATCCAAGCCAAGTCACTTCAAGCCAAGCTCACACTCGGATCCTCCCCGGTCTTCGGATGCTTCCCGGCTACGTACGCTGACGGGGTCTCAGGTCTCAGGTGTCGGGCGTCGCAGCCGGAGCCGGGGAGGACTCGGGCGTCGGGGGAGGGCGACGGGGGATAAGGTAAGCATTCCCGGACCCCACAGTCTGGAGTCTGGCCAGGCCTTGCTTTGGCAGCTTCGCTTTGCCGCGCCGCAGCGCTCGCGCGCTACGATACGGTATATACGAGGAAGAAAAAAAGAAAGAAAGAAGGAAAGAAAGAAGGAAGGAAGGAAAGATGGAAAGATGATCTCTTTGTGCTTTGCGCTCGTATTGTAACGTACGGCCTAGGTATGCTATGTACTGACTCGTATCCCTGAGGTAGCGCGCACTCACCGAGCTGCGAGCTGCGGTCTGCGGTCTGTGATTCCTTTCCTCTTATGATATGCACGCTCCGCTCCGCTGCGCTCGGAACGAAGCGAGGGAGCGAGGGAGCGAGGGAGCGAGGAAGGAGCTGTCGGAACGAGGGAAGGTGAGGAAGGAGCTTTGAGCTTCGACGAGCTGTCGAGCTGTCTGTCTGTCCGTCCGTCGGATGAATGGAATGGAATGCGCGGACGACAGCCGCTCTGGTCGCTTCCTAGGGAGGTATTCATGCTCCCGCTCCCGGGGACCTCTCGTTTGGGATAATCTGGCGAGAATCTATCTATGCGACTCTATGCGACTCTCACTTCACCTTTGCTTTCAATAGCACGACACGATAACTAGCACCTACCGGAGAAGGCGACCGGAGCAGGCGAGCGGACTTAAAGGCCACTTGCATCCACAGCTTCAGCCTCCACGCGCCGCACGCCCTTACTTGTTTTACCACCGCACCGCACCCCACCGCAGGGCGCCCGTCTACTAACGACTCCATCTATATCTGCCTACAGGCACAACCACCACCACAGCAACCACCCTCACGGAACAGCTCCCACCACCACGAGCACCACCACCACCACCACCACCGCCACCACCACCGCCACGAGCACCACCACAACCACCACGTCGAGTGAAGCAGTTGTTCGCGAGCGTGCACCCTCCACCTTTACATTTACTCCGGGTATCCTTGCCACACATCCACCTTATCCATCGCCCCGAGGCGAAATGGAATAAAATCCAGCAGCTGCGGCGGCCGAGTGCGGAGGACAGACGTGGTGGTGCTGTAACATGTATGTGCTGGCACTCTCAACCCATCCTTTCGGGTGCGGCTACCTTTGGTGGATGCTTTGCGTCACCAAACCTCCACGGTAGTTAACTGCTGCTCTGCTGGATGGATGGATGGAGAGAGAGACTGAAGGGCGGGGCCGGTTGATGGAGAGGAGAGTTGACCTGTCGATCGAGAGTGAGGGAAAGAAAGAGAGAGAGAATGCGGTTATCCGAACATCACAGGCACTTGCTCGTTCCTGTTCTTGTTCCCGCACATCCTCTCTCGCTCTCGCTCTCCCCTCCAATCCTCTTCCTCTCCTTCTCCGTCCCCTCGCACTCTCCCATCGCATCCGTGACAGGTATCTCTCCCCTCCCCGTAGTTAAACGTGCACACCAATACCTCCTACTCCCCTCAATCTACCTTCCGTCACGTACCGTATTCTCCACACTCTACACACCTACGTTTGTATTGTGCGCACCCCCATCCCCTCCCGCGCCGCGCCGGTTCCGGGGGGTGCGCGGGTGGTGGGAGGGGTGTGTGGGGTGGTGGCCATTGCGTCCGGCCGTGGTGCCGGATATTTAATTTCGCTTGTTGCTAGCCTGCACACGGTCTCGACGATCACCAGCACCAGCACCAGCACCAGCATCTGTTTCTGCTTGTGTTTCTGCTTTTGTTTTTTGTTTTTTGTTTTTTTATGTTTCTTTCTTGGGAGAGGTGGGAGGAAGGGTGGGGTGGGAGCTGAGCTCGAGGAGTCAAGGTGGTGCCATGGTGCGATGGTGCGTGCACAGGGCGTGCACGAGACGGAGCGGAGCGGGCAGATGTGCGGTGCGGAGCGGTGGGTGGGTGGGTGCGGGCGAGAGGGTGGGGAGGGTCAGATGATTCATCATTACTCTATATACTCTAGGTATTCCAGCCTCAGCGGGTCGTTTCGCTCGCTCGCCCGCACGCTTCAGGGTTGCATGACTCTCTTTGGTCGAGTACAAATATCTGTTGAGACTCCAATCGGTCGTTTCGCCCTCCCCACCTCTTGGCGACAGGACGGACTGGACAGACTGGACAGATGCATGATATGATGCGGTGATGCGCCTGCGCCCATGCCCATGCCCATGCCCTTAAGCCATTGAATAAGCGATGTGTTGTGTATGGCCTACATATATCTATATGGCCATCGTGCGTGTGTGCGTGGGTTGTGGGTGGTGGGTGGTGGGTGGTGGATGTGGAGGGTGGATATTCAACTCTAGTTAGTGGTGGAGGGATGGATGTGTGAGTGTGAGTGACAGCGTGGGTGGGAGGGGGGGGAGTTGAGGGGAGAAGAGCGGGGGGGTTGTGGTACGAGCGGGTGGGGGTCGTCGGAGGCATTGGTCCGTGCCCACGGCCACCAAACGTCGAGTTGGAATGTAAAACAACTGGTCTGAGCGCGCGCGCGGAGATGGACGGGCGGGTGGGTTGGGCGGGTGGGTTGGGTGGGTGGGTGGATGGTTGAGCAGGCGGGCGGGCGGGTGGATACAGACTTGCTCTATCTACTACCAGTTACTTACAGGACGAGCACGACTGTCCGACGGCCTTCGCTGCGTGTCACCGTGTCAGACTTTCTTTTGACGGCTGACGTGCCGCCGCTCGGTGCGATTCGGAGCCTGTGTTGCGAGTGGATCATGGCTCGTCAATCGTGTGCGACCGTGACCGAGCTCGCTGCTCGGCACATGTGCCTATTATTACCATAGCTGCTGCGGGCCTGCGGCTCTGCTGTGGGAGACTTGTCGCCATTACCTCATGCCGGATAGCTGCCTGCCAGACAGCTCAACCACCACCACAACCACCACCAGCTCATCGTCACCACCAGCTCATCACAACCACCACCAGCTCATCACTATCGGCCCATCACCAGCCATCTCCTCCCACATCCTCCCCCCCACACACCACCCGCAACGATGTCTACCACCGCCAGCATCGCGCCCGGGACGACCCCCAAAAAATCATTCATCCCTCTAGAGCACGTCCCCCCTCCGCTGTCCCTCCTCCGTTGTCTCCTCCGTTGCCTCCTCCCCCCCCCCCCCCGTTGCCCCCCTCTGTTTCACCCACCCCCACCCACCCCCACCCACCCCACCCACCCCCACAGCTAACGTACCTGACCCTCCCAGATGCAACCCCGAGCTGATGACCACTTTGATCCACAACCTCGGGGTGTCCCCCACCCTGACCTTCGTAGACGTGTACTCCCTCTCCGACCCTGAGCTGTTGGCGTTCATCCCCCGCCCCGCGCTCGCCCTGCTCCTCGTCTTCCCCGTCTCCGCCAGCTACGAAGAGTTCCGACAGCGCGAGGACGCCGCGCGCCCCGAGCACTACACCGGCCACGGCGCCGACGAGGACCCCGTCTGGTTCAAGCAGACGATTCGGAACGCGTGCGGGCTGATCGGCGTGTTGCACGCTGTGGCCAACGGCGCGCGGGGCCAGATCCGTACGCCTCCTGCTTCCGCCCACAGGCGCGTGCGTCGCTGATGGATGTGTCGTAACTACCTAGAACCCAACACGCCGCTCGCCGACTTCCTTGCGACCGCGCAGCCGCTGCCAATGGCGGAGCGCGCGCTCGCTCTCGAGAATAGTCCCGCGCTGTCGAGCGCGCACCTGGAGGCGGCGTCGAGGGGCGCCACGGCGGCGCCGAGCGCAGAGGATGATGTAGAGCTGCACTACGTCTGCCTCGTCAAGAGCGTCAAGGACAACCACTTGTACGAGCTCGACGGCCGGAGGAGGGGCCCGCTCGATCGTGGCTACATCGGCGATGAGGACGTGCTCTGTGATGAAGCTAGGAAGGTCGTGCAGAGCTTTATTGAGAGGGAGGAGAGTACCGGGAGACTCGACTTTTCGCTTGTTGCGCTTGTGCAGGGGTTTGATTGAGCGGAAGAGGAGACGGCAAATAGTAGCATATCTAGTGAGGGATATTCGAAATCTACATATCAGCTGCCGGATGGCGCAGGGTGCGGATTTGGCGAGTAATTGGGATGTGAACGGTCTGCCGGTGCTCGACACTCGGTGCCGGCGTATCTATCGTCAACCAGTAGTTCGAACAGCTTGACCTTGTAAGAAAACCCTTCAAGTTGGACGTTGCACGAATAGAAAGCTTCAGTTCACCTGCATTTCATGGCCATTAGTTCCATGAGCACTCCCCTCCAGTCAAGCCAAGCCAAAATAGAACACATCACACTGTGTGAAAGCTTTGTAGAATTTCATCTCCTACGTGTTCCCGATCTGTTCGGATAGGTAGAGCAGCATCCGGCGAGTTTGCCAGCTAAATGCTTTTATCCACATATCTACGTATCTCGGGAAAACCGGGTGATATCGCGTGCACATATCCGCCAGCCGCCACTCGACCACGCCAGCTCCCTCGTTTTTTTCCAATTCCAAACGCCATACCATTTCGCCCAAAACCAAGTTCCAAACTATGTAAGTTACATACAGATAAATCCCTATTTTCCCCCCACCCCCTCCTCGCGCTCCTCCGCCTCGATCCTCCGCGCCTCCGCCGCCTCGCGCGCCTTCTGCCTGCCATCGGGCCCCTTGCCCTTCCGGTAGACGCGCTCATCGCTGGGATCGAAGCCGCCGTTCCCCCAGTTCGCCCACAGCGGTGTCGGCTCGCCGACATACTCCTCGGGGCTGAACTCGCGGCCTTCCTTGAGCAGCGAGAAGAACCGCTCGTAGTCGATCAGTGTGTGCCAGCGGTTGTTGATGAAGAATTTTTTCGAGGCGAGGAGGATACAGCAGCTGGTGAATAGATGGTTAGTGTGCGTGACTGGGAAAGGGGGGAGGGGGGGAGGTGTAGGTACCTGTGAGCGTGCTCCGCGCCAATCCCGTACTCCAGCCCGCGCCTGGCCAGCTCCTCGTCCAGGGCTTTAACGAACTCGACGACCTCCTCGTAGAACGGGACATTATCCATCGTCAGACCCGCCTCTCCCGCACTGCTAGTACCACAGAACGTGACACCCTTGACCTCGACGAAGCACGGCAGCCCGCGCTCGACCAGATCCGCGTAGCCCCTGACCTCGTTGTCGACATTGAAGCCCTTGACGAGGGTGAGGCGGAAGACGGTGCGCTGCTTGTGGCGCTTTTCGCGGAGGATATCGAGGCACTCCATGAAGCGCTCCCAGAAGTCGCGGTGGAGCGGACGATCGATCTTCTTCAGGCTCTCCTTGTTGCTGGCGTCGATAGACACATACAGCTGCGTTACTGGACCCAGGTCGCGGAGTTGCGCGGGGTGCTGCGCGTTGCACACTAGGAACGACGAGATCCCGTCGGCGTGCAGCATCGCGAGGAACTCGTTGATGTACGGATAGAAGATGGGCTCGCCGACGAGACTGAGCGCGCAGTGCCGGATGCGGAACGCTTCGCTGAAGCGGTCCGCACGCACTCCGGGAACGCCCTTGAGCATCTTGATCTTGCGGTAATGCCCTTCGACTACGCCCTTAAAGATTTCTTCCGGCGGGTCGACTTTCCAGCGCCAGGTCGTGCCGACCGGGTTCGTGCCGTGCCGCCAGCAGAAGACGCATTTGTTCGAGCAGCTGAGGGACGGCGTGGTTTCCATGCATAGGTGCGATTTGATGCCGTAGAAGGAGAACTGCGGATCGTTAGTTGAGTGAGGGCGCGAGGAGGGATGTGGTCTACCTTGTAGCAGCTGCCTCTTCCGCGCAGTGCGCTCTTGGTCCACCGACATATCTTGACACCGGAGTGAGATCCGACGATGGCATATCCTTGCTTGGTGAGAGCGTTGTACGTGACGCCGTCCTTTGGGACCATCTCTTTGCGTGCTGGAGACTGTCCTTCGCCTGCCTCGAGAGCTAGTTTTCCAGCCGGCGAAGTGAAGTCAACAGGAAGTGGCGCGGGACGGTACGAAGCTTTGGTCTTAAGAACATCGGGCGACCGATTGATCATTCCCCCAAGATCTTCGAGATCCATCATATCCTTAGCCGGCTCCTCGTCGGCAACATCCTCCTCGTCGGAATCCTCATCCCCGGACTCGACAGCGGCCCGCCATTCACCGCCACCACCGAGTTCACCAGTCTCACAGTATTCCTTCATCGCATCCTCCAAATGAATGCGCCATTCCCGCAGATTGGATACGGCCGTGCCAAACTCCTTGTCCGCCTTGGACGACGCCGGATTGACATCGCCCATTCCCAGGGGAAACATCCTGCGGCTGCCAGCGCGACCTCCGGTAAGCTTTCCCAGCCATTTGTCGACGGCCACAGCATCCTGGCAGAAATTGCCTTCGGACTCTGGCCACTCGGATGAATCACCAAAGCCGAATACCGAAAAGCCGGCGAGTGAGCGCAGAGGCGCCGTGTCGATGCGGAAGTCGTGGTGGGTCTCTTGGAGGTGGTCCAGGAAGGGCGCGACTGGGGAGTCGGTCTCGTACGACGGAGTGATAACCAGGTAGATGTATTTGACACTCCGTCCATCCTCCGATGTGCTCGGCGGCGAGATGAAGTAGTCGTCCAGTTCGATTTCCTCGAGGTTGTGCAACTGTGGCGGCAAGAACTTGCGCGACAGAGGGATTTCCGACAGAGAGCTCGACGGTGTGGGGATGGAGAGCTTGGGGTACACCCCATCCTTCTCGGAGAAGAGGTCATTTTTCAGCTGTTCGGCGTACTGCGCAGTAGAGCCGGTCAACGAGGTGTAGAAGATGCAGATCTGAAGATCGAAGTCGCCCTCGTCCTTCGCTGGTTTGGTAGGGCCTCCACGCAACGTCTTGCCCTTCTTAGCCGGCACCTTCTTCCCTGACACGCGCTTTGGACCTAGTTTGACCTCAGCAGAAGACGAGGACTTGATACGCGCTCCAAGGTCGGCAACGCTCTCGATTTCCACGGGCTCCTTCTTCTCTTTCGGTTCCGACGTCGTTTTACCGCTGATAACTACGCCGTCCAGGCTCTTTGCGGGCTTTATGGTTCCGATTGAGGCTGTCTCTTGGTGGAGAAGCGTGCGAAGCGACTGTAGGCATTTGTAGATAATCGCGGCCGCCACCACGACGCCGAAGAAGGTAGACCGGTAGTTGTGCCATATTTGAACGAGCTCTATGACCGCGTAAGCATAAACAGTGGGCTATCGACGTGCAGCACCGACCTTGCAGAGCACCGGGCTCTTCCATGGCAGAAATCATGGCCGGCGGTGAGGGAGGTGACAGAGTGGGCACTTCACAACAGTTTCCAAAGAAGAAAGAGAATTTTAGTGGGGCTTCGGCAAATTCCGAAAAGTTACTAGTATTAGTAGGTCTTTTTTATCAGATCTCCGCATGCTCCGCTGTCGGAGCTATCATACGGAGGTCAAGCTTCTCGTCTAACTTCACATCATCCATCCACACCCCGCGTACCTCGCTCGCCAGCAAACGATCTATGGCGTCAACTACAGCCAGCGGAGTCCCCTCTTCAAAGGAGAAAAAGTACGACCGACAGCTGCGATTGTGGGGTGCAGATGGGCAGAACAAGCTTGAGTCTGCACACATTGCTCTCTTCGGTGCTTCGGCGACTGGCTGCGAGACGCTCAAGAACCTTATCCTCCCCAGCGTCGGCAAATTCACAATCATCGACGACAAGAAGGTAGTCGATGCAGATCTTGGCGTCAACTTCTTCCTGGACGAGGACAGCATAGGAAAATCTCGCGCGGAACGGACAGCTGCGTTACTGGGTGAGCTGAACCCGGATGTCCGGGGGGGCTACATCGAAGACGTCTGTGACCATGCTGGAAGCCTTCGCTTTGCCGTTTACGTTCGTATAACTTACTCGCGATGCACAGAACCTTTCGAACCTCCTAGCCACGAAGCCGGAGCTGTTCCGACCGGAGTCCTCGCCGTTCACACACATTGTCGTCGTCTCGCCCTTCCTTACGTCCGATGTCCTCAAACTGTCGCCGGAGATACCCACCTTCCTAGCTTACTCCATCGGATTTACATGCTCGCTGCGGATCGCTGCGCCTACCCGTTGCATTGTCGACACGCACCCTGATACCCTGATAGACCTAAGGCTGTTAAACCCATGGGAGGAGCTCTCGGCTCTTGTCGCGGACCTTGGTACGGGCGTTGACGCGGCCGAAAACGATGGTGGAATGAGCGATCACAAGCACGGCCATGTGCCGTACGTCGTACTGCTGTTGAAATACCTGGAAGAATGGAGGGCCACTCACGGCGGCGCCAACCCGTTAACCTACAAGGAGAAAACCGACTTTAAGGCGATGATCCTGGACAGGATGAGGACGAATGTTCCCGGCGGCAGCGAAGAGAACTACGAAGAAGCCGCAGCAGCAGTTCTCAAGAACGTTCGTGAAGCCGAGCTCTCGTCGGACACCCGAGGAGTGCTGGAGGATCCTCGATGCATCAACCCTTCCAAAAACGTTTGTAGCACACACACCTTGGTCATTGCATTTCGACGACTGATCATATCCCTCTAGTCCTTCAACTTCTGGATAATCGCACACGCAGTCCGGGAGTTCCAATCGCGCGCAAACCAAGGCGCAGGTCTCCTCCCGCTCTCCGGCGGCTTCCCGGACATGAAGGCAGAAAGCAGCACCTACGTCGCCCTGCAAACGCTATACCGCAGTCGCGCGCGCCGCGACGCCCTCCTCGTTCTCGAAAACACTCAATCGATCCTCGCCGCTCTCGGCCGCGATCCCGAGTCCATCTCCCTCGAGGAAATCACGCTCTTTGCTAAACATGCCAACTTCGTGCGCAAGATCGATTACCGCCCGCTCGCGCCGGAGTATACCCAAGATGACCACCATAAACACGCTGTCACCGCCGCGCTGGCGGGTTTTAATCCCGATTGGAATAAGTCTACTATTCATGAATATGTTGCGGTCCGCGCGTGGCAGGCGTTTTATGATAGGCATGGCAGGGCAGCGGGCGACGAGGATAGCACGTTGGAGGCGGATGTTGTCGAGATGCTAAAGATTGCGGAGGAGTATCTGAAGGAGGTGGGGTACGAGGGGGAAATGAACGAACATGCCCAGAACACGATTAAGGAAGTTGTCAGGGCTGGAGGTGGAGAATTGCATGCCATTGCTTCTCTCGCAGGCGGTATCGTGGCGCAGGAGATCGTCAAGGTAAGTTCGGTTTGTGAGTGGATGGGATGAAGCTGACTAGTGAAATAGGTCATCACTTCGCAGTACGTGCCCATCAATAATACGGTCGTGTTTGATGGCATTGCGAGTAGGAGTTCGACTTTTGGGTTTTAGGGAGTGCGATCACCCTGGAAAGCTCATTGTCAAAATCTTCACCCATCCTCACTGCTGAAATCTTGTGAATACCACGTTTGTAGCACTTGATACTGTAGCACTTGATACCGTCAACATCCGTAGAATTCTACATTCACCATAACAAAGTCCAAAATCAAAAACCCTGAGCCGCATCCTCAACTCCAACCTATTTTACCCATTCCGTCTACATATCTACTCCTCCTCCTTCTCCTCGCCCTTATAAACCTCAGCCAGCCCCTTAACAAGCCTCTTGAACCTATTAACCTCGCCGACCTTGAACCGCATGTAATCAAACCCATAGACGACGTCGCCAGTATCGCCCGCGCCGAACGTCGGACTCTTCGGGTACCGCTGGCTGAAATGCACGAGCGCGGTCTTCCTCGCGCCCATCTCCCTGCCGCTCTTGATCGCCTCGCCGATGGTAGAGTGTTTCTTCGCCATAGCCTCCTCGAGGAGCTCGTCGTCGAAGGTCGCCTCATGGACCAGCAGCGTAGCGCCCTGGCCGATCTCGACGAACGAGCGCGTCGGCCGCGTGTCGCCGCTGTACGCCAGCTTGAAGCCCGAGGAGAACGTCACGGCCGTGGTGAACGATGACTGGCAGTGCCATGCCGGCGCGGTCTCCCATTTCTCCAGTTTGAGGGCGGATAGCAGCGCGCCGTAGGTGGCGGGAGCGTCGTAGACGCTGCGCAGATGCTCGTTCGGTACGAACACGAGGTGGTCGATGCCGATGTCTTCGATCTGCGCGTAGTCCGTGAGCCAGGTCCAGAAGCGCTGCGGGGCGACGATAAAGGTGGGACGGGAGCCGTCGCCGGTGCTGCGGAGCAGCTGCCGCTGCTCGTTCAGGAAGGAAATTGAGCCGAGGTGGTGGTCGGCGTGCAGGTGCGAGATGTACAGGACTTTGATGTCGAGTAGACGGTGCTTGTAGTCTTCTACGGTGAGAACGCGCTTCATCTGCCCGATGGTGTTCTCGCCGCAGTCGAGGAGGATGGAGCAGTTGTTGGGGATTGTGATGAGGGTGGCGGAGACGTTGCGGTACCGCGAGGGGAGGGCGGAGCCGGTGCCGAGTGTGTAGACTTCAACATCGCTGCCGGGGAAGTCTTCCTTTTCCGGGGGCGATTGTGCGAGATCTTCCCGAGTCTCCGTGGCAATGGCAATGAATTCTTTGCCGCCTTCTTCCGGTAGGAATGCCTCTTCTGGGGAGAAGGGGGGAGGTATCTGAGTCGTGTCCAGGGACCACTCGGGTTTGATGTTGAACACCATTCCGACCTCGGCGCCGATGGCCTCCTTGGGCGGAGCTACTTCGGCCGTAGAATTGGAGTGTAATGGTGGGAAGAACACCGGGTCGATCATATTCAGTCTCGTGGTGAACTTGGCCGCTCCCTTGAAGTTGATGGGATCGGGACAGACATCCGGGGAGGCGATGATATGTTTCGATCCTGGGAACCGCTGCATGAACTCGACGAGCTGAGCATTGTGGGCTACTCCCGACCCGAGAATCCAGAAGAAAGCACCGAGCTTCTTTTGGACAGCTTCCACATCCGACCACTCCCTGTTCGCGACGAAATCCTCGACGTACTCCTCGGTTGGAAGTTCGCAGATGGCGATTCCGGTTCCAGCGATCGAGGGCTCCTGTACTTCTTCGGGCTGCACAACCCGACCATCCCGAGTCGTTACCGATTGACCGTTGGAGAGCTTCCCAAACATCGGGCCGGGGGTGACACCGAGTTGCTTCGCGATGTGTGGCAAGAACTTGCCGCGGTGATCGTGCAGCACCACGATGTAACTGAGCGCTACCGCGGACGGCGTCGATGGTGGAAGCGACTGCACATATCTGGCTATCCCCCCGGGATTCTCCTCATCCTCACTCTTCCTCCTCTTCTCGCTCCGCTCGCTGCCGTTACCGCCGACCACTAGCGGGTCCACTTCCTCCAACTCGTTTCGATCCTTATTGACGCTCTTCTGCGACGCAAACATGTTCTCTACGACCTCCTTCAGGAACTTGATCCTCTCCTGCTCATCCATATCCTCCGTCATCCTCTTCCTATTTGCCGACTCCTCAACTCCGCCCCGCGGCCGCACCTGCAGCGTCTTCACCGTAATGTTGTTGTCGGTAAAGACCTTCGGCTCGGGGGCCTCAGTGAGCTCATCCACCCTAACCTTCAGCTGCCCACGGAACACAAAGCTCCTCGTCGCCGCGATACTATGTAGCAAGTTCTCGCCGCCATGAATCGTGACCGGATTCCCCTCAGCGCGCTGCCCATCCGCCTTCCTCGCATCGCCAATAGTGAGCAAGAACCCGACCAGCCCACCAGTAGTCGCCCACTCGGTCCGTCCAGTCAAGAAAATATCCTGCACCTTCGCGAGGCGCACGCGGCGCTCGACATACGCGCGCTGCGAGCCCTCAGCGATGTGACCGAAGAGGTAGCGGCGGTCGTCGAAATGCACGACGATGTTAGTGCCGGGGGTGTCGCTGGAGGGCACGCTGAGAACTGTGGCGTGAACTTTCATAGCGAGCGCGAGCGACGTGTGGAATGTTCGTCGGCGGAGTGGTTGGGTGTACAGCTGCGAGAGTATATATGCTGGGAGACTCCGCCGAGCGCGGTGCTGGAGGGACGCCAATGCGTGGGTTGGTGGGGTGACGTGCGGTGAGTCGACGGCTGCCTGTCAGGGTGAGACGGATTCAGGCCGACGGTGGACTCGGATTTAGGCCGACACGGTAGGTGGAAATGACTCGGATCTCACAACGGTGGAGGTCGGTAATATTTCAGGAAATGATGGGATTGAATCTACTTGGTAGGTTTAAGCATACAGAAAAACTTAGACATGCAAACTGCTGAACACCAGACCGAAGCGAGTCCCGAATGGAAGACGCTAATGCAGTGCTTGTTACCCGTCACCCCGCAAAACATGAGCACCAGAAAAACGTGAAGAAGAAAAATGTCGGGGAAGAAAAAAAAGATATCGTGACAGGAGTGGGACTTGAACCCACGCTCAGTTTCCCGAACCAGGAATCGAAACGATTGTATTAAGGTGACCTTAACCTGGCGCCATAACCAACTCGGCCATCCTGCCTGAGGATGGTAAGCTTAACTCAAAAGTACATCAATTCTTTCAATGCACGGAGTCTCGAAGACTGTGCATCGCAGCTGATCGTGCATCCATCGATAAGGCGTCGCATGGCTGTAGAAATTCCCGAAATTGCGGTGTATGTAAGCAAGTACTCTAACAGATTCGATGGGTGCGGATGGCAAATTGGGTTTGTCATCTCGCGTGTGCCGAACCCGGTTCGGATTCCGACCAAGAGCTGGGATCATGAGAACGGGCTGTTTACCATCCGGTCTCCTTGCATTCTTCCTTCTCCGCCTCATACCTCCTACTCCTGACGACCCCCGAATCGTACCGATACTCAGTCGCGGCACGATCGATTTCCACTCCACCGACAGCACACTCGCCGACTGCTCTACGCGAACAAAACACGACTGAGCGCTTCGAATCGCTCGACAAGTCTACTCTACCGATCTCCTGACCCCGACCGACACCGCGCAACTGGGTCCTTGGCCGGATAGCCACCGCCGTATCGATTTCGCGAAGTAGTGCTACATCTACCTATCGAGCACTTTGAAAGATGTCCCAGTATCTACGGTTACCGACACCGAAGGTGCGTTCTTTGTGTCCCTTGCGTGTGTGTGGGTGTGGAGGGGGAGCGATGCAACTAACGAGATCGCACACTCAGAAATTTCTCGGCTTCTTCGACCTCCAGCATGGCGCCCAAGTCGTTCTCATGAGCGTGCTGATAAATAAGTGCTCCGGGGTTGTCGGAGTGCTGGCAATACTCAGCGGTTTGTCGCCCATATCCACCATCATCCTCATCGTCATCGTCACCTTGATAAATGGCGGGCAGATCAAAAAAAGCTAATCGCAAACAGGTGCACAAATTTCCGTGGTACAATTGTCCATGTACGTCTACTCGCTCAGCCTGTTCGGCTTCCTCTGCTACCTCACGCCGAGCATCCGTAAGCGCTCGCCACTCGCCGCGCTCTCGTTCGCCTACATCTACCTCCTCGACTCGGTAATAAACATAGCGTACACGATACTCTTCGCGGTGTCGTGGTTCCTCGTGCTCGCGGCCAAGCACGCAACATCGCCTGCAGTAGTCGCATCTGCTGCGAACACGATCGACAAAACCGCCGGCTTCACGTCACCCGCGCTCAACGTTTCCGCCGTCAACGTGGTCGTCACACCTGCCGACACGCTAATGGGCGGGCAAAACGCGGTGGCAGTCGGCACACCCGCGGATGCGGCAGCCACTGGCATTGGTGCTGGCGTGCTGCAGCCGGAATCCGCTACTAGCATCTTCATCATTGCTATCTTCTGGACCATCCGGCTCTATTTCGTGGTCATCATCTTTGCGTGGGCCCGACACGTCGTGCGGACTAGTGCCACGCCGTCCGAGGAGCCCTTCGAGGGGAGGAATAATGGCGAGGGGTGGCAGGGGCGCCTCGGCAGGGCGCTGATTGGTGTTGGGAAGAGCTACTGGCAGGGAGATGGGTGGGCTCCCCTCGGCGGAAACAAGTTTCGTCGCAGCACGGAGCCCAGCGATGGACGAAGATTTAGGAGGGAGAGAATCACCGTCGAGGTATAGAGGGATCACATATCTCGAAACGGGAGGGGGGGGGCAACCTTTAGTTTTGGGGCGGACGGGGTCCAGGCGGACGAGAGTGATGGGTAGTGGGGTGGAGCCGGACAGCGTCCGTGCGAGTGCGGGGAGATTGGGTTTTTTTTTCGGTGTGATTGTGGGCGGGTGGGGTGGGGGTGGGGCGGGGGTTCATTTTCGGCGCGGTAATCGGGGATGCTCCGTTCGTTCGTCGGGTGTTTGGATTTTGAATCTCATATTGGATCTCTCAATTTTATTTTCTCACGTTGCATAGCAGGATTCGTCTGTCTGTCTGTCGGTCTGTCTGTATATCGTTGTCATCAGCTTCTTCCTCCCACTGCAGTTCGGTGGTGTTCTTTTCTTTTTCTTTTTTGTTGGTTTACTTTTTACTCTACATACTCTAATGTTCCTGTGTTTGTTCCGTCCACCACTGTCAGGGCGGATGGGATGGGTTGGCTATTTTACTGGCTGCCGGTTGCGATGGATTGAGATATCGATACTAGCACTTTCTTCAGGTGCGAATCGGAGTTGTGGGAGGGGCCAATACCGACCTGAGGTACATACTGTACCTACTGCACACCATGCGATGATGTATGTATCCTACATACATGATACCATAGGTACCGAAGCTACCTACCTATAGTGTTAGTTCAGTTATTACCTACACGCGCACGGCCCTGACGCACAGGGAAGAGCTTAGAGGAGGAGAAGGTGGTGGGCGGTGGGCCATGATGCTGAACGTCATGCAGAGAACATTGCGCAGCATGATTCGTCATCAAAACCTTCTGTATCATACTTCCGTTGCTTCCAGCGCAAGCTTGCGTCTCGTCTCGTCTCGTCTCGTCTCGTCTTGTCCTCGCTAGCGATCATGCATGCCATGCAACCAAACGTCTCGCACTTGCCTGTGAAGTCGGAGACGAGCGAGAGGGAGGGAGGATCGGGGGTCGGGACGCGCTCGAGTGATGCCGCTGGAACTGCAGCCTGACGAACTTCCTGCCTCTGCCTTTTGCCCTTTGTCCCCCTCCCCGCCCCGCTTCTGTGTCACTCCCACTACGGTACATATCTCATGATTCCCACAGCGAACGAACAGAACAAACTCCCGGTGCCATTGGCCGGAGCAAATCGAATCGCCCCTCCCCCTCCCCCGTCCTCGCGTAAAATGCCCGATCTTCACGGCGAAAGGGATAACCCTCCGCGACGCTGTCGACGACGATGGTGTTGGGAGACCGTGAGGCTTGAGGCTGAAGCACACACATACACACATAGAAACTACGCCCATGGACTACGCCTAGTCTGGCTGCAACATGGCTACCGTATGGACTGGATGTGGACTGGATATGGACTGGATACGGACTGGATGTTCATCTAGCGTGATTCCGGCGCCCTTCCACGGCGTCCACCATGGCGCCCACCGTCCACCGTCCAGTCCACCGTCTACGGCATGGGACCGACCATGGGGCCGACCATGGGTGTGTTGTCCACGATGTCCACGATGTCTACCTCATACCTCATACACAACGGGACAACCAACTGGGGAACTAGGTTACCACTCTATTCTATTACGGTTGTAAACGTTAAACGCGCCTACCTCTAGGGTATATGATATATTTATTCCCTCCAGCAGGCAGGGGCCAGGGGGGGCTCGGGGAGGGGTGAAGGGTCGTGATGGATTCGCCGGCCGCACTGAATCCGGCGGTGGGAAATATATGGATGGATGGATGGTAGCCAACTACCGTATGGATCGTATGGATCGTATGTATAGTATGCCCTGTAAAAGGCCAGACCGAACGCCACACGTGCCCAGGCCGCCGACTGAGGACTCGCAGTCTTGCAGTCTCGCAGTCTCGCACCCAACCCAACCCAACCCAATCCAACTGCAGTGTGTACGGGGTGCGCGTGCATATAGTGGTAGTGGTAGCTTGGAGATATCATACATTATGTACCGACCAGCTATTTACCGTGGCATAGCATATATATCCCCGCGGTTTTGGTTGGTGGCTTGGTGGAGTGGAATGCGGCACACTACCGTACCGTATCATGGAGCACTCCCTCATAGAGTAGTAACCGCTTACTCTACATATTCCGGTCCGGCACGAGGTCGGACTCGATCTGCATGCTCAAGTACGCATTGTACAGTACGTACCAGTAACTACCGGACCCGGTGCAGTGTATCCAAACGGAACCGCACCATTGCCGTAGGTATTATTGTTTTTCTTGGGAAGTAAAGGCAGGGGGAACACTCGGGCGTGGATTTTGAGTTTTCAGTCTGCCACGTCGTTGGGAGGGGAGGGGGAAGGGAATCATGGCGCTTGTGGATGGATGCTGATAATGCATGTAATGCGAGGAGGGTTTTCGGCCCAGCTACATACGCATGCATCCCGAGCTCGGCAATTTCTCGCCAGTGAAGGGAAGATGCGGCCAGTCGATGCCCATGCTCATGTCCATTGTGTCCCGAGGTTTGGGGGAAGTAGAAGTGGTCACGGCGGGGAGGGGAGGAGGGATGGAGGTTGAACCCGAGAACTACATACAAGAACCAAGAAACTATGTACGGCCTAGGCTGTGGGGGAGCTGCTGGTGGTGACTGGGGGGCGGCGTGCAGACGTGGCGAGATTGGTGATGGGAGGACAGGCATGATGCCGGCGACTGGTGGGAGGAGGCGGTCGGTGAGGAGGACGATGATGATGATGATGATGATGATGATGATGATGATTGCGGGGGGAGGGGACCAACAGGATGATGGAAGCTGAGGGCATTACGGGACTGGCAGACTGCGTTCTGCGTTCTGGTGGAATGAAGTTAACTCACTAACCAGTGTACGCCACTGCACCTCCACCCGGAACTCCAGCCCTGACAAGCGAAGCCCGCTGTCATTCGCGCGGCTAAAATCTAGCGCGAATGGGGCCCCGTGCCCAGGTCTGCAGTTGGAGATTCAGCCCGAAGCGTCCCATTCCGACCGTCTGCTGGCCCCTACCGTGCTCTACTCTCTGCTCTAGTGCGCCCCACTCATAGAGTACGGTAGACCCCCGACCTCAGACCCCAGACCCGAGACTCCCCAGACTCCTGGACTCCCAGAGTGCATCCATGATCCCCTGCCAGGAAGCAGAGTTGCTCTACCACTACTATACATAGCACTATCTACCAATTACTCTACACGCATCCACTGTCGAGCACCCGCCCACGCGCCGATGCATTCCCTCCGTCTCCCAGCTTAGAGTAGCTCCGCATCATCCAGCGGGTGATCCACTGCATGGAGGTGGAAGCAGTGAGATCTTTCGTGGTTGAGAGGGATTGGACGCTCACGGCGGGGTCTGATGGCCATATCGTATCTGCCCACGCCCTGAAGGTCTGCGGAGCTGCAGAGCTGGGGGAGCTGCACAGCTGCAACACAAATCCCCGGGGTCGTGACCTGAAGAGTACTTCCAGAGGTGTTCTGCAGAATGTCTGGCTACGATAAATCATTCTCCCTTTCCGCCTTCCAGTGTCACCGCCCGAAACGTTGTCCCCGCCAGTTACCCAGTACGGTTGCTGGAACTTGCTTGCGTGCCAGTCCTGAAAGCTCACCACCGTCCACCCCCCGGTCATCCGCGATACCAAGCCTACCTGTCGATTGCCCCACTTCGTCCACCCCGTTTCTCCCTCATCCAACCTCACGACAATCAACCCTCCCCCCCCCCCAACCGCTAGACGAATGGAACCAAACTACACATTCCCCTCGCCCCCCCGGGGCTTGCCAATCCAACGTACAGCTGCTCCCAGAGGACTGGAAGGGCCTCTGCACAGGCTAAGGCAGGGTTGCATCCTCACCTCTGTCCAGTCTGACGGTCCATTTTGGAATGGCGAGACGCTATTGTCTGATAATCCACCTATAGAGGCCGCTCTATTGCAGAGACGATGGGTCCCCCCGCTGCCCACCGGCCCCTCCTCCTCCATTGCATCATCCTGCAGTCGATTGAACCCCAGGAGAGGTAGCTGGACGCCCTAGGGTGGGGCGGGGAAGCGCCAATGATGCGGCGGAACGAAAGCCTCCCCCCTCCCCTCTCCTCGCCAGCCCACCCAGCGCAACGACCGGCGGGCCCTCCTTTCGGCATCGAGTACGGTACGGTCTATGGATGGCGCAGGGCGGGCGTTCTGGAAAGGCTGCTGGCTGGGTCGAATCAACCCCCACAAAGGGCTACATAGTTCCTTCGTCCGCGCATACTGCGCTCAACTTCTTCTTTTCTTCGCGGCTCGAGGAACCACCAGACCCCACTCCCCGTACGCTTCCCGCTTCGGATCGTGAGCGCGGCCGAGTCGAGTTATGCCCGGACGTTCTTTTGTCTATTTATCGGCGGCGTCTGCTATTGTTTGTTGCTAGTGACTACTTACAGCGAACTACAAAAACGAATACCGAACGAAGCACACGACAGCAACGCACACGACAGCAAAGCACAGACAGACGGGCAGACGGACAGTTGGACGGACGGACAGACACACGGACAGACACACACACACAGACTCGGACACCCGGACACACACACGGACAGACACTCGGAAACGCAGACGGACCAGCTCGAGATATACATATACACACCTATATATCAAACAAATAACTCGACCCCCACCCAAACTGACCATCTCCGCGGTGAAAGGAAAGCACAAAGAGGAAAAGATGCCGTCTCGAAATTTGCCGCTCACGCCCACTTCCATCCCCGTCGAGCTCCTCCTCCAAATCGCCGACAACCTCTGCCCCGAGGACGTCCACTCTCTTTGTCGCGCAACCATAGGCCTCTCCGATACCCTCGAAGACTATTTCTACCAGCGTCTCCTCAACGACTACTCCCAATCTCAAGGCCTCGCGCTCACCTGGGCCTGCGCGGAAGGGCACGCCGGCGTGGTCCGCTTCCTCCTCAACCACGCGGACAGCACGATTGAACACCCGATCCCGCTCCCGGACGACCTGATCTCATATCACGGTCCCGAAGCAGGGAACCCTCTCATCGTCACCGTCCGCGCAGACCGGGGATGCATCATTCGAATCTTTCGCTGGAACGTCTACACGAGGAAGGTGGGCACCCGGCCCGACGAACCACTAGACTCCCGCGAGCGGGCACGTCGCGTGGAAATCGTCCAACTCCTCCTCGTCCGCGGCGTCAACTTCGACGGCGTCGACGACAACCAGAAGTCCGCACTCCACTACTGCAGCCAGTACGGCGAGAGCGAGCTATGTTACCTCCTCCTAATGTGCGGCGCAAAGGCCTCGGCCTTCGACTACGGCCACCTCACACCACTCCACCTCGCCGTCACCTGTAATCGCAGCGAGACGCTGAGGGTCCTCCTCGGCTTCGAGAGCGTCCGGCGGACCATCGACATGGGCACCGAGGACGACGATACGGCACTCATCCTCGCCGCTGAGGCGGGGTACATCGAGATCGTGACTATGCTCCTCGAGCACGGCGCCAACTTCAACCTTCGTAACTTTACGGGTGACAGTCCGCTTTCCCTTGCCGAGTTGAATGGCAATCACCAAATCGTCGGTGCCTTACGCAGCTTTGGCGCCAGGCATGATAATGAGCTCATGACGGTCAAGGAGTTAGTGGAGGAGGAGGATCATCAGGGTGGGAAGCTCGGTGATGTCTTTGTCCCGGCTCCATATCAAACCATCGGAAGCAATGGTGCCGGGGGAGAGGGAGAATAGTCGCGAGTTCGAGGTCGGGTTGACGGCGATCATGTGACACCCGTCCCAAGCGCCATCACTCGATACCTAGCCCACCGAGGGTCCCGACAGTACTGACTCGTACGATGTACATAGTGTAGTCTACTTTGCTTTGATCTACTTTACTTTACTTTACGACTGCACCATGGGGATTTCCTGGTTGACTCCCGCGTGTATTTCCCTTCGTTCTTCCCCTTTTACTGCTTTTAGTGTTAGTCACTATTCCCCTTCTACTCTACTTCATGTTGTGCGGACATATTTGTTTATTGCCCATACACCCTATAGTTTCACGCTGGCCCTTCTTATTCTTCTTAGTTCTTCTTAGGTCTTCTTAGTCCTCCGTTCTTCTCATTTCGATACGCGTAGAGACAGATACGGGCATGTAGATGTTTTTTCCGTTCTGTCTCCTGAGTCCTGTGGATGATTGTCATTTTTTGTTAGCTACCTACCTTGGCTTTACTACCCAATTTATATTTCCGAGCTGTAGTAATGATTCTTTTCCATCAGCTTTATCATGGGACTGAACGTACTCGAAACGTCTGTACTGTCCACGTCCCGTTTACGGTCTATGGTTTGCAGTTTAACCGCGCGTTAGCGATATCGGTACCCGCAAGCCGGGTGCAGGCTGCAGGCTGCGGGTTCTTCTAATCCGCCTCCACCTAATTTGACGGGACATATTGACTACTAGGTGAAAGCGTCCATCACAAGGCAGGATGGCCGAGTTGGTTATGGCGCCAGGTTAAGGTCACCTTAATACAATCGTTTCGATTCCTGGTTCGGGAAACTGAGCGTGGGTTCAAGTCCCACTCCTGTCACGATATCTTTTGTTTTGGGAGAATTTTTCATTCAAATTATTTTTATCTTTGGGGGTGGGTGTCTGAATGCGACATAGACGCAGTCACATGGCGCACAGCCCTATCTTGATCGATGCCATCCAAGGGCAGAGATCGTGAACTCTGTCTACATGTACTGGTATGTAGGCAGTGCTTGACCTCCACGCCAGTCCTACATATCAGCTCCATTGAACCGCCGTACATATCGTAGAGTACAGAGAAGTCCACCGCGTAAGGAATGCGGGTTAGTGGTACCCAGTGGAGGTATGGTGCCCGCGATCAATACCTAGAGTAAAGGCATTGCAACAGGAAGTCTATCGAGTAGTAGAGTCTACAGCTGAGCTGGCCACAAAAAGAAACCGGCATTGACCTCTCGGATATGCGAACTCAACATTGAACACATACATAGTACACATAGCGATGACCTGAGTTATGGTTTTTGCTTCATCATGATGCATTCGACCAACCTATGTACCTACCTACCAATCTACTCCGCCGTAGATAAACGAATGATTACGGTCTGTACCGCCTCCTAGATACCTAGGATGTGAGTGTGTACGGTGATGATTCCGAAAGCAAAATGTTCTACCACTCGTAGTAGCCGAGTGACATCCCGTGTCCATTCCGCTCGGATCATCATCGATCATACTCTGTCTGCAATCCGTTTTCCAATCCGGTGGTTTCAACTTTCTAATCCGTACTCTACCTACTCTACTTGTACACCACATCCCTCGCAAAGCCAGTGCACTTCTTTACGGTGAAAGCACGCACACCTCACTCCACCCCTCCACTCCTCCACCATCAACAGTAAAACCCAAATATATACCCACCGTACGACGTCATGAGCGCTTCCACCTGTAACCCGCATCCGGTACATCCGCGCCGCAAGCGGTCTGGCCCGTGTCTTTGGCCCGTATCCATTTGGCCCGTGTCCCCACACACGTGAATGAGATATTTTGGGTAACAAGTAGGTATCGTATGCTTACACTCGAGTGATCGCTTCGCACGTGGCATTCGGGCCAGAGAAGTAGGTATAATTAAACGTAGCAGTATTCTATGGCAGGCAGATACTTTGTTTGTGACAGAAAGAACCTTACATGTGCGCCCCCCTCCCCCTCTCCCTCCCATCCCCTCCCAAAGAAAACAAAAACCATCCCACCCATACATATCATATTCCGATCCGTTCATAACCAAAATCCCGCGTAAAGAGAGAGAGTCCATCCATCGTGTCAAGTCATTAGTGTGCATGCATGTACGCCATATACTTTTAAAGAAAAGAGAAGGAAATGAAATGAAGGAACGCCAAAAAGAAGAAGTAGATTAGACGAGGACCACAGCGGCGCCGAGAATACCCGCAAAGACAAGGTGCAGCGGCAGGAACGACGATGCGAATGCGGCTGGCCGGGAGCCGGCCATGGCGGCCGAGGAGCGAGAGGCGCTGGCACGTCCGGTGCTGGCGGATGTCGTCGTTGCGGATTCGTCGGAAGTAGTGGTGCTGGCTTCGACAGTGCTGCTGCTGGTGCCGCTCACGACTACCGTTGTGCCGTCGGATACGGTGGTCGAACCGTCGAGGACAAAGGTGCTTCCTCCGATTACGGTGGTGGTTCCACCGACTACCGATGTTGATCCGCCCATGACGGTGGTCCGCACATCCCCGGTTGGCTCGGGGTCCATGAGCAACGTCGTTCCTCCGATCACTGTTGTGCGTCCATTGATGGCTGTGGTCGTGCCGCCGACTACCACTGTCCTCTCTGCTCCTTGGGTTATAACCGCAGTAACGCCGCCGACGACGGTGGTGCGTCCGTTGACGACTGTTGTGGTTCCACCGATGACGGTGGTCATTTCGTCACTGCCCCCGGTTATGACTGCCGTGGAGCCCCCGACGACGGTGGTCCGTCCGTTGGCGACTGTCGTGGTCCCACCGATGACGGTAGTCATTTCCTCACTTCCTCCAGCAATGACCGACGTTATTCCACCGATGACAGTGGTCTGCCCACCCACCACCATAGAGGTCCCGTCAATGACTGTAGATGTTCCGCCGATGACGCTGGTAGTCCCGCCGATGACGGTAGTTCTTCCCTCAGTTCCTCCAGCAATGACCGACGTTATTCCACCGACGACTGTGGTCTGCCCACCCACCACCATAGAGGTCCCGTCAATGACTGTAGATGTTCCGCCGATGACGCTGGTAGTCCCGCCAATGACGATAGTCCTGTCCGGGCCACCAATGGCAACCACCGAAGTCGTTCCGCCGAGGACCGTGGTCTGTCCTCCGATGACGGTTGGTGTTACGCCGACGACCATGGTCTGTCCTCCGATCACGGTGGATGTTCCATCGACAACCGTGGTCTGTCCTCCGATCACGGTCTGTGTTCCGCCAGCGACTGTGGTCTGTCCTCCGATCACGGTGGGTGTTCCGCCGACGACTGTGGTCCTCACTTCGCCACCACCATTACCGGCCATAACTGTGGTCGTTCCACCAACAACTGTCGGTGTACCTCCGATGACTGTAGAGAATCCGCCGATGAACGTCAAGGAGCCGCCAATGATCGTGGGTGCACCGTCGACGGTTGTCCGGGTGCCGCCGGTCATGATGGGAACCCCACCGATAACCGTGGTGACCCCGCCGACGACCGTGGGGGTTCCGCCTAGTACAACCGTAGTTGGAGTCCCGCCGCCACCACCATTCACAGGCACAACCCTTGTCGTCCCTCCAAGCACCACGGTCGGTCCTTCTGGAATATCGATTGTAACCCCGCCGACAACCGTGGTCCTTACGGGTCCTCCGTCCGGAGCTACAACCCTGGTGGTTCCTCCGACGGTGGTTGGACTTCCCAATACAACGGTTGGAGTGCCGCCGATAACTGTTGTCACCACAGCATCACCAGGGATCGGAGCAAGAACAGGAGTAACCGCGGGCCTTCCATTGTTCGTTGTCACTGCATCAGTAGTTACGTCTCCTGGCGGCTGCTGTGGTACTGGCCGAGGCTGCTGTTGTACTGGAGGTTGCTGTGATACTGGTCCTGGAGGCTGCTGTGTTACCGGTGGCGGTACCTGGGTCGGCACCTGTGGATTTTGTGCCAAGTCTTGAGTCGTATCCCCTCCTGATGCTCCATCATTAGGTATAGCTGTGACTGGGGCCCCACCACCGGAGCCGGGCAGCCTGGGAGGCTGCACCCATACCGTCCTGGGATTTGAGACCTCATTGATGGTCGAAGTAACAGTGACAAAAATTTCCGTAGGCGTAGGCTTGGGCTGGGCCCCAGGCGTCGTTCTTGTTACTGTTTCAGCTTCCCCGGCTGAGGTTGAGGGGAAAGCGATGGTCTCGGACATCGAAGGCTGTGCGGTAACGGTTGTGACTTTTGTTTTGGTGAAAGTTGAGACGAAACTCTTGGAGAGGGTTTTCGACATGGTCACGGTGATGGTCTTGCGTGGCGAGCAGGATGGTAGCGTATGCACTCCTCCTCCCGTCCCGGTAATAATTTCGGTGACATCTCTACCGTAATAATACCCATATCGTTTGTCCCTTTTCCTCACAGAATGAGCTGTGGTCATAGTGCCGTTGCTGGGAGCGGTGGCGGTGGCAGGCGTCCACGACTGCGAATCAAAAGTATTGAATTCATCGGTAGGCGGTGGTTGATCCAGGCGAGTCCAGGTCATTGTGACATCGGACGTCGGAGCGACAACGACAACGACAACAGTCCGTGTGGTTTTTTCTTGCGTTGCAGTGCTGGCTGCGAGCGTGTCTGTGGCTGTAGCATCTTCTGCCGTAGTAGCGCCTCCCGTGCCCGGCATCAGCGCGGTACTCGTAGCATTCGGCGGCAGTTTCGTGAATGTCAGGACAGGACGAGGCGGTGCCATGAATCGAGTCGAGGTGACGGTTTGGGTGACAGACGCGATTGCCGTAGTCATGGTTTTATACTTGTAGACAGTCGTTGTTACGGGGTCGGTTTCACATATCTCCGGAGGAAACGGAGAGTATATGGGATAGGGAGGAGATGACGGGGCATGGGGACGAGAACTGGGGCCATGAGGAAGATGAGATGACGGGACATAAGGAGGAGACGTGGTTTCATAAGGAGGAGTTGGACGGTTGACAGTCGTCGTCGTGTTGTGGAAATAGGGGTTATGGTCCCAAACCCTCCGAGGAACCAAGTGTTCCGATGTTGTCGTCGTTGTATGTTTGGCTGCAGATAAGGATGTCAGTTTTCTCTCGCGATATATATCTGAGCGCGAACGAACTCAATGCGTACCGTATTCAAGGCGCTCCGCAGAGGCGGTCCCGCAAGCGGCTAAGGCCGCCAGAAGAGGCCCACCGACGAACCGCATGGCTGCTGGTGCTGCTGTTTTGACGACGGCGGTAATAGCGATGGTGATGCTGCAGCAACTACACTACCAGCCAAGGCAGGAGGCAGAACGGGTTCGTGGGGGGATGATGGTCACTTTAACGACTGTTGACTGTTGACGGGGAACGAACGTGTGTATACCTAGCACAGCATTGCATTCAGTCCAGGGCGGGCAGGGCAGCCTTTTTGTCTGGCGCATCGCAGCCATCCATTGGGTGCATTCTGATGTGCACGTAACACAACTAACTAATTTTAGCCTGGCAATCATCGCTCATTGCACAACACACAAACGCACACCCGCTCCAGGCACCTGCCCAGCACCCAGTGCCACCGAGTTCCAGCCGGACAACCAGACGAGAGGGGAACGGAAAATCCTCTTCAGCGATCTGGGTGGCGTGTAGAATACTGCAGTACTGGTGGAGTAAATGGAGCAGGGCATGTCGGGGGGTGAGTGCTTACTGCTCTATCTAGCACCCAACACCTGCTTTACTCCGACCATATACTCTACCAATATCACAGCCGCAGCAGTCATGGCCGTCTGCCGTTGGTCGGGGCAGGACGCGACGCCCGATGATGAGCGGCGGATTTCCCATTGCGGGGCCCCTGTTGTCGCGAATAGAGCCAGTCAGAGGCCTGCAAGCGGGCGGACGATCTGATGGGGGGAAGAACTGGAGGGAATCCTCCCTGCGGACGTGGAGCAGCAATTACTAGCACGCAGTCGTCTCTCGCAGCCTGCAGATTATTGATCCCAGTCCTCCGAAGACCATGTAGACCATGTCGACTGTGAAGATGCATAAGTCTCCATACTAACTAGCATGATTGGCCCGCCGCCTCCATAGGGATCAAGCATCGGGGATTCGTCTGCGCGCAGGCGGGTTCACTTGGCTGTGCTAAGCAGTTGCCATCCTGGGAACTGTTGTCAGCCTGGAGTTCATTCCTTGACTTCGAGACCGTCGATGATGAGGGGGTCCCCTCGGGCCGGTCTTTGATTTCAGGCGGTACCGCAGCCCATGTGCTCTGTCCTGCCAACGTCCTCTCTCGCTTTCCCGAATACTCACTTACATACACTCGCTCACTCCTTGTGGCCTCCAGCCCCCCAACTGCATACCATCCCGTCCGTCTTTTCCGTCGCTCGCTTCTCTCGCCTTACCCGTTCGGCTCCACACGAGCATGTACTCAGAACTCTAGGGCATGAAGCCGTAGTCGGTCGAGCACAGGTAATTAATCCCTGAGAAAGAAGGAAAAAAACAGCCCCATCGCTGCCGTGGTCGGGACTCCCTCCGCTCGTCGTCGGAATCAGGCTCCCACACTCTGGATAGTCACCTGAATACCATCGCATATTCTTCCCCCTCCTCATCCTCCTCCTAATCCTCCTCCCCCGCGCGCATGGCCATGCTGCCGCTGAATCGCCGCTTTCTCTGCATCGGCCTGGTCGTGGGCGTTCTGGCCGTGTCGCGCACGCTCGCCGCGAACGAAAAGTTGCCGATACATGTGCCCACGGATGGCGCAAAGTGGTTTGTTGTCCCCCCGTTCGCACGCGCGCCCGCTCGAGCTGATCCCCCATCCTCCCGGCCGACAGGTATGGAAACGACGGAGAATGGTCGACGATAACGCTGCGGCTCGGGAATCCCGTGCAGACCGTATATCTCATCGTGGGAACGAGCTCCTCCATCACCACTACCGTGGGCTCGGTCTGGTGTAATGATCCGAGATCCGGCTACAGCTGCGATTCGCGCGGACGCTCGTTCTCGCCTGCGAATTCTATAACGTGGAAGGAGATCGGCCCGTACGAGCTCGGGTTGCTGCCAAATCTCGTCGAACCTAATCTGCAGCACACCAGCAAGGACTTCGGCTTTGGCGAGTTCGGGCGGGATTCGATAAAAATCGGCAGCGAGGATGGCAGGGAGCTGCTGATGAACGACCAGACGATCGCAATAGTCAACGACACGACACAGCTTTTGGGGTCGCTGGGATTGAGCTTAAAGAGTCGTAGCTTTGTCGCCGAGGAACTGTATCCGAGTTTTGTCTCGACGCTCTTCGACACGGGCACCATCCCTTCTAGGTACATAGCAACACCTGCTGAAATCTCGCGCGCTTGAGCGCTCGACGTGGCGATGACCCACTGACGTTCCCGCAGGAGCTGGGGATATACTGCAGGAAACTTTGGACAGAGGTCTCCGGCCGATCTCGTGTTGGGCGGGACGAACGTCGGCCGCTACGTGCCGCACAACATTTCGTTTGCGCTCGACGCCAACCAGAATCCCATCGCCAGCTTGAATAAGATTATCGTGTCGGGCACCGGCACTCCACCGTGGGGCGCCGGCCCGGCAACTCTCATGATTGAGCCCGCGTTGGTCCAGATCGACTCGACAACGCCGTTTCTCTGGCTTCCCGAAAGCGCGTGCAGGCAGTTTGAAACATATCTGGGCTTGAAATGGAATTCGACCAGCAACCTATATCTCATGAACGATACGAGTGTATACGACGGCCTCGTGAGACTGAACATGACTTTCTCATTCATACTGGAGCGGGAGATCGGCAGCACCAATCAGGTCAGAATCGATGTACCGTACGAGTCTCTCGACCTCAAGATCTCGTGGCCCTACGTCAACACCACCGAAAAGTTGAGATACTTCCCCCTCAAGCGCGCAACGGACGAGAAACAGTATACCCTCGGCCGTGCGTTCCTCCAGGACGCCTACATAGTGACGAATTTCGACCGCGGCAATTTTTCGCTGCATCAGGCAGTCTTTCCTCCTGGCGCCGACCAGATCGTCACCATCCTCAACCTGAAGGATGCGCCACAGAACACCTCTTCCGGTGGGGGTGGTGGCATTTCCACCGGCGCAATAGCGGGTATAGCTGTCGGCGCCGGCCTGGTTGTTATCGCCGCTCTGATCGCAGTTTTCTATTTCCGCCGCCGTCGTCGTCTCCGCAACAAGCGGAAGGAGCTGCCGGGGGACATGCCCGGTGGGATGGCGGGCGGGATGCCCGCAGAACTGCCCAATGAGCAAAAGCCGGGCGTGTGGGAAGCGTACGGCGAATCAGCGCAAAAGCCGTACGGCAGTCAGATCCCAACGATCGAGATGGCGGCGGAGGACATACCCGTGGAGCGCACCGAACTGGCAGCCGTCAACATGGATCCGGCAGAACTGTCGGGAATCTCGAGGGAACGCGAACGCTTCTCGTGGGAAGACGTCGACCCAGTGCCACATCGGAACGTCGACAGCCCGCTCCTGCCCCCGCACCAGCAGATGCTCCTGCACCAGGGAGAGGTCATCAGTCCTGTAAGGTCCTCCATGACGGCAGAATCACATCACCGTTCCGTTAGCGATATTAGTCCGGCTACGCCAGATTCGCGGCCGCATAGTAATGCTTTCAGCCCTATCAGCCCGGGTTCGCCTAGGTAGTGAGCGTGCTTTATAATTCCTTACGTATGTCTGCGGGCTGGGGGCGCGTTTGCAATTTTGATACTGTATCTATCGTTTCTAATCCTTCCTTCCTTCTTTCCTTTCTTCCTTTCTTCCTTCATGGCGTTCTTTCTTTCTTTGATACCTATCCATGTGTTTCCATATACGTCCGCATTACGCACTGTCCGATGTTATGTTTAGTGGAGTTGATGCATTTTGTGTGTTCTCGTTTGGGTGGTGGGGTGGGGCGTGGGCAGCTGGGACGATGAATCTTGAGCACAGTACAGTACAGTACATAGACATGACACGCGCGATCCTTCGGGCTCTGTACATACATTATGTACATACGATGTAAGTGTCCACTCATGTACCGTGTATGTACTAGATGTACGGGATGTATTGGATGGCTCAGTGAATAATTCGAGGAGAAGAAAGAAAATAGTCGGCGATGCGCACTGCGCAGCGCAGGCAGCGAAAGCGGCTGAGCCAGGACTTGGCCAGGACTTGGCCCTGGCGGCGAAAAATATCTGTGCAGTGCAGTGCAGACGCACACACATCCATCACACGACACCGGCAACCCATTTCGGTTTTTGACGACTTCTTCAGAGTCTTCAGCCGTTCCTGGCCGTGGACGGTGGAGCAGTCAATCCAGTCAACCAGTCAACACTGCCCCACCGAAAGATACGCCCCGAACCCCGATCATTAGAACTTGGAGGACATGCCAACGTGTCCTCTGGCTTGGCTTGGTCTGCTGCGATGTCAGCTCCAGTGCATGTGCTCTGTGCTCGGGACTTGCCGTTGCAGCAGACGGTTCGTGGGAGGGCAAGTGGGTGCGTGGGAGGTGCGTGGTGGGTGGTGGGTGCATATCTTGACTGCGTGCGGCTGAACTCGATTCGAGTTCAGGGACAGCCACCGCCACCAGACTGTGATTGGCTGGCTGGCTGGCTGGAGAGGCTTGGACGATATATCGTGACGGGGAGCAGTCCTAGCGGTGGAGCAGTCCCACGGGAGCAGTCCTCGCAGGGGAGCAGTCCCAGCGGGGAGCAGTCCCAGTCACTGTGGAGAGCAGTCCCAGTGGGGGGGCAGTCCTAGTGGGGAGCAGTCCACTTCTGTTGCCTTCTGCTTGCCTTCTGCTAGCCCTTCCGTCCCGTCACGCTTTAGACGCGGGAGGAGAGGTGCAGGATGTCAAGCCGTCAACTTGGCAGTGAGAAGTGCGCACTGCCCGCGTCCTGCCCGCAACCTGCCTGCCGCTTGACGTAAACGAATCTGGTGGCGTCGCTTGGCGGGTCTTTGCGCTCATACACAAGTAAGTAGGGACGGGTTGGAGGTTGCGGGTTGGAGGTTGGAACTGGAGGCTGAATTGATGCAAGCTGGAGGTTGGATGGAGGTTAGATGGATGCAAGCTGGATGGCTGGATGGGCCGGGCACAGCTAGAGTATCTACTGCACTCTAGTAGGGCTGCGCTTGAATGCTTCATGTATGTATGGATAGGCAGCAGTGGTGTTCTGGGTGTTGGGTTTTGGGACGGGCGGGCGAGACCTACTAGCTACATACCTAGGTGGGTACAGACTGTCGGTACATACACAAATTGACCTTTCCTTTCCGTATCTAATGATGCTCGGCGGATTCGCCTTTGTCGTGCGTACTGCGCACTGCGCGGTGAGGGCGTCTCCAGAAGGGATTGTAGGAGGAGAGGGAGGAGGAGGACCGGACTGAACTTGTCATTGTGGCGTGGTCAATGGTCATAAAGTACTGTTGATACTAGATACCAGAGTACCGTACACTGTACAGTCAAATGGGACATAGGATTGTGTGCTATCTATCGATGTACGGTGGTTTTCTTGCATGATCGATTGGTTCTAGAATCTACATTCCCCCTCCCCCAAAAAAGTATGTAGAATGTATGTATGTGGCCGGTTTCAATATCGTACATACCGATAGGTAGCACACGGTAAATCCTGCCTTCAGGCTCCTCCCCCTATGTCCAAGTACCTATATCTGTAGTAAGCAGAGCTGAGTATTTCGGTTTTTGTTTTTGTTTGTTTGTTTTTCGTAAGCAGTATTTTGTTTTGTTTCATGTTGCAAGCTGATACCGGTGCTACAGTCTACATATCAGTCGGACATCTCACCCAAAAATGCGAGTAGATGCATGCATACCTATCAGCTCCGCGTGAGTGATTATGATTCAACGTTTGATATTCCCTACGACTGGAGACTGCACTCCTACATAGCCTGAGTGAGACTGTGAGACGAGACGAGATGGCCGTCGGGTCTTCGGAGAATTACGCTTCTCTACAACACTCTCCTTCCAGGTATGAACTCCCCTTCCCCCACCTCCCCTATGCAGCGCGCAATCCCCGTACCTTGCTCGTCAGTATATAATTCATCAGCAAGCGGCAGGTATTGAGTGTTGAGTAAGCATCCACCGGTGAGTGTTGACTTCCATTTGCCTGTTGGGTGTTGAGTGTTAATTGAGTGTTGAGTAAGCAGCCACCACCCACCGGTGAGCGGTGAGTGATCCTACATATCATACCTCCTACCCAAGCAAGCAGTATGCCCTAGCCATTAGCCATCCTCACCACGGATGATCTGCAAACCTTACCGAACTGGATCCATTCTCCGTCCGCAATTTATATCCCCGCTTTTACAGTGCACACCCTGCCACGGCTAGGCAGCGCGTGCGAGATAGAGTGCCCCACCCCCATATTACGCTTCTTCTGAGTGCCTTCAAAGTGGGCGCGCGCGGGTTCCTGACTCGGCAAACGAAGCTCGCTCGCTCGCTTCGATGCGCGGTCGGTCGGTCGTTCAGGTGTCGAAGCAACATCAAGATTAAGAAGCCCGGAAAATATCGAGCGCAACCTCCGCTGTCCTGACTTAATGTAAAAGATTAGCTGGTAGTGAAAGTCACCATCATCAGGCAGGATGGCCGAGTTGGTTATGGCGCCAGGTTAAGGTTACCTTAATACGATCGTTTCGATTCCTGGTTCGGGAAACTGAGCGTGGGTTCAAGTCCCACTCCTGTCACGACTTCTTTTTTGGTCTTTTTTTTTTGCTTGGTAGAGATTTGCCGTGGGGATACTAGAGCGAGGAATAAGAGGAGGAGGAGGAGGGGCGAGGTTGAGCCGGGGGACGGACGGAGTCTTGTTCTTACATACGAGTCACGGCTTGTGCCCCGTGGGTCCCCCCGGAGGATCATAGTACAGCCGGGCCGATCTACTACATACAGCATTAGAAATCCCGGAAAGCAGGCATTTGTTGCCTTATTCAATACCGGTACCGAAGCCGAGCACACGGCTACTACTAGTAGTAGCTCCGGAATGACTGAGAAGCTCGACACGGTACATATCTAGGTCATACCTAGCTCACTCACCCACCAGGCACCTGAAGACGTCATGAGTTCAGACCACGTCCCCTGATCATCTGGTAGGTACATATCATACGCGTACTCAACTCGGAGCACTGGCCAGTGACGTCACGAAGCGCACCTACCAACCTCTAGGTATGCCTTCAAAGTTCAAACCGTAAACGGCCTTCCCGCCTTTTTCCGCCCTTTTCAGTCGTTTATTTTCACTTTGTACACTACAATACACTCCACTACACATCATACACATCATACACATCATACACATCATACACATCATACATCGTACATGATTCCGTTGGGAACTTGGGGCTCGGTCCATGCGGTGTACTAGGTGGCAGAAAGTGCTTGGGTACCGTATGTTGAGATGCGGCGGGATGCGGCGGCGGATTGGGGTCGGGTTGGGGTTTCCGTTTTTGTCGTTCTGGGGTGAGCGAGTTGGTGATCTTCCCCGAAATATGCAGGTAGCAAGCTTCGAGTACTCAGTGCACTGTGTAGGTACAAGGTAGGTGCTAAGTGAGGCCCGAATCTCTTGCTGTTACAGATTCAATGGCACGGTAGGTATGTTGCAACAGGGGAAGGGGAAGTGTGGCGATATATCACTCGATTTCTTGGTCCGCGAGGTATGGGCCTTTATCCCTTTTGTTACACTTAAAAGGTTGTGGTCGTTGTGTTATGTGAATCATGTTGGCGGATGGAATGTAATCATGCAGTTTTCCCTAATGGCTCGCCGAGATTACAAGCGGTCTTTGTACAGTGGTTACAGCTTTGGCATTCTTCTAGGTATCACTGATACCCATCATTTGATAGCCTACTAGTACACCACCCTCGTCCCTCGTCGGGGCCTCACAAGACAAGACCATCGTCACGGTAGTACACAGTACACATACACAGAGTAGGTAATTCGACAAAGCAACTTAAAGCACAAACAGATATCGCCCTCGCACATATCCCTCCCCACTCTCTCGCAAGCACGCTCGCTAACCCAGCACCATTAAATCCGCACCCATTCCCCACCCACTCCGACCCGCTCAAGCCCTCCCCTTCCCCTTCCCATGCGCCTGCGCCTGCTCATACTCCTGCAAACTCAACCTGATAGCGAGCTCCAGATCATCCTCAAACTCGTCGCCTGTGTGGGCGGCAATGGGGGCAGACCACTGGGCAAGTTCACTGATGGGCACCTTGACGCGGCCGCCCTTCTTCGGTGATCCACGGGGCATCGGACTAGCAGCCAACGAGGGCGGGAGGCGTGCGGGGTAGGAGTTGCTCGGTCCCGCAGTAGCGGTCGACTCCGTAAACAGCGAAGGGTCCTCCCACAGTTCTTCTTCCGCGGGTCCCGGGTCTTCCATCTTGCTGACCTCAACGTCCTGGAGGCTGAGTCGTAAAGCGCGCTGGAAATCATCGTCTCCTTCCTCGTGGCTGAAGCTTCTCAGGGAGCCCTCGGGCGTAATGGTCTGGGAGCTGCGCCCGCTGAGGCTGCTGCCGACGTCGCTGCGGTTGGAGGATTCCCGCTCGAAGGTTTCCTGCGAGACCATGCTGGCGTATGCGAGCATCTCCTCCTCGCTGAGCGCGGCGTGGCCGATACCGATGCCGTAGCGCTTCTCGAGTTCTTCCGCCGCCCGCCATTCCAGTTCTCTTTCCTTCTGCAACGCCAATGAATCGCCAACGATTACGTCTCGAACCCCGGCCTTTCCGTTGTTCCAATTGGGCGTTCCACCGCGTCTGCCCACTCCACCAACCTTCTTTCCCTTCTTGCCCGGGTTGAAATCCTTGGTCGAGAGGCTCCAGTAGCGGATGAGCGTACCGAGCGCCACAACACCACGGAGGGCTGTCGGGTCCGGATCGAGCACCAGACATCGAGCAGCGAACTGGTTGTCTTGGATTATGACGCCGACGTTTTGCTCCAACCTGCGCCGTGCCCTGGCCGAGAACCTGGAGTGAAGCGTTCGCACGGGGGCACTCGTCGATCCGAGTGGATCCCAGGCTTGTACTAAGCCGTCGTCTCCGCCGTGGACTACGAGCAGTGAGGAGACAGCGAGCGTGGTGATCTGCGGACTGTCTGTGTGGATGATCCGGATGGGACGCCCGTTTGCTGCGGGCCTTATGTTGAAGACAAAAATTGACCCATTGTTGGTTCCGACAGCAAAGAGTCGGGCACTTCCTCCTGGCAATCTCTGCTGCTGCATACTATCTTCGGTGGGGGCGAGCCTGGAGATAGGGGAATTGTCGATACTGTATGCCGTGATTCGAGTAAACAGTCCACCCGGAATGCGCATTTCGGTAGCAATCCAGTCGTCCTTTTGGTCGGGGGTTTCAATTCCATCTTCCGATAACTCGGTCGATGGCGAAACGCTGCCGGATCCGTTTAGGCAACCTCCAAAGGGAGATTGCTTCTCCGGATTCCCACTTCGAATATCGCGGACGAAACTCTCCGGCTTGGTCGCCCACGCTTGTCGCAGGTGGTAACTCGTTAAAGGTATGTCTGCCTTGTGGGTCAAAGCTCCATCCAAGTTGCTCTGGCTTCCAGTCCTCCCGGTGATGACGTTACCGCCGGCCCAATCCATTTCCATGAACCAGTCCATCCGGCATCCTTCCCACAGACATTTGATGCGAGAATACTCCATGTTCAGCAGCAATTGTTCCATCTCTTCGGGCTTGTCGAGCAGTCCTTCACCGAGCCCGAAAAAGATGTCATCATGCATAGGTGTTGCGATTCGGGTCGTCTGTGGGATGATCTTCCAGTCGTCGATTGAAGAATTCCCAGGCTTGCCGCGAAGGTAGTAGATTTCCCCCAATGCGTTGATCACGGCAACCCAAGGCCTCCTCACGTACTTGGCCGTCCCGGGAGAGAAGTCCTCGTCCACTTTGATTTGTACGATTGGTATTCCCGGAGATATGCAGTACACTCCAATTTGCTCCCGGATATGTTCGCTTCCTCTGGTCTCGCCTCTAGCAAATTTGCTTTTATTGGGTTCGATCGAAAATATACGGAGGTATCCTCTAGAATTGCCGACCATAGCGGAAGCCCTGGTACTGTCACGGACACCGCCACTGCGCTTCTTCGCGATCCAGACGCAAGTAACTGATGGGTTGTGTCCGTAGTTTCCAGCTTGAATATAATCCGCGTTCTGAGGATCGATGGGATTCCGGTCGCGCATGTTAAGGTTATCGAATGGCTGAAGATAGCATTTGCCGTCCGGGACATTTTCGCCCATGATCCATCCTAGCGATTCCGAGAGATCCATGACATGATTGACGTTCATGTCGACGGCGACCTCGTAATCAGGATGGTACTGCTGGATGTGCCGGGGCGCAAGAGGGATTGCTGCACTGTGCAACACCATTCCTAACATACAGGCAACTCATATTAGTCGGTGTCGTTAGCAATAGGTGCAGCAAGAGCACAAACCTCTTGTAGGGTCGCTGTCTGTCACAAACCGAGTTTCGAGACAAGCATGCACCGCCCGGACCCCAGCTTCAGAGAAGTTTGCCGCCATATGGCTGACGCTCAATGGTCCTGTCGAAGAGCGATATGTAACCACCAAGTTCCCACCGTTCTGCTTGTTCGAGACGCCATAACCCTGCGACTTTCCTCTGCTCAGACTCCGAAGCAGCCGGGTCCTTTGCATATACTCTTTCCTCCAGAAGTTGCCGCCAGAATCGGTCGCCGATAGCCGCGTGAAGTACCGCCTATCTTGAGAAGCGAGTTGTGAAGGTGAAACACGGTCGTCCAACTGTGCACTCGGAAGCGGAAAGAAGCGAACAAACGCCGAGCGCCACGCATCCGGCGAGTTGACCATGGCGTAGAATCGTTTCGATATCAGAGACGCAGCCAGAAGCGCCGAAGGCTCGAGGAACGACAGGACGTGGATCAGAACCTCTAGGGGACTGTTAGCCGCAGTCGACACATACGGGGGGGGCAAAGGTGGGGCATACCATTGGGAAATCGAGAGATCGGACTCGACGACTTCCCAGTCCAGTCGGTCCTGGTAACGGTGAACTGTACTGCATTCGCTACATCGTATCGCGCAATCCGGTTGGCCTTGTCCGAGCGGGGAGTGTGCTCTCCGTTCTGCGCAGAATCTAACGCGCCTCCGCCTCGGCCTCCTCCCCCGCTACCGCCGACATCGCTGCCGTCGGGAGGGTGGGAACCACCAAAGACAGCTGAACCTGAGCCATATTGCGAGTTGTTGGTTGGAGACGCTAGAGAGAGGTTCGGAAGAGGCACGAGGTTATCTGTTGATGATCCTGATTGCATAAACGGGGGTTTGATCGGTATGGGTTCAATGAACAGCGGGCCGTTTCTGAGCGTTTAGAAAGGCCTGAAGGGTGAGCGATAGGTATGACGAGATGTGAGCGAGTACGGAGAAGCAGAAGCGGGGGAGTGGGGGGAGGGGGGATCAGTTAGGCGGATGCAGGCGACGAATGTAGGAAAGGAGAACGAGATGTGATCCGCAGGCTGGAGAGAAATTTTGTGCGACAGGCGAGTGGTGACTAAGCGACAGCAATCAAGTAAGCAACGTCAATCAGCCGCAAGATGAGTAAGTGTCGGTTGGCAGGAAGGGGGAGGGGGAATCGGATTTATCTACAGTTGGCAGGAAGGGAATAACATTAGAACGACCTTCAGCTTGCGGCAAATTGCAATGCGCATTGCAAACAAGTAAATTCATGGAATGTAGTTTCGACATCACATGGCTCATCGCGTGACGAGTCGAGTGATTTCCTGTGTACACGAGTAGATATGGGTGGTACAAGTACTTCCGCTCCACACATAGTATCGTGGACTGCGCCCTTGCAGAGTGAAGCTCACCGGGCGCTGCATGGCGAGGCTCGAAGATCCTGCGGAGATGGACGGGGTTGCACGGCTTGAGTCGGTGAGATGAGACCAAGGTTAACTAAGACTTTGGTTCCTTCGACACGGACCCGTGCCGTCATACTGATTCCCAGCGGAATCCGTCCTTCCGGAGACGAGAGAGGGGGGAATCACTCTACTCCATTGTATGTAATATTTCTGGAGGCGAGAGAGAGGGGGGGAATCACTCTACTCCATTGTATGTAATATTTCTGGAGGCGAGGGAGAGGGACAGAGAGAGAGACAGAGACAGAGAGACAGAGGCAGAGAGAGACAGAGAGAGTCACAGTGAGACAGAGATAGAGATAATCGCTCTACTCCATTTTCATCTTTCCGGAGACGAGAGAGAGAGAGAGAGAGAGAGAGAGTCACTCTATTGCCATCTTTCCGGAAGCAGGGGACTTGCGTCACGGCAGCTCGGAACATTACCGAGTGAGGGTCCATGCGCATGCACTCTAGAGTAGAGAGTTACGCGGCCGACGGCTGAGTTCCAATTGGATCTGGAGGGTCATACGAGTACATATAGATGTCGGCGCTCGGGAGTCGGCAGCAGCTGTGATTCGCCGACATCATGACGGTGGTGCGTGTAGCCCATTAGCGTTCCATCTCTCTCCGTGCCGTTCTGCATCGGGGTTTTCACGGATCGTCCACCATGCGTGCCATCAACATGATCGTTAGCGAGACGGAGAGCTTGAGCTTCGAAATCCTCACGGCGCGCGCGAACAGCCTCCTCCTCGTCACCATCGATCAAGTGCTCGGATTAAATACAGCAGCCTTGTAGCCAAGAAGTGCCTACCCAAGTAAGCAAGTGTCCAGCTCCACGCCGTAGACAAGCATTGCAAGGATCACCTTCGAGACACCTGCGACTGCAGCGCACTAGAGCTCTTTTTCTTTTTTTTTTTCTTTCGCTTTTTCTCGCTCGCGTGAGGGCGGGCCCGAAACGATTGGTGTTCCGGAGATCGGGCCGCAGGAGTCGTCAGTTCGTCAGTGGTTAGTCGTCAGGCCAGTCAAATGTTTCCAGAGTTCGGATGTAGCATACCCACGGTACGCTCGCCTCCAAAGCTGACCACGCACGCGTCAAAATCGCTCGCTCGCTCGATCGCGGTCCATTCGGCCTTCGCAGCCGTTTCATCCTTCGTTCTCTGCCGTCTTCTTCTTTCGCTTCATTCGTTTGTCGGCCCTGGGGCGTTCCTGACTTGTCGGACGGCCATCCCGATCTCGACCACCTGTATGGCTCAACCATAGAGTGCCGCACACCCATCCATGGCGATAATAACAATACCACACGCACCGGCAATCATAACGCCCATGTCGAGTACACTCGATCTACATGCCAACCGTCCACCGCCCACCTATCTGCCTATCCTTTCTATCTCCATCCTGCTGCCGATGAGCTGACTCGCCTCGTCCACCAGCGCCTCAACTGACCGTCCTCCGCCTCCTCCTCCTCCTCTCCCTCCTCCTCCGCGCCTCGCCTAGAATTGCGCCGTGAGTCCTCTCCGCATTCCGCAGCTGACACCCGCCACTTGCCCCACATTGTCTCAGCTCGGCGTTCCGTTGCCAATCCCGGAGACTCTGCGGCGCAAAACCGCATCATTCAACGCACTCATCCAGCTAGCATGACCGCCTCCGACCAGGTGTGGGTGTCACCCACACTCCGCCTTCTGACTCCCGGACCACTCTGCCAGCTCTAGGCATACATCATCGACACCGCAGCGACACCAGCAGCAGCGAAGCCAGCAAACCTTCGCGAAACTGACGCTGGCAACCACTCTGTCCGAGACTTACTGCGAACCAGACCTGGGTAGAGTAGAGTACTGCGAGCCAGAGTGAGGTACATTCATTCCTTCCCCGATAGTTACAGCCCACCCGCACTCCTTCGCCCCCCCTCCTCCCGAAATAAATAAAAACCCTCTCCGTCTCTTCCGACCCCCGGTCCAACTGACTGACTCTACTTCCCTTTATCCACCGCCGCCTCATTCTCCTCCTTCTCCTTCTGCTTCATTCTTCCCCCCCCCCATTCAACTCATCCACCTACAGAAACCTCTCACAACCCACTATATTCTATTCCATCACCCCGTTTTTACCCCGCCGACGCGTCGGAACAACTTGAAAAGCAAACGGAATTTAATATAAAAAAAAACCCCCCTCCCCCACCACCGGTCGAACCCGAATCGAGAATCCGAATACGAACCCCCCTTCGCACCACGAACCACCCAGTTGCAGCTCCCATAACCTCTCCCGCCACCTTTCGTCTGCCCGAACTGGCTCCCCCACGCCAGCTATACAAGTCTCCGAACCTCCTACGACCACCATGAGTCCCGTAAATGCACATGCCCTGAACACCACATCACATGCGTCGACTCCTCGTCGAGCCTCCTCCGCCCGAACCTCCATCTCGAGCAGCACAATGCACCACACCCTAGAACCGCTGCGGCCCACAACTACCACTACCCGCAAGCCCGCTGGCACCGGTCCAAACCGCATGCGTGCCACATCCATCACGGTCGTCGAACCGATCCGCGAGAAGCTCGTGCCCACACCACCCCCGAAACCCTCAAAGGCAAAGAAGACACTCAAGGTCCTGGGCGATGGCCTCGGCATGCTCGCCTACATGCTCTGCATCTGCTGCGTGCTCAGCGGAGAGCAGCGTCCTCAGGCGAAGAAGACTAGTAAGGGGTACTATTACCAGTACGATGAGGGGTTCGCTGAGATGGAGGGGACGAGAGTGAGGAAGGTTGAGAGCAGTGGGCAAACCTCCGTCGGCTCGAAGCCGAGGAGTGAAAGGGTCGAGAGAGTTCGGTAGGCCGATACTCTTCTCGCGATGGCTTTGGAGGAGGAGGAGGAGGAGGAGGAGGAGGGGCGGGTGGAGGAGGAGGATCGGCAGACATTGGATCAACACTGGCGCAGGTATGGCCCTGCAGCAAACCGGAATTGTGGGAACGGGGAATGAGAAAGGCAGCCTTGATGGGGAATGGAGAACACCGGTTTCCTTTGCTTCACTTTACTTCTGCGAGTGATCGACACGATTACACTGCCGCCTGTGGTGTGTTTCAAGCATCCTTCTATGCAGCCTTCCAGCCTGTTTTGTTTTGTGAGATGCCGCCGGATGCAGAGTGCTGGTATTTCTTGTTTTTTTTGCTTTGCTTTGCGTTGCGCTGCTCTGTATCACCACTATGCTACCATACCGTACCGTACTATACCCTGTTTTTCTTTTTGTTCTTTCTTCTGTCTGTACACGGGTGTAAGGGTAAGTGGTGTACCTTCTTAAGCGCCATTTCGCGGTGGTGGTGCATCACTTACCCTCACACCCGAGTACTCAACATGGCCTCTAGCCTTTCTTTTCATTTCTTTTCTCGCCTTTTTTTTCACTACTCTACCATAGATTGGTCGGTCGGTCGGTGGGGCGGTGGGCGCTGGGTGGGGGAGTAATCGGGACTGCGAATATGCTCACGTTTTCACATACCACTTTGGTAATGCATGCCTGTAGTTACATACTGCAGTGTGTCGAAAGGCAAGCGCTTGCTATCATATCTGTTACCACGGTTCATGCGTGGGTGGGATATGCACTGGGAGGGGGTGTCGGTATTATATCGGCGACGTGGGGGAAAGCTTGGCGTAGCTGGCGTGCGTAGCTGGCGTAACTGGCGTGGCGGGCGTGGCGACAGGGCTGACTGGCCCACTGCCAAGGGAAGTCCAGGGGCAGAATTTGACGCCGGGGGATATGTCGGGGCCCGAGGAGAATGAGGGGCGGACCGTGGGGTGGGGGGGTATAGCGACGAGTGTTATACTATAGGTGAGGGATAACCATAGCACCTGGATTATTATGACAGCTGGCGGCACACTATCGGAGCGATAGATGCGGTGATCACGCCGTATCACTCGGGAGACAACTTATCGCGCGCGCACGCATGGGAAATGCTTCACCGGGCTCTCCTGGGTCCTGGGAACTCTCCTGGGCGCTCTTCTGGGCGCTCTTTGTCGGGTTGGGGACGGACGTAAATACATAAATGATATGCGTCATGCTTGAAGCGAGGACGCCTAATGCGAAATGCGTGAATTTTTGTTTTGCAAGTACCTGGGGTACCTGGGGTAGAGAATATTGCGGCTTATCGAAGCTGCGGCTTATCGAATTGCAGATTTGTGGCGCAGGCTGGGTGGGCGGGGGCGGCTGGGGTGGTGGCTACTGGGGTAAGAGAAGAAGGAGGCAGTGCGTTGCTGACCGGGCCTACTATTCTCGTATATCTACTCTACAGCTCTATATGAGTAGGAGCCAAAGGCGGAGGAAACGAAGGCGGAGGAGTAGGTTGGTGACTGGGGCTGGTGACTGTGGCTGGAGCTGGAGCTCGTGACTGGTCGTTGGGGCTGGTGACCGGAGCTGGTGACTGATGACGGTCAAGTGAGAACTTGAGAAAGCCCGAGAGCTGGAGGAGTTCCCAGAGGCCGTGTTAAGTACAATGGACTTCTTACTTGCTATACGGTAGGTAGATGAGAGTGATGTAGCATGATTCTTCACGTTTCTTTCCCGCGCTTGGGTCCACACAATATTAATACATCAAAGATCTGTCGCTAAACAGTAGAAGAAAAAAGGCAATGAAAGTAGGCCCAGCTTCTCTTGAAGTAAGAAGAACCAGAAAATGGAAAAACAAACCTGTCCAGTAATCAGAAGCAACAAGGGTAAGAATTCAGCAGACAGAGACAATGAACAAACATAGAAGCAACAACACAATGAATGGCAAGTATCCTCCAGCAAAGAAGATAAGCAACCGTCAGTATGCAAGAGCGGGAGTCACAGCAGTAATATCACACACCATCCCCATCACAAAACATCGTACCAATGCAACGTGTCACTCTCCATGCTAGCATACGACGCACATTCATCACAAAGCACTTTTTCTTGAGTAATTTCCGAAGCATCATCGGGCAGGATGTCCCTCTCCATCCACGTTGCGATCGTTGTCACGAGCGTGGCAAAGCCCAGATCCAGCGCGGCAGCAGAAGCGATATTGAACCAGGTGACGCCGTTGGGGCAGATCAGGAACGCGCACAGGACGTTGATGGCAACCAGCGAGGTCACAATGTTGAGCCCGGCATCGACGATGGCTTTCTTTTTCTGCTTGCGCTGCTGGAGGTATTGCTCCGGCGGGTGGATGGTGGGGTGGTATGGAGATGCGACGTCGGCCAGTATGAGCCGGTCTCGCCGGAGATAGGGCCAGACGGAGGACATCGAGATGAAGAGGCATACCACAGTCGTGTAGACTAGGAGGTAGGTTGTGGCTGGGACGAAGGACATTCCGATGCTGCAGGTTTTGGTGGGACTGGTGGGGATTACGTCGTAACTGAGGATGTCAGTGAGCTGCGAATGACGAGCTGGTGAATGGAGTGCCATACGAGCTGAAGACCCAGAGCAGGGCTACCATGTATGGTCCCAAGATGGCGATATTGGCCGTGATGTTGAAGACGTTGGCCCGGCTCGTGGCCAGTCCCTCGCTCTTCCAGTGAGAGTATACCTGCCAACAGTTCAGCACACAGTCCGCGAGGCATCAAGGCTACCAAACCTTCTCACTGTACCACATGTACAGCATACTCTTTCCCATCAGCCAGAACGCAGCACAGACCATATACAGCGTCTCGCAATTCTGGAGTGAAGCATCGCTGCCGAACCACACTATCGCAGTAGCCATGCTCAAGACATAGCACTGGGTGATGACACAGATCGCGGCGGCATCTGTTGTTTGTGATGGCCTCAGTCAGCTCCACTCTCGTTTCCCAGCCGAGTGTCAATGTGCATCACGAACTGATTTTCCTCCAGTAAGCATTGAAGTCCGCATGAGAACACATGGTCAGAGTTGCAAGCATGACCGAAGTAAACGAAAGCCCAAGAAGAACCACGAATGAGAAAGGAGCGAGGTTGTCCTGTGCGAAAGAGAAGGGAGTGAGTTCGACAGACGACATGGTCACTGCAAAACGAAAGTGATTGTATGATGATAGTGTTCAGTGAGGTATGAGGGAATGTTGATGGATTCAGATGATGACCGCAGCACACAAGTGAATTATAGGTGGCTGACGTACAAGGAATGTTTACATATACGGAATGTAGGTACAACACCGAAAATGCGAGTGACCCTAACGGTAACGGCGAAATCACGTGACAGTCTCCCTCGGCAACTACCGTTGAAACCCCATTATGTAAATCCAAACCCGGCGCGAGACCGACGCCAGGCAACTGCTCTCAACAACACCACGACCATCGCCACCACAATGTCAACAGATTCGACTCCCGTGCCGTCGGCACCTTCCTCGCGCACGACCACACCCAATCACTTCACCAGCCACACCGATACGCTCGAAGATGCGCTGAAGAACCAGACCGTTGGTCTCGTACACCTCGCCGACTTTAAGAAACGTAGGACCGAGCTTGCGGAGCAGCGCGATCGCCAGGCGGCAGAGAAGTTCCAGTCCACGAGAGGCGGGTCCGGAAACACGTCGAGAGAGGGCTCCGCCGGCCCCGATCAAGCTGCAAAGAAGAAACGGAAGCCGGCGGTCGCAAAGGGAAAGCTGTCGTTTGGATTTGATGATGACGAGGAGGGTGGGGAGTCGAGGGGGAGCAGTGAGGAGAAGGACCGGTCGAGATCTGTTTCGAGGGGACCGGTGGAGGGCAGTGATGAAGGCGAGGCGATGAAGGAGGCGCCCGAGAAGAAGAGAAAGTTCAATCCGAAGCTGAAGGCGCCGCCACCGAAGGCTCTGACGAAAAGTACGCTGTTGAGGGAGGCCCAGGAGAGGGAAATGCTGCGGAGGGAATTTCTTCAATTGCAAGATAAGATCAAGAATGAGGAGATCACGATACCATTTGTCTTTTACGACGGTAGGCTCATCCTCTCACTTATTGGCCGTGGACTTTGAAGGTTGATTAGATGTCTCCAGGCACGAACGTAGCACCACCGAACGGCGAAGGAGTCACAGTCAAGAAGGGCGAGGCAGTCTGGCTTTTCTTGGAGCGCGCTAGACGTATGTCCGGACGACGGGAATGGCTCCGGGTTTCCGTCGACGATCTTTTACTAGTTCGCGGCGAGGTGATAATACCACACCACTACGAATTCTACTACTTCATCGCCAATCGGACGGTTGGACCTCACGGGCTACTCTTCGATTATCCATCGGAACTGGACACTGCGAACCCAAACCCCAAGCCAGAATCGTCGTCGAATTCCGCCGAAACGGCACAGGGCGGTAAAGAGGATCCCACCATGACCAAGGTTGTCGACAGACGGTGGTACGAGAGGAACAAACACATATTCCCTGCCAGCATCTGGACGGACTTCGACCCGAATGTGGATTACAAGGGAATGGTCAGGCGGGATTTGGGTGGGAATGCGTTCTTTTTTGGGTGATGGGACTTTGCGATGGGTGTACGATATGAAGCGTGTACTTTCGGGATGATATGTGAATCGAAGCTACAGCATGGACAAATACCTGCCTTAAGATTTGCAGCACGTGTACACGATGGTGTGCTGTTCCTCTGAGCGGGATGCTCTATTTACAATGATCTGGGCATTCTTCAGAGACAATATGAGTAATTTTTACCTAGTAATCGTTTGCTCTACATCAGAACGGGTATTTGGTAGTCTGATATCCTGTGTAAAAGGTGTCGCTCGATCAACCAGCCCACGACATCAACTGATAGTCCACCAACTCATATGAGTGAGTAGAAGACCATACCTGGTATCTTACTAGACTGTGGTGACCACAAACCCGACCATTCCTGCCAGTTCCGAGTCCATAAAGAAGATTACCCAACTCGTCGCTGCTCGTCGCCCAATCGAGTGACTAATCATGCGGGCTGCCATTTGTGTCTTGTCCCACCCGTCCTATCTCTTCTCGCCATTCAGACCAACCCCTCTCCACTGTCTCCCCACTTCATTCGCCCTCAATTATTGCTGCACAAACGCCCAAACATACTTCTACCGCACGAACAACCCGCCTCGCCTTTTACGCACAGACTCGTATCGAACATACTCCGCACCGAGAGCCGTCACAATGGGGGATTTCACATTAACCTGCAATGGCTGCCGCAGCGATCTAGGCTCAAGTGCGCTCATTACACGTTGCTGGTGACTGAACCATTTTCTCCATTCGTCCAGAAGTCCCTCTAACGCCGTGAAGTCACATTTTCTGTGGACGGTGCAACGCCAGCAAAGTCGTCGTCGCCGAGAGGCAATGTGCGATCTGCAATGAAACGTTGCAATCGGAGAACTTCATTGTTCAAAGAGCGTTAAAACCATCCGAAGAAGAGAGAGCGACGATGCTCTATGGATTGTCGCCGACGACCATCATGGATATCTGTTGGCGCAGCCTCGAGTTTTGGAATTACCAGGAGGAGCAGGAGCGGTAAGTTCCTCCCCCTCTTCCGAAGGCACCATGTACTGAGGTTTATGGATAGACGCTATCAGGCGACAAATATGGAAAGACTGCAGAATAACTACAACCAGCTGCTCCATGCGCACCAGAGAAGCGTTGGGTTGGCGAACAGTAAGATGTTTGAGCTTAGGGAACGAATAAAGACCTTGCTCAGCAATGAACAGGAGTTGCGGCAGCAAGCAGACAAGGCAAGAGAGGAACTGAAGAGGATTGAGCCTAAGCTACTTCAGATGCAAGTCTGTTTCGCTGTATCATGCTTTTGTGGTCCGCAAGCCTAATGTGTTGCTGTAGGCGACGAACGAGAGAAACAGGCATTCCCGTCACCTATCAGTCATGACGGCTCGGAGTACGGATAGGTCTTCAGCTGTAGACCTTACGGGAGAAGACCGGTTGCCGCAGCTCTCGCGAGGGCAACACTGGCGGCCTTCTGTGGGCGCGGACTCGGGTGTTTCATTGTCCGGTTATCCTTCCCCTACTGGGACCATGGGCGGACCGCCTTATAAGCGTTATAGAATGGAAACATCAGCAATAGACCAAGTTGCATTCCCGGGTACGTATGATCCCGCACATGCAATGCTCACATACTGACATGGATGGTTTAAAGCTCGTGATGATCCGGCTTATAGGCCTACGGGGTTCTCTCCTCGGTCTAGAGCACAAAGACCTGTGGGCTTCGAGAGACGTGGGAATGAAGGAGAAGCGAGTATCTCTGGAAACCAGCTGCCTGGACAAAGAAACGCTGGGAAACGCCTAAACGCCAGTCCACTCTTCGCTGGCGGACCGCTAGAGAGGCCCGTAGTAGGGGAATCTCGGTCTCGCGCGGCATTCGGTGGGGATTATGTGAACGAGAGAGCCAGTGATGCCGGGCGTGGTTATGGTATGGGCAATAGGCCTCCCGGGGGAAATGGCGGTGGTGGCTTTGATTACAGAGTTTGAGGCAGTGGCGAGGAGGAAAGAGCATTATCGGGCACTTGTATTCGTTATTGTGGCGGTTTGTGCTTGGGGTTTTGTACGATTCTTAAGTACCTGCTTAAGTATGTGCCTCAGCACTTATCTATGGAACGGTGGTAGCAATTGCATTTTAGTATGATGCGGCATTTGACATGGATACCATACCTGTTCATCCTATTTGGGTGTTTCCTAGTGTGCCTGACATTGATAGCATCCGCTCAACTCCACGCATAATCTATAACCTTACGTCCTGCTGCTCACCGCATCTTCGTACAATACCTCACGAGACATAGGCAGCCACATTTTCCCATCGACGACACCGCCCTGGGATCGAAAACTACAGCGAGACTTCATCGAATCATGGGGACTGGTCTCTACGACTACGACGAAAAGCCCTGGGTTGTTTCTCAAACGGTGGCCTCATGGATCTCCGTCCTCGGCGTCGCCTTCGCCCTCTGGGCCATCGTTCAAGAGCGAATCCAGCGAGTTCGCAGCCGGGACGATGCCCGCATCGCCACAGACCCGGTGAAGATGGACTACTTCTACGTCAAGCGTGCTTCGTGGCTGGCCACATTTTTGGGAGGAAGCACGGACCCACCCCAGCTGACCACTATCCGTGGGCTCATAGAAGCGGGGGATAACGGCTTGTGGACGTCTGCGGCCATCGACCAGGTGCGGAGGAGCTGGCATGATGAGATCTGTTGGGTCCCGCTTTATAGGTCTATCTTCAAGATGGTGGCAGAGGGCGAGGGACTACCAGGGGAGATGGAGTTCACGCCAGTCGTGAAGGAGTATATCAACAGGGCGCGGGAAGATGTTCGCAACGAGAAGCTGAGACATGCAGAAAAGATGGCGGAATGGGAGGAGTTGAAGCTGCACATCAATTCGGAGATTGAACCGCCGGATGGTCTTCCCGTGGTACTGGAGCAGTTGAAGCAGGATGTGCAAAGTCTAGGGGAACGACATGTTCCTCCTCTGAGATCGCAACTCTACGAAGGCATGCCGGAGGGCGTAATTGCTGCAGCACCGTCGATTTCCAGGCTCGCAAGTTTTCCGGCACTGGAGACGTTATTCCAGTCCGGCCTTAGTTACGTCCGTGGAAAGAGCGATGCAGAGAAGACCCCCGAAGCCAGTGATGATACTCCTGTGGAAGCAAGGCTTCGACAACCACTACTAGTCCGCTGCATGAGAAGCCTCGAGCAGCCGAAAGTAGTGAGCCATTCGCCCGCAGTCCGACCACATTTTTCTAGAGCCAGAAGTACGGGTATGATACCGGGCCGTGCAAAGCTCACTCGCTTTCATTCGTCCACGACTATCCACTCCGTATCCTCATCAATTTCCTCAAAAGTCCAGCTGAATGAGATTGGCCGGCAGTTTAATAAGTGGCTTGGTTCCAGCGCGCTATCACTCGACCACCCTGGAAGTGGGGGTAGAGTGCCGACTTCGGAAGATTTTCTGCCCGAAGACGTGATGTTTCGACAGTTGAACAGCGGGCTCAATGATACCAGATCCAGCTGGATGTTGAATGGGAGAGCTTGCATCGAGGTTTCGCGGGAATCACTGGCAGCGTTGGCGCTCATCCTCGGTATCAGGCTCACAGTCAATGACTTCTCAAGTTCCATCTCGGGGTTTGGCGCGTTCGGTGCTTCGCTATATGTTTCGCAGTCTGGCGGGTATTGGAAACTCACCTTGCAATTTAGCAGCAGGGCACCGAGCCATGGTCACTCTCAGGGAAGTGGGTATGTCTCCCGAGCCCTCCGCTCAACTTTGAACTTGCTAACAGATCTAGTTATACCACATTGATGGCGAAGCATATTGCATGCGGCAGCATTCCATTCGCAAACTCAATTGTCCGGGTTCAGTCGATATACGTCACGTCTTCTGTGCTAAAGGCTATCAGAGAAGGCCGTCACATCAAGGACAGTGAGGAGTTTGGTGGCAGCTCACTGGAATACCTCCGCCGATTGCCGTCCGCAAAACAAGTCGATGCTTTCTATGGGACTACGAAGGAACCGGCTGATCTTCTCGGAGCGAAGATGAAGCGAGAGCTACGGGGGAAAGAGAGCGGTATGTTCATCACTACCACGAGAGACCGTTGATGCTAATGCCGCCTAAGGCTCTCGTGCTTCCCTCTCTTTCGACCTCCCACCGATGCATACACCGTCAACTTCTGCCCAAAAACACCCACTAGGCGTAATACTCGACGCCTGTGGCTCCCCTGTTGGTAGCAACTGTACCTGGCCACGTGCCGTCGTCGGCATCGCTTTCGGCGGACTCGTCCCTCAAGCCGCGCCCAACCTTGTTTCTGCGGTCCGCTTCACTATCAGCGGCTCCACTGGCAGCTGTGTCACTGCACTCGAAGAGCTAATCAACAAGCTCCACGGGCTAGCTAAAGAGTCCGAAGCATTCGGCCCTTACGTCGCTCACCGAGCGAGATACGGCGTTACAGTCGAGAACGTGGATTATTGCGTGCCGGTACGCAGCCATCCCCGTGAAGCTGCTGCTCGGTTTTCTCGGTATGCCAACCTCATCGAGCGCCTAGTTGCCTGTTGCGACGTTCCGAACCCACTAGACGCTGTCTTCGAAGCATCCTGCGAACTCCTCGAGAACACATACCTCTCTGCTGTCCTTCAGGACGGAAAATACTCTGACGATCTCGGACTAGCCGTGAAGAACGTTACCAGCGCCCTGCGTCGAAATGTGAGGGTTAAGGAATGTGCGGTTATCGTTAGATGTGTCCTAGCCGCGTGGGCGGAGCAGGTACCGTTTGTTGAGCTTGTGGAGGAGGGACGGGGCAGCGAAGAGGGGGTGGAGGGAGTACAGTGGTGTCGCGCGAACCGGCAGGCTACATTGGAGGATTTGCCGGCAGTCTCGGCGATTGGTTGAATTGTGTTTGTCTGGTTCATGACTGGCAAGTCATGGTGTATAATATTGGACGTTTTGAGAAGAGGAGACGGTGGAGTGACCACATTCTTGGTACAATTGGAAGTGGCAAGGTGGAATTTCAGTTGCAAGCGGAGCAACAGAGGTAGCTATTGATAGCAACTCACATTCGCTATCCTCTCTGCTCTCCGCCATATGCAACGTGTTTGAACGGACACCATTCGACACCTGGCGGTATTGCTTGTGAGTGATACCCAGTGACTGTACCTTGGCACGGCTGCCCAGTGCCGAGCCCCCGGGCCCGACTCTAGGGCCGCTGCCAATTTCCTCCATGCATCGCTAGACAATCCAACAGTGGGCTCACCTCATCATCGAGTAACTAACACCCGCCAAACCGACATAACTGCGACTCTTCATGCGCGGTCCCCAGTCCCGCCGTACATCAACATGATATCCATCTTCACTTACTAATTTCTCACCTTACTTTACTTACTTACCTTTCGCCTCGGACCCCCGCACCGCCCGACCTATCCGACCCCTACTGCGACGTAGTTCTCCGTCACTCCTTGAATTTCTCTCGACTCCGTTTTCTCCTACCTTTCACATCCTCACGTCGCGCGGCCGATCTTACCTTCTTCTCTCGACACCATGTCGAGCCCGTTACATACCATGCAGCAAGCGGCGCTGTCACGGAATTTCACCTCGTTCCCAGAAGCAACACCAATACTACTCCCTTATCCTCCGTCCGACCTCCTCGCGGGGGCAAACGACACAACGCCACTACGATGGTTCGTGGTGGAAATCCTCAACGGCGAGGACACGGAGGACAATCTGAAGCGGTGGTCGTCGTTCATAGGCATCATTATCGCCATCGCGGGAAACGTCCTCATTTCGCTAGCGTTGAATGTGCAGAAGTACGCGCACACACGGCTGGAGCGAGAAGCGGAGGGGAGGCGAGTGCGGAGGCTGAAGTCACGGATAGCTGGGCGCCGAGATCCCGAATCGCCGGATGTCGAGGGCGCAGAGGGCGCGGGGGAGAATGCGCCGCTGCTGGGTAGGGGGGAAAGTAATGGGACGCTACGAAGTGCGAAGGACGAGGTGGATTTGGACTCGGAAGCCCCAGTCAGCTATGTCTCGTCGCCGTATTGGATCTTGGGTTTGGTTATGATGTTTTTTGGCGAGTGTGGAAATTTCCTTGCGTATGCGTTCTGCGCGGCGAGTATTGTCTCGCCGCTAGGCGTGGTGGCATTGATCTCGAACTGTATCATCGCGCCGGTGCTGCTTAAAGAGCCGTTCCGCGCGAGGGATGTCATGGGGGTTATTGTCAGTGTCGCCGGCGCAGTGGTAATCGTCTGGAGTGCCGAGAAGGAGGAGACGAAGCTCGGGCCTGACGAGATTCTGGATGCGATATCGCAGACCGCCTTCGAGGTCTACTTTGCCGTCACGTGTGTCATGATCGTGGTGCTGATGCGGCTGTCGTCGAAGTATGGCCATAAGACGGTTATGATCGACCTGGGATTGGTGGCGCTGTTCGGTGGATACACGGTCCTGTCGACGAAAGGCATCTCGTCGCTGATCTCGTCGTCGTTCTACCACATCTTCCAGTATCCCATCGCCTACCTCTTCACCTTCGTCCTGGCATCCACCGCTGTCCTGCAGGTCAAATACATCAACCGTGCGCTCCGACGCTTCGACTCCACCGAAGTAATTCCCACGCAATTCGTACTCTTCACGATCTCGGTCATTGTCGGCTCCGCCATTCTCTACCGAGACTTTGAGACCGTCAGTAATAGGAAGATGATCCTCTTCGGCATCGGTTGCTGGCTCACATTCACGGGAGTCTATCTCATCTCATCCCGTCGCAAGCGCGGCTCTTCCAGTTCCTCAAGCTTTATCGACTCCGCAGAAGACGAAGACGGCGACGTTGCAATGCCAATCCCCATCCTCCCCGCCTCTAGCTCCCGTCCCGGCACCTCAATCCCCCCTTCCCCATCCCACAGCACCCGCCCGTCCTTTTACCGCACCATCTCTGCAGTCTCCTCCAACGCCGTCTCTACCCCCGGTCTTTCCACCTCACCGCCGGAAGCTGTAGCTCACGGTCTCCAAACCGCCGCCTCAGACCCGCTCTTCCCCGGCGCCCACCGCCGGCGCCCTTCCGAGAGCGAACAGCTGCAGCGTGCCTTCGGCCTCATGCCCGGTAGCAACCTCATGACCGGGTACCAACTGCAAACCGTCATCGCCGAACGCACCCTCGCAAGGCAGCGTAGCTACGAGACGACGGAGGGCTCGCCAAGAGCACGCAGGAGTAGTCTTTCTGTCATGTTGGATTTTGTCAAGGGGAAGCGGAAAGCTGATGCCGATGTTGCGGAGGTGCAGGCGGAGGATGATAATGGTGGCGAGGGGAGGGCGTAACTTCACTCTAGACTTGTGATACTTTTTTTGATTATTTCCTTCCGTAACATATACCGTTCCTTCTTGCATGTATTTGATTTGTAGTCCCGGTTTCGTTTATTGGCTGGATTTTTGTGCTGTTTGGACTGCTTTATACCATCCGTCCGTTCATTTCGTCTTATACTTTGTTTTATTTGGTGGTATTCACTGCCGCGGAGTTTTCTTTGTAAGATAGGAGGAAGGAGAGAGGGGGGATTGAACTTATTACTGGCGGATTGGATGAGAAGCGCTTATGTAAGTAATTATGTAAAATCTTTGAAACTCGAACCTGTGCTGGTGCAGCTACCCGCGAGTGACGTCTCATGCCAAACGACGAGCCGTCTGTAAAATGACGTCTGTCACAGTTCGGACGGAATGGGAATCATGAGCACGATCGCCGCCTCGGTAGAGCAACCATCAATGAGCATCGGTCTCACCTTCTGATGGCAGCGAATGACATCCGATGACACCGGCACCCCGCACTCGCAGTTACCCTGCATCCCCCTCTCGAGGCTCGTCGTGCGCCCAAACAAAAAAAAACATCCCGCCAAATTCCGTTTCCGAGAGCCGCTTATCCGCCGCAAGCCTACGCCCACGCCCTCGTCCACGCCCACGCCACAAACTCGCAGGGGCTCATAAGCTGAGACGACCTCTCCCCACTTCGACACTTGCACCAATTGAGCGGACAGCCGCCATCATACCTCCCACCTCCGCATCGCATCTTCATCCACTCCGCTCACTGCGAATTACCGTACACTCGTTTCATTCAACCTTCAACCTACATCCTCCGCTCGACCGCACGCATCACCACTACCACCACCACCAGTTCCCTCAACCCATCTGATCGAAAACCCCATCACCACTACACCCCATCACCACCACCACCCCACTAAACCACACCCCGCCACTCCCCGCAAACGAAACAATGCCCCCCGCGCTGCACCCAAAGTCGTTCAGCACAGCCTCGCTGTTCACCTCGACCGCGATCCTGGCGTTCCTAGTAGTGGGAGCGCCGCACTTGCTGCCGTGTCCGGCGCCCAGACGACAGATTGCCGATGACGGATCGGCGCGGCCCGTACGCAGGGTGAAGGATAGAGGGAATTGTCCCATACCCCGGCCTGGGGCGGAGAATGGCGAGGAGAAGGGGATGGGGGTGGCGGAGGGGTTGGCGGGGAAGGTGGTGGTTGTTGAGCGGTAACGGGGTGGGGACGGGGGACGGGGAAAAGGGAACGGGAACTGCGGAGGGAATTGTAGGGTCTTGCTTAAGTGGACCGAGCGCTGGGCTGGGCTGCGTGTTACGGTGGTGTGTGGCGTGTACATACTAGAGCTGAGCATTGGGCTGGTGGTGTGGCTTACGCCGAAACATATTGATTGTCTGGCTGGAGAGTACTGTATTCCGCCCAGCATTGATCATCGGGTTGCCATAGTACACTCATTTACGTATTGCTCGCCCTCGCACTCCTCACGGATAAGTTTCACACTCCCTCCAACCCCCCTCCACGCCCTCCCCCTTCACATCCTCGCCCACCCACCACCAGACCCACCTCCTCGCCCGCCCCTCATCCGCCGCCAGATCCACCCGCTCGACCACGTTCGGCACCACGACACCGACCCTCATATTCCCCCTGGCAATCTTCGAGATCCCTTCATCAGCCAGCACGTCCTTATCCTCAACCTTCCCCCCTTGACCAGTCCCCCCACATCACTCCCCAGCGGCGCGCCAGGCGGAGGATTCGCAAAGCTGCCCCTCATGGCAGGCGCCAGATTTCCAAAATGCGCCTGCACCTCCTTCCTCCAACTAAACTCTCCCTCCCCCCCCCCCTGCTCCCTCTTGCGCAGCCTATCCGTAACCTCCCCCGGCGGCACCGCCTCCTCCTCCGACAGAAGAAAACACCTCCCTCGAATCCGCCACTGATTCTGCGTTTCCGCAACCCAGAAACACGCCTCGACCTCTTGCCCGCCCGTCGTGTCCCCGCCAAGGACTTTACTCGTCCGCGCGTCCGTCGTGAACGTTGGCAGGTCGCTGTCCCATACCCGCGCGTTGTGGTGCAGTAAAGGGTTGTGTGTGTTCTCTGGGAGGCGGCAAAGGTTGCCGCGGTGGATCAGTGTGCGGCAGCGCGGAGACGGTGGCGGAGGCTGGTGAAGGGGTGGTGGGATGGGGGAGGGGTACAAGGAGGAGGTTGGTGAGGGCGCGGTAGATTGCGTGGCGAGTGTGAAGGTGCATGGCTTGAGGTGCGCGATGTGGGATTGCAGGAGGGGCGCCCAGGGCGCTTGCGGCGGGGGCATCTTGTCTTGGTTGTTTTCGCGGGTTGAGGGTGGGATCGAAGGTATTGGTGGGAGTGGGAGTGTATGGAGAAGATGGAAGAGCGACAGGACGGGGCGGGGTTAATGCGTGCGACGGACGGGATGACGACAGCCCAGTATGGCGGGGTGTAACTATGTAGATCGGAACCTAAAAAGAGGTATCACAATTGTGCTCCTGCTGGCATCGGCGTCAATCGATCCGTGTTGGCCCATGGCCATTGGCCGTATGATATAATCATACAATCATGATGCGTCCATTTCCACTGAGCTCCAGCGTCTCATTCCCGAGTAGGTACCTAGTCCGTCCCGTACCTATCTCTAGCATAAAGCTACGGGAATACATCCGTACGTACAGCTCGTCTGCCATCGGGAACTCGAATTCATCACACAACCGCAACGTTACAAAATCCCAAAAGTCTCTCCTAAGTATGTATATTGTGTATGACTTGTCGTCCTAATATTACACCATCCACCGCCGTCCCATCCGGCCCGCCCGCCAAATTCCAATTGCTTCTACATCCAGTAGGACATAAAAAAGAGTAGAGAGTATCGTCTATCGCCGCTGACCGCCTGAGCCATCCCCCCATCCGCCATCAACCACCTCAAAGATATAAAAAAGCAAAACCACCAACGCCTGCCCAAACCCATAAGTATGAAATGAAACAAAAAGAGATGCGGAAGAGGAAAGCAAACACCCACTCAATTAGATATCAGCACAATTTTGCAATACTTTCCCCAGAAGCCCGCTTTAGTGCGAAAATGAAAAGAGGTATGAATGAAACAAAAATGAAGAAAAAAACAGATTCAATCAAAACTCGATAGAACCCGCCCCAATAAGGAAGAAAAGAAAAATGCAAATAAAAATCAATGAATTGTCCATATGACGAAAACGAAAAAGAAACAGAAACGCAAGAAACCCCCACCCATCCACCCTTTCCCCATCCAGTTTCCGTATCCCCTCTATCCAGCAAAAGGAAAAACCAAAGAGAAAAAAAAAGAAAACACCAGAAACACGAAAGCAGACCCTAGACAAATGAAAAATGAAAGGAAAAAAAACACCGTTAAATGATCAGACCCGGAACCAAGGGAAAATAAAAGTTTCCAACGCTGCACGCAGACGTGGAAGGTGATGACTCGCTCAAGCATCGGGCTGATCGCTCATACGAACAAGATCGAGGACTCTGGCGATAACGGCACTGGGGTAACCGCGTCCCATCATCTCATCGACAATCTTCTTAGCGTTCTCCCTGTCTTGGACGGCGAGGTAGGCGCGGGTCATGGCTTCGTAGGTGCTGGGCTCGCGACGGGCCGTACCCGCACGAGATCCGAGCATATCGTAGATTTCGCGCGCCTTCTCGATGTCCTTCTGCATGGCCCATCCGTGGATGAGCGTGTTGGCGATGTACGGAGTCATCTGGATGCGCTTGTGTTCCATGTCTTTGACCCAGCGGGGAGTCTCGGAGACGAGGTGGTTGGCAACGTAGCACTCAAGAAGAGCCTGGTAAAGGGTGCTGTCGGGAACGATCTTGCCTCCGTTGATGACCTTCTCAAAGTGCTCGACCGCGGCGGGGATATCGTGCAGGACGCATCCCTTGGCGTGAATGAGGGCGGCGTGGTGTCCAGACTCGATGGGAAGACCACTGGCGGCGATCGTATCGAGAATACCTTCCGCAGCAGCCATATCCGGCTCATCGAGAGTAGCATTCGCCTCAATCATGAGCTTATAAGTGTGTCCGGTAGGAGCGATACCACGCGCGAGCATGCGGTTGTAGTAGTTGAGGACCTTGGTGCGATCACGCTTGGTCGTGATGAAGAACTGGATCAGTGAGTTGTAGGGGGCTGGTCGAGGTTTGTAGTTGGGCATCGACTCCATCTCCTGGAAAAGCTCCTCCGCGAAAGTCTCGTCGCCCACACGGGTGAGCGCGTTGATCATCGTTCCATAGGTCACCGAGGTAGGCTTGATTCTAGCAAGGCGCATGGAGGTGAAGAAGGCAAGACAATCATCCACCCTTCTCGCCTTCGCGAGCTTTCCTATAACTGCGTTGTAGAGGAAGGAAGTGGGCAGGACATTCTCGTTGACAGCTTCCTGGAAGATGGTGACAGCCTCAGAGGCCTCATCGTAGGTCTGATGAGTGGCCTTGAGGGAGACGATGTAAAGTCCATAGGTATTGGCGGAAGGCGAAAGGTTGTAGCTCGACATCTCCTTGTGGAAGGTGCGGGCCTTGTCGCGATGTCCAAGGTTCAGCTGAGCGGCAATCATAGCGTCCAACAGAGAACCCCAACCGAATCTGGCGACGGGATACTCGAGTGATCCGGGAGGACAATCGATCTTAGCGTTCCTCATGATCTCATCCATAAAGTCCTCGTGCATGCCAGTGCGAGCAGCGGCGGTGATGATCTTGGCCAGGGTGGTCAGCCGAAGAGTGCGGCCTTGTCGTCGGGAGCTGCGGTACATGCGCCTCAGATCGGCAATCTTGTTGTACTTGGAGCGATCGAGGATGACGTCGATAGAGTCAGAGGTCTTGACATCGATTTTCGCGAAGTACGGATCGTAGTGCTTGTCGATGGGGTTTTCGTGTTCGTTCACCGCCACAAGGGTGGGAGAGACGGAAACCATGGAAACGGGCGTAGCGGTCCTGAAAAACTCCTGCTGCACGTATTGCTTCCAGGTTTCCTCCATGTCGGGGAAAACGGAAGCGAGCATAGCAGCACCACGTCCAAGGAGCTCCGCGATCGGTCCGGAGATCGGGAACTGATGACCCAGAGCGAGACCGAACATAGTGTGGAAGGTTGCACTATCATTGGGCCAAAGTGGCATTCCGGACTCCAGGCTGGTCTTCATCAAGTTGTACTGGATTTGAAGAACGAGTGCGAGCTGAGACGCAGTCAAACCCATCAGTCTGGTGCGGTCGAAAAGTCCGACAACACGCCTTGAAGCTTCGAGTCCGAGTCCGTTGCAGTGCACCAGGCTGAAACCGGCGATGTCGAGAGCAATGCTAGGACTGAGGAGACTCCTCGCTGAAAGGCTCACGATCACGTGCTCGAAACCCTCGCGGAGAGCGGTGCGCTTGGCCTCGATATCGAAGATGGGATCCGGAACTTGGTTCATGGTGGGATACTCGAGGAAGAAGTTACTAAACTGGTTGAGCACGACGAGCGCCTCGTTAGGGTATGATTGGCGGAAGAGGAGGCCGACGTATGCGAGTGTCGCCGAGATGTCGGGACCGGTCGACGTGTTGCGATCCCAGAGGTCACGCCAGAGATCGCGGGCGAGATCGACGTTCTCGCCGCGGATGCAGAGCGCGAGACCGGACATCTGGCATTCGGCGGTGGTTTGCTGTTTCTGGATGTTGTTGAGCTCCATGTTGTCGAAGTTGATGGTGTTGTATATTTGTCGGGAGAAGTCGAGTTCGTCTTGATCTGCGATCCGGGTCATCAAGCGGGCAAGCCACTCGCTAGGTGTAAATTGAATTGCCAGCTGAGAAGTCCACTTCTTGGCGGCGGCGATGTCACCTTGCGCGACAAACCCTTCAACGACGGCGCGCTTGAGCCATTCAATGCGTTCTCTTTCGCGGCTGATGTCGACAACCTTTGAAAGGAAAGTTAGGGCGCCAGCCGCATCACCTGCGTCCATGTAGGCCTTGATAAGATCGGTGTAGACTTGATATCTTTGATCCATCATAGCGGGGTCCTGCGCGATACCCATCTGCAACCAGCAGTTATATGTCTCGACCGCGGCGCGGACATCCCCGGTCCTGCCGAATCCCCGGATGAGCGATCTGATGATTTCCGGCGTAGGTGCGACTCCGTGCGTCTCCATGTGAGCATACACCTTCAGCATGTCGTCGTCGCGCTTGTACTTGGAGCAAGCGTGGATCAGTGTCTGGTAGACGAAGGTCGGGAAAACGCGCTCGATGCGGACTTCGGTACTGTCGTAGAATAGGCTGAGAGCCAGGTCCATTGCGCCTTCATTCTTCATATCTTCGACCTGCTGTGTCTTGGATTCGAGTGTAACGCCGAACCGTTGGGCGTCGCGTTCGGCATCGGTGGCGATCTTGAGGGATCCCAATGCGCGCGCCGAGAGGAAGTCGATCAAGATGGTGTAAGTGCTCGTCGTCGGGATCAGCTTCTGCCGAAGCATCGCCGAGTAAACATCGATTACTTGCGCGACATATCGAGGCCGTAGGCTGACCATGGAGTCGAGAAGCAGATTATACGAGGCCGTATTCGGCGTGTATCCCTGCTCAGTCATATGCCGGAAGACCATAGTTACCTCCTCCCATCGTCTCTGATCGCGCAACGACTGCAACTGCGCGTTGAGTTCCCTCGTTTCCGGGGTCTCAGGCTCCTGCAGAAGGACATCTTCAAGGGAAGCCTGTGGCTCCTCCGTCGTCGTCACCTCCTCCGCCGCAGCTTCAACTTCATCCACAACCGCCGCCTCCGCCTCCTTCGAAGCACCGGCCTCGAGTTCGACAATGGCCTCCTCCTCCGCAACCGAGCCGAGAGAATCCGATCGTGTTCGGACCGACAGGGGCTCGGCTATGGGTTCGGGCATCGCGCCGAGCAGCTGTTTCTGCTGTTGCTGATGCTGGGCTTTGGACCAGAGTATCTTCTTCGAGAAGAGATATTTTCGGTCCTCCTTGTCATCCGCCGCCGACTGTGCCGCGAAGTAAGCATTCACGCTCTCACTTCCGGAGCCGTCCTTGGGCGCGGCGCGGCCCGAATGGGCACCACCGAAGGCATTCTGGATCTTGGCCGGAGCATTGTTCTGGCCGAACTTGATGGGGATCGTCGACGAGGCATACGACGATTGGGTGGCGGCTACGACCGACTGTGCGTATCCATTGACGAGGTGCCTCGAGATGCTCTGACGAGCGAGAGTGGTGAACGGTTTGAACACCATTCAGACAGCGAAATTCTGTAGAGCGAGTCAGGTCAGCACACTCCTCCGCCGCCGCCGCTGCCGCCTCCTCCGCCGGGACCGGAGATCACGAACCTGTTTAGATGGTGATACTGGCTTTTGTACTCATTGGACGGACGACTGCGAAGGTCGTCGGTACGCGTGTGGGATGGTGTGGGGGAGGATATTCTCGGCGGGGGAGGAGATTGAATCGATGATGACACCGAACGGAGTGGTAGTGCTTCTTCTCGGAAGGCTTATCGAATGAGTGCGTGCGTGTGGGACCTCGAGAGGGAAGAATCGAAAGAAAGCGATTCTATAGAGTCGAGTACGGTGATGACGAAGGAGGAAAGAGGAGAAAAGGAATATGGAGGAGTGAATGGACGGAGTAAGTAGGCGGGCGGGCGGGCAGGAAGGCAGTCAGAACGAAAGGCCGAGCTGGGGGAGGCAGGGTGTGTGTGACACAAACACTCAAAGTTCGAAGAGAAATTTTCGGATGCGCGACCGCTGGGCAGTCGGCAGTGCTAAGGAATGGACTACACTTTCCCACATCGAGCATGGGATGGCTGCGCCGTGATGGATGGCGTACAGTGCTAGTATACACTAGGGCACGGTCTCTGATGGAGTCTGCATAGACGCTACTTCTTTGGAGCTGGAGAATCGAGATGGGTGTCGAATGGAAGGGCTGGTATGGAGATATGTATCTGCTCTACATTCGCAGTATCTATACCAATTACACTGTAGTCATGTATATACGTATTTGCGTGGTGTAGATTGAAGTAAAGATACATATAATACACGCGCTGTGTACGCAATATTTGCGGGGGATCCTCCTGGAGAAAGGGACCGAACCAGAACTCTCTGGAGTCCCAAGTCCTGCGATCTGCTTTCCATATCTACTATATACCGTATATACGGCGTATGTATACCCACTTTGCTGGTATGTACCGAGATGGCCGTTACGTAGCAGCCGAGCGTCGCGGGTGTCTCCATGTAGAATAGCGAGACGTTGGATGTCCCGGGCTGGCTAGGTTCACACATCGGTATGCTCTGGCGGCCGAAGCTTCCTGCGGATTCTGCCCCACGCCCCTCGATCGGACCCAGGATGCACCCAGCTCTTCTCATCGACCGTCACGGTCCATCTCTTCTTCGTCTTCGTCTTCTCCTTCTTCTTCAACGAGAAACAAAACTCCCCGTGGTCACACCCGCAAAGGAGCCAATCGTAGCGAAAAGGCGGGGAAAGCCAGTCATCCGTACATACATATCATACATATCTACACCCATACACACGCACGACCATCCTCCGAACAAAATATCGGCATGAATCATGGACGTTTGCTTGGTGTGCTCATCATATTTTTTTTCTTTCTTTTCTTTTTCTCCTCCTTCTTCACCCTACTCGTCCCGAATCTTTTTCTTCGAGAACACCTAGCGCGCTGCGAGGTGGGATTTGATTGCTCCGAGCACTTACGTCAACTTTCAAGGTTACTCCCTGGCCGCCCCCTCAGTTGGGTGGTGCCCACCCCCTCAGGAGGAGGGAGGGAGGGAGGGAGGGAGGGAGGGAGTCAGGATGCGATGCGAGCCGGCCATCTAGGTAGCATCATCGATCGGTGTTTTTTCTCTTCGGGGGAGTGGCCGCGGCATCCGTGTTGCCGGGGCCGGAGCCGGGAGGGAGGAGGGGGAGCCTATCATATCAGATCATCTCTTCTCTTCGCGCCCTTCTGCGTTCCGGATTAATTTCTGCGGCCACGGTAGGCTTTCGACTCTCGACTCTCGAGCTGACGAGAAGGGATCTCGACTGCTCGATTTCGAGCACACGCGCGCGCAATTACGATATCTATGCATCATGGATGCGATAAGCTGAGTGAAGATCGTTGACTATAAACAAGCAGTAGGTATCACGAGGACACTCCTGCCGTCCTCTCCGTCAGAAACAACCGCCCCGAAATTCGCCGGAAGATGTATACTTACATATGTGGTTCTTCGAGGGGGGTGGGGGGCTAGCCTAGGTACCTTCACAGCCTCACCCCGAATTATGGTAACTGTCCTTAACGAGCTGTGAACAACTCTCTTTCGCCGCCACGTCCCAGCCGGTCCAAGTTACATAACCCCCCTCCCTCTCCTCCCCCCGCCTCCCCCCGCTCCTCCGCCTCCCCCTCGGCCCCGTTCCCCCGGCCGGACCTTCTGTCCGACCGAAACCGGCACCCCCCGCAATCCGGCGCATCCTGACCACTGCCCTCACCCACCACCCATCCATCCACCCACCCATCCACCATCCATCCATCCCTCGTCTCCCGCTAACCTCGCGTGTACTCTAGACTCCATGTAACTTACATATCGATCCTCGATCGGGACACATGGCGTGAGTCACGACGAGCTGTGCGCGCGCGGCGGCGGCGCGGCGACGTTTGGCATGTGAATCGCTTCCTGGCCTTCCTGTCCTTCCTTCCTCAGCAGAGTGGTGGGCAGCGGGGCGGTGTAGTTAACGGGCGTCGTCGGGAGCCGGTCGGAACACCGAGCCACGTGACACAACTAGCAGTTCGCGCTCGGGCTTCCGTGTCTCATTTTAGGTCGCGTCGCGTCGCATTGGTGTCGGTGATGTCGTTCGCGTGCGGATCTGCCGCGACTGTCCGCTGCAAATGTGCATCGCCGTATGCAGGGACTCCGGCCGCCGAGTGCTCTGCTGGTGCACGGCCCTGATCCTACGTACACGCCGGAAGGCGCAAGCCGCAGTTCGACACGCGGTGGCCAGAGGAAGCGTATTGCACACTGGCACCAGCTAGCAATCATCGCATGCTGAGGTTTTGGATGCTCCGTCGATACCGGTATATATATGTTTGGTGACATGCTCGCTCGGCCGCCGAGTCAAGCTTCTAGGTAACTACCATGTACTGCAGCAGTTTCCGGACACACACAGAAATCGGACCACATAGATGGTCACTCCACAGCAGCTCCGAGTCCGAGTAGGCACACAGATACATAATCAATCGCGGGATTGGAGAAGCTTCAACTCTACAGGGTATCTCTAAACGACTCAAATTCCAAAAATCCTCTCTACACATATATACTTGGATGCCCATCCCCATCACATCAATCACCCTCCCCCAAGCGGCATACCACCGCCCTGCTCGGGCGCCCCTCCATCCAGCGGCAATCCAAAATGCGCCTCCCAGCCGAACCAATCAAAGTCCAGCGGGCCCCTCGTAGCAGCCTGCTCCATCCTCATCTGGAACCCCAGCGGCTCCGCGATGAGCGTTTCTATATCCGTGTTTGTTATGCCGCTGTGGGGCAGCGGCATATCCCCTCCGCCTCCGCCTGCACCTCCGCCGCCAAAGATGTCCGGCGCATCTGTGGTCTGCGGTGCAGATCCGTAGTTGAGCTTGCTACCGGCGTTGGGGCTGTCGTCCGTGCTCGAGCCGGGCGCAGTCATGGGCGGCGATGGCCACCGCAGGAACGACGTCGTCTCAAGATCCACGCCCGGTAGTACTTCCTGTGCCGGTGGTGCCGTGGCGACGGGGGGACAGGCCTTTAGGTAGTGCCGCGAGTACCTAGGATTCCTGACGCCTGTGGGAGGCAGTGGGTATAATGGCGGGAGGTTGTCTTCGGCTTCCGACGTCCGCCGTGCTTCGTCCTCTTTCCGCGGACGTTTTCGCGCCCGGGTAGGGGGTGAGTCGGAGCCCGAGCCCGAGCCGCCCACTTGTCGCCGGTAGTTGTGCAGGAAGGAGATGGCGACGTTCGTGAATGCCGTGGCTACGCTGCGTAGCCGCGCAGCGCTCTCGTAGTTGCGGTCTTGCATCTCGCGGAAGTAGTCAACCAGCGCTTGCATCAGCGGGAGATCCACCTTGGTAGATGAGGGTGCGGCGGGGTTGCGGATGATGTTGGAGAATAGCAGGAAGAAGCTGGTGAACGGTTTGCAGTTGAAGAGCCTGTGACACATCTCGGTCAGTCTCCGTTGACAATTCCGAGTGCATGCGGAAGCCTACATACCATAGCATCAAGCCGGTATTGGCCAGGTCGGGCGCGCTGGCTACCACCTCCATCGTCATCTTGATCGCCGCCCGCGCACTCTCCAAAGCCTTCCGCTGACTTTGCGCGTACTCGGCCATCCCCGGTCTCGCAATGCGGTTGATCAGAGTCACGCTCGAGTAATACCCAAACTTGAGCTGTACGTGCTCGAACAGGTCAATGGTCTTGAACGACCTATCCTTATTCAAGTAGTTCACCGTGTCACTCCAACGCTCCCACCACCCATCCACCTCCCTATCGAGCTCTAGGATTGCCACCCCAAGATCATGCTCGCTCTGCATCGCTGCCTGCGCCGAGTACAGCCGGATGTATATCGACGAGTGAATCCGTGCCAGCTCGATCTCGGCCAGAAAGTTCTTGAAGAATGGATTCCTCCCGTCGTCGACGGGTAACTCAACGTCGCAGTCGAACTCTGGGAGTGATGCCGAGCGACCAAAGACCAGTGACATCTCCTTGTCGAGGATGTATATGCACCAGAACAGCGCTTTCCTCTCCTCGTCATGAACGCGTGACGCGGATTGTTGCGGCTTCCCGCGCCGGTGGAGACCGAGTGCCTGTGCGGATCTGGCGGCTTGCGACAGAAGACTCCAGCAGAGTGCGGGTCGCGAGAGCTCGATGGAGCAGAGAGACATTGTGAATAGCGCCTGCACGTTTCGTAGTTTCGGCGTCATGGTGACTTCCAGGTCGTCGAGGGCAGACCATGCATTGTAGAAGTGTGTCTGCTTGCGCTGCGTACTGTACGAATCGATGACCTTGCGCTCGTGTGATGTGGCGTTCATGGACTTCCCGTAGTGGCCGAAGAGGATCACGCTGTTGAATAGAACCATCCATGCACCGTCTCTCTGCATCACCTCTGGCTCCGCATACATCCTGTCCAAATCCCTACGGAACGACTCTTCATTGATGATCGGGAACCAGTGATACATGGAATTAAAAAACTCATCCACCATCTCCAGCGCCTCGGCCTTCCACGGAATATACTGTTTCACCTGCGCCGCTCCCTCGCGGATGAGGTGATGTCCGTACGATGGAATCGCCGCTGCCAACGTTGCGGACGAATGCGACATATCCTCGAGGCTACTCGCACCATCAGCACCACCACCCGCGGGCGCCATCCCATGATCCAGCAGCCTTCGCGGGAGCAGATTCGCCGACTTCAGCTTTTCTTCCGCCAGGCTTTGCGCCTCGGTCGTGAGCGACAGAATCGACGAAGACCCAAGGTACTGCGGCGTGCCTAGCGCATCCTTCACAAACTGCTTTCCGGAATTGTCGTTGCCGTCGGCGGTGTTCAGAAACGGCGCGGTAATCGAACTCGCCACCAGCGACGTGGCAAAACTCGGATTGTGCAATCGCGCACGCGGTCGTCTATCGATCTCCTCCGCCGCCGCCGCCGCCGTCGACTTCTCTCCACATGTACACTGCCCCACCCTCCCTCCTCCCCCGCCTCCTCCCCCTCCCCCTCGCATTTGCGATTGCACCAGCCTCGTCAGATTGCCGATAGCATTCTCGATCCTATCCAGACGACCATTCACCTCCTCGAAGCGGTGTACATTCCTTGAGACCTCCGGCGCGCGCTTCTGCGGTTCGGTGTAGGAGCAGTCTGTTCGCGACGCGCGGCAGTGCTGGCACGTTGGGCGCTCGCGGGAGCAGCGGATTTTCTTTTCGCGGCAGTGGTCGCACGCGGGGTTTTTCTGGCTCTGGCTCTGCGACTGGTATAACGGATTGTTGTGGTTGTGGTTGTGCGGGTGTTTACCGGTCGTGGTCTGGCTTGAGGGTCAAGAGCACTCTTCGTCAGCACACCGGCGACCGCTGTGTAAGGGGAGAAGTAATTACTCACACCTGCGGCTTCCGAGGGCGACTCCCGGTCGTAGGTCGAGTCGTTTTCGGGTTGCGACATTGATTTCCTCTCGGTCTAAGAATTTCTCCGTGTTGCAGTCGTATGTAGGTAACCGTGAGAGTTGTGGAGACTCGAGAGAGAGGGACCTATCTAGAGTACGCGGTCATCCTGCCGCGCACTGTAGTTAGAGTACCTATCCGACTTGGGATCGGAGGTTCCTGGTTCGTCGGTGCAAGGATGCGCAACACGGCAGACAGTGCGCGTCTTTGCTGACCTAGTCGGCGCGACGGACAGCCGGGAAGAATCATGCCGACGGACTGCCTCTCTCCGCACGGACAGCTCGTTGAAACCCCTGTCTGAGGATTGGAAATTTAACATGACATCCTACATAAATGAGATCTCTTCAACGCATTGTGGAACTCCTATTCTTCGTTGTCGTCCTCATTTTCATTATTCTTTGAGGCCAGTGATGTCTTTGTATGAAGCGTTCAAGCCGCTGTAGGTAGTAAATGTCACCATGCAATTCGATGTACGTGAGGGAGAGCGGCCACTCGATGTCAAACCGCTTGATATAGTGATAGCAGGGGCAGCTACCCACGTTTAGCTATGCTAAGTACGCACTACGCGATGGCTTGAAACGAGCGGAAAATCCCCGGAGAACGAGTGCGAAACTGTGGTGCTGAAAATGCTTCACCGGATCGCACACATTCCTCGATATAGTACTTTGATACACGTTCGTCTGGTATCTGTCCCACTGTACTGTACCTATTATACTTACCTGGACCCAACCGAAGCAACCGCAGATCTTCACAAAATCTAAAAGAGGTGAGTGACTGCTTGTGCAGCCGGGTTTTTCTTTGGTCCAGTTCAGTTCTCTTTCGGCATTTTATCGTCCACGATAGGTAGCCGGCACAGCGAATCCCATCTCCCCAGTGATTGATTTACTCTATATGCACCCTCTTCAGAAATAAAGCTGATCGTTTCCTTAATCTGCCGGTTCCTACATGCCCCTCTTAGTGAGGAATCGCGTCTCCAACCATTTCATCGAAAATCACTCGCTGCCCGCGATATCGTAGCTGCAATGACTGCCAATCTCGAGGGCGGGAGGAGACCCGGGGTGACCACCTCGAACTATTTGCCTAGGTAGACGGTGGATAGCAAGGGGGAAAAATGTACGCCGCCATAGTGAATGCGACTACGCTCAAACCAAAAAATAACAAAGGAGTCGATCTCGTGGATGAGGCATCGGCGAACATGACATGGCTAGTGCTGATCTATGGGGCTGAGTTTGTGGCAGACAGCACTACCTATGCTTGCTTGCTATCGACTCGCTGTTCCAAAAACCCTAGGTATGCTACATATCTCTGTCATGGCTCACACAAACATACTCGGTGTAAGTTGTTGCTCCGTCATGCTCCCTCTGAGGAACCGGCTTTCTTCGCTACCTACTTTCTGAACAGGCTGCCCACGAGGATGAGGATACGCCTGGAAGAAGTACACAACAGCATAGTTAGAGACTAGGATCCCCTATTTCCAGTTATCGATTCCCGGGACATGTCCCGATGTGAATGATGTGCACAAGCAATCACTCGCAGTTTGCGCTGCACGGTTCCGGAAGGTTGGCCGTGGACGTGGGTGTGGACTCTTTTAACTTTGACAGACAGACCAGACTAGGCACTGAGGAGTCCTTGTGGTCTTGACTCTCAGGGAACGAACTTCGTGTATATACTTGAAACTATCATGGCCGGGCTTGGGCGGATACTATCACAGGATGATAAAACAAGAACTTTCCACAGTGGAGTGGAGCGAGGGGCATCTGCTGTGTTGGAAATAAATTATGGTAAGTGATCTTTGAACTTTCTAACGGGAGCTTCTCCACGTTCTCAACTGCTGCGTTGGAATGCAGAACGAAAAATGCGCCAGTTTTCAGCAGCACGTCTCGTCGTCTCCAGCTGAATCGTCGCCTGTTGCCTATGTTGATAGAGCTGCGAAAGCTGGAAGAATTCATTGATAATCCCGAGTTGGCTCTGGTTTGAGAAGTCTGCATATCATCTTGATATCTAGCACCCCTCTCCACCCTTCGCCCAAACCTCGGCCTCATACCCCTCAACGAGCTGCACATACTCCTCACCAGCCCCAACCCATCCTTTGATCCCGCCCTCAAGTGCAACGCTCTTGATCGTCTCGTCACCCTTCTCATTGATGTAATCCTGCAGCCATGCTGAAGCACGGGGGCCACGGCCGTTGGAGGAGCCTTTTCAGCCGTGTTAGTGCGTGTACCTAGGACAACATGAGGGAGGTGAGGGGAGGAAACATACCACAGTAGAAGATGGCGAGAGACACTCCGGCGCCGTGGAGGAGGTTGTAGATGGCCTCGCGGGTCGGATAGAGGGAGTGGGCGGGAAGGTTGATGGAGTGTTTAATTGTGCCACCCTGAGAATATCATCGTCAATAACTGCGGAAGAGTAGTAGGCAGAAGGCTGGAGTTACCTCGAAGTCGGTACGGCGCACGTCAACGAGGATGAAATCTTTCCCCGCAGTCTTCGCCTCAAAGAGCTTGCGGGTCTCTTCTCGGGTGACGAAGGTGGCCTTCGACACCGGCGCCGGAAAGGCGGCGTGCCAAGGCGCTGGCTTCTGCTCTGTGGTTGCCATGTTTCGGAAGTGAATCTGGAGAGTGATGGGTATTTTTGGGGAAAGAGCTGGGGATCTGAAGCTTCTGGGAGGAACTCGAGCTTTATACAAACTACGGAGAGGTGGAAATAACATTGGTGAATCTGAGCAGAGTATCCCGCCATTTGTTTGCTGGGCAGTGGGGTGGAGTAGGGTTGAGGCTGTCGGATCCCTGCATATGCGAGAATTTGCCGGTGGCCAATCAGAGTTGGCCAGCGACAACACTCGCGCACATAGCTGGCTGCCATAAAAAAGGGCCATGGGGCCGAGTATCAGAATACCCATCAACCAGCGCCTGTATTCGCAACTTTCTTATCCCATTGCCACTCCAGCAACATTGGTTTTCCCGTATTGATTCTTATCTTCCCGGAAGCAGCGAAAGATGGATCGCCCCAGCGACGATGAAAAGAACCTCGAGAATGGGAACTGCGTGACTGGATGTTTGTTGCCTTTCTTCGTTGTTTACTTCTCATCATCTTGATATTGACTATAAACAAACACGCAGGTGATTCCGCTCCCGCGGCATCGTCGTTCAAGCAGCTGTCATTCCTCGACCGCTTCCTGGCCATATGGATTTTTCTTGCCATGGCCATCGGCATCATCCTCGGTTACTTCGTCCCTGAAACTAGTCCCGCGCTGCAGCGCGGAAAGTTCGTCGATGTCTCCATCCCTATCGGTACGTAGCTTCACATTGAATTGAGCCTCCATTTACTCGGCTAACATGCATCACAGCCGTCGGTCTTTTGATCATGATGTACCCCATCCTCGTCAAAGTGCGCTACGAGATGCTTCCCAGGCTCCTTCGCCTCCGCGAGCTCTGGATCCAAATCTTCTTCTCGGTGATCGCCAACTGGGTGATAGCGCCGCTCTTCATGCTCGCGCTCTCCTGGGCCTTCCTCCCGGACCGCCCCGAGCTCCGCGAGGGTCTCATCCTCGTCGGTGTAGCCCGATGCATCGCCATGGTGCTGATCTGGACCGACCTCGCCGGCGGCGACGGCGAATACTGTGCCATGCTTGTGGCGTTCAACAGCATGCTCCAGATCGTCCTCTTCGCTCCGCTCGCGGTCTTTTACATCCGTGTTGTTTCCCGCTCTTCTTCATCCGTCGACATCAGCTACGAAGTCGTTGCCAAGTCGGTCGCCGTGTTCCTCGGGATCCCCTTGGCTGCCGCCGTCGTCACCCGCTTCGTCGTGCTGTTCGGAATCTTCAAGGGCGACATCGACCGCTGGAACAAGAACTTTGTCCGCTGGATCGCGCCCTGGTCGCTCATCGGACTGCTGTTCACGATTCTCGTTCTGTTTGCCAGTCAGTCCCGCAACGTCGTGGGCAAGATCACCTCCGTCCTCCGGGTTTGCGCGCCGTTGGTCGTCTACTTCCTCATGATCTTTGCGGCCTCCGTCTGGGCATGTAGGTTGCTCGGTCATGGAGGGAAGCGCGCCCGCTGGGGTTACGAAAAGACCGCCACTCAGAGTTTGACCGCTGCGAGTAACAACTTTGAGCTTGCCATTGCTGTTGCCGTGGCGTGCTATGGTGCTGGGAGCGAGCAGGCCCTCGCTGCAACCGTTGGTCCGCTGGTTGAGGTGCCGGTGCTGTTGGCTCTTGTCGAGGCCCTGAAGTGGTTGAAGCCAAGGATGAAGTGGGAGGATGACGAGTAGGTGTATCATGGAAACGTAGGATGATAGAGGTGATTTATGGATGGATGGATGTGGTCTCAATAATATTGCTTTTTGTTTCTTGGGGCTTGTGTGTATATACCATATCGAGCTGTGTACTAAAGTCAAAAGCATTATGGCAGCTATACATGGGGGCGATTTTGGCACTACACTCTTGACGAAAAAATACTAATATTAGTATTTTTTCCCCAAAAGTCTTGTCGTAAAATAAGGCTTAGTCAGGGTTTTCAAATTCTAGCTCTGATTGTTGAATATGGCTTCCTCAATACTGAGTCCAGTGAAAATTAGTCCCGACTCATAAGCCTTCTGCAACGCCTACTGGCCGGCCCGCCTTAGAAGCTCATAAGGGCTCCATATGGGCTCTGTAGGGAATTTTGAAAGATAAGGATTAGTCAGGCTTATACGCTCATAAGTATTCCCTAATGACTTCTTTTACAACAAGCCTCACCTCTTGCAATGCTTATCAATTATCGATGCTCTTAATTTGACGATGACTATCACTTGTTCCGTACCCTTATATACCTAAACTACTCTTCTTCCCCGCTCCCTAGTCTCCCACTCACAACACTGTGTCCCCTACTGCTCCTCGCCGTGGATACAGCCCTGCCTGCGCAGCAAAGTAGTAGCACTGAGTCCTGCTGAATTACTGCTTCTCGCCGTGGATACCGCGCTGGTAGCGACAGGAGGAAGAGGAGAAAGTGATGGAAGAGTGCGACGGTAACCGTAAGAGATAGCAGCTATTAGCAAGAGAATCTATCCGGGAAAAGAGGAACAGCGGCGAAAGAAGGAGCTATATGAGAGATGAGATATCAGCGGGGAGTAGCAGTAGCAGTTGCGGTGAGAGGGGGAAGTGGAGGAAGTGATGCAGGAGCTGTGGGCGAGATGAGGAGGTGTTAGAAAGATGAGGAGGAGTTGTTGGCGAGAGGATAAGCCGTGGGCTCGGGGGTTTTAAACTTCAAAATAAGCTTCATCATATCTGTCTTCAGAAAACTCTGCGCCTAACAATATGTTAGGACATCTGGCGGGTTTGATGCTGTCCGAGCTGCCTCTCTCTCTCACCCTCACCTACAGAATACCTAGACGGCCAACCTCCCATCTCCGCTCTCTCCGCTCTCTCCGCTCTCTCCTCTCGACCTGCCGCCGCTGCCGATGTCAAGCAGGCTGATTTTCGCATATGCACTACTAACTCATAAGAGTGATAGAACCCATGGTTTTGAACGAGGCTCATTGAAGGCGTGTATAACGCATGTGAAGAGATTGAGCGTGTAGTGTTCTAAGGATTTTTTGTCTCAAACTGATATATCCCATAATGCTTCACAAAACCTGCCAAGTTCACAATCATTATTGTACGGCAGTGCTGGGCATTTCAACAATGAAGATATAGGCCTGACGGAAGCGATAAGGCTCACAGAGTGAGAAGGCCGATGTATACGATGGTGGTTTTCGCTGCATAGGCATTACATCGGAGTTACGACAATTTGAGGCAAAAGAGAATATCAGCCTTATTTTGACAAAGCCCTTACGGAGGCCTCACGAGTTCAACACGCTTATAGCTAGATTATACGAGGACTGTTTTATTTCGTAGGCCTATTCAAGCCCTACATAAGGCTAAAGACATTAGTACACGGCTCGATATGGTAGATACCGGTAGATAAAGCAAAAGAGACGGATTAATAGAGTTTCCGACTTAAAGATTGGGCCCACTGCGCTTGCTGAGCATCGAGTGAACCCGACGTTTCCCACAGTGTGCTGCCTGCTACCAGGGAGTAGGTGAACGCGCGTTGATACTTTAAGAATGAGGTCGTTGGGAGGGAAAGGTTTTTGGTGAATATGTAGGTAATTTGCTGCCATATGTACCAAGGGAGATGAAATGAAGAAGAAGAAGAAGAAGATAAATACCATCCCCGCCCCCGTGTCGCCTGGTCTATCATACCAACCCCACCCCCCGAATCCCTGCCTAGGCCGCACGACGTCTCCGGCTCGTCCATGACCCTATCTCTGTGTCTTCGTTCCTGGCATCCGCTTCTCGCCCCGGGCACCGGAGACTTCCTTCGCGGTTGTGTGTGTGTCAGCACTTAAACATGCTAGATAGGCGAGTGCCGTACTTAAACCCCAACCTGAGTCTTGGAGTGCAAGGATCAATCATCAACATCAAATACACGAAATTCAAGCGAGCCGACATATACAGACGGAGGTTTAAAGATGGCCGGGTGTGTGCTCACTGCTCAGTTGCCGTTCTCAAAGCCATTTCTTGAGCGAGTCGGCTGTGCCTTTCTGCGGTACCAGACACTCTCAAGTGAACATACTCTGTCACTCGAGAGGAGAAACGGGGGGAGAATTGTGCAAGCACACGTTGGCAGTGACAGTGTGCAGATACTTGGGGACTATGGTAATAAACTTGGAAGGCAACCCCTCCCCTGAAAAGAACGGCCCGTTATGAGATATTGATTGAAGTTGGACATCAGATCTTTATTCGTAAACACTCACAATGCAGTATCCCTCCGCCTCCGCCTAAACCAAGAGTGTGGTCACCCGTAGATATTGCTCCTTATTTATACGGACCACCCGTTCATGTCGTTATCCGTAAACACTCACAATCCAGTATTCCATCCGCCTCCGCCTAAATCACGAGTTTAGCAACCCGTAGATATTGATTCTTAGTCATACCGACCACCCCCTCCATGAGGAGAGCCAAGGCATCGGGTTCAGACCCATTATACCCGCGGGCGCCGTTCTCAACCAACAATTTAATCACCTCGAAACGACCACAGTGCGGATCATAAATATAGCTGTTGACGGCGGCACACAGCGGCGCATACCCCCATACGTAGCCGGTGTCCAGCACTTCATTGACTTTTGCGCCGTAACTCAGCAGGACCTTGCAGCAGGCGAGACTGCCGGCGGGCGTGGATTCCAAGGAATTCCACGAGTAGGCGGCGACCGAGAGGGGCGTGTAGTGCGGCGTCGAATTCACATCGGCGCCACGGCTGAGGAGCAGCTCGATGATACTGCTGCGGCCATAGGCTATGGCGTAGATCAGGAGTGTGTCCCTCTCGGGTAACCCCCTGGAGGTGTTCACTGGGAGTCCGGCGTCGAGGCAGTGACGGAGGAGGCCGAGGATGTTGTTGAAAATGGCGAACCGCCATGGGGCACACCGGTGACGGGTTTCGCGGAACGAGCTGTCGGCGGCAACCGCTAACTTGTAGAGCTTTGGCCGCAGGTAGCAGGCCAGGGTGCGGCTGGTGGAGGCCAAGGCGGCGCGGGATTGGTGGGTGGGCAGGTGCTTGAAGATCTCGAGGAAGATCTCGGGCGGAAGGTAGGGGACCACAGAGTGAACCTTGCTCGACATGACGGCGGTGGGGACGAAGCGACTTCAATTTGATTGTGAGGGCGGATAGTAAGTGACGAGTTCAAATGGGGGGGGGGGGGGGTGCAGAGATTGGATTACCTTTAAAATTGCGCAGGCAATTTAGATAGAAGCGTGCAGCGTTGGAGGTAGAGAAAGAAGTGAATTCGAGGAGTTCGTGCAGCGCAGGTTATAAAGAAGAAGAAGGGCCCGTTTGGATGGCCTCAGTTTTCAGTTTCCGGTTTTAGAGCCAAATTCAGTTCCCCACCAGGACACCGAATTGTTCAATTTCAGTTTCCGGAAAACCTTGAGGTGAACTGAGTAGTCTATAATGCCATAGTTTTTAAAAAAAAAAGTCTAGAATGCCATAGTTTTGTTTGACGTTTCAACCACCACTTAAACCAACCACCACTCAAACCCCCCAACACTCAAATCCGCCACCACGTAAACTCACTGCCGCAAGCGGTAGAGAAGCTGTCGGCGAGAGGAGGGAGCCAAAGGACTTGTCGGTGGGAGGAAGCGGATGTGATTAGTACTTAGTGAGCATCAACGTTGGCGGGGCCAGCGATTCGCCTGCCCTCTCCGCCGTCTGCTTCTTCTTCTTCTTCTTCTTTCTCTCTCATCGTCTACAGAATAGTCAATAAACATCTACATCCTCTCTCCCCTTGCGTGTTCTCCTTCTGTCGACCCGCTTCTCGGCCAGGAGAGGCATTGGCAAGTAGACGGGTGTTTTAGTGGTGGTGGTTTTGCGAGGGCTCTTTGCCAACTCCAGGCCGACAGGAGTCCTCTTTAACTTTCTCCTCTCGCCGACAGCTTCTCCACCGCTCGCGGCAGTGGGTTTACGTGGTGGGTGGTGGTGGGTTTGAGCGGTGGTTGGTTTAAGTGGTGGTGGAAACGTCGAACAAAACTATGGAATTTTAGACTTTTTTTTCAAAACTATGGCATCATAGACTACTGTGCCAAAAGCTATGGCATTACAGACGTTTGCCGTTAAAGTAATTGAGGTATTAGGGCACGAGCATCTCGGGCGGCATGTCTTCTCTCTACCGCAACCGTACCACCCGTGAAACTTACATCGAGGTGTGGTGAAAGGCTTGATGGAGCAGCAGAAAAAGGTTATTACACACTTCCAGCATGGTGGATTGCGAGCTGTATCCACCTGGTGAATGATCGCCATGTTGATTTGATGGAACAGGTTGTTCTTTGAGCTGGCAGGAAATGGTACTGCCATCGCATACTTGAAGGATTTTATACCCGATACGATTCTTACACCCCGTAAAACATGCAGTATGTAGAATCGACAAGGTCGCTTCTACATCGGCGATCAAAGAATATCACTAGACTCCGTGCTGGATATCGAAATTTCCCTGCGTCTTGGTCTTGCAGTTGCAAGTATTGACACCTCCAGATTACACGCCTCGAGGAATTCTAGCATCGGCTGAGGTCAATGTTTTGATGAAAGCCCCGTAAAGATCTAGAGATCTCTGTCGTTTTGTCATCTCGAAAGCAGTGTTCTACATAGTCCAGTCCAGTTAGGCCCAGTCAGTCCGGGCCCGGACCCATAGACGAGACGTACTATTTTTGCAGCGCAAGCGGCGGAGAGGGTTGAGCAGGGAGGGTTGAGCGGAGAGCAATAGGGAACCCGTATCGAGCTCGCGGCCATCGGTCGGCGCCAGAGACCCAGTGGAAACGGGTATGTAATCTGCCATGATCCAACAAGGTTGAATGCAATGATGATTAAACTATAAAGGAGCCGGCATCACAAGGCGTGCCATGTCACGTGATGACTGCTACCGAGTGAGATTCTGTGCTTCACACATGATGCCAAAAACAAAAACCATCACCACCCCCGGCGGGTGGCTTGGAAACCCAAAGAGCTGAATACATAAGGCATTCACCCGGCTTTGAACCGGAGACTTTCCCTCAGCTCCCCTCGTCGATTGCGTGGTCCTAGACTACTAGACCACGCAGGGGTTTTTTCCGTGATGGAAATAGCAAATTGGAAAATATGAAGTGGTGGGTGCCCTCCCGCGATGAACAATAACAACAACTCTGCTTTCCCGATACACCCCCCCCCCCCCCCCCCCCCCCCCCCCCCCCCCCCCCCCCCCCCCGGACGCACGGCGCGGATGGTGTCGCTACAAGACCTAGACTCGGAAGCACCTCTTCAATTGCTGCCCGGAATTGAAGAGCCAGCAGAAGATTCTGTGGGCAGAGGTTCGGGAGCAGACGGGGGGAGGCGAGGATCGCTTTATGATCCGTGACCTCTTAGCAGACGAGCAGTGCAGCCAGGCCATCTTAGGCTTTCTCGCGGCCACCACTAATGTGGAAGGGCGGATCCCGGAGGTGCTAGGGAAGAGGCGGCAAGTGAGGTGTCCGAGTGGGAGTTCAGGGAGCGGGAAGAGAGATGGGCGGAGAGAGACGAGAGGAGGAGGCGGGCACTGAGGTCAATGAGCTAGGGTCACTCCTGCTTATGATCCTTTTGCGCTGCTACTACTGCGCTCCTGTAACTGTATGGCAGTATGAACGGAGGGCGCCAAAATACATATCTGACCATATTTATGCCATCACCACCATTTCCTAAAATAACAGATGGTAATACCACGATGTTTTCCCGCTTGACATCGTCGCGGGTACCAGTGCCTCGATGTTAAGACATAACCAACCGTCAGCACGAGTCACTTCGGATGATTCTTTTCCCCATAATAGGTGGTCGTCTCGCGTCCCCCCAATTTTATCCACCAAAACTAATATTCATAACTACCTTCAGTGATCACTCCGCGGAACGGAAGAACCCGCACAGTGGAATTTACTAGAGAGATACCCCCTGCGGTCGACTCGAGAATCGCCACAGTAAGGAGGCTGCGGGAGCGGTGCGATGGCAGATCATCATCCTCCCACTTCGATGATACTCTTGGAGGCGTTCAACGAAGACTCAAATTCGGCGTCTATCGAGCTGTAGATTAACGCGGTCCGTCACGGTCGACTTACCTACCCAGCATTGCATTGCATTCTTACTCAAGTATGTAATTACTAGCATGTGCCATGATTAGAGTATATGCATATATCCAATCAAGGGAGTATGTACTATGCATAGGATTTATGCTACCGACATGTAGTACCGGTATCCGGATTCCACGCATGATCGGCCGTTTCACATGGTGCCACTGGGTGAATACGTGTTTTGGCCGCGTTGGTGATGTAAAAAACAGTGCAGTGCATCGTTGAAGTAGAAATTACTTCCAGTATTTGTTTCCAAGTATGCCACCTTGTTGAATGTTCGGCACCATCATACCGGTGCTCGTGATAGGCGTCGCTATCCAGATACTTTATGCCTGCCGCGAGTATCGATACGGTAAATAATAGCCTGCCCCCCGCCTTCCCTTCCCTTTGATTAAGAAAGTATACAGTTGATACGAAACGAGTATCTATCCAGCGCGAAACCAAGATCCCCCACACCTAACTATACAGTACCTACCGTACTTACTTGGTCAGGTCATACGAGATCAGTGAAGAAACAAACAAGACGAAGAAGAGTAAACAGGTGCTCACTTGCTTGAATAGCCTTCGTTCTGGGCCGGGCACAACTTTCTTCATGGCCATCTAATCTCCAATTTTCTAGGTAGGTGATGTTGGTACCTACAGCCTACACTAGGTAGAGTAGAGTAGACATCCGCGTCCACCATCCATCCGAAGAGCTTCACATGCCCCGCCATGTCCGCCGGCCGCTCCTGCTGAATCTGCAGCTCCATTCTGCATCATGACGACTGTGGCTTTTCCTCAACTCTACGCCGTAGCATACCAAATTCACATGCTTCCTCGTCCACTCCACCAACAATCAAAATTATAGGTGACACCTGCATAATTATATCCTCATGTTTCATGTCACCGCTCCACTTCACCCCTGCACTGACCCAGCCTATCGGTAGCCTAAAAGATACTCATACAATAAGGAATAAAAGAAATCCCACGCTCAAAACTCAGTAGAAAAAGAAAAAAACACCTGCAAGGCAATCAAGAAAACAAGTACAAAAAACGCCTTTGGCGCCCCGTCCCCGGACCAAAATTCAGAAGCCAGCCTGCTCAACGAACCACGCAAGTCCAAACGAGAAAAAAAAAATGGAAAAAACCCGTCCCTGTCCCCAAACAAAGTAAGAAAAGAACGCTGCTCTAAGCTAAGCGAGGGGAAGAAAGAAAGAACACCCGAAAGAAATTATTACAAAGTGTAATATCGTAAAGCAAAGTAAAATAAACCCCGAAACCGCACCGAAGCCCAGACGTAAAAGAGAAACCCCCGAAAAGCTGAAATGGAAACGAAGGGTGGATAACGATGACAGAAACACCAAAAAGATTGAAAACAAGATGCAAATGCTAGATCACCCCATCTACCAGCCTTCCGTCCGTCCGATGCGATGCCGATGCCGATGCCGATGCCGATGAGCGCCCCGTGCCGAAAAAAGGAACAATTGGAAAGAAAAAAAAAGAAACTGGAAAACTCGTGATACAACCCGTAGAAGGATCAAAACGAAGGGACGGAGTTCCCGCAAATCAACCGCAGGGTATTAGCCCGAATCCTCGACCCCACAGATCCATCTGCCAACGCCTTCTGTGAGACAGTTGCCGCCCCATCGGGCTCCAGGATCGCCATTGACCACTTCACCGACGACACGTTGAAGTGCGCCCAAGATGGCATCCTTGCATTTGCCACCTTCACATTCGTCAATCACTCGCTCTACTGCACTCGCGAGCGTGTCATCGACATCGACCAGGATCTCCTCATCAATGATTTCCTCCTCCTTTTCCTCGAGGCCGACAGCGAGATATCCATTGAACTGTCCCTGCAGCGGGGTCACCATGCTCTGCGACGCCTTCTTTGTCCGCCGCCGAAGGCGCATCCGCTTGATCTGCAGCCGCTTTGTGTCTGCGATCAAGACCTCGGAGACGGTGGTCCACTTATCGCCACCGGGGGTGGACGAAGAACCGGTTTCCGACCAGGGAGTGAGGCCCGTGGAAGCAGGAGTTGGCTCGCTACGCATAGCGCGTTGGATGTCTGCTTCGATCTCAGCATACGGCTTGACCGCCTGGAGGACAAAGTCCGGATGGAAGCGCTCGTCCTCGATCCAGCCAGCCACATTATAGCTTTGGTCATCGTCGGGGTGAACGGTGGGAGGTGGTGGAGGGACGAAAGGACGTCCCATACCAAGACTCGAGTGCAAATGCGGCATCGCCCACGACGATGGAGGTGACGACAGCGGCGAGGTGAAGTTGACGATGGAGAGGTCTAGGGGAACATTGATAGCACCGTCCACATCATCTACCGAGAGTTGCTCCATCGCTGGCAGTGATCCAGTGAGGAACGGCGAGAATGGTTGTGGCGGTCCTTGGGATGACTCATCGTCAAGGATGTAATTCATATCCAATGGTTCCTCATCGTCATGTCCCTTCGACGACGACGACAATGTGACGCGACGCTGCTGCTGCTGCGCAACATGCTCCTCGGGCTGTAAGGACGCCTCACTCGTGGCTGTAGATGAGCGTGACTTCGGATTGCTCCAGAAACTGAGAAAGCTACCCCAGCCGGTCGAATCCATGGAGGTGTTTGTGGTTCCGGACCTCTTGAGCGTCGACATGAGATTGATGCTGGCGGCGCTTCCACTGCTGCCAGGCCGTATGATCCCACGGGCACCTGCAGGAGCGCTGGCCACACACGTCGCCGAACTTGGTAAGGTGACGAGTGTTGTTCCGGTGCTCTCTCGTTGGTTGCGCAAGGAGGTAGGAACCGGTGGCAAAGGCAACACCGACGAAGATGAGAGACTACTGCTGCCGGTGGGTATGGTCCAGCCAGCCAAACCGGCTCCATCGACGCCATCGTCCGGTTCGCTCTCGCTGGACACCGCCATGTTGAGTTTGCTGGGCTTCTTCCTGGCCTTTCGTCTCAGCGATCCGCAATTACTCACGGGCGCGCTAATGCTTCCGGTTGCAAGGAAGCTCGGCGGCGATTGAGAGAGATGGTGAACTGAGGAAGCTCTGGATGGGGAAGGTAAAGATTCTAAGGTCTGGTGCGCCTTGGCTGGTAGGAATGCCGAGAGGAGGTATATTAACCTCCTAGCGGAAATCCGATCCGAAGTCATTATGATGGTCCTCCTGGGAATCGCACTATCCTCCGGATTACTCCGCGCTTCAAGTTGCTGCTTGTGACGCCGTTTGTAAGCGTCGGGTCCCAGCACATCGAGCCATTCCGTATGGTGACCGAGGAAGGATGTAAGCAGGGTGAGGAAGAAACTGTGACACAACAGCAAGTCAAGTCAGCAAACTGATCCCCCCTTCCCAGTAACAAATGCGATGCGCAGCAACAAGGTGCAGAAAACAACATGGATAAAAACGCGAGTCAAACGAGAAAAAGGAGCAGAGGTCAACTGACAAATTCATATCCCTGCCGCCAAAGCGATGATTCGCCCATTTGGCTTCCTCCTGCCAGAGGTCCCATCGGCCCTGTCCCACCACTACGCGAGGCATGCTGATTCCAGTCACAACGCGCCACCGCATGCGTTCCACCTCGGATCGCACAACGTCGTCACGCATCAGCGCCATCCTGCGCAGTTCCGGTCTGTTGCTCAGGTACTTGCCACCATGAACACCGGAACCCGGTTGCGGCGACATCAAGCGCGCCGAGGTGAGGTTTTCGAGAATCCGTGCCTGAGCGATCCGTTGAAGATCCGACAGCGCCCGACTGATGACGTCCCAATGCTTGGTGATGAGATCCATCCTACCGTCGCTAGCCGCTGCTGCGGCATGCAGATCATCCAGCCCACAACCCGATCTGAGTCCTCCGGCTGGCAGGGATTGGTGGTGATAATGCTGGTACTCATCGTCGAAGAAGCTCGGTGGCGTAGGACAGCAGTATTCGTGGCGGTGAGGGGGAAACTCGGAATCGTACGACAGTAATGGCTTGTGCTGGCAACATCGCATCGGAAACGAGCCGGAAGGGGAAGCGGAAGCAGGGGGCAGGTATATGATCAATCCAATAGCGAACATGGATGACTTCAAAGGCTTGATCAGCTTCGGCGCAGTGGAAGCGGTGCTACCGTTGCTACTCGTCTGACCACCAGTCTTTGGGAAGGGGAACCCGTTTGTGGAACCGACTGAGCTCGCTGGGGTTGACAGCAGATGCTCCCCGGATCCCGATTGGGGTATGGTGCGTGCGCCGCCGCCGACGCCTCCATCGACGATCGTCGGTGTGGAACAGGGGGGTACGGCCACCGAGAATAGTCGAGTGATCAGCACAGCTTTGCGCTTCTCCTTCTCCTTCCCCTGCTGCTGCTGTGGCTGCTGTGGTTGATATGTCGCTTTGTGACGATCGTCGCGCACCGATCCACTCCTCGAAGGAAACAACGTGCTGGTGACCGAAGCCCTGCGTTCCTCAATGGCAGGCAAAATGTGTACCTTTGTCGACGGTCCTTTGTACGACAATGGAGCCACACCAAACATGCAGTCCGTAACGACCCTCAACTCATCATCCGGGCCACCAGGGACACAGCCACCACCTCCTCCCAACGCTGACGCATGCTGCCCGCCGGCCGAGTACTGATTCCGTCGACGGGACCATCCCAAGGGGCCAGGCGCATTGCCACCGCCAGGAGCACCAAGCGTCGGTGATGTTGGACCTTCCTCAAGCGGCGGGCCGGTCGAACCCTGGAGATGTGGTGGTTGTTGTGGCGGTGGTTGTGATTGCGGTGGAAGCGCGCTACTAGGCTTAGAGTCGTAGACTACGAGCTTAATGTGCTCGGAAGCGACAGCGTCTTGTGCGATTATGACGCGCACATCCCGAGAAGCTTCGAGGTCAACGTTGTCGGCGGCGCCATAACTGCTCACGCTGCTCTGCGACTGCGCGAGGCTGAACGACGAGTGGAAGGAGGAAGCGACCGAGGAGGTGGAGGAGGAATCGGGGTATAGTAGGTTTCGTGTGTAGAGCTCGTCGCTCTCGAGTGCGTGGGAGGTTGACGGGCGCGTTCCGCTGGGGGATGTGTTCGCGGTGGATGTAGCGGTGCTGAAGAGACGGCCGAGCATGTTTGCGCGCGACTGTCAAATATCGAATAGGTTTTGAGTAGTACGGAACTGACGGCGCGAATTTGAGGCAAGGTAAAAGGCGCGATATTGTGGGGGAGGGGGTTTAATTACGCCGTAACTGGGCGAAAGCCATGGTCGCAAACGGGTTCAGAAGTGTGATGAAGGGGGGGCAACGAGAATAGGCTCGGGTTAAGTATTGTGGGTTGTGGACAGTGAGCTGTGATTGTGGGATGTGTGGGATGTGTGGGATGTGTGGGATGTGTGGGTTGTATGGGTTGTGTTGGTGATGATAGCTAAGCTACGGATGGGCTATTCTATGGAAGGGGGAGGGGTGGGTGTATGAGGGAGTGAGTGAGCACAGCTGTGGACGGGGTGGATTTCGCCGTGGGAAGGGAGGTGTTGGGGGAGGGTTCAACGGCTTAGGTGGAGGGAGCGGTGGGTATAGTAGTATGTAGGATGAAGGGACGAAGGGAGAGCTGTTGGAAGCTGGGGGGGGTGGGATAAGCTCGGGCTCAGGGAAGGCAGTTGAGCAGGATGGGCGAAGCGAGAAGCGAGCAGGTGAGAGAGTGAGAATGTCCGAGAGGACAGGAACTCAAATAATCGAGCTTCGAAGGGGGTGTGAGAGTCCGGTTTAGCGTGTCGCGTGCGTTGCTTGCGTCTCACACACTCGAGAGTCGAGAAGGTGTCGGTGTTTCACAACGATCCAGCTTGCGTATGCGACGTTGTAGACGGAGGTATATATGGCTGTATCGTCGAGTGAGTGGCCGGCGACAAGGAGAGAGGGGAGAGAGAGAGATTAACCCTGTGCTGAGGATGAGAGCAGAGCGATGGCCGAGAGGAGATGAGGGCTTAGAAGTCGCGAGGAGGGGAGAGTGGCTGCTGTTGTGGTTGTTTTTGAGGTTGTGGTTGTTTTTGAGGTTGTGGTTGTTTTTGAGGTTGTGGTTGTTTTTGAGGTTGTGGTTGTTTTTGAGGTTGTGGTTGTTTTTGAGGTTGTGGTTGTTTTTGAGGTTGTGGTTGTGGTTGTTTTTGAGGTTGTGGTTGTGGTTGTTTTTGAGGTTGTGGTTGCGGTGGCGGTGCTGTCGGCGATGGTTGTGATGAGAATGCTGACGATGACGATGATGATGAAGATACTGTTATACGGGAGGAGAGACGAGACGGTAGTGACCGGCGATGCAGACGGAGCTGCTCTTGCTGCTGCCGCTGCTGCTGCTGCTGCTGTGCGCTGCCGCCACAAAAACAACAACCACCACCACGGTAACTAGCCTTTCAAGTATCTATGCGTCCGCGAATCCACGAGTAACTATTCTACCACTCGCCTCTCGTCTCCGTCTTCGTGGGGTGGACGTGTCTCCGGAAACGGACAGACAGAGGAATCCGGGGGGGGGGGGAGGGGGGGATGTCGATGATGTCGGACGATGCGTTGTGTGGATCGTGGCTGTCCAACCAGGCGGATGAAGCAGGCTGCGTGTGACGACTCCGAGGGGACCAACCAAATGGATCTCGAGCGACGATGGTAGCGGAGAGGGCGGCCGGGAGATGGAGAGATAGGTGAGTAAGTGGATGTGCCGACTCGGAATAATGGTGGTTCGCTATAGGCTTCTCTCTCTCTGGTGGGGGTTCTGGCTCGTGGGGTGTCGGTCCGCGTTCACCCTCCGGACTCGACAACCGAAATCGATTAGTAGTGGCTGGAGTGGGAGTGTTCGATCGAACACGGGAGGCCGTGTGAATGCCCAGGCTCGTTGGACTTGTTGGCTTGTCGCTGGCTCGTCCTGTCCTGCGCGTTCTCTATTTCCTCCTCCTTCGAGTCCGTCTCGCTGCTGTCTGCTGTCGCTCGCTCGTCGGTCCGTCCGAATTGGCTCCAATCGCAGGCGGTCTGAGGGTGTCGATGTGAGCGATCCGGTGTCGGTGTGAGCGATTCGATGGCGATACCGTAATGGCGACTATCACGATCGGTGCTGTTGCAATGTCGTAGTATGTATTTTTGGCTTTCGCGGGGAGAGAGAAGAAACAACCCTCCTTCACCGTCTTCGTCTTCTTCTTCGTCTTGTCGCCCACGATGCCCCGGGGCACCCGGGGTACAAGTACTCTACTCCACCAAGCTACGCTCCTCTCCGCGCCATCAAGAGTAACCACCATGCCGACATCCTCGACACCACCACCCGCGCCAGCACTAAACGAATCCGCACCGCACCGCTGCTGCAACTGCAACTGCACCTACGCCTACACGAGACTAGACCAAAGCACCCCAAGGCCTCTAGAGCAGAGGAGACTCTAACCACTAGCGGAGAGAGAGAGACGGTGATCCATGGGGTGCCGATTCGACAGAAAGAGGGAAGAGGGACAGCCAAGAAGAACGATGGATGGCAAAAAAGAACGACGACGACGTCGCAAGATGCAAGATGCAGAAAAAGAAGACGCTGAAGAAAAAGCAGGCGGGCGAGCAGGCGGGCTACCTGTGCTAGGCAGTTACGAGTAACCAAGTAACCACTAGCACTCTAGCTTCGTGCTGGTCAGTGAATAGTTCCACAGTCCACTGCACTCTGAACTCTGGCGGCCACTCACGATCCGCGGACCATTCCTCACTCGGAACCAGGATGACAGGAGCGACTTGTTCTGTTTGGGCGATGCGCATGTGTGGAGGGGGAGGAGGAGGAGACGAGGAGACCACGGCCACGACCAAGGCCACGGCCACGACCACGACGATAATCACGACGACCACGACCACGACGATAATCACGACGACCACGACGACCACGACCACGACGACCACGACGATAATCACGACGACCACGACGACCACGACCACGACGACCACGACGATAATCACGACGACCACGACGACCACGACCACGACGATAATCACGACGACCACGACGACCACGACGACCACGACGAGGAGGGAGACTCTCTGCGCAGGCAGCCAACAACGCTGCCCCTCGAACACTCGCTACTCTACTCTACCTCCTAGTCAGTACTCCACTGCCTCACCTCCGCGGAGTACATACGACAATCGTGACTGCTGCAGCCGACTCTGCAGCGGTATGTATGACTTCACTCCGATCCCACCCCATCCAGGCCGGTCAGGTAGCCAGAGTAGGTACATGTCAGAAGCGCCCGCCGAAAGATATCCCCGGTTCAATATCTAGATAATCCCACCAGCTGCTCCCCCGGAAACGCTGCTCCCCCGGAAACGCCGCACCCCGGGACAAAGCCCACTTCGGATTGTAGAAATGGACGGAGAGATGAAGAAGGTGTAGAGTATGTGTACCTGAAACCTCTGACGGAAATGGAAATAGAAACAAATGGCATCTATCCACCATCTCCTTCCCTCCTTCTCTCCTTCCTTCCGTCTCTCCTTCCCTCTCCCACTCTTCCCTTATTCTTTCCCTTTCCCTCCCTTCATGCCTTCCTCTTTCCCTTTCCCTCCCTTCATGCCTTCCTCCCTCCCTTTCCCTCCCTTCATGCCTTCCTCCCTCCCTTCCTCCCTCTTCTTCCCCAGACGAACCGAGAGACTTCATCCACTACTATATCTACCGTCACGCGGGAAATAGAGTAGATAGAGTACATACTCTAGATAGAGCACCTACCATGATACCATCTGCATCTAACCGTATCGCCGGCGGAACATCATGTCCGATCATGCACCGCGCTGCACTCCTCCCATCCCCCCCGGTCTGCGCATGTTTGCCTACCCACATACCAGCCAGCCAGCGTCGCCCCGGGCCCACAGTCGACATTCCGGCACAGATTGTCCCCCGGGGGGCCCGGGGGGGGGGGGGGGGGGGAACTTGGAGGCAGAACTGCTGCGAAAGGTGAATAGTGAATCCAGAGTGCTCATTGCTCAGTGCTCAGCGACCAGAGAACCCCTCCTCGTCATTTGCACCACCATCACCACCACCACCGTCGAATCCACATGTAGGTATTGATCGTAAGATAGTTGTGTACCACCACCACCACCACCACCACTACCACATGTAAAGTGCAGATCGTAAGATAGGCAGTTACCGGTACCGGTACACTGCGTCCACCAAAGAAGCTATGCACAAACGATTGTCTCCTAAACGACACCCACAACCCCGTCGAAACTGCACCGTCAGACGCCTCTTTGAAGGAAGCCGCAAAACATGTCTCCACTGTCGTCCAGTCTTGATCCCAACCCACCATCGACTCGCTACGCATGTATGTACATTGAGCAGATAACCATAGTACATATCATACTTGCCTAACCCTCCAGGGTGCAGTCCACCCACACCCACCGTCTCCCGAGCCGTCGCCCAGAGATGGCAGACAGAAACAAAAAAGCCCCCGGCGTTTCCGCCGGACGGAATATCCCGTGCCCATCCCGTGCCCATCCCTCCCATCCCATCAAGCCAGCCAACCAGCCAGCTCGCAACTCGCAACTCCGTGTGTGAGAGGAGAAACAAGGACTTCGAGTCTTGAGAGTCGAGCTGACAGTCATCCGAGAGGCGAATATCAACAATGCGATGGGTAGCTGGGTATCTCCCCGTCCCGTCACTTCCCTTCCCTTCCCTTCCCTTCCCTCCCCTTCCCTTCCCTCCCCTTCCCTTCCCTCCCCTTCCCTTCCCTTCCCTTCCCTTCCCTTCCCTTCCCTTCCCTTTGCCATCTGTCCGTCCGTCTGTCTGAAGCTGCCCTTCCCGCCCCTCTCCCCGCCGCCCCCGCGCCCACCACACTTCTCGAACCGGCTGTTGTCGCGAAAAGAAGGGATTCCTACGTATGATGAAGACGAAGAGAGCGACACGCATGCTCCACGCCGGGATGGCGTCCACATTGCAACTAGAGCATGGAGGAAGTCGGAGTTACATAACCCACTGCCCGGTGCCCACTGCCCGGTGCCCACTAGTTAGCTGCTGCCCACATCCACCCACGTCCATCCATCCAGCACGGACGATGGAAGGATGCAACGCGACGACACGCAGGAAGCCGCGGCCGCTGTTACCGCAGTGGAAAATACTCGACCAGAATCGGAATGAAAACACATTTCCCCACACTTGTAGACCCTAGCCCGTTGCAGCTAGTAACTCCACAGTAATTCGACCGATCGATCAAAAATATGGGGGTTTCTTTTACGGTATTTACACTACATACCAGCTCCCACGAAACGTTTCCTGGCGGTTTTGACTTTAAACTTTTTTCGCTTTCGTTCTTTCTTTTTCTTTCTTTTCTTTTCTTTTCCACGGGAGCGCCGTGGTGAAGGGGTTGGAGTCTTGGAGAGACAGAAGAAACCGAAGCGAAAGCTTGCCTTGCCTTAACTTGCTTGCTGCTTCGCTGGGCGCTGGACTCCTGGACTCCTGGCCTCTGGCCTCTGGGCTCTCCAGAGCCCAGAGGCATAGTTACATCCCGATCTGAGTTCATGTGCGAGATCTCAGATCCCATCCCCCAAAACTCCCCCATCCCTCCCTCTTTCCCTTAAACTTTGCCTTTTTTCCTTTTGGTATTTTTGTTTTGCGGGGATCTGGATGCAAACGAATGTCTATGCTACGAAGAAGGGGGGAGAAGAGGGGCGTGAGGGGGGAAAAAACGACCGAAAGGACGGAAAACATGTCACGGCTCACCTCCACCTCCACCTCCGTCCGTCTCGACTCTCTCGACGACGCACGCTCGCTCGCGAACCCGCAGCGAACCCGAGCTGGGTGCCTACATACCTCATACATCACATCATGCGGTGCGGGGCGGGGCGGGGCGAGATCACGGTCGTGGGAAAAAAAGAAGGATGGAAGCAGAACAACGCAAAGCAGAGCAAAGCAAAGCAGAGCAAAGCAAAGCAATCGGTATCGATCGCGCACGGTCGGTCGGTCACCCCCCCTCCCCCGCGGAGGTCGGTTAGATGCGGAGGGGGGAAACAAAGTTTCGTTTGCATTTCTCCCCGCCCCAAAATTCCCCCGCGTGGTACGGTACATACGGTAGGTAGGCAGAAGAAGGAACATCTCGGCACTCCGGGCAGGCAGGTAGATACCTACGGTACCCAGTCTACAGCCTACAGGTCTCACGAGGTCTGGTGGAGATGCGGGATCTGGCGATTGTTTCGGGTTTTATTTGTGGGCAGATGTTTTTGTTTTGTTTTCTTTTTCTTTTTGGGTTTGGGGGGTTCTTTAGTGACTATGTACTAGTAGATACCAGTAGTGCTGAATGGCAGTCAGTGGAAGTGGTGGTTTTCCGACAAGGTATGACACCTAGTATGATGGCAAGCAAGCAGCGAGCGCGGAAAAACATTGCTGCGGGCTGCCCGGACTGCCCGATGTCATCTGGCCCCTGGGAGACCTCTGTAGATATAAAGTATAGGCCGAGATTCTCCCGAGAAGTCAGGGAACGACGGATAGAACGGACTACCTCAGAGTCTAGAGTACTCTAGCCACTCTACTCCAGCAAGGGCACGGAAGGGTTGATCTGACAGCTCGTTGATTTGATATCCAGTTAACGCTGGCTGCTTGTGGATGGCACGGCTCGAAATACCGACACCCAGGCAACCCCAGGTCCCCGCGTACCGTATGTACACGGCCGAGGCTGCTCTATGTATGCTCTATCTCCGTACCGAACAGCTCGCGAGCTCGCGAGCAAGCACAGCAGATACAGGCAACCCCCAGCACGGGCAGCGAGCATTCAACACGTGTTTCCCTCGTTCATTCCCAAGAACCGGGATACCCTACTCCCCGGTAGAATTTGCGCCTTAGGTAGATAGGAGGTAGGAGCTCTGCTATGATAGCATAGCATAGCATAGCCCCGAAAGGACCATAACTCCCTCGAGCTCGACCGGTCCATCCCATGGGGCTGGCCATTGTACCAGTACTTACCCAGAGTACCTATGCACATCTACGGCCCTCCGAACGGAACACATCTCCATCCGCCATCCCCATCTCTTATCGAGTCCGCGAGGTTTCCCGACGCGAGTTGCAGGCAGGTATCCCCATCCACATCCCATCCACATCCCATACCCATCCAATCCACATCCCCAGGCCCCGTCCGCCTCTGCTGTTTGCATCATATGTAGCTGCTGCCTGTCTGATTCCATTCCACCCGCCCGCCTTATCTCCACCCTGGCTGGCCCATAGGTAATAGGTATGTACGCGCATAATAGGTGGGTCAGCACAGGTGCACCGACGGAGCAAAACACCGCAGCACCCCGTCTCCGTCTCTGGTGTCTCCGTCTCTGGTGTCGAAACCTCGAAGGCGAGCGGCGCCTTGACTTACGGATCGTGGAACACCGTCTGCCCGGGCGAGACGAGACGAGGCGGGGCGGAGCACAGTGTTCGTGACTAGAACGTAGTACTATGTTACGATGGTTCGCCTGGTAGTTGACACACCGAGCGAGAGCGTGACCGTGCGCGTGCGTCATATCGTACCCCACACAGTGACACGACTGGTTCGCATAGGGGAGCGCCGGAGAAATGGACGGAGAGATGGAACCCAGGGCCGCGCCTCCGTTGCCTAAGGGTGGGTCTGTGCTGTGCTGTTGTTCCCGTTTTGTGACGGTGAGATGGTCATGGATGATATGAATAACGGTGGTGGTGATGTGTAATATATCCGAGGCGGGTGCACGTGTCTGGACACGGTAGATGGCGACGATGGTTGCGGTGGTGGTGATGGTCGTAGTCGAATCTTAGCGATCGGGCTCGCTGGGACTCGGGAGAGGGAGAGGAGTCATATGGAGAACCTAGGTGTCACTCGTATGGCGGCGGTTGCGAGAGCGTTGTTTCCTTCGTCCCTCCTCCTGGACTAGGAGCTGAGCAATGAAGCTCTGCTGATTCGAAACGCTGTTTCCGATTCGCGGAGCTACCTACAGTTAGCCTCGTCTTGCGCGTCTAGTACCGCACCGTACCCCACGATAGCCATCCAGGTCGCGTCGACCAGCACGACGACAACGCCCTTCCCCTACATCCGGAACCAGCGTTGAGGATTTCAAACGAGGCTACCTAGGCCGGTACTTACCTTCTTCCCAACCTATGAGAGAAAGCGAGCTGGCAAGTCCAGTCCACCGATCGGGGCCCATCACGAGGCAGACTTTTCCCTTTTCCCACGATTGCCGATGCGTCGTCCCCCCGCGTCCCCCGAAGGCCGAACGCGTCCTCTTCCCCCGTGGACCCTTAAGCTTAACGACGATGGTTTATGTCGCTACACCGCTACACCGCGCTGGTCGCGTGCCGCCCTAAACCTCAACATGCGCACGCACGCACGCAACGTGCTGACCCCAGTGATGATGAGTGGCTGCCAGCTGTTAGTTAACCAAGTAGCAACACTTCTCGGACCGGAGCGCCGGTACTCTGGAGTAACTACTAGCAGGTAGATACTGTCTCTACACAGGCTAGAGAGTACGTGGCAACGCTCATATCACACATCATCATATGTACAAGCAGTATGCGAGACGGGTGAGGCTTGCGCCTGGGAGTGGGAGTGGGGGAGCGCGCGACGTCCGAGACATCGTGAACTTTCTCACCTTACCGAAAATCGAGTGGGGTTCAGTGTTGACGATGGCATCAAAGAGAGCCTATGTGTACTACCACTTACCTACATAGGCGCAGACACGGTGGCCGGGCGCTCTGGCGATGAGAAACGGCCGTCCGGATGGCTGTCGAACGCGTCAACGTCGGCGTCAACGTTAACGCCAACGTCAACGTCGACACCAATGCCGGAACCGTGAACTGGTCCGAGATGTGCGTGGCCCGAACGAGCCAGCAAACAAAAACAACAACAAAAACAACAACAAAAACAAAAACAACAACAAAAACAAAAACAACAACAAAAACAAAAACAAAAACAACAACAACAAAAACAAAAACAAACACAAAAACAAAACAAAACACCATCATCATCATCATCGTCAGCCACCATTCCATCCTTCCATCCATCCGCCCATCCGCCCGTCACCGTCACGATGGCATAGAAGCGTTACGCAGAGCAAACCGCATCTTCCGAGTATGCCCGGCCATGCTGCCATCGAGATCCACCGGACAGGCAAAGCAAATACGTATGAAAACAACCCACGGGGCCGCGGAGTAGGTTGAAGTAGTTACCGTACCCAGGTGACGGACGGACGGTAGTTGAGAAACCGATGTTCACCGTCGATGCCGATACATCATACGACGTGGCAAAGCAAAACAAACAAGCCACACGGAGGATACCCACTCTTCTCTACGGTACTATACACGCAGATGGATATCGGTACCTTCCTCTATCTACTGCCTACCAGAGTATGATTGTTCACTGACTTCTGACTCGTGTGTACATGGTTAACTACCGCATGTACCCCCCACATCTCGAGATCGAACCCCTCGCACACAGCTCAATCCGAACTCAATCCAAATCCAATCCAATCCAATTTCGAATCCAGCTCCCTCGCCCTCCTCCTCGTCCTCCTACTCCTCATCCTCCTCCTCCACCTCTCCACCCCCCACCTCACCCCCGCGCACCTCGATCCTAACCGCTTCGAGAAAGCCCATGCGCATCCCCGCTAAACCGCATCCGATTTCTCCGACCTGATCCGTGAATGCACTAGTGGTTATCAGGCTAAAAAAGGACCGCGGAGAAACTCGCTTGACACAACAACTATGCTTGCGGGGATCAATAGCGACGCTGCACTGTGCAGCTCCGGCGGGGGGGACCCTGAATTGAAAATCAACGAGGGGGGCCGGGGGGTGGAGGCGGACAGGACAGGACAGGGTCCACTCCGCTGCTCAGTGCTCACTCTCACGACTGAGCTGAGGATGGAGGGAGGGAGGGCTGGATGGGAAAGAGGGACGGATGGATGGATGGGAGAGAGGGACGGATGGAGAGGCGGACGGCGACGAACCGTGTTTTGTTTTTCGTCGTACATAACGGGGAAGTGGAAGGGACTCGTCTCTCGTCGTCTCGTCTCGTCTTGTCTTCTCTCGTCTTCTCTCGACGGGCATACGTACCCCTCTCGTTCCTTCTCGCTGTTTCTCGCAGATCCAGGGTAACTACTCCTCTACTCTAGAGTCTGATGCACATGGCCACCGTGACGCCTCCTCCCCCGTGACGTACGTAAGAAAGTAAGAAACCTGCAAACCTCCATCTAGACTCGAGCCGTACACAACAAGTTTTGCCCCCCTCCAGGCCCCATCCCCAGGGCCTCATCGTTGCAACTTGCGCCCTCGAGATATGTATCTACCTGGGTACTTATCGAACTACTGCTACTTGTGCTAGGTATAGTAGCGCGGCGCCTGTGCGGTGGCCATGGCTCATTGCTCATGGCGTGATGTATAGCACGGAGATCTAGATGCACGAGATCTGGATACAAGGTATGTATAGTTACATACTTGTCCCATCCTACGTACATACGTACATACGTACATACGGTCCATACATACCGTATACATATCCAAGCGCTGCGGCTGCTCAGTGCTGACGTCGGAGTGGAGTATCGTTGAACTAGGTACTCTACGCAGGGTCCAGACAGCTACATAACTACAAGGGGAACCAGAAGGATCTACTGTTCTCCACGTAGATTAGGTGCTAGGCAAAGTACGGTAGGTGGTGGTGATGAACGTCATGTGATCGCACTCGACGAATTGCGGGGATGCCATTACCGTTTCCGGGTTATTGCCACCCGCCGTGAGCTTTTGAGGCGGAGGGCGGAGCTCGGAGGTTTCAATATATACCCAAGTACTCTATCTAAGTGTGTAGCGGGTAATGACGCTCAAACGACCGGACATGCGGCCTCACGCTCCTGCTACCTACTGAGTACTCTACTCTACATACAGGCTGCACTCGCCCGTCCAGGCAGAATGGCAGAATGTCGTTGGTGGCTTCCGAAGCTGCGGAAGGACTCTCGTCGGCCGTAGGGCAAGCGTTATGACGCAGTAGATGCCCGGAGTCCGGAGGCTTTAACGTTGCTCGGTTGCGGATTCCAACTGGAGTGGGTATGTAGTACCGTGTGTACTTAGGCATGTCGATGCGCTGGAAGTGAGTGAGCCTCGTGTTTCGTTAGCCTCGGATACTATCATATCGTACTGCTAGTAGCAGCCAGCGGAGTGGCGACGGTTTGCGTAGAGTTGGGTGGTTACTTTGTTACTGGAGTCCGGCCAGCAGACGGAGGTATCTCGCGCGGTGAATCCTCCGGAATGATATCATGTGACCCGTGGGCGGCGGCCACGTTGGTGGCGTTTGTAGATCGGTCGGCGATAGCATGTACTGAGTACATAACATGCATCCCCACGGAAGGGAGTATGCATGGACTTGAGTCATCCTACTATAGCTGCTAGTGGATTATGGCTACGTACATACTCCAGCTGCTTCTCTAGCCTCGCCGTCGACTGTCTTCACTCTTGAGACGACGCCCGCATTGCCCTGAACGTTGCATCGCCGGGAGAGGCCGATAACCCTGTCGGCTGAGTTCCGGTACGAACGGAGTTAAGCAGGGGATTGCTAAGTGAGACTCACATTGGGTCTTCGATGCCGTGGAGAGAAAGATAGGAAGCCACCTAGATCTTGAGAGAGGGTAGAAACCACTGTTATCACTCGCAACGCCGAAGGGTTGAACGCTTGCGTTTGTTCTACATACCGAGGCATTCGATTCTCCACTCTGGCTCGGCTACGCAACCATTCTTCAAAGTTGCTGTGCACAGTCCGCAGTCCAGGCAACTGGTTGGGTGTGGAAGCTCCGTCTCCGCCTGGGCACCGAGAAGTGATGAGCGCACCAGCAGAGGAGCGGGTGAAGAGCAAAGTGCAGTGTCCGGAGCAATTCTTGCAGTGTGTTACGTATTCTTGGGTCGGCCTAGCTATCCTCGTATATGCCACTTTCCGATCCGGCCCCTCATACCGGTCTATGCGCATGTGCTTTCCCCAACAGTGGTATCCTTCCGACGGAGGACTCAGGAGGTATCAAGAGTACATACTTCGCTTCTTCGAAGGCACATCTCCTTTGCGGAGGCCAGTGTCTCGGAGCGTCGAAGCAGGAGATATATGCCGCAGCGTGAGATGGAAGAATCATCTAGACGCTCAGCTGCGGGGGGGGGGGGGGGGAGCAAAATATGCACCGACTTAACGGGTGTCACTTCATCGTCGCTGTTACTGTCCCATCGCGGGGTGGCACGTACCACTTCATATTTTCCAATTTGCTATTTCCATCACGGAAAAAACCCCGCATGGTCCAGTGGTCTAGGGCCACGTAATCGACGAGGGGAGCTGAGTGAAAGTCCCCGGTTCAAAACCGGGTGAATGGCCGTATGTATTCAGCTCTTGGGGTTTCCAAGCCACCCGCCGGGGGTGGTGACGGTTTTTGTTTTTGTTTTTGACATCACGGGTGGGGCATGAAATATCACTCGACAATATGTCGTCACGTGATACGTCTTGCGCTGCCACCTGTGGAGGTGATAGGTTGCATGTGAAAATCTCTCTCTCTCTCCCTGTAGAGGTAAGGACGGGTGAATAATTACCATTATCTACATAGGTCGCATGAAATCAATGAATAGACTCAAAAATGTGGAGGCCTGGTGTTGTACTGGTTGAGGGGGCGGGGGCCCTCCACTCCGCGTGCGGTGGGGTTGTCAGCTGCTCGTTTGGCCCATTCGTCGGCCTTCTCGTTTCCGGGGACGCCTTTGTGTGCTGGGCACCATCTGATAATGGTGATCTCGGACTCCCTTCGACGGAGGCGGCGATGTGCTTTCGTGCCTGGAAGGCGTACTTCTGTCTTGGGGCGGGGCATCGTACGTCTTCCTTCTAATAGCCGCCTGCGCATCTAACTACCGTTGTAGGGCTGCGGGCCGGTGTTTTCCGATTCGGTTGCGAGTGCGCCAACATGCTTCGGGCTCCGGCCGGGTATTTTCAGAATCGGTTTCCGAGTGATTCCATATGCCGGGCTTTAGATAAGGGAATACGCGGCTACAAAAGACGATTGGTGCAAGAGGGATGCAACAAAAGCAAAAGTTTATGAGATTCGCTAGTAATATTCACATTTGCAAGTATTCCAAGCAACGCTTTTCTTTCTGCTCCGCCAAAACCCACGACACAACAACCCTCCTTCCTTCCTACAACAACCTCGACCGATCATCCTCAAGTCTAAGCTTCTCTCTTCAAAAAACTTCCCATTCTCATCTATCTCGAATAATACCTCTGCTCGTCATCCTCAAGTGTAAGATTCTTACTTCCACACCCGCCCTTCCCATTCTCACCACTCCCAAAGACAATCTCTGGTCATCACAACCGACATCTCTCATCGACCCCCCGCACAATAGCACTGCTACCTCTAATCTCACCGCGACACCCACCTCACTTCCTCTACCCACCCGCTCCACATATCTCTCTTTATCCCATCCTACCAGTTCTCCTCTCCTATCCTCTCGCTAGTTGAGCACTCGTCCTGACTCCTCGACCCCACAGCAGCAGCAACAATATCATAATATCCTCACCACAAGCTTCACTCAAGGTAAATTCACCTCCCCAGATCACTTAATTTAAATATGTGCCGACACCCTTCAGATGTCTTGGTCTCCCCGCCGCAGCACCCGGAGGATTACCCGCAGCCATCCGCGGGACCCGACCGTGATTGCGATGTTAGCCAAGATCCGCGAAGCTAGGAAGGCTAAGGCTGCGATGTCTGGGAACATCGTGGCTTCCAACAAGAAGCCCGAGGCCAAAGAGCCTCGCAAGGCCTTGGCCGAGGTCAAGAACTCCGGCGCGACCACGGGGGTCGTTGCCATCAAAAACAAGTGCGGAGACGAAGGCGTAAGCTTTTCCGGCGACGAGGGCACGGCTAGTTATCGCTGACGAGATCGTTTCCATCAAGCAGGAGGGCACAGCCACCCCTAAGAATGCCAACAAGCGCAAGCGCTCGGTGGAGGGAGATGGTGCCGGCGAAGACACTAAGGCGAAGAAGGCCAGGCCGGCCCCGAGGAGTGCAGTTCGTCGCCTCTTCAAGAATTAGAGGAAAGCCGGCCTGGCCACCGGCGAGGAGCGTTTTTTGCTGCCTCGTCGGGGTTTATAGAGTGTATAGGCAAGTAGGACACATAAGTGCCTACTTGTCCAATGAATAAAGTATTATTTTTAATTTAGCCAGCGCAGTCTTGGATCGAAATCGCGTGATTGATTTCGGCTCTGTTCAGTGATAACTAATATATATAGAACCGGTGAGTATACCTATTACCTAGGTAAATTGTTGTAATGTAGAGTTGGTACGTACCGAAAATGTAGAGGAAGAAAATTTTCTGGATGGATTGAGAGAGGTACTAAATCTGTAGATATAAATCGTGGTGGATGTCTGGAATATCCATCCATGAAATTCCGTCTTCACGACAATCACGGCAAGTATCCCCCCAACCGCCCCCCCCTCCCCTCTTCAACCACAACACTCTTTACAACCACACTATCTTACCCCCCTCCAACCCCAGTGAAATATTACTCTTTCGGCCATCACTTCCTCATTACTCGGCGACGTTAGAAGAAGGGCAAGAGTCTGACAGGCGACCTGTTGAAGAAGACATCGGCGTACGAAACCACCCGCTAGGCCCAAAACGACTTGGATTACGGTTCGTGTATCTGCGGATCCTGAAGGGATTGCTAATGATTGCCGTGTCGCAAGGACAGCGTCCCCGAGGTGTGGATCGCACGATAAAAGCACAGGCCTCGGTGCAAAAATCCGGGACGAAGAGAACGGTGGTAGTGAGGGGGGGAGAAAGTGGCAGCGGTGGAGAGGTTAGATTTGTGGAAATTGCTGCGCTATCTACGAAACCCAATCCAAGGCTTGATCGCAACTGTGCGATCACGTTATTGGGTTGGGGGAAGGAACTGACAGTGTAACTCCACAACTCGCTGGACACCATCGGAACGACACTCGAGACTTCAAGCTTTAGGGGTTTCAATCGTACATGGATTTCTTCCAGAACGAGTCGCACCATTCAGAAATAACCAAGATTACAACAGAAAAGGCACACACATTCCCCAGCACTATTATTCCCCTCATTTATCCCGTTACAAACTGCCCGGCGCCCCTGCTAATACAAACTATAGTACCAATCGCCCATCAAGCTTTCTCCACCGCAAAATCTCAGACACACGGGCACCTCATGCTCCAAGCATTGAAATCGAACTTGCTCCAGCCCTCACGATCGACCATGGCACGAGTTCCCGTGCACCCACTCCCCGCGTAGATGGTGCATTGGTAGTGGCCGCCCGCCCAGCCGGAAACAAAGGGACCGCCGATGAGATTTATGCAGGTGTCGTCGCTACTCACGCCGAGGCAGTTGCGCTTGCCCTGTTGCTTGCAGAGTTGGAGCGTGCCGCCGTCCTTCCATGGGACGCACCAGGCGTCGACTGTGCTTGCGGCCGTGGCGACGGCGAGGATGAGGAAGGAGGAGCAGCGCATGATCGTTGAAGCTTGAGCTGGAAAGTGGGACTGTGTAGAGGTCTCGGGAGAATATTCCTAATCTTTGATTGATCTGTTGCTTGGTCGATGCCGGTGATGGTGATGCTCCTTTCGTGGGAGTTGGAGCCTGGAGGGGCTTTTATAACCAGAATATTTCTTGCACATACTGTATGTACGACCTCTAGGATTACGTCGAGGACTCCGTGAGACCTCTCTTCCAACTGCGCAAGTTCAGCCTCACAGACAACCGCAGTCACAACTGCAGCCGTCACTCGCCATCATTGGACGTCCGAAGCTGCAAGGCTCTATCCACCAACCAGATACATCTTTCTTCCTCTATTCACCAGCCAGAACGGGCTAGGATCGGAAATGGGTGGCCGATGGTAGGCCAGCCGACCGCTGCTAGTGGGTGCGGTCACAGGAGAATGTAATCTCGGGGAGCATCCCTTCAAGCGCAGTAATTGAGCTGAAAGCCCAGTGGCAGGAGGTCAGACAGGAAGCCTGTCGGACCAAATCGTGCACGAGGAATGGGGGGGGGGGGGCAAATACGAGGATCAGCATGCAAATTGCCGTCGAAAGAGGTAGTCCGCTCGTACTGGACTTCCCACGCACTACAAGTGCTGGCTGACTGGTGTTTAGGGCGGCGGGTGACGACGACGCGGCAGAGATTACGGCGAGGGTAGCATCGGTGGCGGAGGTAGGCGCGTTCCTTCCGCAGCGGAAGCGGAAGGGAGAGGGGGGCATGAGGGACGAGGTGAAAGAGAGGGTAGTACCGGTTCGTCTCGTGTTGCCGCGTAAATCGAGTACCTAATCAAGGAATACGAGTTTGCAGCAAACGAAAACAGCATACAAGATACTCGTAGTGTGTCTTACCGACTTCTATGGTCCAGAAAGGTCGTATTCAGTCGGGGGAAAGAAGAATATTATTCGCCAGGCCGTATACCAAGTGATATGAAGTGAAACGAATTACATCAGTGCAGTTTTATTTCTTGGGTAAAGGACGACTCAGTCCTGACACCTGATTCGGCGAGTCCTGAGTCATCAACGACTCAAGCCGGTGCTTCAAGCAGTAGATGGGGGTGTGTCACCGTAGTGGTACGGGATTCCATTGGCTGGAACGATCGTTGTCGGCTGGGCGTTTATTCAAGTTCTTGAAGTGGGAGCCAGCGCTTTATTGGCTCGTGTCGATGATGCGTATTTGTTGACTGTAGCTGAGAGTCGGCCGCAATACGAACCGTGTCATCAGCAGCCTTACTGTTAGTTCATTCGCTACCGGAAATATTTAACTCCTGAGTCTACAGTCCGCCATATTTTTTCGGACCGAACTGACCGTAGCGAAAGCTGAGGTGAATGCAGTGCATTCATTCCTTCGTTCGGCTTTCCCGGGGGTATTATAGTCCTGCGAGCCTATTCGTTGGTGTGTGCAGAAAGCATTGCCGTCGGTTGGTTACTAACAGGCATCCGATCAGCCGTGCGACTTCTGCATGATACGGGTATTCAGGTCGGTTTGTCCAGGGTTCGTATGGTGCTACATTGTCCATCCACAGCTCATATCTCCACAGCTCCACAGCTCTAATCTTGAAGTTCTACGAACGATCCCAGCTGATAACCGGTGACTGTTCAGCCACAAGCTCATCCGAGCGCGAAGAACCTCCCTACGTATCCGATAGCACACTACTATGCCCTCATTTCCGCACTCGGATGCAAGTCGCGCACAGAAGACAGCAGGCCTCGTGTTCTGTATCAGCAGGTGGAGCATCTGGAAAGCGGTGACGTCTCCGGAGCGAGCTGTAGTAGAGGGTAGTATTCGAGGCCAGGCTGGCGGCGCCGTATGGGCGGGTGAGGCACCGGTGATGGATGGTTTATGGGTATTAGCAGTGTTTATGTGATTGAGAGAGAGAAAAGCATTGCCTATACTTTGTGAGCGATTTTCCTTGTTTCAGCTTTTTATCGGTGTGAATTCACCCTTCTCGGTCCATACGAAGCCATCATCTCAGTTGGAATCGCTCCCCGTTCAAGTCTTCACTCTATACCAAGAACGACTCGTCTCCGCATGGTTCCTCTGTTCGGCAACTCTATTACCCGGGGTTCATCTCATGGTGTTGCAGTTTCTGCATGAAGAAATGCATTACTTCATCATAACTTCTAGAAAAGGATCACCGACATGCTCGGTTGAGGCCTGGGAATACCGGTAGTCTGTCTGGACGGAAAACTATTAGGGCCTGGCGACGCGGTCCCGTCCGGGACGAGGATTTGCCGGACCAGAGCATCCAGTCCGAAGTCCAAAATGCCCGGAGTCCGACTGGGACCCCGTAGGGCCTGGAAATGTTTATTGTGGTTCCAGCTAACCGGAAAGCGGTATCAACTTCCTCCCTCGACTCTTCCGCTCCCTCGACTAGGACACTCCCTCAACTGTTGCGGAGCCTTGACTGTTCCGCGGCCTTGAATCTTCCCCGCCCTGATCTTGCTCCCTCAAGCGGCCCGTTCCCTCAACTCCTCAGCGCCATCTTGAATCGGCCGCTCTCTCAACTCCTCAGCGCCATCTTGAATCGGCCGCTCTCTCAACTCATCGGTGTCGTCGTCTCATCGCCGCCATCATCTCATCGCCGCCGTCATCTCATCGCCGCCGCCAACTCAACTCATTCGTGGCGTCAACTCTTCGCTGCCGTCAACTCGTCGGTGCCGTCAACCCGACCCTTTCGTGCCGTCAACCCTTCCGTTCCATGATTCTTCTATGCCGTGTAATCTTCCGTGCTATCAAACCTTCCATTCCTTGACTGTTCTGTAACGTCAACTCTTCGCCGCTGTCAACCCTTCCGTTCCACGTGTATTCCGTTCCTTGAAGCGTGAGTGCCCTCATTCCGCTCCGTCAACTCCTCCGTACCTTCAAATCTTCCGCCGCCGTCAACTCTTTGGCACCTTCAACTCTTCGGCGCCGTCGACTGTTACGTGCCGTCAACCCTTCCGTTCCTTGACTCTTCCGCGCCCTCATCCTGATCCCTCAGCTTTTCTGTGCCATCACCTCATCCGTGCCATCATCTCTCCGCCGCCCTCAACTCCTCTGTTGCTTGACTAGCTCCCTCAACTTTTCCGAGGCCTTCAACTCTTGACTCTCCCGCTCCATGTCGATTCCGCTCCGTGACTCGTCCGTGGCATCGACTTCCTCACTCAACTCTTCCCCGCCGTCAACCCCTCCGCGCCGTCAACTCTTTCATTCCTTGACTCTTCGGTGCAGTCAGCTCGCCCCCGCTATCAACCCTTCCGCGCCGTCAAGACTCAGCCGTTCCGCAGTGATCACTCCACAAGCTAGTAAATCTCGTTCCAAGTAGTTCAGTAGTTAAATCAAGGTGGCTGTTCACTACCCCTACGGCGGGCATATTCACGACCCGGTTAGGTGTAGGATGCGGACACGCACGATGGACCTTATCGGGTCATAACCAGCCAGGGCGCGCCCCGCTCACATCTTACTGTGCTGTAATGATATGTAATGCGCAGTGCCGACCGGTACAGTATAGAGGCCTTTTGTTGCTAGACGATGGTACCGAACTCGCAGTAGCAGACTGTCGCCGCGTGTTACCCGCGGCCGCGGCTATTAGCACACATTTCGTTGGCACCGCACAGTAAAATTCAGCACTGCTTAGTACAGAGTAGTACCGCGGTCGCCGCATCGCCGGGCGCAGTACTGATGGGTACTGCCTGCGGCTGCGGTGGGCATAATACATTGGCCCATAGGTCAGGAATTGTCCGTACTGCTCAGTACAGAGCGGGATCGCTATCGCCGCATCGACGGGTGCGGTACTCACCAGTACTGCCTGCAGCTGCGGTCGGCAGGATACATTGGCTGGTACAACTCTGCAATCAGCCGTAATTTTCAGTACGGAGCGGTACTGCCTCAGTGTTCTCTATCGTTCGGTCCGGACGGTTGCAAAATTTCTCCGTCAGGTCCGAGCCTGGGACGGACGGGTCAGTCCTGGTCCGGCAGAGGAGGACGACCTCAGGAAAAAAAAATCTACTCAATTAGGCAGTCGACTGCGTCTTTATGTAATGCCACGGTGAATGCGGTGGGTGCATAGAGAAAGGTGGTAGGGCTTTCCACCCTGCCATGAATGATCTTCCGTGGGCACGACGCTAGGTGAGCATTCGAGCATCTTGTAGATTCATTGATATCAGGGAACCTATCTACATAACAGCAGTATCCGCCCTGTCCATACAGCCCGTCCGCTCCCTCCCTCTTCCGTGCTCCCACAACCCATCGGCGCCGTCGCCTCTTCCGTGCCTGTCAAGGCGCCTAGCTCGTAGACTGGGAGGCTATAGAGAGAAGACTGGTTTACTGCACAGAATAGGGGGTTTTGAGGGGCGCGATACGCAGTTGAGAGAAATCAGCCATGACGTTGATGGATAAATCGATGGTGATGTTCTATTTACGCTAAGAGATTCCTTCTTCTAGACGCTCATGGCGCCAAGACCGTCGGCCTTGGCGCATGTGACGGCGATAGCTGCCTTCCCGACCCGATCCCGTCGGTGCCGTCTTGGCAACCGTGACAGTGCCGTCACCTCTTCCATGCCGTCACCACTTCCGGCCCTTGGACTCGTCCGTGCCGTCAGCTTTTCCGGCCGGTGGTCTGGCTCCTTTACTCTTCCGCTCCTTGACTTGTTCGCAGCATGGACTTCCTCCTACACCTCTTTCGCTCTCACACCTCTTCCGCTCCTAAACCTCTTCTGGCCATCAACTCGTCGGTGTGTGAACTCGAACATTCCGTGCTCGTCGGTGTCGTCAACTCGACCCTTCCGGCGGCGTCATTTCTTCCGTAGTCCCACAAATCTTTCTTGCTCCAAAAAGTCTTCCGTGTTCCCACAACTCTTCCGCTCCTTCAACTCTTTCATGCCCTCTCATTCTTTCCTGCCGCGAG